AACCCCAACCCCAACCCCAACCCCAACCCCAACCCCAACCCCAACCCCAACCCCAACCCCAACCCCAACCCCAACCCCAACCCCAACCCCAACCCCAACCCCAACCCCAACCCCAACCCCAACCCCAACCCCAACCCCAACCCCCAACCCCAACCCCAACCCCAACCCCAACCCCAACCCCAACCCCAACCCCAACCCCAACCCCAACCCCAACCCCAACCCCAACCCCAACCCCAACCCCACAACCCCAACCCCAACCCCAACCCCAACCCCATTTTCATAAAAATTAATGAAAAGTAAAACAGTTAATTTGCATATTTTATTTTTTAGTATTTTCCTTAATCTAAAATTACTTTAACTTTTTGAAATAATATTTCAATAAATTAAATTTTTTTAAAAATTTTTTTTAACAAACAAATTTCAATATAAATACAAAATTAATCAATTAATTAGTTGTTAAAAGATACAAGTATTTAAATTAAAAGTTGACAAGTTATTAATTATAAACATTAAAACAAAAAAATATAAAAAAGTTGAAGATATGCATGTATGTATGAATGTAAGAATGAATGATTGATTGATTGAATGATTAAAGGTAAAAGATACTATTTGGTTAAAAATAAATTGTTTTTTATAAAAATAAACGAATTAAAATTCTTTTATTTTATTTACTAAATATTTATTTTAACAAATATTGCAACTATAAGTAAAAAAATAAGTGGTAAGTTAGAAAAAAAATTTATTAAAACGAATAAATATACTAACAAATAAGCTTTCCTCTTAATTAACTAGAAACTACATAACTAGATTTTCTTAAAATATTTAAAAATAGGATAAGAATTAATGAAAGAAAGAAATGTTAGGTTTTTGAGTTAACTGATTTAGAAATACAATATCAACTTTATACATACTAAGAATTTAGACTATTCATTTATTTATTTATAAAATAATTAAATTTTTTATTATTCTATCAATTTTTCTATTTATTTCAAGAAGGACTCATGTAAAAATCTATGATTATACCTATGTAGAAAATGAACATCATTACATAATAAAATACCCATAACTTATTTTCAAGACCAGCTCTAGCTTCAGAAAAGCTCTTAAAGACAGTCATGTGCAAGAGAAGAACAACGATTAATGTAAACCAAGATAATATAGCTTCAAAAACACCTCCTTGAAGATAATTATAAGATATCAAAACTGCTACTGCGTAAAGATATATTTTTTTTGATAAATGATCTAATTTATGTTTATGTATTTTTCCTTCTGCTGGAAAATAAGCAAGTGCTTGAATTGCAAAATGGACTAGGTAAAGAAAGAAAAGAGTAACACCTATAGCAAGTCTTCTTGATACATAACTATCACTTTCTGATTGCTTATAATAAATATTGATTGGCATTTTTATTGGTTTTATAGGCAATCAATCCTTTTACTTTTATGATATTTGATAAATATTAGCTTTTACTATTTATTAGATTCAAATAATTATTTATTTTTTTGAAAAATTTAAATTTTTTATTTGATTCTGTAATGAAAAATATTTACATGCACTCACTCACTCATTTATTCACTACTCGCTTCTTTAAATTCTCTATTATTACATTAATTAAATTAAATGTTGCTTTTAAATAATCTTCCTTATATCTATATGTAATAGCTGGATATAACCTTCAAATAAATATTCATAAATAAATAAAAAAAATACAAGATTTGATTTCACTTCATTCAGTAAATAAGTCAAATAGTATAATTATTTTTTTTATTAATTTTTAATAAAATAGACTATTAAAATTAAAAGATTTAAATATTTTTAAAAATCAAAATATCAGATATAAGCAGAATATAATTTTTGCTAAGTGAAACTCAATATTTCCAAACATATCATATGTACTGAAAAATGATATCCATAAATTGTTTTTGTTTATTTTTTTTAATAATTTCAGTAAATCATTTTTTTTAAAATAAAATAAACTAAAAATTCTTCTAATTTACTTAAATTGCTAATCAATTATTTATTTAAAACTTACATATTAGATTTTTTTATTAAAAGTTTTATTTTTCTCTAATTCAATAATATAAATCAATTTATCAAGAGTTAATTTATTTAACAAATCTGTTATTGATACAAATAAAAAAAATTTTTAGAGTAAAAAAATTGTGCTATTTACTAAGTTTTATAAATTTTAAAGAATATATTTTAAATTAATAAACAAAAGCTGCCAAATTTTTTATTATAATTCTTTATTTATCAATCTTATCAGGATTCTATAAACAGAATTCATAATTCATCGTATTATTTATGTAATCTGAAATCTATATTAAGCAAATTAATATAAATTATTTATGAATTTAGTTCAACTTAATGTTAAAATAATTAATAATCTAGATTATTTTTGCAGGTTTTTAAAGAAATAATTCAAAAATAATTTAAAAATACTAAGGCTATTGTCAAAAATCATTAAAAAGTAATTGGATTTTATGGAATTATTCATGATATCTATCTGCTCTTTTTATATATTATTAAGGTTTGAGCTGATGTTTTTTTTTTCTTCAAGATTTACTATATATAGAATTAAATATTTTTTCATTTATTTTTAAAAGTCTATAACTTAATAAAGATTACTGCTTCAAAAATTAATAAAATTTTTTAAATTTAACTTTTTGCAAACATTTTTACTTAAAAAAATATTATTTTATTTTGAATAATTTTATAACAATACATCATTATTCTAAATTTTATATATTATTTGTATTTTTTAAAGTAATGATTTTTACACAAAACCATAGCAAAAATAATATTTAATTATAGCATACTTAAAATAATCAAATTAATTATCTTATTGTATTAATACTATTCGTTAAATTAGTAAAATAAAGCCAAAAATAATATAACTAGAATAGCATAATATTTGGTCTTTCCCTATTTTATACATTTGATCCATTAATTTTAATATCTATATGACTTTTTATTAATTAAAAGCTGCTAGTCTTATTTGATATCATCAAATATTTTTAAATTTTTTAATTTGAATTATGTAAATTTAAAACAACTTTTTCTTTATAAAATCATATTAAAATTAAAAAAATTTAAAATCAAAATTTTATATTTTCAAATTATTTAATTGAGTAGAATTTCTTCAAAGATATTCCTTTTTTTATTCTTTAGATATAAATTAAGTTATTTTATGTTTGAATATATCTTTTGAATCAAAATGAATTAATTTATCTATCTATCTAAACATTAATGCATGAACATACATATCTATGTATAATTCTAGCAAATCAATATAAAAACAAAATTAAAATTAATAATAACAATATTGTCTAATAACTTCTATTTTGTAAATATTTTAAAGAAGACCACTTCTTGATAAAACAATAAGCGATTTTTGATTGTATTTAATATTTTAGTTAAATTTAGTTAATATGTCTGGAAACGATACTATTTCGCCAATAGGTAGATAAAAATATTTTCAAATCTACTTTAATCTAAAAATTTACTTAGTATTTTAAGAATATTAATTATATCTAAAAAGAATTAATTGATAAATGTGTTGGACATAAAATTTGGATACTTATGAAAAATGATAAAGAATTATTAGGCACACTTAGAGGATTTGATGATTTCTTTAGTAAATAAATATATTTTGCTTTTGTTAAATTAGTTAAAAATTATTTTATATTTTGAAAAATAGATATGGTTTTGGATGATGTGAGCGAATAGTAAAAAATTATTAGTTTCTTTTTGATTTTTTTTGGTTTAGGCTTTATTTTAATAGATAAAGCAAGATTTAAATTTTAAAAATGCAATTTTAACAAATTTTATAAATATATAAAAATAGTTAATATGTAGATGGTGTTAAAAAGGAAATAAAAACAGACTCGATTTTGCTAAATGGTGCATATATAACTTTAGTAATTAAAATAATCTTTTATATTTAAATCATATTTCTCTTTCTTTATCTAAATATTTCTGATATGTTTTAATTTTAATTAAAAACTTAATAGTTATTAAATAAATTTATTTATTTACTTTTTTAAATGTTAAGCTTATACCAGGAGGTGAACCACTATGAAAAGGGCTGGTTTATTAGGATACATATATATTTTATAATAAAAATAATTATAAAAGAATTTATTTTAGGAATATGCTCAGCACTAAATTTGGAATAAGGAATAATTAACATATATAAATTGTTATTCATGTTATAAAAAGCATCAAATATATATTTATCTGTCATAATCGGAATGAATTACTAACTTAATTAGCCAAAAACATTAAAATTACGCAAGTTAGAAATATTTTAATTTAGAGAATGTTTGTATTTACTAGTTGGAGAAAATAAGAATGCAATATTCTTAATTTCTAAGAAATTATTCGCACTTATTCTAAATAATGTAAAGTTCTATTTTAATGTGAATTACTAACAAAAAACATCATAAAATTTTAGTATAAGGAGACTAATTACGTATTTAGTGCTATAAGTATCTCAAAATTGTTTATGAGAATATTAAAAACATCAATTTACTATTTGATGTATAGCATATCATTCAATTAATATATTAATCAACTTTTTAAAGAAAATTTAAGAAAAATTCTAAACAACAAAAATTAATCAAATTAAATATTATTTGTATCCTACCTACCTAACTAATAAATAAATACATCAATTTAAACATGGGAAATAGGTTTTCATTTGAGAGTGATAGCGACATTATCAAGCTAGTTTTGAAATTAGATAGCAATTCTCCAAGCACCTTGTTACAAAAAGTAGAAAATCTTCCATAATTTAAGAGCAAATAGTAGCTCTAGGATGACTTAATCTATTTCTTTTAGGATGATTTTAAGAAATTCCTGCAAGTAAAAATGAATTAGTAATCTTAAATTTAAAAACCAACATTTTGTTTGTAAAAAAAAGAGAGACCCATCAGATCTGATAGAAATTAGAAAACAAATTTATGAATTAGATAGATAAAATAATAAAACTGAGAAATTAAATGAGCTTAATCTCTCAGGATACAGAACTGGGGCTCATAATTAAGAGTTAACAAATTATATTTAAAGACTATTTAATGGAGAAAAGGTAGAGCTTAAAACCAAGAGAATTGTACTAAGTCTCATTTAAGGACTGACAATTCTAATGAAGCATGAAAAGCCCTTCTATCATTTTAATACAATCATACCTCTTACTCAATTAGAGAAATTCAATTATGGTAAATCATTATTATTATTAATCATTTTATTAACGTACTAATTGATGTTTGTTTACAATACTAGAATTAATTATTTAATATTTTTTATTATCAAAATACAGAAGTTAACATGGATAAAACATTTGTAAATGCATAGGATAAAGGTTTCCCTTTTATTTTTGTTAAAATCAGAAGCGGTATAAGCTTTTATAAAGTAAATTACTTAATATTTTTGCAATCTACCAACCAAGCTCATTTTTTTATTTGAATTGTTATTTAAAAGGTAACTGGACCTGGTGAATATAAAAGAATAACAGGTAGTATTATGGGTGAAAGTTTTGTTGAAAGTATAATGCTTAAATTAACCAGTTTTAAGGATATAAATGAAGGGTTTAAGATAGCCTTTTAAAAAGGTGATAATAAAAATTGTGATATGACTGTTGAAGACATTTATGGAGCAGGCTGCGCCAATTTAGGTATTCCAAATTATACAAAAGCAACTCAATAAAATATATTTTTTATAAAGGTATTCCTAAAGATATATTAGCCAGTAGCTTTGGTAAATGTAGTCGTGAAGGACCAACAAGCAAGTATAATGAAGTAGATATAATGAAAAGCTTATTGATTGCTATTACTATTAACACAGGTTAACTAATAGGTCTATACTCGTAATTAGAAAAAATTAAAAATATTGTTGTTTCATCATGGAAAATAAAATCTGAGGAGTTTAATTTTATCTTACAAGTAAATTATTCATAAATTAATTAGCTCAAAATTTAAAATTAATTTCTTGATTTATTTTAATTTATTAGAGCACAGCAGCATTTTACTCAAAGAATGAATGCATAGTTGATTTCATAAAAGATTCCGACTATTTATCTTGTATTGGAGATTTATTATGAGATGCAAGAAAACAATAATCCAATCAACTTAATAATAAATCAAACATTCATTTTAGATTACTTTTGGTCTATCTTAAATTATTTTCTAGTTCATAAAAAAACCAACATAAAAAAATAATAATATACTATTTTATTTCAATTCTATAATAATAATTACTCTTCGTAAATTTCTATCTATAACTTTTTCGTTTCATCCCTGTTTTGAGTTTTATCGATTTGCTTTCAGCTAACAAATAATAAATAAATATATTCGAAAAAACACTTTCAATCTATTTCAAAATATATAATTAAATTGTAAATTTGTCGCATGATAAAATAATCCTTTTAATTAATTGATTTTTTGTTTATTTGTTTAGTTTCTTTCTTCTTTCTTCTAAATTCTTTGTAAGATTATATTTATATATAATACAAAATACAAAAGGCTTAAAATATCCAACGTTAAAGAATTTGTAATTTTAATTTCCCAATAAAATAGAGATATTTTAAAAAAGTTACAAAAAATAATTAAAAGATAAAATTTAGTTTATTTTAAGCAAATAAATAACTTTAAATAAAAGATCTTCAATTTAAATTATAAATTATTGAAATAAGTGTTAATATTTTTGCTGTTTATAAAAATATTATTTAGAATTTGTTGAACGAAAGTGATTCATTTCTATTGTAAAAAAAAAATATAAATATTAAAAAGTGCTTTGTCCTTAACTTATTTTAGTAGAATATAGGTTTTAATAAAGTATAAGTAAATGAAAATAAAATGGGAAATAATACTATTCTTCATAAAAAAGAATAAATAAATAAATACTTTTAATTATAATTTTAGAGTTTTTAAAAAATCGTTTTTGTTAAATTTTTTTGCAAAAACAGAAACATTTTATCTCAAAATATCTTTATTAGGATTTAGTGAAAATATTTCTATTTAAAGATTTAATTGTTTCTGATATTGGTTGAGAGATAATTCATTTATTTTTAATTCAATCATCTTCAATCGAGCCAATTTTAGCACCTAAAACCTTCCTTTTACGTCTTTAAGGATTAATTATACATGTATTAGGTTTAACTTTTTTTATACTATTTATTGCATCAATATTACTAGCTCCTTCTTAGTTAATTAAGTTATTATTACATTTAATTAGAAAACCCTCCTTAATTTAATTGTTTATGTTTTCTAATTGAGCTTTTAAATCTTAATTTTCTTTAAGTGTTTCTTCTCTCTCTTTTTGATATGCATTGTATAAATCTAATGTGAATACCTTTAAAAGATTGTAAGAAATAGTTGGGTTATCATCCCTTTTAAAAGGTTTTCCTTTTTGATTAATTTAAAAATAATATTTAATTTTCAAATTAAATTTTTGATTTTTAAGGTTAATTTTTACCTATTTGAAAGCGAGCATTAATGATTATACCAGAAAACTAGAATTCGATAATAATATCCATATTATAATCAGCTTTTAGCTCTATCTCAAAGCTCTTTTTTTGGAGCATTTCTTTCATAGCTTTGAAAAATTCTTAATAAGTTCCTGTGAGCTTCATTTATTCCTTGATTTCTTTAATTTTTCGCTCATTAAAATCTCCGAGCCAAAATTTATCTGAGCTATCTGCCAACATGATGTTAAGAGATTTAGAATTAGGAATCTAAATCGCTTTTACCAACAATAAAAAACTCATTTTATCTTATTTTATTTTTAAGTGCGTGCCATCAATGATTGCTATCCCTTAAATAAAGTCTTCGCTCATCTTAAAGTGAATTTGTATTTATCAAGATGTTTTTTTTTTTTTGAAATAATCAAATTCTTATTCTAAATATTTTTAAAATTGAATCCTGATCAATAAATTTTATATTAATTAAAAAAATAGCGGTATTAGGAAATTTAATCAAAATTAATCAAAATTTTAATATTTAGTTGTTTCCAATATGAAAGAAAACAATTAAAAATTATAAAATACTTTAAAAAAATTTATTTTGATATTTTTTAGACTTTTTATATATAATGATTAAAAACAAATAATTAATATTTTTTCTTAACTATTTCTAAAAAAATGTTTTATACAAATAAATAAATTTCGAATTGTAATTGCTAAATTTCAAATAGATTTAAAATTATATCAATTGTTTTATGTAAGATACTCATATTAATGATAATTGTTTAAAATTTTATCAATTTTTGTAAATGAAGAGCTATGTAAAATATATTTTATAATTCGAGTTTTTCTTAGTTTTAAAATAATTCTGGTAGTTTAATACAGATAAAGAATAATTAATTAGCCTAATTATGAAGAAAAACTATCTTTTAATAGAAAATTTAGAGAATAATTATTTTATAAATTTTTTTAAACTATTACAAAAAATTGATTTTGTTGAATTTTCAATACAGAATTAAAGTTAAGTTTAACATAATTAATAAGCGTTTGTCGATAGCTAATTAATTTATGCTTTTATAAACTGAGTATCGAGAAAATTATTTTTATGTTTTATGAATTAGATTAGTTTTGGAATAAATGAGAATATATTTTAATTAATTTAAAAAATGAAGATTGTATTACTTTAAAGAATAAAAAAGTTATGATTGAAAAATAATAATTAAAGTTCAATTTATGGCATAATAAAATGAATAGTTATTTTGTATCAAAGTTTAAGCCAGATTAAATTATTTCTTTCATTATAAAATAATATCAGAAAATAAAAATTCTTGCAATAAAAAATAGACACTATGAGTGAAGTAAAAATAATAAATATGGATTTGTAAGAATTACAATAATAGAAATATGTCTGAATTATGTTTGAACCTTTAATTTTAGAAAGGATAAGAATTATTAACAAAAAATAAAGTGCAAATTATTTTTGTTTTTTGGGGTAAAATATAGTTCCCTCAGCCCAGAGTGAATATTTGAAAAAGGAGACTATTAATATTTTTCAGAAGACTAAAAAAAACAAAGATATATTAATATAAAGAAAAAACAAAAATCACTACAAATGGTAAATTTATACTTCTTGTGAAAATCCTTTTTTATTCTTAATATTTTTCCTGTATCATAAAGGGTAAACAACCTGCTGCTGGTCAAAAGAAGACAAAGGAAGCTATTGCTAAGGCCGCTCAAGCCAAGAAGGGTGGTAAGAAGGTAAAAAATTAGCTCATACTCATTTTTCAATGATGCAAATTGCCATTTATTAATTATCATAGCTTGATTGATGATGTCAATATTTGGCATCAATTTTTTTAGAATAGCAATTCAACTCTTCAAGCAATACACTTTAAAATGGAATTGATGCATTAATTTCACAAATTATATAAATATGGACAATTTTAAAACATTTTTTATTAACTCTTCAATAGAAATGGACCAAGGGTAAGGCTAAAGATAAAGTTAACCACGCTGTCTTCATTGAAAAGAAGAACGTCGAAAGTATCATTAACAACCCCTCCAAGGTCGGTAAGGTCTTAACCGTCTCTACCGTCGTCGAAAAGCTAAAAGTTAATGGGTAAATAAATTTATTATTTTACAGATTTAATCAATCAATCAATCATTTTTTATGGGGTTCTTTGAAAATGATGTAAACTTCTCGAATGAATTAACCATCACAAAAGTTTCTATCTTATCTTTGTTAAGAAGCTTTAGCAGTCTCTTAACTAAAATAATGGTCATTGAAATTACTAGATTGTGATTTTTAGTAGGGTATTAAGTTATAAAAGTTGAATTAAGCAGCATGTAAATCTATATAAAACAGATATATTATTAAGGAGAAAGGAATATATATTTTCTTTACTCAAATTATGCCATATTTCAATCAATATAAATTAAATTTTGGAGAAAATAAATAAAAATAAGCTGCATATCAATCAATCAATCAATTTATATTATGGAAAAATAAGTTTTAACAACTCAATAAACTCAATAGTAAAAAATAGCTAGATGCTCTCTCAATATCTCTCCCTATATATCTTATTATTACAAACAAACTGTTTGTTGGTAGTTAAATTGAGTGAGAAAAATTAACTGATGAATTAAAAATTCATTCTTACATTTAATGAACTTAATAGACCTTTAAGTTGCAACAAGTAGAATAAGTGCAAGAAAAAATATTATTGTGTCTTTTTTTATTTTATTTAACGATAGAACTTTAATAAAGAGTTAAATATTTATTTTTAAACATACCCATAAGTTATTTACTTATGAACAAGGCTTAAAGAAAAGATATAATTGTTTGTGATGGTTGATTTAGAAGAATCTCAACAAAAAATGTTAGAGAAAAATGATTTAATTTCAATTAATAGGAGTTTCCTTTTATTAATTTAATTTTTTAATAATTTTAAAGTTCTCTCGCTAGACAATTAATGAGAACTATGGCTGATAGAAAGCTCGTCGAAAAGGTCGCTAAGAACGGTAACCAATGGGTCTACTCCGTTATTGGTGGTGTTAAGGAAGATAAGACTGCTGCTCCCGCTGCTGCTGGTGGTAAGAAGCAACAACAATCTAAAAAGGGTGCTGCTGCCGATAAGGAAGAAGTCTAAGCTTGATAATAATAAACATATATACAAAATTACTTTTAAAAATTTAATATAAAATGACTGTTTTATATGTTTGATTGTTAGTTATTATCAATCTATTTAAATTATATTTTAGACTAATACATCAAACTGCTAATTCATCTTCTTATTTTTTTTCATTGATAAATAATAAGTAAATAAATATGCTTTATATGCATTAAATAATTTATCATTTATTCAATCATTCTCTGATTGTTTAAAAAAAAAAGATATTTAACATTAACTAAAGACAACTTTATCACAAATAAACAAACAAGAGTTTGATTTATCTTTATTTTAACTTTTTATCATCATAAGGAAAAAATTCCCTAAAAATTTCTTTTTTTTCTTAATTAAATTGATAAATTTAACCTCTATTAATTTCGTAAATAATATACATCAACCTTTACCTCTAATTTTCACAGCTTTAAAATACTCAAAATCTTAAATTAAATATAAATAAATGAATGAATTAATCAATTATGCTTGAAAAAAACATTATGTTTCAAAGAATAATTTTATTAAAAATTAATAAGAAAAAAAATAAAATATTTTAAAAATAAGAAAATTCATTTTAACACCTTACCTTATCTTTACATTAATTAAATTTTCAAATGATTACTTAGTTTTATAATTCAAAAACAATACCTTATACGATTCCTAAAAAAACTTTCTAAAAAAAAGCTAAAAAATTTTTGTATTAAATAATTTTACCTTTTACTATGAATTTGATTTTAAAAATATTATATTTTCAAAATTGTATTTTTAAATATATTTTTTTAGGAGATTTTATTTGCAATAATCTAGTTACATTAATGAAAAATTTACCTCTAAAATAATTAAAAATAAATCTATTAAATTAAATTTCTTTGAATTTCTAATTATTTATTTTTTTTTAATTAAAGATAATTCATAAATTAAAAAAGTAAGGTTTTTAGTATTTGTTTTCTAAAAATTGAAAAAATTTAATTTAAGAAAATATATTTATTTTAAATACTTTAGTCAGTTATCAAATTTATTATTTTTTAATTATTTAAGCTCTATCTGATTATATATTTTTAATAATAAAGTTTTGAGAATAAAATTGCAAAGTATAAAACTTTTGAATAAACAAATCAGTTCTGAAAATTCTATTTTGTCTATGTGAAATATTTTAATAGGAGAGGAGGTATTTTGGTTTTTTTTTTTTTCAGCATTAATTTATCAAAATAATAATTTTAATTAAATACAAAATTGATTGAGTATTTAATAGAAAACAGTTATAAATAATAAATAAATTAACTAAAGAAATTTAGGTTATTTCAAATTTTAAATTAAGCTAACCTTTCCATATCTTATATTTTTTTTGATTGCCTTTTTTTTGGAGAAGTTAATACAATTGTTTTATGTATTTTCTTTTTTGGCTTGAAAACTGGTTTCTTTTTATTTAGTCTTAATAAGACATTGTTGTAATTGTAATAAGGGAAATATTTTTCAAATAGTTTAAGTCTATCAAAATCATAAATAAATAGTTCAGTTTGTGCTTAGTTACTCTCAACAATATCCTGATAAGTTTCATGGTAGAAACCTACTTATTAATTGCTTGGCTTGCTTGAATTTTAAATTATTTCTGAATTTTTTCTAGAGCTTTTGACTCTGCTTTAAAGAGATCTCTATTAGCTTAACTATTTAGAATTTCTTTTAGTTGGAGGATAAAAAGAGTCACCTCTTTCTCTTCTAAAGCTAAGGTTTCTTGAAGATGCTTAATTTATTTGGCTTAAATTGACTTAAGGGGATGCATCATTTAAAGGAACTTCAATATTTTGCGAAGTTTTTTTGGCAAATAAGCTTACTTTTTGCTATGAAGTAATTGGTTAAGATTAAAATTACACTTATTGCTAACCTTAATTGATATTCATTATATTTTCTTTGCTAGAAGATGCTGTAATCTAAATTTAAACTTATTGCAATTACTGTGGTTACAGTTGCTATAATGAAGATGAGTAAGAAGATGAACCTATCATATTATCTCCAGATTCATTTTAAATAGCTAAGTAATGATCTTCCTCTTACTTTTTATTTTAAATGTTATCACTTTCTTCTTCATCTTCAACACATTGATCATCGTGCACCATAGTTTCATATCCATCATAAATATTATATTCTTCAATTTCAGCTTCCATATCACCTCCATCCATTATTTTGACTGTGGGCATTTTGTTGAAAAAAAATTTATCAGATCGATCTTAAAAATTTTATTCATTTTCTCTCAATTCTGGAATGATCATAAAAACTAATGACATTCTGTACTATTTCAATTTTTATCTTATCAGCTCATTTTAAATTAGACAGTTAATTTATTTTCCTCTTCTTTGCGTTGAATGTTGCTTTCTTATTTAAGGCTCTCCTCCACTATTATATTTATGTAAAAAGATACCTTTTTATATGTTAAGCGAAATAAGAGGACAACTGTATGTAATGTGATCGTATTTTTAGCACGAAGCACACTTTGTATCTAACGTGTTACTGTTAAAAATAATATCATCTTTAATCTCGCAATATCGTTCATAATCTTTAGGGTAATTTTACAGTATTTTTTTAAAATCATCCATTTCAAAGAAGACCACAGTGCAATTTTAGTTTTTCTAGCACTTTGCACTGTTTGATCTCTCAGAACCAATAAAAGCACTCCTAAGACCTATTTCATCGCCTTTTCATAATTTAAAAAAATTAATTTGAGCTATTTCAACTTGTAATTTGTAGTATAAAGTTACAGTCAAAAAAATTATAATCAGAAATATTGATTTAGATAAAAAAACCACAATAAAAAAAATAAATCCATTAGAAGAGGAAAAATAAATTATAAAAAATTATAGAAATACCTTCTTTTGAAATCTAATCGATACAAGCAGCAATTTAAGCTTCTTTTCCTTCAAACACAATATCAATCTTTCCACTCACTAAAAAATAAACTAATTATTCGCTATTTCCTTTATGGAAGAGATATTCATTAGGAGCAAGGTTCTTTTCTTTCATACAATTTGATAAAGCTTTAAGCACATTCTCGCTAAAGTTAAGTTTCATAATTTTATTTTAAAAAAGGTATCTACCATAGTATTTAATACATATTTCTTCAACCAATGTTTAAGGCAAATCTTAAAACAAAATTTGAGGATTTTAATCCTTTTTTTTCTGGTATTGAAATGCATATTCCAAATAATTTAAGACCTTTTAAAATAATTAATTAAATAATTATCAAAGTTACACATTTTCTATCATGCAAAAGTTAGTGGTATTTTACTACTCACAATGATGTTTTTAAATTTTTGAAATTCAATTTTACAATAAAATATTATTAAAAAATTATTTTACCTTTATTTTGGTATTTGAGTCAATTTTGCGGTCATCCATAAATAAATTAATTTCTTGTTTTCTCTTTGAAAATTACTCTTATTTTTGTGCTTGCTAATTATAAAGCTAGCCAATAGTATTTACTACGTAACCAAAAATAGCAGAAGATAATAAAGTCATAAAAATAACATAAATTCTTTCATAGTTAGTTACTGGAACGACGTCTCCATAACCAACTGTCATCATAGTGATAAAAGCAAAATAAATACATATTATATATCTACTTCCCCATGGTGCATCTGTCATATGCTAAGCTGAAAGCCAACTGTTACTTGTAAGGTTTTCTTCTATTTCTAGTCTCGCTACGTAATGAAAAGTACAACCAGCAATTTAAGCTATCAGACACATTTTGAATAATAAATTTACCAAAGTAAAAGTTATAGGAAATTTACGTATAATTTAAAAGTGATTATCAGCTCTCTTAATGATATTGTTTATTTCAAAAAACTTTAAGAAAGCAACATATTGAAACATTTGTAATCGTATTGAGAAAAAAACAATTAAATCAAAAATCAAATAATATTTAACAAAATTAAGTAAGATTAGTTTACGACTAGTAATCATCCTTCCTTTAAAATAATAGCTTTTATTTAGAGTAAGGAAAAAATTGACCACTAAAATTATAAAAACTACTAATTCGAATAAGTCAAAAGAAATATTAAAGCTAAGCTGAATAGGTACTATAAAAAGATATGCCAACAATGTAATGCCATAAATTAAATCACAGATAACACAAAAACGAGATTCAGGATTCAGAGGTTGTACAGAGTCTAATTTTTCTTTGATATTTAACATAAAAGCAACAAAAAGCTAAATTATCTTTTATCTTTAGCCAATATTCTCTTCTGCTTTCTTTTCAACAAAAAATGCAGACTTATCATTAATTATATCGTAATGTTTCTTTGTTAACTGTCTTAAATTATATTTACTTGAAAGAGATTTTATTTTGTTCATAAATTTTCTTGTAAACTGAGATACCTTCATTCTTGTAAAGAAATTTAATCCTGGAGGTGTTATCCTTGAGGATGACCTCACACTTTTAGGGAGTTCTTTTAACGATTCTCTAGCCTTCTATTTTTCTGTAAAAAGAGTTATATGTTAAAATTTAGAGTTATTAATAAGGGTTTATTTTTATATTGGGCTTTATTCTGTATTTTCTAGTCTCCTGGACTCCTTTTCTTGCAAATCATATGTATTTTACATGTTTTCCCCAATAATTTCTTAACTTGCAATATCTTATACAGTCTAAGTTTGTTTTATTAATTCATTCTTTTTTATTGTATGTATTTGCAAAGAAGTATATTTGTTTTACAGTTAATTTCTGAAGCTATAATCTTTATTTTATTCATATAACACGTTAATCTAGCTTTTATCTTTAACACCATCAACATACATTTGAGAAGTATCTATTTCATTTACATTTCTTGAGTTTGATAAAATTGAAGGGTCTTAAATAATATCATTTTCATCTTTGCCTTTTAAATTGCTTATCATCCTTAACTCTTCATTTAAACAAAACATATTTTATCTTTGATTAGCTCCGTTATAGTGCTTAGAGGAACTACATTCTAAATTGTTTTCCATCTTAAATCTATTGAAGCTTGATGTTCTTGATATATTATTAGATAGATCGCTATTCTTTGCCTCAATAGTTAGATCCATTAAATCAATTACTTAGAAAACAACTGAGTTTAAGTATAATCAAATTTATTTATTTATACTTTTTGTTTTACAAATAATTAAAAAGTAATTTAAATAATTTGTAGTTTCTTTTTAATTTTTTTCAAATCTAATAGACCTTCTTTTAATGGTGGAAAACACTTTAAATTTACAAAAACTTTTATGTATCATCTGTAAAACTAGTAAGATTAATTTAAATAACTATCATTAATTATTTCACAAATAAAAATATACAATAATCCATTCATATTTCTATTGATAAAAATCAGTATTTCGTTAAGCTTACACTTAATTAATTTTAATAATTTCCGAATTTGTTCACCTCATTATAATTGGCTATGGATATTCAATTTATGAATGATTTATATATTTTATTATAAAAACCAGATTTATTAATGTTTTTTAAGCAAATTTTATCTAAAAATAATAAGAAATTAGCAATATTATAATAATTAAAGTAATTTGGAATTTTTACATTAAATTGAATAAGTAGCTTTCATTTTTTTAATATTGAAATTATCAACCATAAAATTTTTAATAGATTTCTGATTAATTATTTGCTTACTAAATATTGCAAGTACGAAATAGTTTTATTATTTAAAATGTTATTTTTTAAAATTGTAATTTAAATGTTGAATCAAGTTATATACTAAAATTAAATATTTATCTTTTGGGGTAATTTTAATTAATTAATTCAACCATTATTTATTTATTATTATATTTCTATTAAACAAAAATTAGTTAGTTATTAAGCAATTATAACATTAAAAATGTTATTAAATTATATTTTTCATATTTTCAAATTATAAAAAATCTAATAAAATTAAATATTATCTTTTTTTGAAATAAATTAAAAAATATTTTATTAAATGGTTTTGTATATAAATTTATATTCTACCACTTCTGATTAAATAAGGTCCATTTTCTCTTAGAAATTTTGATAAAAAATGCCTTTTATTTTTTGAATGAAAAATATTTCCGTTTAATATCTTTAACCCTTAATTAGCGAGGATTGATAGTATTTATGTTAGATCAGTTTATTTCTCTGTCAAATAATATTTAAATTCTAAAATTAACAAATAATTTTAATTTAATCATTATTTAATTAGAAAATTAATTATTTAAGCTTATTTATTTAGTTTGTCAATAAATAAAAGATAATTTTTTTAATTTAAATTTAGAATATAAAATACAAACAAGCTAATTAGCGTTAAATTAATATTTAGGAAAACTAATTAAATACAAAAAAACAAAATTATTATTTAAAATATTAAGCTTTTAGAATAAAATTTTTTAATTAAAAACAAATCAAATTATTTTTAAATTAGTTATAATTCAAAATAAATTAGTGTTTAAAACAAAATATTCTCTCAATTTTTCTTGGTGGTAGTGGTAGTTTTAGTTATTCTAGCAGGAGGTTTCTTTTTATTGTCTGTGCCTTCAGTAGCTGAAGGTGTTTTTGCTGTTTTTGTTTTAGTGGTAGCTGTTTTTGAAGAAGTAGTGGCTTTTTCATCTTTTGTAGCTGTCTTCTACTTAGGCTATGACAATCTGTCAAAAGCAGAAACTTTGGTTTTTTTCTTAACTTCCTTCTTCTCTTCTTAATGCTCTTCATCATGCTCTGTGTTTAAAGTTTCAAAATTTTCTTCAGTTTCGATTCTTTCATTTTCTTCAGTTACAACATTACCATTATCTTATTCTTCTTAAGCCTTTTATTCTTCTTCATCTATATGTTCATTAGACTCTTAGTGTTTTTAAGGAGAATCATCTTATTAGGCCTATTCCTTTTATTAGTCATCTTAATTTAATACTTACTAATTATTATTTTCATGATCATCTTTTTATTCAATTTCCTTTTAACTATCTGAATCCTAAGGTTGTGACTCTTCTTATTTTTAAATTTAATTTGATGATTCTTCATCATTTTTAACAATAGTATTTTCTTATTCTTATTCATTGTCTTATTCTTTTAATTAAGTATTTTCTTGATTTTTATCCTAATCTCCTGAAATTTCTTGAGATTGAGTAGTTTATTCGTCAATTTATTCTTTCTATTCTACAACTTATTGGATAATTTCTTCTTTTTGCTACAATTCTTCATTTTATTCAATAATTTATTCATTTTATTCAGTTTTTACTTCATTTTTTTCAATAACTTTTTCTTCATCTACCTTTTCATTTTATTCTTCAATTTCTTCTTTCTACTCAACTACTTCTTCTTTCTATTCAATAATTTATTCTTTTTATTCAGTATTTACTTCATTTTATTCAAAAACTTTTTCTTCATCTACTTTTTCATTTTATTCTGCAATATCTTCTTTCTATTCAGCTACTTCTTCTTTCTATTCAACAACTTCTTCTTTCTATTCTACTATTTCTTCTTTCTATTCAATAATTTATTCTTTTTATTCAGTATTTGCTTCATTTTATTGAACATTTTTTTCTTCATCTACCTTTTCATTTTATTCTGCAATATCTTCTTTCTATTCAGCTACTTCTTCTTTCTATTCAACTATTTCTTCTATTTATTCAATAGCCTCTAATTTTTACTCCGTTACTTCTTCTTTTTAAACAACAATCTCTTCATTCTTTTCAATCACTTCACTATTCTCTTCAATAACCTCATTTTTTTATTCAACTTCTTCTTCTTTTTTTTATTCAATTAAATTTTCTTGCTACTCAGCTATTTCTTCTTTTTAAGGTAGAACTTCTTCTTTTTATTCAACAACTACTTCATTTTGTTAAATAGTTTCTTCTTCTTATTTAATATTTTCTTCTTTTTATTCAGCAACCAATTCATTCTAAAGAACGGTTTCTTCTTATTAGTGATCATTTTCATCTTTTTATTCAACAGCTTTTTCTTTCAATTCAGTTACTTCTTCTTTCTCTTCAACTACATCTTGTTTATCTTCAATAACTTATTCTTTGAGTTGAGATTCTTCTTATTTTTGCTCAACAGTTTCTTGCTACTATTAAGCTATATCTTCTTTTTATTCTACAATTTCTTCTTTCTATTCAGCTAATTCTACTTTTTATTCAATATTAGCTTGTTCTATTTACTTTTCTTAGTTTTCTTGAGATTATGATGGTAATTCTTCATTTTACTAAGTAGTATTTTCAATATTTTATTCTTATTAGAGAGTTTCTTCTTTTTATTGTACTTAATCTTGTTCTTTTTACTAATCTTATACCTAGTTTTATGTGTTTAAATTTTCATGGACTTAGTTAGTTTATTCATTTTCAGACTAGGTAACCTATTCTTTATTTTGATTTGGAGAGAACTATTAAACTTATTGTTTAGCTTATTATTCTTATTCAGAATTATCCTTTCTATCAGATAGGCTTTCATGACTTACATCTTATTTTATATTTGAATCTGATTAGAATTCAAGATCATTAAATTCCATAGCCAACGAATGAGCTTTTTCTAAGGAAGGTTCTATTGTTTATTATTGATTGCTTATTTTCTAGGGAGTGTTTTCATTAACAATTTCCTAAGGAGCAGATTTTTTCTCCTCTTAAATTTTTTCTTCATGTAAATTTTATTTATCTAAGGTTATTTCTTCAGTTTCCTCCTAATAAACTTGCTCATCATTTTAAGGGATTTAATTTTCTTATTGTTATTAATTTATTTCTTACTAGATTTGCTATTATTTAGCTGGAGACTGTTCCTATTATTAAATTTATTATTCCTAATTTACTGGAGTTTCTACATTAGATTTTTGCTATTATTGAACTTAAGTAGCTTCATTTAATTTTGTTTAGTTTTAATTATCTATATTTTTTTATTATAATTCTTAACTTGGAAGAGAAACAGGCTTTAGTTATTTCTCTATTTTAGCAGGACTACTATCTTTATCTTGCTTTACTTCTTACTTTTTTTAAGAGATTGCTTCTTCAGCTGACTTTTGAGACATTGCCTCTTCAGCAGATTTCAGAGAACTTGATGAGGTATTAATTTGGTCTTTAGTGCTCTGTTAACTAATGTTAGTTTTTTATAAATTTTGGTTGTTCTATTAAATTTACTCATTTTAATGAGAATTAACTTGCTAAACTTTTTAAGATGTTTAAACTTGCTACTAGGGTAATTACTACTTTTATTATTTAGCTTATTAGTTTTGGATTTGCTAATTAGTTTATTTATTGGGTAATCCACTCTACTATTATGTTTAATATTATTAGAAATCATTAAAAATGCTATCATCTTCATTTCTCTCAATCTATTTTTACTCTTCCTAGACATCTACAAACCCATCTAAAACTTCTTCCTCCTCTTCCTCTTCTTCTTCCTCCTCCTCTTCTTCTTCCTCTTCCTCTTCTTATTCTTCTTCATCCTCTCCTTCATAATCATCTTCTTCCTCATCTTACTTATATTATTTGGAAGCTTTTGATTAAACTTTTTACCTATTATCAGGCTGTTACTACTGCTTAGCTTAGTTCTTAGGTTTTGATTCATTTTCTAAATAAATATAAATAATTAATTGAAGCTTTAACTTAACATTAAATTTATGTATACCTTGTTTGCTCTAAAGAATAAGCTGAACATCTTATCTTTTAAGTAATTCTTATAAATTCTAAACATAAACTATTTATAATTTAAAGTAATAAAAATCATGTTATTTTTATTATATTTTATAATATACTCATAAATCTCTCATCTTCGATAGCTGAATAATATTCTATAGCTTTTTAGTAAAGTTCTGTTAAACTATTGATATTATAGAGAGAAAGATCATCATCTAATCTAGAGCGGAAGATAGCAATATTGTGTTCTATCTTTTATATATCAGTTCCTTAGTAGGCTTTAATTGTGACATCATCTTCAGCAATTTCAATTTTCTTTTTACTAGATTAAGCTTTTTATTATGGATCATTGAAATTCTAATTTAGCTTTTGAACATTAAATTTGAGGACATCGATGAATTTTTAATGCTCTTTGACTTGTAAAATCATTTAATTCTTTATTTTAAATTTATTAAATGTAAATAAAATTCTAAATTAACAAATGATATACTCCTTCATTGGTTTCAGAGTTAAAATCTAGCTAAAAGACAACAAATTATTGAGCCTCTTAGAGTTTCTTAACAGTGGCAACCTACTACAAATAGAATTACTTATCGAGTTAGACAATACTTTCTTTTTGATTCAAAATGCTAAAGTTCAAAAAATGTGTATCTGTCATTAGAATATATCTATTTTAATTATAAAGCTTTTTATTAATAAATTTAAAATCAATTTAATTTTGATATTTTTACTTTGGCACTAATGTTTTTTAATTTATTTGTTCTTATACCAAGAATGCATTAACGCATTTTATATTTAAGAATAGTTCCAAATCATATTCATCTCCTACTTAAAAGCTACCTAACTAGATAATATATTCTCTGTCATTAGCATTTACAATTACGTTAGACTTATATTTTAAAATAAATGTTATTTTTCATGCCAGTTTGCAAGTAGAATTAAACTAATTTCATTTTTTTCTAGAATTATTTATTTAAAGAAGTTAAATTACTAAAAATTGAGGAATCTATTAGATGATTTTGGCTAATAGAACTGAAGGAGCCCATGGCTAAGTAATTATATCCACAGTTAGATTTCTACCATCCGCAAAAGAGGGATATGTAAACTGTTAAAATATATGAATAGTTAGTTACTAATGCTATTTCTATAGAGATTTAGAAGTTTTACCTAAGTGTTGCAAATAACTTTAGGATGAGTAAATGGGAATTTGGTATCTAGTAAAATATCAAATAAAATTGGCTAAAATCTTTTAAGTTCGCTAAGACTTTAATGATTCAGTAAGCTTTATTCGATTGTTACCTTTAGATAAAAAATATAAAATCAATTTTTAAAAAATAACTAAAGTAATGCTTGGAATTAGATTTGATTGAATGAATATATTACCATAATTTTTAAGCCAAGGCCATATTAAGTAAGTTAAACTCTAAACAATTTCTTGTCTAGCTAATTCAATTGTTCAATTTCTTTTTTTTTATAAATTTGAAAATACTTAATTGGCAATATGAGACTGTGTCTGCACTAATGCTAATTGCTTTTTTATTTAGTAAGTGGCAAATAACTAAATTAATACCTTTGAGAATTCTTTTGACCTATGTGTCATTTTTATATATTTGACTGACAAATTGTTTAATTTACTGCTAGCTCATAACCGACTGATCCCTATGTTGAACTTTGCTTGACTTGACTTTTTTATTATTATTATAATTTATCTAAAATTTAATAATTATTTTTCTAAATTCAAATCTTAAAAAGAAAGCATTGAAAGATAAAATTTTGAAGAGATTCCTCTATATTCTTTCTTTTCTAATTCAAGAAAAGAGAATAGTATAAATTCTTATAGTCTCAAATTCTAATCGTAGCTAGCTTATCATTTCAAAATAACAAGTATATTTTTTTATTTTATAATAATAAGATTCAATCAACTTCTTAATTTTCTCAACTAATTCAAATAAATACTCATTACTCAAACAAAGTTAATATTGAAACAAATACTAAATTAGTAATTTTTTTCTATAAGAAAAGATCTTTGGACTCAATAATGAATAATATTTTCAGCTTATTTTTAATAGAATTGATATCATGATAAAAAAAAATAAAATATTTTAATTTGTTAAATAAATTAATTAGTTATTCATAATATTTGTGATTAAATGGAGTGAATATTTAAAAAATAACTAAAATTAGGTTTTTCAAAATAAATAAGTAAGAATTTTCAAGTAGAATTTAGTGAGAGAAGGAAGAAATAAGATTTCAGAATATTTGTATAACATATATTATTATAAACAGACAAACAGACGACAACTAATTAATTAATTAGAGATAATTCAAAACTAGGATTTTTTGAATATTAAAAATACTAATTAAATACAAAAAAGGATTTATTGATGGGAAATTATCTCTCTTTTTTGCAAATTAAAAAAGAAAAAACAACTGAAATGCCTTTTAAGAATAAGCAGGTTGAAGAAATAGCTAAGAAATTCTTGCTGTCGCCTTAGGACATGATATTTTTTCATTCAGTTTTCAGAAAAATGTGATATTATTTGAGCAATTTGATATAAATTGTGATAATCATTTTGATTAGTATTTCTTAAATTAAGCAGTTTGAAAATACTTATTTACATTAAAATTTTATAGGGATAAGTTAGGTAATGGTTACATTTCTGAAGATAATATGTTTGAGTTTGTATAAGAAGAGAAAACTAGTGTTTTGTCACCTTATATCACCAAACTTTTCTAGCTTATCGAAAAAGAAATACCAGATAGAGTTTGTTTTATAGAATGGGTGCCTGCAATATGCGCATTTTGCCTTTTTACTCATGAACAAATTATCAAATTTGTCTTTTGTATGATTGATGATGATCATGATGAAGTAATTTCTAAAAAAGACATTATAAAATTTCTAGTCAAAGAAAGGTATGGAGAAAAAGTATTTCCTTTTAACTAAGTTAGAGCAATTGAACTTCTTGATGTTGATAGGGCTGATAGAATAAAATTCGAATAATTTAAAAGAATAGAGCAATAAATTCCTTTCCTATGCTATCCAGCTTTTCGTTTATAATAAATTTTCAAAGAATAGATCAAAGGGAATACATTTTGGAAGAAGGTATTTCAGGCTATCTTGTAATAAGTAAACTAAGAAATTATAAAAATTAAAAAATAAAACATTTGAATATAAAATTTTTTAACATTCAATAGGAACAAGAAAGGGAAAAATAAAAGCAGTAAGAAATCATAGATGAACAAGTGAATAAAAAGAAAAAAATAGAGCTTGCTAAAAAAGAATAAAACTTTTAATAACAGTTTTAGAATAAAAAAATAGATTAAAATATTTTCAAGCCTAATTTTTTATAAAATACCAGAATCAGTTTATTAGAAAGGACCTATAAATATCCAAAGAGTAATTCTGTATAAAGAATTTAAACAACTCAAAACTAAGACCTTATTCTTATTGATTACAAAAGCGTGATCAATCAAAGAAGAATGTCAGATGGTATGGTTGATTCTGTTTTCCTCCCATTAAAATCTATGAATAGGCAGGTAAGAGAAGAATCTATGTACTATGGTGATGAAATGAAGAAGCTTGAATTTCCAACACTCGATATGCCTCAGCTAAAAAGAGTAAACTCATAGCTTTATATAAAATAACCATTTACAAACAACCCATACACATTTGATAAAATTGATGAATAAAATATGATTAATCCTAAATCTGTAGATGGTAAAAAACAAAGATTTCCAATATAATCTCTTCAGCCTAATTCTCCAAAAAATTAAGATATGATTAGTCCTAGAATAGATAATTCTAATTTATAAAGCTATTCAAAATAATTATAATAAGGTATATAATAGTAAATTAAAAAAAGAAATAATATACCAAGGTCTTTAAAAAATCCTTAAAATGTAGAGCCTAATTTTAAAAAATAAATTTTAAATTTCAACATGAATTCAAACTTTCTCACTCCAAATCAATAAGATAGATATTAAAATTCTGTTAGTTAGGCTAAATCAAAATGATTAAATTAATCTCATTACTTGAAAAAATGTAGATGCTTTTTATCATAATAGGCTTTAATTATATAATTTCATTAAAATAAAAAGTAGATTATGTTTAAAAAGTATGTCACTCATTTATTAAAAGCTATTCTAAAACCTTTTGAAAATTTTGATTATTGATTTTTTTAATTTATGAAATGATTTGTAAAAGAATATTTTTAAATTAAAATAAAAATTAAATTTATTAGAAAATATATTTGGTTTATTTTATTAAATGTTTTATAAAAATATATTAAAAAACTTCATCTAATTATTAGTTTTAATGTTATAAGTGATTATATTCAGTCAATAAATAAATTTTATCAAAATAAAAATATATTTATCAAAAAAAAGATTTCATTTAATTATTTATTTTTTAAATTTTGAATCAATTTACAACCAAGTATAGAAGTAAAATAAAAATTAAGTTAAATTAAAAAATATTTCATTAATTTAGAAAATTTCAATTAATTCCTTACTTTGAAATTAAAAATCTATTTAAATAATTGAATACATTTTATAAATACTTTATTTTATTAAATGTTTAAAAATATATTAAAAAACTTCATCTAATTATTAGTTTTAATGTTATAAGTGATTAGATTCAGTCAATAAATATATATAATCAAAATAAAAATATATTTATCAAAAAAAAGATTTTAATTATTTATTTTAAAAATTTGAATATATTTGCAATCTAATAAATTGAAGAGAAGTAAAATAAAATTCAAGTTAAATTAAAAATATTTCATAAATTTAGAAAATTTCAATTAATTCTTTATTTTGAAATTAATAATCTATTTATATAATTGAAGAAATTTTATAAATACTTATATGATTTTTTATGAATACTTATTAATGCGAAACAAGTTACCTAATTTCTGAAACAAGATAAACTTAAAAGATTACAATGCACTTAAATAAAATATATTATTTATCTGATAATTAAATAAATATTCATTTGATAAAATCTAGTTGATTGCATTATTTTTTATGATTTTTAAAGCTGATAATAAAATATTTTTTTATTTTTTGCAAATGAAAACTATTAAAAAACAAGAATTTATTTCTGCTATAAATAACTTTATTAGTTTTTTTACAAAATTTTAGAATTACAAGTTTACAATAATTAGTTAGTTAGATATTTATTTGAATTTTTTTACTAATTATGATTTTAAAATTAAAAAAAATATTTTTCATTAACTGCCTGGTTTTATGGTTTCTGATTTTCCTAAAACACCAGGTGGCCATCCCATTTAAGTACCACCTAGAATATGTAAGTGTAAATGGTATACAGACTAACCTAATTAATTGATAATACTAAATTAAATAAAAAAATTAGACAATAAATTTTACATCCTAGTTTTCCATCATTAATCACTACTCTATAACCTTCCTAAAGATTATTTTATTAAGCTATTTCAGCTACTTTTAGCATCAGATGTCCTAAAATATCCTTGTGACGCTCTTCAGCCTTTTTTTAGAGCTAAATTAGATTTTAAACTTTTTTATTAAATTACCTTCTAAAGTTATGTAAGCCCGTCTTTTACCTTAGGAATCAAAAGGATATGAACAGGAGCTTATGGTGAAACATCTTTAAATGCAAGACACTATTTTTTAAAAAATAGACTATTAATAAAACTTTTTATCATTAAATAATAATTTACTTTGTCATCTTCATAAACGATTTAAGCAGGAATTTCTTTTTTAATAATTTTATCAAAAATTGTGAATTGATGATGGTTATGATGATGCGAATTATGATGGCTATGAGAAGAAGAAAAAGGTATTTAAACCAATCTAGATAAACTTTTGAAGCTAGTTTGATTGCTAAAGCTGATAAATTTATTAATCATAACCCTATTTATTGTGTTTATAAAATTTTTAATTTATGTTAAAGTAATTAAAAGAATGTATCCAAATTTTGAAGATTGATCAGATAAAATTTTATTTTTTTGATTTAATAGATAATCTTATAATTAATTAAAATGTGTTTACTCAACATAATCGTTTCTAATAATTATAGCTATTTTAGGTTTTGAAATAGTTATGATACTTACTAATCAATCAATCTTGTTTAATTCTAAAATTCGCACTATTACAAAAATGAACTTTTTTATTAAAATATTACCATATTTATAGATATTTAATTTTCACAAATAAATTGCTTTAAGCTTGTAATTGTGGTTTAAGAGTCTGATGAAGTTAAACCATTACTCTTCATATAAAATGTGATTATTTTTCACTTTGAAATTGACTTTAACAATATGAAATCTGATTTATGTTTTAATTTTAAAAAAATATATATAAATATTCTCAATACAAAAAAATAATGCAAATTTACATTACAAACAGTAAAAAAATAATGCATATATATTCAAGAACTTTCCATTAAAGGAGCTAAGCTTAAAAACTTATTTGAAAACAAATAGTTTAAATATTATACGAAGAATTTTCTCGTAACAAGGAATGAATAACTTAAAAATAAAACTTTTTATTCAAAATAAAGCTTACATTTTTTATGTGATAAAAAAAATAATTTTGATTAATAATTGGAGATAGCCAAATTTAAAAAATAAAAAAAGATTTTGTAGATAATATATACATACATACATTTATGAATATATTTGGATAGAAAAGAATAGAAAATTCTAGTGGAGATAAGCAGATTTTTGTGGGCACCTCCTAGATTCTTGTATAATTAATTTAAAATTAAATTTTCTGAATATTTATAGATTTGTTAAATAATTAAATAAATTTAATAAGATCAATCTTTAGATATTTTACAAACCTAAAAAGTAGAACACAATAGATTATTAATTATTTTAGCTACAAAAACTAGAAGTTTTTAAAAAAAGTATTAAAGCCCAAATTAGTAAATTTAAAAAATGGAAGCAGTTTAATTGTAAAAGCCATAAAAGAAAGTTAAGAAAATAAACTGGAATAACTTTTTGGTAGGCACTTGTCTTAGTTTTGCAACTCAGCCTTTTGAGGTTCTTAGAACTAGTTCTATTATAAACAAAACAAATAACCATGGTACCAATTTCTAAGATTTAGGTAAGCAAATTATCTAAATTTGGAAATCAGAAGGCTATAAGGGTTTTTATAGAGGAGGTGTATTAGCAATTTTGAAGAGCACAATAGGATGTGGTATATTTTTTACAGGCTTAGAAAATATTCGTTATATCTTCAATGCTTAAAATGCAAAAAACCCTTATTTGCAGTAGTTTTTAAATTTCTTAAGTGCTTCTTCTGCTAAGTTAGTAACTTCTATGATTTTGTCTCCAATTAATGTTATGAAAACAAGATTTGAAGTTGTTGGATAAAATGAATATAAATCAATATTATCTACTGTTGCTAAAATTACTAAAGAAGAGGGCTTTATTGGATTTTACAGAGGTATTCTTCCTACATTAATGAGAGACATACCATGGAGTGGTCTTTAATTTGCTATATATAGCTCCATGATTTAATCTTATGACTATGTCTTTTAGTAACGTGCCTAAGATAATACTTCATATGTTTTTTTTGTTGGTGCTGTTTCAAGTGGCCTTTCCCTGCTTATGGTTTATCCTTTCGACAACATTCGTGTTAGATATCAAGGAAAGAAACTAGAGACTCGTTCTATGGGAACTTTAATGAAATAAGTATACACAGAGCAAGGATTTTTTGGTTTTTATAAAGGATATCTCCCACGTCTATTGAAAAAATGTACAAGTGGAGCCCTAACCTGGACTCTTTATGAATAGTTAAATAAAAGAAGAGTTGACTCCTTAAAATTGCACTGAAAAAAATCATCAATATTTTAATAATGCATAAAAACTAAAAATAAGTAAATAAGATACAAACAAACAATCAAATAAATGAATGAATAAAATAATAAATTACTACTTTCTTATTTTAAACTAAAAATGAATCAATAGATTGATTAACTAATAAATTAATTATAGATGAAATACAAGAATAAATTTATTTAATTGATATATAAATAACTAAATAAATAAATAAATGTATACATTATACAATTTCAAATATATTAACAATTAATAAGTTTATTATAAAATATAAATATAATTAAAGACTATATAAATTTATATCATATCTTTTAATGAATGTGAGTATAATATTTCTTCTCCTGCCTTTAATTTTATAATATAGCAAAAATTCTAAAGATGAATAATTTTGAAATAAGCTATTTTAGTATTATAAATCTTAGACATAAAATTGATTAAATTATCTTGTTGCTTTCTCAAACTATAAATAAATACTTGTCTGATTCTAAAACTTTATAAAATATATAAACTATTATAATTTCATTTTTAAGATTAGTAAGTGGACTAAGATTATTTTTTCTCGCTATTTAAAAGAAATTCCTTTTTTAATAAAATATATTTTTAATAAAGTTAAATTTCAATTCAACAAATCAATCAAAAATGAACTAAAAAAATAACCATTCATTATAAAAATTTTTTAAAATTAATGATGAATCATCTACATAATTTTTTATAAATAAAAAGATAGTTTAACTTAGTTATTTATTTGTAATATTGAAGTTATTTCAATTTATGTTTTAGCTTTTTTTTAATTTTCATTCATTTTAATTTTAAGTTATTTGGATTTATTTCATTTTTTTTATATCTGATGCTATTCTTAATCATTTAGTTAAGTTAATTTTTTTAAATTTAGAAAAGCTAAATTTATTTATTAAGTTTAATAAATCATATTTGATGCAGCTTTTTTGTTTCTTAAAAATACTATTTGAATTTAGTTAAAAATTAATAATAAATAAATATGGCTGATCTCTCTAAAGCGGTTTATTTAATTTTTATTTTTTCATTTTTTAATCTTAATAAAATTTATAAAAATTACCTTAAGCTTTTGCTTTGAATCATTAAATTAATATAATTGTTTAGAAGATAGATCTATTTCTCTTTATAGCTGAAGGTGTAAATTTTCTAGGCTATTAGAGTTTTTTATAGAGTGCTGAAGATTGCTTATTTCATTAAATATCTCATTGTTTTATTTCTTTAGATTATCATTTTCCTTGCCAAATTCAGTAAGTCTTTCTACTAGCCACATATTATCTCCCTCAAATTTTTAAAAGAGATATGCTATAAATAATAATAAATTGAGTCTTTCATCTTGAATAATAGTCTAATTGCTTTTTTTTTAGAACTCATCATAAGCCTCCTTATATTTGGTTACATAAATATTAAATTCATCCTTAAAAGTCTTGCTAAAATGATTGAGTTCAAGAGACTGTTTATTCAAATTGTTTATTTAAATATTAAGATCATCAATTCTTTTATGGAAAATTTCAGAAGATAAATTATTTTAAGAAGTTTTAATTTAAACTGATTTTTCATGCAAATCCCTTTCTAAGCTTTATATTTTCTGCCTTTAATCTTCTATCAATTACTAGTAATCTGAAATTTTAATACACTGGGATTCAATTTGTATTTCTAGTCTGTCAATATTCTTTTTTTTCTCATTTAGCTATAATGCAAGAGATTCATTTTCAGATGAAAGAGTTTTCACCTTTTCCAAAAGTTCAAAATTTTCTATTTGCTGTTTTTAAAGAGATCTCTGGCTTTGTATCTCAAAATCTATATTTATTTTTTTTAATTGCTATTATTAATTATTTATAATCTCGTTTTACTAATTTATATGTTTCTCATTCTAAACTATATAGTTATCGAGGTCGTATAAAGCTCTAACCATATTTTAAGTAATTTTATCGAAAGAGTAAATATTTTTATTAATGTAAGGCTCTTTTAGCTACAACTGATGCTACTTTTACTGTTAAGATACCAAAATTTTAGAAGTTATTTCATTGAATTCTGATATTTTATGAGAAAAATTTTAATACTACGATCCTGAATAATTAATTGTTTAAAACACATCTAAAAACAGACCAATTGTTTCCATTACAGAATCTAGTAGTTACTAACAAAATTTTTCTGATTACTGCTACTAAGAGTTTTATAAATTTTGGTTTGTTAATTAATTTTAATTATTGAACAGTGAGTTAACATCTGAATTAGAGTTTTAGAGCATGTTCGCTTTTTGCAAAGATATTTATTTCAACATTTCATATTTTTAGATTAGATCTTATGGGCATGCATTATAGAGAAGTTCTTCTGCTACTTTTAAAATGTATTTATAGTGTTCCATAAATTTTCCAAATTATTTAAATTCTTATTTCTTTATAAAAGTTATATAAATGGCTAAGGTAGTGTAAGCACCTAAAATAAATAGCTTAATTTTAATGTGAAATAGCTTTGATTTGAAATATTAAAATATCAAATTTTATTAAATCTTTTTGAATTAAAATAATCTTAACCAAAGAATAAACAAACAACTTAGTTAGTTAATTTTCAAATAATAATCAAATTTTCTTAATAAAAATTAACAACCATATTTTTTTTTGTAAATCATTTAGCTAGCTTATTTCAATGCCATTAATTTGATTACAAATAAATATATATAATTATAATATAAAAGTAATTTAAAAGCATATATGTATTTATTTATTTAATCAATTAAAAATAATAATTAATTAGTTAATATATATTTTTCTTTTTTCTTCATGATTTGGCATTTTTTTTTTTTAGATATTCAATTATTTATATGAATTTATATAATAATAAATTTATATTTTCAATTTATTATATAAATAAATATTTTTAAATTTTAGAAAAACAAATCAATTTTTATTTTGTTAATAAACTGTACATTTGGAATGTTTAAGTAAAATTAAATTACTGCTTTTTCTTCTCATGTTTGTTTAGCTTAAATACTTTAGTCCTTTGACATTTTTATTTAACTATAATTGTTTAACTAAGAGTTAATATTCGCGGTATTTGTTATTAATTAGATAAAACACTTTAATTTGTATTGCCTAAAATAATTTAATCAAAATTTCAATAAAATATTTTAAAAACAAATGTAAAAAGTTAATATCCTTTTGAATAACTCTAATGAAATTATTTTTTTAATTTCAAGTGTTATTAAATATAATAAAATATTTACAATACGATTAAATTATCTAATCAAAAAAAACATTTAAATGAAAATAAATTTTAAATTAAACAAAATTTTTATTTTATTTACATTTTTGTTAACTACCAGTCTGTCTATAGCTTTTAAATTAATTCACTAGTGTAGTTAGGTAAAACTCGTATTCTCCATTATTTTTTAAACTTCGTCTTGATTATTTATGGAAATAGCTAATTATCAAGAGTAGAACACCTCTAGATCCTTTGCAAACACTACTTTATAATTTATAAATAACTATTCTTTAATAAGATGGATAATAAATAAATGATTCTACTAAATTCTTATTAATAACTAGATGCTTTTGGGAATAATAAATAAGAAATATTTTTAAGTTTTAAATTTTATTATGAGAATAAATTATAATTTCTGATAAAATAATAATATAATTTAAAAAAAAGAATTATTATAATTTACAGAGAAGTATTTTAAAAATGGCACACAGATGCTTTTTGTTCAAACAACATTTTGATGTTAAAGGTAAAATGATTTAAGGTCTAGAGAAAGCAAGAGATAAAGATATTTTAAAGCAAAAATGAATGAAAAAGCATGTATAAAAAAAAAAATAATTAAAAATAAATGGCAAAGCAATACAAAATATAGTGGGCAAATTAAAAATCAAACAAAAATTGCAAAAGAAGAAATGAAAAAAAGGGCTTAAATAAAGGAAAAGTTAAAAATAAAAGGAAAGGAGAATAGATGTGAAAAAAGAGCTTGAGAGAAGGCGAAATTTAATTAAATAATATTAAGAAAATATAAAATAAAAGAAAAAAAAAAGTATGTAGGTTTAGGTTAAAACCTTAGAAGGTGAGACCAAGATCTATACCTTAGAGCAAGGTACTAGCGTCTTGGACTTAAAAAGCTAAATTTCCTAGGATATGGGATTTGAAATCGACATGATGACTTTGGTTAACAACGGTTTCATCGCTCCCAACACCGAATTGGTTACTGACGATGTCACCTATTATCTTTCCCTTAAGTTATTGGGTGGTAAGAAGAAGAAGAAAAAAAAATCTTACACCACCAAGAAGAAAACCAAACATAGACACGTCCATACCAAGTTAGGTGCTCTTGCTTTCTACAAGCTTGAAAACAACGGTAAGGTCTCTTTGTAACAAAAGGGTTGTCCCAAGTGCGGTCCTGGTATCTTCATGGCCAAGCATTACGATAGACATTACTGCGGTAAATGCCATCTTACCTTGAAGATCGATGCTGAAACTGCTAAGAAGAACTTAGAAGAATTAAAGAAAAAGCAAGATGCTAAGAAATCTGGTGCTGCTGCTACCGATGCTGGTGCCGGTGGTGCAGGTAAGAAGGACGCTAAGAAGGGAAAGAAGGGTAAAAAATGAACGAACTGATTATTTATATAATTAAAATAAGATAATAATAAACTAGTTCTTAATTACTTTTGCTTCGCTTAATATATTTACAAGATTTGTATGTTAAACTTCATATTTAATACAAATCTATTATTTAAACTAATATAGTATTAGACTAGGTTTTTATTTGCCTTTTGATATAATCAATTACTTAATTCATTCATTCATATTTTTAAACTCAATTTTGCTAAAATATTTTTCAAATCTATTTCCTACTTATTTCACCAAAAATCAACAGTATCCTAAATATCTTACTAGCTAGCTAGCAAGCAAACAAATAACTAACTAAGTGCACATTTTTTGAAACTAGATAAAATTTTAACTTTATATTTTATAATTTAAATATTTGGGATTTTATTATTGATTTTTTTTTTTTTGGCAAAACGAACCTCCTAAAATTTGCATATTTTTCAACAACCATCAAAAATGCTCAACAATTTTTTAAAGATCTATTTATTACCAGCACTTCAAACTATTTATTTTTATTTAAGCAGGAGGATTAAATGTGCAATTGTGGCATTTTATTATAAAAATTTGATATATTTTATATTTAGTATGGCTGCAAGATTATTTTACAAATTAATTAGAAACCAAGAATACAAAAATAAGTTTTTAACATAAGATATGCATTTCAGAATATAAAATTGTTGAGTACATATATATTAATTATTAACAAATGAAAAATATCCCTGATAAATTATTATCAATCATTTATAACATCAAGAACATATAAAATAAAATAAATTTTAATATTAACAAATTATATAAACCAACCACTTTAATTTAACATTGTAAGATATTTATAAAATTAACCAACCATGCATGTTTACCTTTTGATTATTTAAAATTATCAAATTATATTAACATTGCCTATCTCCTCCCTATGAAATATGCTAAATATATAACTCAAGCTTAATTCAAAAGTATTTATCTTATTTTTACAAATTTAAATAGTTCAAAATTTTAAATTATTTATTGTAAATAATTTCTAAAAATCTTTCATTTTCGTGTAGTAGATTGTAAAATTTTAAGATATTTAATTTTATCTATAAAAGAAATGGTTCGTATTTTCTGTTTGTTTGTGAGACTAGATATTAAATATTTATATATTTTTGTTAATATTTAAATATTTTAAGATATGCCAAATTCTCTCAAATCTAAAAATTTTTTATTTTTAAGAAAAATATTTAATAAAAAAGAAACAACAAAGCAAATACTTTTTAGTAAAATAAATCATTTAGAAAAATGTCAGAAATAAAAGTTTAATTTGGTGACGTTAATGAAAAAAATTATGAATTGTTAAGAACTTTGAATTCTGTAACATTCCCAGTTTAGTACACTTTATCATTTTACAATAAGGTGTTGACTTATAACAAATACTCAAGGTTAGGTAAATAGCAGACATATTCATACATGAAATATTTCAAATTATTAACTTCTACCAAGAAAATTAGCAAAATATTCATATTATTAATTAAGCAAAATACCATTAATAATATTTCATTATTAACTCAATTCAAAATACTTATTCATATATTTAAAAACCGTTTTTATAATGATTATATCAATTTATTTTAATTATTTCTAGCTTTTTATAATGATATTCTTGTTGGAGCTATGACATGCAGACAAGAAGAAAAGGATGGATAATAAAGTCTTTATATTTTAACTATTGGAGTATTAGATGCCTATAGAAAGCATAAAATTGGTAATATATTCATTTTTATATAAACAATTAAAAGATATGTTTTTTTATAATTAAACTAATCCATAATTAATAAAATTATTATAGGATCACAATTGATGGACGAATTATTAAAATTAGTTAAACAAGATCCAGAAATTAAGTTTATTTATTTACACATGTAAGTGAACAACGAAGTTGGTCTATAGTTTTACAAAAGATTTGGATTTGAAATTGCAGAAACTATAGATAATTATTACACTGATATTAGTCCTAAAGCCTGTTATATTTTGAAAAAGATGCTTTGATTGGCATTATTGAGCACTTTTAAATATAATAAAGCATTTTAGAACTTCAAATAGAATTAATTAACAAAATGTGAACATTTTTAAAAACATAATTGGATAAAAAGATAAAAATTATTTAAATTTATTGTTTATCTGTATTTCATTTTCTTATATATAATACAATCTTTATACATCATGTCTAAAAATACAATTAGAAGAGAATTAACTAACTTCAAGCACATTATTTTGCTATATTTAGTTGTACTTTAGGTTAAAAATTCAATGCATATTTTAACATACTAAATAAAGATAAAAGTTTTATCTAAACTTCTATAAACATCTAATAAATATGTGAAATTTAATAAAAATATATTTAAAAAGGTAAAAATTTATAATCACTTTATTTTATGATTGGGTTATTCGAAATGAAACCTAATCATGCAAGAATAATAAAAAATATTATTTTTATTCTAGTTTTCTATTTTTTTAAATCAGCATTTTACAGTTTTTAAAAAATATGTTTACTGAGTAGACTTCAATTAAAGGAAAATAAATAAAGTTAATATATTTAAATTTTTTTGTGGCTATTTTTTTAATCTAGTGATGATTTATTAACAATTAAAATAACCAACAATGATAATATCGTATTATTATATTAACTAAAAATTTATTTGGTTGTTGTGACTTAATTTAAAAAATATTTAGTCTGTTAGGAGTTTTGATAATAATTTTACAAAAATTTGTTTTTGTTAAGTATTTTTAATGGTTTTTACTTATGATTTTAACTTGTATTCAAAGATTCTTTAATGTAATTTAAATAAATGAAATAAAGTTTTTAATTGTTAAGCTGACTTTTTTTTTATTATCTGTGGAGTATATTTTTAGGCTTTATTATTTTACAAATTAAGATCAAACATAAGTACTTAATTGTAATAAATAAATTGTGGGTATTGACTTTATTTATCAGTCTTAAATGTTGTTTAATAAAATAAAAAAATTAAGATAACAAACCTAAATTGATTTAGTTTTTACTCACTTTTTTAATGCCTTATTTTAAAAATTGACAAAACTTAATTCTGATGTATTATCTCTATATAAGCAATAAAACTTCAATTTCTTTTGTTTTTTATGGTTATAATTAATAACTAATTTTAATTTTAAAATTAAAATCCATCAATCTAATATTAGCATCTCACATTAATAGAAATATTATTCTCAAAGTAAAAAATGTTGCTGCTTATTTATATTATAAACTACATTATAAAATAAAACATATATCTACCACAAATGTAAATATTATTGATTTAATTTAATTACCATTTTTAAAAATGGTTTTTATGATGTAAAAACTAATATTTTTAAGAAATTACATTAAAATTTTCAATTTAACATTTATGAACTAACTTGTGGTTGTTTTTTATTACCCTCTTTTCAATTTTTGTAATTTAAAGAAATTTGATTTGTACAGAAATAGAATTTTGGGTCTTGGAATTAATTCTGTTTAAAACCTAATTAATTTCAAAACAAATTAAAAAATAATTAATAAAATAAAAATCTAAAAGAAAATAGAACTTTAAAACAAAGAAAAAAAAACTAAAAACAAATACACATCAATGCTTAATTTAGTTACTGTTAGTAGACCTTAGTTGGTGGAGAGTCAACATCTTACACAAACTTACAATCCTATAGCTCAATAAACTGTTCCTGTAATGTAGTTTGTCACTAGTAGCCCTCAAATAATTCCAGTTTCTTAACAAGTTCTACCTATTTAGAATAACTTTAATGATTAGAACTTTTTGAACCAATCTAGAAGTACAGCAATAAGCACTAGCAGAGTTAATTACTAAAATGAAACTCCAAGAAACGTAACCTTCTGTGTACCTGCTTAAAGTGCTAATAATTCATCATTCATAGCTCAAAGTATGAATTAGAATTAATTTGAAAGCAACCCATTTAATTCTTAAAGAATTGTGATTAGAAATGATGTCAGTCCTTAAAGAGTGATTTACTAGACTAATCAAGATATGTCAGCATATTAGAATAATTACAACTATCAACATCATGATAATTAACAATTTAACTAGTAAAATGGATATTCAAAAATAAGATCCAATTCTCATAATTTTGCTAAGGGTTTCCCTAACTAAAATAATCAATATGACAGCTATTCTCCAAGATAGTCTAATAGTGGTTTCAATACTCCAACAAGAAGAAGAGACAATCATTTAAGCTTCTCATAGCTACAAGAAAGGATGAACAACGAAGAAAATGAAAAGTGTCAAGATAGGTAATACTCTTAAGAAAGAGTGAGATTACATACATACTCTAATGATAATTAAAACTTTGACCCAAAAGAAAAGAACCTAAAAAAGAAAGTAGAAGTTTTAGAGCTTTAAAGAAGCTTAATAGATGATCAGCTAAAATTCAAAGAATAAATGCTGGAAAATGTGTCTCATGAGCATAGTTAATGCTACACAAGAATTAGATAGTTAGAATAAACTTTGGTTTAAGTCATGTAAGAAAAAGAAGAAAACGAGCAAAAGCTTAGAAATGACTTAAATCAATTAAAGATGGTCATCTAAAACCTATAAGAACAAAATAATAATTACGTACAATAAATTCTTTAAAAGAATTAGATTTAGTGATTTTATTTATTTTTTTTATATGAATAAATAAAATTGCATATTTATTGCTTATAAAATTTAGATAATTATTATATAAATATACATTTTGTGTAAAATGTGATTTTATGTATTGTGAGTAAAATATGATTTATTTCTGATATTAAAATTTACTTATTTAGATAAATATAAGAACTTAATTAAGATAAGATTGATAAATTAAATGCACAATTTTCAGTTTTCATATACATGCATAAATATAAAAGCAAGCATACATCATTTGTTTAACTTTTAAGGGTAAAGAGATTTTATTTTATTTAATTAAATGAATAACAAAATAAAAAATATCTAAACAATATAAAATGCTCATTCTAAATTCATACAGTAATCTTAATCAAGTAGAATTGAGTTAATTCTTTTATCTTAAATGTGTTAATTATACTATTGTTTATTTAAAATTGGTTAAAACTATTAAATATTCATGTCCATTTAATCATCGAATTCTACAAAAGAACCTAAAGATTTTGAGCTAGCATCTTAATTAGGAGCAGAAAAAATAGAGCAAAGTTTTTTATCATGCATAAAGTTATAGCCATTTTTTTAGTACTCATGAGCTCTCAAAATTAATTTAAGGTTATTTTTGTGTAAAAACTTCTTTGTTACTTATTTACCAAAATATATTTGAGAGATGGATTCTGAAAATGTCCATTACCCTTCACTTTCTTCTGGCTCATTCCATAGCAAGTGGTAAGCAGGTCCTTTTTTAGTAACTAATTTAACTTTTTATTTAAATGAAAATCTCAATTTTTACCTTATTGCACTAGACTACTTTCATCATCTTTTACATTTAATATCTGACTTATATCATTAATTTAATGTGATAGACCTGCATGAACACAAAATACCTCGTTTTCAATTACAGCAGAAAGTGGAAGACACTCAAAAACAGATAAAAATGCTTTCCAAATGTCAATAGACCCATATTTATTATTACATTCATCATAAAATCCATATATTTTTGAAGTTGACGTTGTTTCATGGCTGCCTCTAAGTAATGTAATTCTACTAGGATATCTTAGCTTTAATGCTATCAGATACGAAAAGCATTCAATTGAATAATGACCTTTATTTATGTAATTACCTAAAAACAAATAATTAGTATCAGGAACTCTGCCTCCTATCTAAAATATTTCCTATAGATCTTAAAATTGTCCATTTAAGTCACCCACTACTGTAACAGGACTTTTCAGATTGATTAACTTATCTTAGTTTTATAATTATTCTAAGGCACATTCGCAAAGATAAAGCAACGCTTTTTTTGGTAATTTTCTATTATTAGTTATTGCAGATATGATTTAGTCAAGATCATTTTTAATCATATGAATAGATTCCTCTTGTTCCATATCACTACTACGAAAAATATTTTTAAAGATAGATTAAAGCTTAAATATCTCTCTATTAATTATCTTAGATTTACTTAACAATCAAATTCACTATAAAAATAATTAGTTTTTACAATTTTCAGATTCTTAATCTAGTTCAATAAAATGAAAATTTTTAGTTTGTGGTTAATATAAAATTTACAATTTTTAAAAAATAGGACTCTCTAAATTGCGTATTCAAAAACAGTAAATCAATTTAAATAATTTTAAGTCAAAATCATAATTAATAATAATGCATTAATTTTTCTAAAAGTTGATATAAGTTAGTAAAACACATCCAAATTAATCAATAAACTATTATACTGAATGTAAAAAGAAGTGGTCTCAAAATTATAGAAAACAAAAAATGATTGGAAATAAGGTATTTATTTTTGATAAAATGATAGAATAACTTTAATAAATTAAAGGAAAGATTATTTAATATAACCACACATATATATTTATATAAATAAATCAAGCCTTTAATAAAATCAAACAATTTATTTAATTATTTAAGAGAAATCATGTTAAAATTAAATGATTGATAGATAGATAGCTGATATAATATATCAAGTAAATCAAAGGAAATAGTCAGGAGTTTTTTTAGTTACATGAGGTTCACCTCTACGAGGAGCAGGATCAAATTATAAATATGTAATATTCATTTTTTCATCTACTTCGATAATGGCTGCTTAATTACCGCATCTATAACAATAATTAGGAGCTGAAAATAGTGTCACTACTTTTTTATCATGTGTTTATTAATATCCTTCCATGACAAGTTAATGTGCTCTGTATATATAGTTGATACCATTAAATTTTAAGAACTTCTCTGACATATCTTAACCAAAGACAAAACCAGCACCTCTAGGACTACGATTAAAACCTGAACCTTCTTCAGGATCACTCCACAGTAAATCACACATAGGTCCTAAAATATTTAATTAAAAAGTTTATTAATCTTGAATGCAAATATTATTTTCATGGCTATTTTTAATAACTTTTATATTTTATTAAAATTTGAAAGGAATTCATTTTTCAAATTTAAATAAACGAATTCGATTGCTTTTTCATAAATTGCTTTTGTAAATTTAAAGATTTTTCTTAGTTTCAAAAATTTTATTTATAATTATTAACTAAAAATATGGTTGGAAGGTATTTTTCATATATTTTTATCTATTTTTAAAGTAGTAAAATAATATTCATACCTTCATGAGGGATTTCGCAAACTCTGTCAATCTAACGAATTTCATCTAAAGTTTAAATATTGGGAGAAAGACCACCATGGAGACCAAAAATAGAGTTTTCAACTAGAGCTGTTAAAGGAAGGTAATCAAACAAATCTGTAAAGTATTTCCATACATTGGCATTACCATATTTACGAAGGCATTCATCATAAAAGCCATAAACTTATGTAATTTAACGAGATTCGTGGTTACCTCTAAGCAAAGTAATACGGTCTTTATATCTGACTTTAAGAGCAATAAGAAGGGTCACACATTCTACAGAAAAATAACCTCTATCTACGTAATCTCCTAAAAAGAGGTAATTAGTGTCAGGAATTTTACCTCCTATTCTAAAAAGTTCCATCAAATCATGGAATTGTCCATGAATATCACCGCAAATCGTTACTGGGCATTTAACTGGCTAAACATTTGATTCGTGTTGTAAGATTTCCTAAGCTTTTTCACATAAAAACTTAACTTCGTTTTCAGATAATTGCTTGCCATCATATAATAAATCTATTTGCTAATCCAAATTTTATACTTCTGCTTATGAAAGTTTCTAACTCATAATAATATTATTTATTTATTAATGGTAATTTTTTCTTTTGCTATTCTTAGTATACTAAATATTAAGTTATCGAAATAAATGATCAGTTTGTTTGCTATAGAATTTTTAAATTCTGCTTATAAAGACTGAGAAAATTGTATTTTTTGAATTTTTATTGCCAAATATTTATTGCAAAATATTAAATTGAAATTTTTTAAATGATTTTGTTTATTATTTTAAACATATTAATAACACAATTCTGATATTAATCAATGCAGCTACTATAGCTTGCTGATTATATCAGTCTTTGATTCATTTAAAATAACCAAAGATATGAATGAAATTTCTATATAAATTTTTTATCTTCTTACAACCCCATAAATGAATGAATAAGGTAATTTATTTTCATTCAAAAATTTAAAGATTTTTGAAAATTTAAAATAATTCAAACTTTTTTGATTGATGAATATAAAATTTGATCATTTATTCATCCATCCATTTATTAAATCATCATTCATTCATTTATATTCACAGTACATTTTTTATTTTTATTGTTTTTTATACAAAAAGCTTATTTTATTTTCCTGCCATTTTAGATTTTAATTTAATAAAATTATTAATTTTTAAAGCAAATATATTGATTGATAAATGCATTAGAAAATATGAAATTTGGAGTATTTGGAATTTTGTTTTTATTTATTTTTACTTTTAAAGAAATAAACATAAAAACTTTAAAATTATTTTCTTCATTAATAAATGCTTTATTTTTTTATAAATAGATTTTTCACTCCAATAAGCACATGTTATCTCTTTTTAATTTTGTGGTTATGTCAGAACCTATTTGCTTCAACTTTAATAAATCTATTCCTGTTTCTATACCTAATTATTGAAGAGAGTATACAACATTTTCAGTGCAAACATTACCAGCTTATTTTTTAGCATAAGGGCAACCTCCAAGACCTGCAATGCTTGAATCCACAACACTTACTCCATGCTCAAGGGCAACTAAGATATTTGAAATAGCTTTATCAAAAGTATCATGGAAATGAGCTGCAAGTTTTTCAACAGGGACTTATTTCTTTACTGCAGTTAACATTTTATCAGTTTTTTCAGGAGTACCAATTCCAATAGTATCTCCTAAACTTATTTCATAGCAACCCATGTCATACAAAATTTTACTGACTTCAGCTACCTTTTCTGGATCAACATCACCTTAATAGGGGCATCCCATAACAGTAGAAACATAACTAAGAAGGTTATAAAATTTTTTAAAATATTTAATTATCTAAAAGACATAAAATGATTACCCTCTAACTAATAAATTATGCTTTTTTGCTTCCTCAATGACAGCTCTAAATCTTTCTAAACTTTCAGCCTATTTTATTTTAGAATAAGTTAAATTTCTACTTGCTGATTAATATTTTAAAAATTGGTTATTTACTATTGAACAATTAATATTTTTCTAAGTAAAGCCTTCAGAAGCAGCTCCAAAAACTGCTATTTCCTTTACACCTACTTTCAAAGCTTATTCGAGACCTTTAACATTAGGAACTAAGCAAGGATAAGAAACATTTGGGTACTTGTTTATTCCTGCAAAAACTTCCATATTATCTCCCATCTTATATCATTTTAAATTTACAAATAAGCGAAAAAAATATATTTAAAGCTTGTCAATTACTTGAGGAACCCATTTTGGTGAAACAAAGCTTGTAGTTTCAACAGTTTTCAAGCCACTATCACTCAACCTTATTTTTTACGATTTGTTAGCAATTATTATTTTTATAATTCTTAACAATTTACCTGTTAATTAAATCAATTTTATCCTTTGCAGGAAGAAGGGTTGCTTCATTTTGTAAACCGTCTCTTGGACCAACTTCAACAACTTTTACGAATTTTGGCAATTTAATATTGTTCTATTTTACTTTATTCTAATTTTATAAATTATTTAAAAATGCCTTATTCTCAGATATAAATCAATTACGCTAAATTGAGAGAGCAAGTCATTTAAATTTTTAAGTCTTTATGCTTTAGTAAGAGTGCTAGCCATTTTATTTAAATTACAGTTTATTTTTACAGATTTATATTTGTATATTTAATTATTTTTATTTGTATATTAAGAAGACTTTAGTGACGAATTAAGCAGTGATTTTATTACTTATTTTGGATATAAAAAGTAGAGTAGGATATTTCCAAAGTATATTGCATTTTATCTGATAGTTAAGTTCTAGAAGATTAAAAATATCATGAGAAATTTCAAATTTACATGTAAATTAAAAAGTAACTTTAGATCATTAACCCACCAAATATTTTAAAGAAAGATAATTCTGCCATTTGTGTGAAACAAAGCCAATTTCCTCAAGCATAATTAATAATTATATTAATATTAAATTTAATTTATAAAAATTAGATTATGTTAAGATTAATTTCAAAAAATTAATTTACTAAAAAATAGTTATTAAAATAAAGAATTTTAATTAATTCATTAATTTTTTTTGAATGTAATTTTTAGAATCAACATAACTAAAAGTATGTAAGATATTTTATTGTATAAACATATTAATTTTCAAATAAAAATATATATATATATGTTAGTTTTTAAAAAAATATTTGATTATAAATTATTTTTTGATACACAAAAAAATAAATATTTTTTTGTGGTTTTTTAACTAATTAGTTAATTTTTTAATAGGCATACACTGAATATTCGACCAAATATATTCAAAAAAGTAAGTAACATTAAATAAAAAAAAGAAATATTCTTAAATACTTTTATTTAGTTTTAACAAATAACCTTAATTTATTCATTAGATTTTTCTTAAGCATATTTTTTTTAGTGCTCATCTTACAAAAAATTAAATAAAAAAAATATAAACATTAAATTATTCGGTATTAAGCACTCTATTTTACTTAATATTTGACATATTTTTAATTTATTTAGAAGAATTTAATTTGATTTATAAAATAAAATTCTAATTTATTTAAGGGATTAATGAACGATAAAAACATTAATTTATTACAAATAAATGAAATTATGAATATAAAATAAGTTAGAATAAATCAAGAAAATCTTCTTTATAATTTAATTTAATTTAAGTTTTATTATTATTGAGAAATTTATTAATTTTATTAAGTATCTTCCTCATCAGAGTCTGATTAATATTCATCAGAATATTGTTACATATGAGTTGGATTACGTTTTTAAGAATTAACTTAAGAAGGTTTCTTTTTTTGATCACTTTCATCATCTGAGCAAGAATCATCACTCAAACAAATATCATTATTTTTAAATTTACCCATAATTTCTTGTTGACATTCATTCCAATCTTCTTAGTGGCAAATAGAATTACGTCTCTAACAGTGAATAACTTCCATTTTATCAAAGGAGGCCTACCTGTAGAGTTATGGAGCACATTTTCCAATAGCTTCATCTAGATCTTCGTCAAGATGCTTTATGCCATTATTATCCTTAAGCATTGCATTTTTAGAGATCATTTCATCTTTATATTGCTAAAGGATTGCCTTTGCCTAAGTATAATCTTTCTTTTAATTGATAAGTTGATTTGCCTATTTAATTTTTAATCCTCCAACTGCTCTGGAATGAGTAACCATCATTTCTTCATAGTATGCTTGTGTAGAGTTATTCTTAATTTAATCCTAATCAGCATCCTTAAAATCAATTTAAAGTGTATCATTTTTACGGATAATGTATTCCTCCTTAACAGCTTTAATTTCTAATTCAGCTTCAAGAGCTGCAAGAGATCTGTTTTGATCAGTTAATTTGAACTGTTCAGAATTAAACTGCAAATCAAAAACAAAGAACTTGTTATCTCCAATTACTAAATGAGGTAGATATATCTCAAAGACGCCTTTCTCATAATCCTACTTCACCCAAAGTTAATCACCTCCATAAACTTGAGTAATTGCTAATTTTGTTTGTTAACTATTTTAAGACTTAATTCTAATTCTAACATCTTCACCAACTGCACTTAAGAGACCACTTATAGAAAGTACAAACCATTCAGAAACCTTTTTAACATCTTCAATGTAATAATAACCTCCTTTGTGTGTTTCAGCTATGTTTCTCATTTAAGTAGCGTCGTGGTCGGCTCCATATCCATAAGTGTTTACAATAAAAGTATCTTATATATCATAAGATTATATAAGCTTTTATACTCTTAAGTCTACTTAAGGAGAATCGTCTTAACCATCAGAGAGCAAAAACATGCAAGTGATAGGATTTTTTTCTTTTCTATTTTTAATCATCCATAAACCTGCTTCCATACCTGCTTCAATATTAGTAGATCCTCTGCCTACTATGTTCTTTATAGCCTTTTTTAACTCAGATTTGTTTTCCAAATTGTTTCTTAAAAAGGGAGTTAAAATTTTTTCAACACTATCAAAGCTAATTAGGCAAATTCTATCGTTCTCATTCATAATTTTAAGAAGATATTTGAGAGATTTTCTAACTAATTGAGCTTTTTTACCAGACATTGAACCACTGTCATCAATTACACAGATTAAATCCATAGGAACTCTTTCACTTTATTCCTTAGGTTGTTTAACATGTAAATTGACTCCACAGACAAAACTAGCAGATTTCTTAATTGAAACTTCATTAGTTTCACTAATTAAGTTAAATTGAATTATTTCTTCAACTTATTAACTGCTTAAATTTTTGTTATTGTTTTCATTTTCACTTTGTTAAGTTTAATGGACTGTTTTTGACAAAAATTCTTTATTAACACTGTTTTCTCTTTCTAAACAAAAGTTTGATCTTTAGTCATGCAAACTTTTATCATTTAACTTGTTTTAGCATCTAAGATTTACACTTGCTAATTTCTATTATAAGTCCTCTTTTTATTTTTACAAATTTTATTGTTACTAATTAGAAGATTATTTTGGTGAGTTGGATTTAGATCTTGATTTGCTTCCTGCTGAGTTATTATTTCCCATATTTACTTATTATTTGAGTTTTATTTTATATTGTTTTGCTTTTCAGTTTTGTTTGTTAATTTTATAATTATAGGATTTTATTCAAAACCAGAATTTAATTGTCAATTAATATTTAAAGAAATTGAATAACTCATATAAATTTTTGTCTCCATCAAAAAAATCTTCTATAATTGAAAGTTTTAATCAGTATTTTCTTGATAGAGACACAAATGCATACAAAATCTTTAACTTTTCTATGGTTTATTAACATCTAGTTTTTATGGAAAATATAATAGACGAATGAGCATATGTATTATGAATAAAATCATAGATTTATATTTATGATAATGATATATCAAATTAAAATGTAAGTAAGTTTAAAAATTTTAAAGCAATATAAAGAAAGATAAAGAAGCTAGCTTTACCAAAATATATTTTATTTGTTTTTATTATCTAAAGAAGTTCTAATGTTATTTTTTATTATGATTATAGAGTTAAAGAAATCATTTTTGAGTAATAAGAAGGGTTGAATTTGAGTATTAGTTTTTTTTTTATAAAATTGAAATCTGATTAAAACCAAGATTTTAAATTGTCTAGCTATTTCAACTCAAATAAGAAGAAATTCATTTATTTTATATTTTTTAATTTTAATAAGAGAGCCAGTTGACTTGACTTGAGTTTATAATATAATATAATAAATTATTATTATATTAAGAATAATTAAATGAGACAAATTAAATTAGAGAACGATGATGGAATAAATAACATAATAATAATAATAAAATAATTTTGAGAGTAAAAACAATAAAAAATTTGAAACTTTATCTCATATTAAATTTAAAGAATAAGTTGATATTAAATAATTTTAGATAATTATTTTAAACCTGAAATATTTTAAAGTTATTATGAGAAATGAAGAGATTTTCGTTATTCATTTTTTAATTCAGCTTAATGGACTGAAGAAATAAATAATTGATTGCTTTAGTTTATTTATTAATTTTTATAAGATTTATTTATAAAAATATTTTTTGAATTTGGTTAATTTATTTTCAAAATAGCTCTTTTTATGGTGTATTTATTAGCAGCAATGTAGCCTCTTCATTAGTCATGATTCATGAAAGCAGAAGTGCTTGACTATATTTTCTTTGAATGGTTAATCATATCTTGTTGTTATAAATTTTATTAAAGAAGTTGTTATTATAAGTTTCCGTCTTCTTCTAATTTATGACCATGTTACATAAAACTATCTCCTATTCCACTAATTTTGTTAGGCTTGGGGACTATCACATTACCTTTTCCAATATGGAAATCGTTTCCACCTAGGTTGTTAAATCCTTAGGATTATAATATAGAATTGGAAAAGTTGCTACTGTTTCCTATATTGAATTAGTTTCCAGAAGTTGGGAACTACGAAGTTCCTAAATTGCTTAGAAGTTATCCATTGCTAGAAAATATAGAACCTGTGTTAAAACGATTAAATTAACTTTAAACATTTGCAGCACCTGAGGAATCAATTATCTTATCTAGATTGGTGTGCAAAGAAGGTTGGAAAGAACTTTAATTTTTTAAAATAGGAATATCCATTTAAGATTTTTGAGAATCATAATTATTATCTAATGCTAAAGAATTAAAAGTATCATATTAGTTATTTTTTTAATTTTAATTGAAGCGTAGTTCTTTGAAGCTATCTGGAGCAGCACTGATGCCGCTTATGTATTCGCTCTAGCCGAAATTATAGCTATTTACATTTTAATAATTATTCTAATTGCCTTAATTTTATCCAGCTTGCTAGCTAATAATAGGTTATTAGAAATTACTATTCATATTGAGGCCTGAGCCGTTGTTTCCCAAGCCACTTAAACCAGTATTTCCTGAATTTTAATTGTTTCCTGAAATACTGTTTCCATTACCTCCTAATCCTGTACCAATATTATTTAATTAGCTTCCGTTAGAGCCTCCTTACTATCCCTGTTGTTATTGCTATTATTGTTATTACTACTACTATACTTTTTTGAAATATAAATTATTTAAGAATGCCATAGAGTTAGCATTGGCTTAGTTACTAGCGTTGGATAGTCCTCCAGCATTTCCAGAGGCACTCTAATTAGCCCCATTTCCTTACTAATTGCTTTGATCTTTTTTGGTTACATTTTATTCACCCTACTTTTCGCTATTATTATAAGGTGGAGAGATTTAAATGATATTATCTACAAGCTAATTGTAATCTTCATGGACTTTCTTTTAATTATCTGTAGATTTTACAGATAAGCTTTAAAATACTTTATTAAGAACTTTTGGATTTATTTTAAGTGAAGTTGTGGCAAATTTTTTTGACCAATATGAAAAAAGAGTAGAAAATTCAGGAACTATTGTTTGGATATGAGCCTCGTACATTTCCATCTCACTCATATCATTTAAATAATACTTAACTGCATAAGCATTAAGTATTAAATACAATAGCAGTTGCAAGTACTCACTATGATCATGTACTTCGTTTTGGTTCATAAAATCTTTCACTTTAGGTGCTGCTAATTTAATTCTTTCATCATCAATCCTATAATATATTATATTATAAATTTTATAATCATTCTATACTAAAAATTAATTATCTCCTAACATATCTAAATAAATATATATATATCTCACTATCTATTTTAAGTATCCATAAACTCTTTTAAAATGAACTAATACTTGATTGAATTAACATTTTTATTTTAAACTTTTAACCACTAAATTTAATCATTTTAAATTAAGAAACTCTGCTTTTCTGCTTAATTCAATTTAAAATACTAAATGGCATACCAAAATAATTAATCAAAAAACTTTGAGAGAATTTAAAAGGGATTAATAGATTGTTATTGTTTAATAAAAATAAAAAACTAATAACAATAAATAAGAGCTTTCCACATTTATATTATGAAGAAAAAATTTATTAATTAATAAATTATTAGTAAAATGATGAAAGTTATTGCAAATTAATTAGCCACTATAATCAATTATAGAGTGGTATTTTATTAGGAAACAAAGAATTATAATTCTTCTTTCAAAAAAGCTATGTTAGGCGGTGCCCCTTATTAAAAAATTTAATAAAAAACTGATATAATATGAGGGGCTATTTTAATAATATCTTTGGAGATACCAACAAATAAAATAATTGAACATAATTACTTCCATTAATTTTCTCTCAAAATGTAAGCAAAGAAAACTATTTCTAGCTCGTTAAAAAGAAACTTCTTAACTATTGAACGCAACATTTTGAAAAGAGGGTATTTTGAAGCTATTTTGCTAGCATGCGACTCAGAAGCTATTCTCTTGAGGAATTAATTGGCTTGATATGTAAATGAGTCAGAGGTATATTTAAAATTATTTCCATCGTAATCTTTTAAAAGTTATTGCACTTACTTTTCTCTTTCAGCGCCACGGTCATCTCCTATTCCTTGAAAGTCTTTATTATTTTTTCTCTGCGGATTAAGCGTAATTTAACTTGGGTCGTTTGCCATTGGTGCAAACTAATTTAAATGAGAAGCGCCTTGCATCATGTCTGAGTAATTCTGACCCATGGCTTCAAATGTTCGCTTCACATTTAAACTTTGCTACTAGTTGCTCATTTAAGTTATTTAATTGGTGTTGGGAAGGAGACTCTCATTTTTAATCACACTAAAAGGAGTCTTCTTGTTATTGTTGTTTAGGTTATTGTTAATTCCCATGCTTAAATTTTAGTTGTTGAGATTCATATTTAAATAATTATTGTTATTACTCATATTTATATTATTAGGATTTTAAAGATTCATTGTTATTTGCTATCAGATATTATATTGTTCGTAGTTACCAGCTTCCTAGTCAATCTATGTACAACACTTTTTGCTTTAGACGATGATTAAAAAAACCCTATCTATTTTTGTTCAGATTTTATATGAACTACCTTTGTTTTACTTGATTTACTTATTGAGAAAATCTTGTCAATACGGAATTCTTTCTTATATTATTTGTTTTTTTTATTCTATTCAAAATTTATTAGTAATAATTTATTAGATTTTTGAATCAAAAATTATTAGGAACACTTTTCCCCTCCCGTAGACAATCTGACTGAAAGAATTTCATATATAAAAAATAAATTATTATTTTCTATTTGTTCTTCTCTTGTATTATATGTATATGTATATATATGTCTTGGCATGGATGGGTATCTAATTTTTTGCTAAAGCATAAAGTATTAATAACTAATTAATTTAAGTATATTATTGCTATTGTTATTTATGTTTTAATTATAATTAAATACAAAAACAAATCCTAATTTTATTTGTTCTATTAAAAATTATTTGTCAGTTTTCATGTAATATTTATATTTTTAACTTAAAAATAATAATCAAGATAAAAATAATCTATTAATTCATTATAAATTGCCTATAATTTAAGAAAGGATTGTCCATAAGGTAATATTTAATAAAAAATCTAGAGTTCAACTTAAAAATAGGTATTAGTAACCCTTTATTTTTTGAAAAAGTCTATTCAATTTGAAGCTATAGTTTATATAAGTAACTTAAAATATAACTAAATAGTATAGTAACTTTAATATTAAAGTTAACTGAGAAAAAAATATAAATTTGTCAGCATTTTTTAATCAAATATTGAATAAAAATTAATAAAATAAAATAAAAAACCACCATCAATATTTAAAATTTAAATTCAATTTAAGTAAATAAATAACCTTTAAAAAAAGAAAGAAAAAAAAAAGAGAAATGTTATTTTTATAAATTTAATTTTGGTATTACTTAATTTATATAATAATTTAATCAAATTTATTTTATTTTTTACAAATTTTATTCCATAAATAATAAATAACTTTTTTAACGTTAATATATTTTTTCAATCATTTTTCTTTTCGAAATCAGTTTTTTCTTCGTTTTCTTAGTAAACTTCATCTTCTTATGCCTGTTTATCTTCTTATTCCTATTGCTCCTCATAAGTTTTAATTGTTTATCTTAACTGCTTCTCTTCTTCTTCAAGTTTTTTCAACTTTTCTTCTAAGTAGTTATTCAACCTATCAAATAAGCCACCATTTTATTATGGTTAATTGTTTTCATTTTAGTTAGCAGCGTTATTGTTATTGTTATAATTTTAATTTATTTGCTAAAAAACTAAATTATCATTTAGATTTACTTGGTTTGCTTGTACTTCTGTTTATTACTGTGCAGCTTAATTTTGATTGGGAACTTAATTTTGCTCATCTTCCTCTTCTTCATTTTATTAATTGTGATTTTTATTATATAAGTCAACATACCAAAGAGGGAATAAACTCATAATAAAACAATAAATAAATTCCTTTATCCTAAAGAAAAGTAAGACTAAGCCTTTTCTTTTTTATTTTTTCTACTTTGTCTTCTTAATTTCTTAATTTGGCTAATGATTCATTTGTTCATTATCCTTTTTATCTTAAACTTAATTATTATCTACACTGTCAATTATATTTATTTCCTTTGTTGCATCAATACTTATATTCTGACTTTAAGAATTTGATTGATTATCTAATTGTGCATTTTAATCTAAGTTTTACATTTCATTTTTAATTTATCCTGTTAACTCAATGTTTACATTATTATCAATATTTTCTTTCAATTTTTCTGATTTATCTGCTTAATTTTCTTCATTATTTGCTCTATTTTGAATGTTATTAGTATCATTATTTTAAATATTGTTGTTATTCTCTGCATTATTATTGGTATTAATATTTGTAGGATTATTTCCGTTTACTTAATTATTGTTATTTTCTTACTAATTTGGTTACCTCTAAGCACCTTCTTATCTTTCTCTTATTTAATTCATTTTATGCTTATGATCTTAGTATTTTATAAAGAAATAGATAAATAAGATTCCTAGGAGGATGTAATACATGGCGCCTTCAAACTTTGAGATAACCAAAAAATATATTGTAATCATGACTGGGATATTTCTAGCAAAAAAATTATCAGCTCCAGCTAAATCTTGTTGCTAATTATCTTAATTTTAATTTCTTTAAATATTTGGTTATTTGTTTTAAGCTGATGATTGATTTGATTGCAAAATCACTTCAGTCTATTTGTGAAGAAGAGGAAAAACTGAAGAAAGAATTTCTATTTCAAGTTTCTACTTTTAAATATTTTGATCCTAAACTGCTTCTTATGGGTTGTAAGCAAAAGGGCTAATTTTTTCTACATAACTTTCCCATAAAAGATTGACGGCATATTTTTAGTTTAACTTAATCTTTTGTTGCTAAATTTCAACTACTTAATCTGACACATTCAAATCAACTTTTAAATGCAAAATCATTTCTTTTTAATTAACTTTTTGATATTTCTAAATTTGATCTTCTTCATCAACATAACTTCCTGAATGCATAAATTTTAATCCTGCAAATTTATAATTGTTTAACTAATTGTGATTCTCATACACAATATACATTAGCTAACCAAAAGTCCAATGAATTGGTACAGTTACCTAAATATCTTAAATACTCTTATTTATATTCTTGATTGTTATATCAACACATTTCGGCTAATTTTATAAAGTTTGTTCTTCCTTTTCCTTACCTTAAGAAAATAGTTTCATCTTATTTTTAAATCTTTAAAAATCTTTTCTTATTTCAATTTTTATTTTATCACTAAATTTTTGTTTTAAAAGATTATACGTTTATGAAATTGAATAATATTGCAGTATTCTTATCAGTGATGTGTGAATATATAATTCATTTAAACAAAATTTCATATATGTATGAAATTTTTATTTAAAATATCAACTAGAATTTTAAATAAGAATATTCTACTCTTAATCAAATTAATAATGCATAATTAATTTTTATTTATTAAAATATTTTATATTAAATTTAATTATTTCTTGTCAGAGAATCTACATATAAATAATTAATCTGATAAAGAACACATAATAGTTCTATATCAAATATTTATTATATTTTTTTAACTAGGAATAGATAATAAATTCATTAATAATTAATCAATTTAAAGATTTCAGAAAAAAAAATTAAGTAATAGGGTTGAATAAAATGTAGCATTAATAGCATGATGAAGAAGAATAAAAAAGCAGTGCAAGTGATATTCATGCTTTGTTAGAGAAATTCGAATGCACAGTTTGTTTAGAAGTTGCAAAAGAACCTGTTGTCACAGAATGCGGTCATTTATTTTGGTAATATTATTTATCTAATACTATTGATTAAATATTTTATATATTTATAAAATATAGCTGGCCATGCATTTATAAGGTAATTAAATGGAATAAATATAAAGCATCATATTTGTATGGAAAGATAATAAAAATTTTAAATAAAAAGTGCATTAGATTAAAAAATGTTTTATTTAAATGATTTGTAATTAATTTTTTGTATAATTTATAGTGGTTGAATTAAAATAATGAGTATTTAGTATGTCCAAATTGCAAAAATGGAATTAAAAAAGAACTAATAAGACCTCTTTATGCTCGTAATGAAGATGATACCCACCAAAAATAGAGGTTAAATTTATTTAAAAATCAGTTTAGAATAATATTTAATTTTAATATTCATAAAAAGAGATTCAAATATACCTAAAAGAGCATTACCTCCTCGTTAAATCCCTTAAAAAAATTAAAATCACCTTGGAGGAGTAAACTTTATTCATAAATGAATATAAAATTCATTTTATTATTTAATTTATTGAAAAAGAGAGTCTCTTCAGCAAATTTATCATTAGGAGTAAGCTTTGCAGGTTATGGATACTTCCCATCTTTGTATGGCTTGTTAAATGTAAAAATTATACTTCTTGTATAAATTATTGATATTAACATTTTACTATTATAAAGCAATATAAAAATAACATTACAGATCAGTTGGAGTGTAAATTGTTTTAATATTAAAATAATAAATTTATCATGTATAATTTAAAAATATAGCAAATGTTTCTCCGGAAGTTGCAAAGCAACCGTTTTTAGAAAGATTCTTTTACATTTTGTGCATATTATGTATTTTATTTTTAGTTTTTTGTATGTGAAATTAAAAATAATTAAATTTAAATTTCAGTTCTATTTTTTCTACTTTAAATTTTACAAAATTTATAGTTCTTCCATAAATTTGTTCAATTAGTACTTATTTAACAAACCCTAAAATAAATTTCTTACAAAATAGAATCAAATATAAATTGAAGCTCATACATATTTTTATTCAATTAATAATTTGTAAGTTTTTCTTATTTGTAAAAAAAATGAAGTAAAATTTGGTATAAAATCTATTTTTTATTTTTTTTTGATTGAATTATAAATAATTTAAAAAAATCTTTCATTTTTTATTGTAATTAGAATTGCATAAAATAAAAACTTTTATCTTTCTTTTGTAAAAAGAAGCATAGTTTCTTAAAACTCAATTTAATAAATGATAACTTAAAAAAATTTTCATAACAAAAAGTATTAAAATAAATAACATTTGAATGATTAGAAATTAACTTTATATTTAGGAGTTTTAATTTACTTTTTCAATAAATCTAAAAAATTAATTTTAATTACTCTTCTTTAATTGTATTTAATTTAAAATAAAACTACAAATAAAAATTTAATTATTTTTAAATTTTAAAAAATTAAAATAAAAGCAATATTTATCAGTTTTATATTTTATTTTGTTTAACTAAGCACATTTTAAATATATCTTATATAAAAAATAAAAATATTCTCATTAGTCTTTTTCATTTTATTTATTTGTTTTATCAATTTGTTAATTTTCTGTTTAGCTATTCTTATTTGTGTTATCAATATTTAAATTTTTATTCTAATTTTTATCATCAAATTTTATTTTGATGAAGATATCGAAAACATTTTTATCTTTTTCATTTTCTGAACTGCTTTCTTCCTCATCATCATCTTCTACATCTTGATCACCAGATAATATTAAAAATCCAATAAAATATAAAAACAATAACCCAAAAAGCCTTATTCCCATTCTATAAGTAAAAAATAGAGATGGATCTTAATTGATATTTTCTGATAAAAATAACTTTTAAGCATATTAAAATAGATTGGATTAAATTAGTCCGTTATTATAAACAATGGGAGCCATAATTGTTATAGGAAGGGGAGTTATTGATCCAATAAGAAGAGCTTTTAAGTTTGTCATTTTATAGTTAGTTTTATAAAAATAGTGAAATAAATATCCATTTAAAACTGAATTTAAGAATGTGCTCAATTAAATCAAGTAAATATATCCGTCATTCCATATTTCCATATAAGATCCTAAAAGAACACCTTGCAATAAACCCATGCACATCAATTAACTGTTGTAGTAGGTTAAGCGCTCATTAGTATTTTCTACTTCTATATATCTAATTTAATCATCCTTTGCTTATACTTAATCATTAAATTATCCTGAAAATTAGTTATTGATATTGGAATTGTTATTGCTTTAAGATTCCTTTAAATACTTTTCATAGTTTGACAATCCTTATTCTTTCGAACTTTGCAAATTTTCAGAATGCTTACTAAATAATTCTTAGTATTCACTTTATTAATATTAAGAATTTTAGTTACTAAATTATTATTCAAAATTATTCTGCTATAAGCTTTATAACAAATGCTTTTAGTCTTTATAATAGCCTGTTATCTTAGTTGATTACTTATATTTATATATTGAATAAAATTAAACTATTCCTACTCCCATCAACATGTAAGAAGTCATAGTTGGATCAAGATAGTAATGAATAGGAAAAGATGATACTGTTCCTATTACATTCCTTACTATGCTTTGCTTAAACATTTCTTAATTTACTTCGCTTAAATATTTAAACATCTATGTTTATCGACTTCCGACTAGTTCGAAAGTCCAAAATTTGTTAAACTTAAACAAGTTTTTCAACATGTCACCTTTATTAATTTTATTATTTTTTATAATACTTAGAATCAATCTTTTCTGTTTGATAGAAATATAAATTTATAGTCTTTTGAATGATTTATTACAAATTTAATAAATAAATATCCTTTAAATTTTAGATTTTAGAAAACGATTTGATTTTTGTACATAATACTTAGCTTAATTTTATTGTTATTGAATATAATTTTATTTTCACAATCAAATTTTTTTTTTTTTCATTAAATTTAAAAAATATTTTATTTTACTTTTAAGATTGTACAAAAAAGCTAATTATTTACATGGTTTAATTTTAATTGTTATATATGTATACTTGATTGGTTTTTTAAGATAATTTTTTGTTTATTTTATAAATAAATCTATTTTGAAGAATCTTAACATATGATTTTCGAGCTGGTTTTATTTTTAATTTATTGAATATAAAGATTTTTGATAATTAATTATTAACTGAGCAAATTTTTTCTACCTTTAATTTTATAAAAAAAATAAATATATTTAGCAACCTCAAAAATGATTTAATCATAGGTTATTTAGCAATAATAAGGAATATAGCAAATTCCTATCACATACTTGTAAGGCTATACCAAAGAGATAGTAGCTTAATGCAATCAGGTTCAGATGATATATTGTCCTCAAGTGGGTATTCCATTAAAAAAAAGTTTAACCTGGGTTTATTATTTAATTAAAAATATAAAGATGCAAATGATGTAATAGTTGATGAAAAAATAAATTGCATTATTCCTCCTAACTCAAACAACGTAGGAGGGCTTTATATCGGAAACTACTAAGCAGCCCTTCAAGCGAATCTTTTGCTTTAAAATAATATAAAAGCTGTTTTGACAGCTTCTAAAGAAACTCCTATCTAGTATTAGTCTAGTTTAGTGCCTTTTTATTTGTGTAAAATATATTTAAATATTTTTCAAATTTCTAAAATACACCTTCATAAATTAAAGAATTAGACATGAGTGATAGTGGTGAGTTAATTCTTGAATCATATTTTTAACCATCCTTCGAATTTATAGAAAATGGAATGAAATTTGGAAATGTTCTAGTCCATTGTCACATGGGTATTTCAAGATCTTCTGCTATAATTCTTGGTTATTTGATGTATTCTAGGCAATGGACTCTTGAAAAGGCATTGTGGGTTTTAAAAGTAAAAAGACCTATTGCAAATCCTAATCCAGGATTTATGGATAATCTCTTTGCTTATGAGTTAAAATTATTTGGTAAAAACAGTTTAGTGGCTTAAGAAAAGAAGCAATCAACTCTCCCTCCTTTCTTAAAGGAAATATTAAAAAAATCTCCTGCTAAAGTGGTACGTGATCATTAAATAGTTCATAGAGAATAATAAGAAGAGTATATTCCTCTCAATAAGTCTTATCATATTGAAGAAGTTCCTCCAGACTCAGTCAATCATTCTTCTTCTAATTTAAATACTTCATATTTATCTACAGGGAAAAAAATTAATATTCTTTCAGTTTCCCCTTCTAAAAACACATCTTTCATGGTAAATTCCTTAGCACCTCCACTCAACATATCTCCTCGTATTATGTGAACAAATTTCTTATAAAAACTCCCCTTATAAAACCAATTTTAAGTTATTATTTTGTATTTTCATTTTTTTTATAAAATGCTTTCTCTCAATATTACTATTTAGTTTATTCCAACTTAAAAAATGATAGAAAGATAGATTTAAGAATTTTATTCAATAAAAACACAATTTATGTAAAATAATTAAATTTCCTGCTGTTGTTCTTTAAAATTCTATTTTTTTTTTTGAGTTAATAATTGCTGACAAAAAGCATTTAGAATTTTATTTAAAAATAATAAATACTATTTTTAGAAATTTTCATATTCTGAACTTAAAAAATTTGGTTTTAAAAACGTAACCTAGTTAATTTATGAATGATATACTTATTAATGATATGGCTGGTTAGTTTATTTATTTACTACATACATTATTAAATTAGAAAAAATTAATTACTATCAAAAAGAAAAACTTACAAATATTATAATGAAATTAAATAAATATTGATTCGATAATCAATATTCCATAAATTATAATTAATTAAATATATACAATTAACTTTAATTGCTGCCAAAGTTTCAGTGAATATCAATTATTAATTTATATATTCAAGTAGATAGATAGAAATATAGATAGATATGAGCTAAAAAACCATTTAATCACAAGAGGAATTAGAAGAAAACAATAAAAATTAAGAAGAGGAAGAAAATGTACCTCAATAATCAAATAAATAGGGATCAAGTGAGAATTTAAGATAAAAAAATAGATCATAGGAGAATTTAAAATAGAGGAAACAATCTCCTAACTATTATTAAAGTAGCATGGTTTAAAGCGGAGTTGGAACTTCACCTACTCGTAAGCCAAATGACAAAACATTTATTACTTTATAAAAAAAAGAGGAAGAATCATAAGTGTGGAAGCCTTATGATTTCCTCTTTCCTGCTGGAAGACTTGCTAAACTAGTATAATATTATAAATAATAATTTTTAGTATAAATTAAATAGATGAAACTGATTTTAATTTAAATATTACATTCAGAAAAACAATTTATTTTAACTTTTTCAAAAAGGTTAAAGTATTTGATGTCTATTTTAAGAATTTTCCTTTCTCAGATTTGCTGAATAAGCTTAAACTTACAGAAGGTTATCCTATTGTTAATTTGATAGGAGCTGCATAATCTAATAGAGGTAAATTTTATGCTGGATTAGCCAGAGCTTGCTTCAATAGCGAAGCTATAATTGTTGATTCAGCAATTGAGACAGGACTTGAACCTTATGTAATAAGAAGAGGTATACTTATAAATAATATTTTATATATATTTATTATTATATTAATGAATAAAATTGTATTATGATTTTATAGAAATTCCATTTAATAAAAAACAAAGATTTAAAACTGGTTGGCGTAGCCCCTGAAAATTGTGTAAAATATCCCAAAATTAATTCAACATACAAAGACCCTTACGAGCTATCAAATGGTCATACTCACTTATTCTTAGTTAGTAAATATTTAAATATGATTCTCTATTTTAATCTATTTGTTAGATGACAAGGATAAGACTTTACAATGGTCACAGGAAACTTTATTTAAGATACAATTAATATTAAAGTAACTTTTTGAAGGTTTAATTTTGAAAGGCAAAAACAAATATTATTATGGTTAGGTTGGCAGAAGGAAAAGTATCCAAAAAGGGTCCAAGGTGCAAAATAGTAAATGTATTATTGGCTGATACTCCAAATTATTTAGATGAAGTGAGATTAGCTGTGAAATATGATTTGCCAATTATAGTTTGTAAAGGAAGTCATATATGCGATGAAATTATTAAAAACTCTAAAGCACAAGAAGAAGAAAAATAATGGAACTTAGTTGATGATGGTATTTTTTTAAAATTTATTTTTACATCAAATTATTTTAAAATTATTTTAGAAATGCAAGAACTTCTTTAGAAAGGCCACTTTTATATGCTTGATAGTCTTGACTCTGAAGATATTGCTTAATATATACATTTCTTTTTAACTTTTACTCCTTACTGAAAAAAAATTATTTTATGAGTTATTTTTCCTTTTTGTAAATGTATATATTTATATTTCTCAATTAAGCTTTATCCTTAAATAAATTTAAGTAGCCATCAATATTATTTTAATTTTTTATAGATTTTATTTATTTATTTTTTTTTATAATTTATAAAAATTAATCAACTTTGTTTATTTCTTTATTTAATTTATAAAAATAAAATTACTTTCTAAAAATAATTTAAGAATAATTATTCATATTAAATATTAAATGATAGTCAATTTATAGATGTACAATAAAATAATAAACAATAGAAATTTAATTCTTTTAAAGCTATAAATTATATTTGAATTTTAAAAGCATAATTTGATTAATAATTAATTAAATAATATAATATACCTTTTTTAAAATTACATCTAAGACATGAAATTTACTTATGGTTAATTTTTCAGAATTATTTTTTTTAAAATTAAAAATTGACTTTTTATATATTATTATTAACTCAATTTAACTCAAAAATTTTTAAAATTACAAAATTGCATTAATGGTTTTTAAATTTATGATGTTTTTTCTACAAATTATCAATAATTAATGAAAAGAAAAATAATACTGAAAAGAATTTAATAATATTAAATAACTTCTATTTTTTAGGATTAATTTTTGTTTGTTTAAATAAAAAAAAGTAGAACCTATTAGTTAGTATTAATAAATTTAAAGAAAGTAGATGGATAATCAAAATTATATTTAAGCTAATAATTAAATGAAGTCAAAGCTGGCTCTAAATAAAGCTCAATAGTAATTAAAAATATATTGTTTTAAGAAAAATAGGAATTAAAGTATTTTATTATTATTAAAATTCAGACAAGAAGATATTTTGCAGTAGTAATAATCCATTTCAGAAGATAAATTACCTTTTAAATCCCCTCAATTTACAAGGATTTCTTAAGAGTAAGAGAGTCAGTAAAATGATAAAATTGCATCTTTGTTATAATAGGAGTACTAAAGCGATTAAAGCTATATTTCTTGTGCTCAAAATTAAAACAATCAACTAGCTCAACAAATTAGTGATAAAAAAAGTTTCTTTATCACTAATTTGCCTTCTAAGACCTTAGAACTTTCGTCTTCAATAATTTAAGTTCGAAAAGGAAGAAAAACTATAGACAGACAAAAAAGAGATGACTCCGTGTCAGAATATTAAAATAAATCTAAAAAGTCGAAAAGAAAAGACTTGTCAAATAGAAACTCATAAGTAGAAGAAAATGAATTAATTTATTAGCAAGATGAGGTCATAACTAACTAGGTGGGTACTAACAATGAAAAAATATGGGTATCCAAATTCTATAAAATTTTGACATTTATCAATAGATTTGTAGTTCGTAACAAATAAAGACTTATATATTTCCATCCAAATCAGCTTTAGAGTCATTAGGCTTAAGCTATCAACGATTTAGGTAATGAGAAAACAAATATTCTTTTACTTTTTAATAAATACCAAAAAATTTGTTTGTACAGACTTAAAATTAATCTAACAACTTTTCAGATTCTTATTTTTAAAATTAGTAGAATAAACGTTAATAATTTTATTAAACTTTAACTTACATCAATAAACTAATATTTATCACTAAATTAGTTAGTAGTTTAATTATTTAAGTTAGCTTGTTTGTTCATTATTTTAAAAAAACATTAAAAATATTTATAAATTTAATTAATTTAAAAAAAATTAATAAGAATTCTATTTTTTTTTTATCAACAAACAAATAGTTGATAATGGCAAGAAAAAATGAAAAAAATAAATTGTTAGCTTAAATTTTAAATTAAGTTAAAAAAGGCTTTTTTCAATATATTAAAAATAGAAATGCAAACATTTAATTTGAAATTTTGATTTAAAATTGTGTAGGCTAATTTATTACACTCAGTTTTTATGCTAAAAATCAAAATGCAAATATTTAATTAAAAATTTTAATTTAAAAGCTTAAAAAGTAGTTCAATTATTTGGCTTATATTTTTAAATAAAATCTATATTAAAAATTTGTACTTAATTAAAAACAGCGTATGAATTCAACAATGAGTATGAGAATAAATAAATGATGAAAGATAACATTTTTAGAAGTTAATATAAAATCGTTCGTAAACTGAGAATTATGTACTTGATTTTTAGAAAAAGCACAAAATAGTGCTACTCACCTTTTCAGAGCTTATAAAATAAGATAATATCTCTATTAAAAAATATTTTGGATCCAATACCTGTCATTTTACCTTATAATAATTTTTCTTTAGGATGGGATTTAATTATTCTAATTTTAATCCTTATAAATGTTATAAAAATTCCTTATGAATTAGCTTTTAATGATGGATACTTTTCAGTTGGAATTGTTTCTTATATAAGTAGAGCTATATTTTTCCTTGACTTCTTCATGATGTTTAACACAGCTTTTTATGAGAATGGCGTACTTGAAAAATAGAGAAGCAAGATATTCCTTCATTTCTTAAAAAAACGTTTAGTTATTGAAGGATGCACTTATGTCTGTTTATGGTTTAATCCTTTTGGAATATAATTGTTTAGGATATTTTTTTTAATTAAGTTTTTATAGTTTTACGATACAATAGAAAAGTTGGCTGAGGCATTTCAGCTCTCTTATAAATATAATTTTATTGTAAAACTGATAGTTCTTTTAATAGAAGTTGTTCTACTGTGTCATTTATTTGCTTGTATATGGTACTCTATAGGAAATTATGAAGTAAAAAATTCAACGGGTCTTAATTGGATTTAAAAGTTTAGTACTGACAATAATAATCAATATTAGTAATACATAGATTCTATTTATTTTTCTGTTGTTACAATAGGTACAATAGGATATGGAGATATTGTTCCAGTTAGCACTCTTGAAAAGGTTTGTTTAACAGCAATGGCTATATTTTCTTGCGGAATCTTTGCCTACATACTCAGTAATATACAAAATGTATATAGAGAATACTAAATGAAATAAGAGGGATATATTAGTAAGCTAGTTAAATTAAATAATTACATGTTTAATAGAGAAGTTAATCCTAACTTACAATAAATGGCTAGGAAATATCTCGAATATGTCCATTAACAAGGATTCTAGCAAGGAGTTATGCCCTGCGACACTCTTAATTCTCTAAGTAGCTCCTTAAGATAAGAAATTAAAGAAGACATATTCAAAAAATCTATTAATAATATTAAATACTTATCAAACTTTAGTAATTAATTTAAAATATAACTTTCAAGAAAAATGACAGAAATTAATTATGGTAAAATTTTTTACATTTATTTTGCTTTTCTGTTTACCAAAAGAATAATCACAAATTAATTTTATTTTTTTTTTTAATTTATTGCTTATTTCAAAACTTATTTAAAAATTAATTTTAATTAGATTATTTAATATTTTAATGAATTTTTTGATAAAATGAAATTATTTTATTAGGACCTGATGAATTTATTATGAAGAAAGGGTAACAATAATAGCCAAGGCTATATTATATCTTAAAAGGATAAGTAGAAGTTTGCCTAGATAAAGGATTAAAGAATGGCTACTAAGAAAATAATAGTTCATTATCTCTTCCATTTAGTCTTCAAAAATAAAATGATGTATTAGGTTTATTTGAGTTCACTTCTCAATCATAAACTTGTATGACTAATGCTAGAAGTATTGGAGTTACTACAGTTCATGTATTAGCATTAGATGATTTCTTAGAAATAATTAACCAAAATAGTTATGATAAAGAAATTTACTTTTAGTAAAAAGATAAAATCAACTTATATCATAACTACTAGCATGTTAAATTATTTTGTTATTCTTGTAAGAGCAGCCAGCATCTTATTAGTGATTGCCCTTTATTTTTTTACAAGCCAAATGAGGAAAGAGTTGTAAATAAGTATATAAAAGAATAGAATTATATAAAAAAGAGTATAAGAAATAAAACAAGTTAACGATTTAACTCATTAGCCATTTTCAATTCCCTAAAATAAGATATTCAAGATTTTCGTGATTAAAATGAGTCTGAAATAAATTCAATGTACTAATCTTAATCCACAATAAATGAGTGTTCTCTACATAATTTTGATATTAATGAAGGCTTATTGCATCAATAAAGTAACTTATCTCCTTTGAAACCTAAAAGTGAAGTTAACTTAAGGCTAATTAAATATAGAAAATCTTAGGAAGAAGATTAAATCAACGAATAAAATGATTTGTAAAATATTTAAGTAGAATTTAAAGATAAAGTGAAAAAAATAGATTTAATTTAATAAGAAATAAAATAATATTAGAGTTTAAAAACACCTGATGAGGACTTCAATGTGAGCTCCTCATCAAATTAAAAATAGTTAAATCATTTAAAAACTATGCCAGAAAAAAATGTTTAAGAGATATAGCTACTTAATAATTTTGAAGGTAAATAAAGAAAAAGTTTCAATATCTCTGTTGTAGTACCTAAAAGAAATTCTATTTCAACAAATAATAAATTATTATCAAACATATCACATGAAAGCTTTTAAACATAACCCCTAGAAAGTGTGTTAAGCTAAATCAACTAAAAGCAATTAAATGAAAATTAAAAATATAATAAAGATATCTAGCACGAAAATAATAAAGCACTAAAGTCTCAAACATCATTTTAAAATTAAAACAAACGTTTAAAGAATGAAAATAATATTTCATTCGCTGAAATTTAAAAAGCATTAAATTTACTGGCTACCACAATAGTAACAAAAGATAATAAAAATATCCAAGATGATATTTAAGAAGAACTAATAACAGATACTATTAGATCTTACTAATATTACATGATTCACAATAATGCTGCAACTGTAATTGAAAAGCTAAATTTACTCATTGATAAAAAATAGGAGATATAAAGGTAAAAAATTTTAGATGTATTTTCTACTTCAGTGTAATATAGAAGTATATGCTAAAAAATATGAAAAAAAATATTTTCCGTTACGAATTTAAAGCAATTAATAACAAATTTATTTTACATTTATATCCTCAAAAAAGCTTCAACTAATAGTATGCATAAATGTGTGTAAATGTGTTTACTTTGAATAAACTTAAGGTAATTGTTCTTCATGTAAGATAATTAAGAAGTTCTTTTATTATAAAGGTAGATAATTTATTATTCAAACAACATTTAGAAAATTAATTTTTGTTAATTTTATTAGTTGATTATATACAGACCTTCTTTTTTTATTAAGCATTTAAAATTTATAAATTAATTAATTATTTAAAAATAATTGGATAGACTAACATTTAAATTTAGATATTTGCTCTCTAAATTTTTTTAAATTTACCTTTATATAAAAAAACTTTTACTTTTGATTTAGTTTTAAATATTTATTAATTTAGTATCCTGCACTAGATATAAGGTTTAAAACTTAAAACCAATTTGGAGTAAAAATGAAAATAGAAATAATTTTCTTATTAAATAAAGTCTAAATTTTTGAAAAAAAGATAATAATTTTGAGATTCTACTTTGTATTTATTTTGAAAAATAAGTTATTAATTATTTATTTTGTCATCTAAAAAAACAATTATTATAAATTTAATGTTATAATTTTATATTTTGATTTAATTAAAATTAACAACAATATTCTTAGTAGAATTAACTAATTAATTGTTTGTTTGTTTGTCCTGTTCTTCCATCTAAGATGAATTCAAATCGCAAATAATATATTGAATAAAATTGTCAACAATAATATCAAAAATAATAAAGTGAGCTTTTAAGTTAAGGTTTATTAGAGATCACTTCACCAATAACCTAACAAGAAAATTAAGCTAGCTATAAAAGCTAGGTTATAAAATTAAATAAAATTGATATCAGATTAGGAGATTTTCAAAGGTAATAGTGGATTCTACAAGATAAATTCAGCTAAAAATCTGTGCAATAAAGCTTAAATTCAATAGATTAGGATAACTTTCAACACTAAAAAGATGATACGATTTTAAAGGATGAATATTCTTAAGATTAAAATATTGCTGCAAGTAGAGATGAAAAATATAACAAAAATTTATTTTAGTAAAATGAAGAGAAAAATTGTTTGAACGAAAGCAATATTTAAAAAAATTTAGAAAGCTCTTCAGCAGTTATTAAAGTAAGGTAAGGTAGGAAAACAATATTCAGGCCAAAGAGAGATGAAAGTATAGTTGATTCAGCTTACAAGAAAAAAAAAACAAAAAAAGTTGAATAGTAAAATAAGCTAAACTATTACTCAGAAAGAGATTTAGATCATTAAAGGGATGATGTTCTTAGTCAAGAGTCTAAACACAAAAATAAAAAGGAAAAAGTGTGGATATCAAGATTTTTTAACATTTTATTGTTTGTAAATAGGTTCTTAGTAAGAAATAGACAAAAGCTTTTATTTTTTCATCCAAACTAACTCCAAAGCCATTAAGCAGAAGCAATTAATGATGTAGGTAATAGCATAAAAATATATGTTTAAATATTTAATTTAAAAATAAATAAAATAATGAAATGATAATACAATTTTAATATAAAAAGTTGGTAATTTCATTATCTTTTTGATTAACCTTTGAATTTAGTATAAATAAATTAATTAGTAAATAAATAAATATATTTAAAATAAAAAAGTATATCAGTTTAACAATGAATTTGATAACAGAAACATTGTGAAAGATAATATTTTTCGTAGTAAATTTAAAATAGTACGTAGATTGAGGATTTGGTATTTGATTTTTAGGAAAAAAACTAAATTATGTGTTTAGCCTTTCATTAACTTTTAAAATAAGATTATTGCAACACTGAAAAGAGTTTTAGATCCTATTCCTGTTATTTTGCCCTATCATAATTTTTCAATTTCATGGGATTTAATTATTTTGATAATGATACTAATTAATGTTATTAAAATTCCCTATGAACTTGCTTTTAATAACGGAGATATATCTATTGGAATCGTTTCTTTTAGTAGTAAATTAATATTCTTTCTAGACTTTTTTATGATGTTTAATACAGCTTATTATGAAAATGGAGTTCTATAAAAACAGAGAAGTAAGATTTTTATTCATTTTCTTAAAAATCGTTTAATTATAGAGGGATGCACTTATATTTGTCTATGGTTAAATCCTTTAGGAATAAGTCTTCTAAGAATGTTCTTTTTAGTTAAGTTCATATAGCTCTATGATACAATAGAGAAATTGGCTGAGGCTTTTTAATTATCATATAAGTATCATTTTGTTGTAAATCTAGTAGTACTATTTATTGAGGTTGTGCTTCTTTGCCACTTATTTGCATGTATTTGGTATTCAATTGGTAATTATGAATTTAAAAATGGGTTGACTCCTAATTGGATTTAAAAGTATAGCGCAGATGATAATAATTAATATCAGTAATATATAGATTCTATTTATTTTTCAGTTGTTACAATCGGAACGATTGGTTTTGGAGACATAGTACCAGTGAGCATCCTTGAAAAAAGCTGCTTAACAGCTATGTCAATTTTTTCTTGCGGAATATTTGCGTACATACTGAGTAATATACAAAATGTGTATAGAGAATACTAAATGAAGTAAGAAGGTTACAATAATAAATTATCAGAGTTAAATAATTATATGTTCAACAGAGAAGTAAATCCTACATTATAGTAAATGGCTAGAAAATATTTAAAATATGTTCATGATCAAGGCTTTTAGTAAGGAGTGATGCCCTGCGAAACTCTTAACTCTCTAAGCATATCTCTTAGAGAAGAAATAAAAGAAGATATCTTCAAAAAGTCTATTGATAACATTAAGTTTTTATAATAATTTAGTCCTTAGCTCAGATTCTAGCTTTCAAGAAAAATGATTGAAATAAATTACGGTAAATTAAAATTTTTTTTTCTTAATAAATAGCTCATAGAAAAAATTAATTCTGTTGATTGTTGATGGTGTTTTTGTATTATTTTAAAGAATAGGTGATGATTTATTTATTAATTATAATTTTAAAAATACATTTTGAAAATTTGCAAAAGAATAAATAATTTTTGTCTCTATTTGGAATATAAATAATATTTTAAAAACAAAATATTAGGTCCTGATGAATTTATTATGAAAAGTGGTGAATTTTAGTAACCTCGCTTATACTACATTTTGAAGGGATAAGTAGATGTTTGCTTAGACAAATAAAATTTATAATAGTAAAATAGTTTGAATAGTTAAGTCTTTAGTTTGTAAAAATAAACTGATATTATAGGTTTATTTGAATTCACTACTTAGACACAACTATGTATGACAAATGCAAGAAGTGTTGGAGTTACTACTGTTCACGTACTAGCTTTGGATGATTTTTTAGAAGCGATAAACTAGAATTCTTCTGATAAAGAAATATACTTTCACTAAAAAGATTTGATAAATCTATACAAAAATTATGAACAGACAAAGTTATTTTGCTACTCGTGCAAAAGTAGCTAGCATCTAATTAAAGATTGTCCTGTCTTTTTTTACAAACCTAATAAGCAGAAAATAATAAATAAACATGTATAAGGTTAAAATTACTTAAGAATGAATATCAGAAATAAATAGAACTCCAGATTTAATTCTCTTGCTATTGTTAATTAACTAAGGCAAGATATTTTGCAATTTTGTGAAGAGAATGAATCAGATATAGATTCTTTGTATTAATCTCAGTCTACTTTAAAAGATACATTATAAAATATTGATGTTAATGATTGTATACTAGCCTAATAAAGCAGTTTATCTCCATTAAAGCCGAAGAGTGAAGTAAATTTAAGAATGGCAAAAGATAGAAATTAGGAAAAAGATGATATAATGCATATTGATGATGAATTCAAGAAAAAATAATCTGAAAAATCTGAAAAACAAAGCAAATTAAATGCAATTTAGTAGGAAGCTAGCTTTTTAGAGTGTTGCAAATTAAATGAAGACTTTAAGTTAGATTCTTTATTAAATTAAAATTTTATTTGCAGCGAATAAAATATTGCAGAAAAACAAGTTGATAAAAGGGAAAGCATTAAAAATAATGAAATTTAAGCTCATAGAAGCAGTTTTAACAATTGTGGTTTGGTTTCTAAGAAAAATTCTTTTATGTAGATAAATAATATTCATTAAAGTTAACTTTCATAAAGAATATCAATGGGAATTTTAGATAAAAACATAAATTTAATTAATTAAAAAGCAATTAACGAAAACATAATGTCAAATAAAGAAAAACAAAAATATATGAAATCACTGTAATCTCTAAAAACTCAGAATATTCAAACATAGAAAAGAAACAGCATACGCTACAGCTAAATCTAAAATTTTCTAAATCTTCTTACAAGTAATATTATAAAAAAGGAGAATAACCCTCAAGAAGAAATATAAGAAGAGCTTATTATAGATACAATTAGGATATATAAATACTATATGCCAAATAATAACGCCTTTATTGTAATAAAAAAATACAATAAGTATCAGAACAAAAAGAAAGAGAGAGAAAAGTAAAAGTTATTAGAAATTGTTTCTAACAATCTTTAGCACAGAAGTATTTTCCAAAAATTCTGAACTGCTTACATAAAAATTTATTTATTCTTGATAACCAAACCATAAAAATTGATTTTAAATTTTATACCTTAGGGACTCTTAAATAAATATAGAATAAAAAATGTATATTTTATTTTTTCCCTCATTATTCAAAAATCATCCTACTCCTTATTAAAAAACCGTTATACTAATATCATTTATTTAAGGGTATAAGTTGTATATAAATAAGAAAATTTATTCAGGTTTTTATAATCTTGCTTTATTTTTGTTTATTAATCTAATTATTAATTAATAAAAATATTTTTGCATTTAATTAAAAAATTTTATTTTATTTTTTTCTTAATTACTAATTTTTTTATATCCTTTTGCAAAAAAAAAATAATTATTTATAATATTAATCAATATCCTTGGTTTTATTTAATTTATAAAGTATTATATTATTCGAATTGCTATATTTATTCTGTTCGGATTAGGAGTTATTTTAAAATTTAAATTCCTATATTAAAATTATCAACTTCTTTAATTAAAGTAGAGTTGATTGCTTTCTTGCTTGCTTGAGAAAAAGAGCAAACTAAATACCTGTATTTTTAATTAATAAGTAGAATTTAATTAAAAGAAGGCATCTAACATTATAAGAAATAAAAAATATGTAGTTAAGTGAAGCAATATGCTAAAATTAAAAGTAATTTGCTGAAAATTATTCAGAAAAGATGGAATCAAGCAATGAAAATAGCAATATTTTATCTCTAAAAGAATTTAGGTTTGCTTAGTGGCCTAATAATTTTGATATTAGGCAAGGAGATTAAAAGAGATAGCAATGGTTAGTTCAAGATAATTTCCATTAAAAATCTTACATACATTCAAGTTCTTCAATTGATGAGATAGAAGAAAATGTTGACAAATTAAAAAGTCAATATATTTTTTAATAGGTAAATCCACTTGAAAATACAAACATCACAAAAAGCTAAGATAATTTTAGCAAAGTTCCTTTAAAATTAGATACAACAATTAGTAATATAGATAGTTTTTCAAAACAATAAAAGTCTTTAGATGCAGTATCCATGAATAGCCAAATAAAAAGAGGGAAAAATACGATGTACAACTAATAGAAGGAAGATCTTATTGTTGATATTTAATAGAAAAGATAAAAAACTAAGAAAACTGAGGAGATGAAAAGGACTTCATACAATAAAAATAGTAATAATTTGTAAGAGCAGTTAGATCAGCAATTTATTTAGAAAGAAAAAGTAAATAAGGATAAGATATGGCTCACTCGATTTTTTTACATTCTCTTTTTTGTAAACAGATTCTTATTTAGAAGTAAAAAAAAACTGATTTACTTTCGACCAAATTAGTTGAAAGGCAACTAGATAAATGCAATTAATGACATTAGTAAAACAATATAAATTATTAATTTTAAAAAATAAGAATATAAAAAGCTAATTTTTCAGTAATTTATAAATAAAATTGAATGCAAAATTAACAACAATAATTTTTTTTTTAATTTACTTTTACTAATTTAATTAAACATTTTTAGTGTTTTTATTAGTTTATTTTTAATTATTAAAAAGCTTATCAGCCAAATAAAGATCATGAAAATAAAAAAACAAATAAAGATAACATTTTTAGAAGCAAATTTAAAATAATTCGTAGAATTAGGATTTTGTATTTGATATTTAGGAAAAAAATTAAAATATTTATTGTCCCTTTCTAGAATTTGAAAAATTCATTTTTATACACTTTAAGAAAAGTGCTTGATCCTATACCTGTAATTATGCCATTTTAAAACATTTCTTGGGGATGGGATTTAATAATTATGGTATTCATTCTAATTAACTGCATCAAAATTCCTTTTGAGCTTTCTTTTAATAATTAAGTTGTTTCTATTGATGATATTACTTAAGCCAGTAGGTTCATATTCTTTTTTGAATTCTTTATGATGTTTAACACTGCATACTATGAAAATGGAGTTTTAGAAAAACAAAGGAGCAAAATATTTTTTCATGTAATCAAAAATAGGTTATTCTTTGAAGTATTTGCATATCTTTGCTTATGGCTCAATCCTTTTGGAGTATCTTTTTTCAGGATATTTTTTCTCTTGAAATTTTTTTAGTTTTATGATATTATAGAAAAACTAGCTGAGACATTTTAGTTGTCTTATAAATATAACTTTGTGGTGAATTTGGTCGCTCTATTCATAGAAGTAGTCTTTTTGTGTCATTTATTTGCATGCATTTGGTACTCTATCGGAAATTATCAGGTTCAGTAAGGAATGACTCCAAACTGGATTTAAAAATATAGCACTAGTGATAATAACTAATACTAATAATATATAGATTCTATTTATTTTTCTGTTATTACAATTGGAACAATAGGATTTGGAGACATAGTTCCAGTTAGTTCAATAGAAAAAGGCTGCTTGACTTGCATGGCAGTCTTTTCATGTGGAATATTTGCTTATATCCTTAGTAATATATAAAATGTGTATAGAGAATTTTAAATGAAGCAGGAAGGATATGTTAACAAGTTATCAGAACTAAACAATTATATGTTTAACAGGGAAGTAAATCCAACACTACAATAAATGGCAAGAAAGTACTTAAAGTATGTCCACGATTAAGGTTTTTAATAAGGTGTAAAACCTTGTGATACTTTGAACTCACTAAGCATTTCTCTAAGAGAAGAAATTAAAGAAGATATATTTAAAAAATCAATCAAAAGTATTCCTTATCTCTAATGCTTTAGTCAGCAATTAAGATCTTAACTATCTCGAAAAATGATTGAGCTTAATTATGGTAATAATACAATACAATTCATTATTTTTTTATTTTTATATAACTTGCAAAAGTAAATATTTTAAACATTAAATTATTTACCAATCAATACAAAATAACCAATTGAATAAATCAATCAATGAATAAATTTACTATCAGAAATTTTCTTTTCATTTGCTTTGTGCTATAAAAAAAAATTGAAATAAAATTGATAGCAATATTTTAAAAATATTTAAATTTTTATTTTTTCATAAAATTCCTTAAAAAATCAAATAAAGATTTATTTCAAGTTTAAATAATATATCTTAAGTATGTACTTTTTTATGAGATTAATTCTAACAATAGTTAGGTAAATTCATGAATGATATAGATTTTTATAAAGAATAAATAACAACTAATCATAGGAGATGATTAAAACTTTTTGATAAAAATACATATTTTATCTACAATACTTTCTCTAGTTTTTTTTATTATTTATTAAAAACAATGATTAATAAATACATAAATAGGTCCTGACGAATTTATCATGAAGAGTGGTTCGAATTAACCACCAAGGCTATACTATATTCTTAAAGGACAGGTTGAAGTTGGTTTAGATAAAGGTTTTAAATTTGGGTGCTAATTAACAAATAATCTAGATAAAAATAAACCATTTAGTATCTATAAATAAAATGATTCGTTGGGTTTGTTTGAATTTGTTTCTTAATCTTAGATATGTATGACAAATGCTAAAAGTATTGGAGTCACAACAGTACACATTCTAGATTTACAAGATTTTTTGGATGCAATCAATTAAAATGGAACTGATAAGGAAATTTACTGCTAGTAAAAAGATATGGTCAATTTATATAAATGTTATGAGAATGTTAACCTTTTCTGCTATTCATGTAAAAGTAGCTAGCATTTAATAAAAGATTGTCCGATTTTCTTCTATAAACCAAATAAATATAGGATAATTAATGATTTTAATAAACAAATTGAAAAATCTAAGAAAGAGTTAAGAAAGAAGTCAAATAATAGATACAACTCATTAGCTATAGTTAAAGAAGTAGAAAAGGATATTTAAGATTTTTGCTATGAAAACGAAACATTTATTGATACTATGTTCTAATCATTATCAAATATCGATGAAGATGAAGATGAAAACAACTATACAATTGAGAGAAATGAATTACCTCAATCTGAAATTGCACCATAGTTGAGTTTTTTATCGCCTATTACAATAAAGAATGAATAAGGTTAAAAGTTTTTCAATAAATCTTTATTTACTCAAAAAGATTCTAGTTAAATTGAAGACGAGTAAATTAATTCAACAAATTAGCTTTAAGAAAAAATACATGAAATTAATCAAAAAAACTTGTTTGATATGAAAGATAAATTTGACAAATAAGATAAAGATAATCAATATGATCTTTAGTAGTAATAGCTGCATAATGATTCTAATAATCATTTAAAAAGAAATTTAGCCAAAAATACAATTTTTAAATCTTCAAGAAATAAAACAGATTTAATAGAACCTAATTCTTAATAAAATTCTTCTAAAACAAATTAAAGGCAATCAGTACCCAACATAATTGATAAATAAAATATTTTTTAGAATCATAAAGAGGATAAAGAAGGCAGAATTTAAAATAAATAACATGGGAGCAGTAGAAAAATAGATTCTTAACAATCGCTAAAGACTACAACTAGAACTGTAAAGCGCTAAACAGTACGTTTGAGTTAGATTTAAAATGTGCTAAATTAACTAAGTAATCAAATAAATTAAAATGACAAAAATAAATAAGAAGAAGGAAATGAAGAGATTTTAACAGATACTTTGCGTATATATAACCATTACATGGTTCATACTAATGTAGGAATAATATTAATGCAATTCAATTAGTATTAGTAAAAAAAAATATATTAAAAGCATCTTAAACACATTGAGGTAGCATCACTAATTCTAAGTAAAAAACATAGAAGTGTATTAATTAAAAACTGATAAAAGTCTTTAAAAAAAAAAACTTTATTAATAGATAAATTGTATTAGGGAAGGATAAATAAAAATAATTAACAGTCTGATTAAAATGTTTACATTAAATAATGATAAACTATAATCTTTTAAATAATAATTATAAGATAAATATATCCCATCCTACTCATTATTTATTATTGAAAAATTATTTGATGAATACAAATTTAGTAATTTAAATATCTTGAGTTTAATTTTTTAGCATTTTTATATTAAAGTGTAAATATTCAAGTTATTAAAAATAAAATAATATTTTATTAAATTTTAATTTTCAATAAAAATAAAATGTATTCTTAATTATATTATTATGAAGTAACTATTTCTATTAATAAATGAAAGATATAATTGGATAGAAATGCTTTAAAATTTTTAACTGAAATACAAACAAATAATTTAAATTATAATTTCAAATGGTATTATTATTATTTATAAAAAATATATTCAAATCTTTTTTTTATTTGATCAAAAATTAAACAATAAGCTGAATATAAAATTTTAGTTATGTCTGAAGATTAATCTATTTTTAGCAAACTTTTAGCAAAAGACAAACTCATAGAAGAGCTTAGTGCTTAGGTTAAGATACTGTAAGATGAAAAAACTTCTTTAGAGTACATGCTAATGAAATCTTCTGAGTAGATTAGAAAGATATAAGATGAAAATGAGACTTAAGCTAGCAATAGAAGTGATATTTATAGAGAATAAGAGAAATTAAATGCTGATATAGAACTGTTAAAGAAATAAGTTTTACTTGAAAGAATGAATGCTTAAAATTATGAAAACATAATTAATAGCTAAAATTCAGAAATTTAGAAAAAAAACGAATACATCTTAAAATTATCAGGATCTATTAACAATGCTTATAATGTGATTAAAATATATTAAAATTTTGAAAAATAAAAAAATGAATGTGAAGAATAGCTTAAGAAGTAAAAAAAGAAACTTAAAAATAGCAAGAAAGAACAAGAAAAAATTAGATAAAAGTTAGCAGATTATTGTAATTAGCATTTTTTATTTTGAAACTCATATTTTATTTTATTTGAATTGAAGAATCGTATTAAGCTTTTATAAATTTAATTAAAAGGTGATATTTAATAATGTAATGGTGGAGATTTTGATGCTGCATAAAAATTAGGAGAAATAATTCAGGATATTTAGAATTTGAAAAAAGAAAAGTAAATTTTATAGGATCAAATAGAAGTTTTAAATAGCGAAAGCTTAAAATTAAAGAAGGAATGTGATGAATAAAAAAATATAGCTAATGCTTTAAATAAAAAAATATCTTATTTGAAAATAGAGAATTTGAGTATAAAAAATAAGCTTGAACATGCAAATAACGATTTAAGACATTTAAACTCATCTTAATCTCAAGAAAGGTAACAGTCTACTTTAAAAGGTGCTTAAAATAATAATAGCTTTATTCAAAGAACTAAATCCTTAGATAATAGTTTTAATAATTACAACTAGATATAAAAATATAAAACAGAGGGATCTGATTGTATTTAAAGATGTTGCTTTGAATCAAATTATTTTTCATAAGGAAACATGTAAAGCTTTAAAACAAAAATAAATTCTTGTTCTCCTACTCCTATTGATAACAACAGTTAAAACAGAAATTATTTAACGATTAAAAATATCAGAGAGTTGTATTAAAATAAACATTTAAATTTGATGAGCTAAGCAACAGATTTATTTTCAACTGAAAAACTCAATTATGAAAGCAAAAAAGGCTGCCTAAATTAATCTGATACACAAAATATTATAGGTCTTTAATAAGAAGTATCAGAAAATCTATCAAGATAAAAATCAAATTCATAAATACTAAATAACTCATTCAATCAATCAAGATAGTATAATTCATGTAAGCATACAAGAGAAAATTCAGGCTAACTTTAAAGCAATATCAATCAAGATTTTATTAATAATAATATTTTGAGCAATAACAATTAAAATAACAAAAATAGTAAATCAGAAGATGTATTGAAATAAATTTTATTATAAATAGAAGAATTAATATTAAAGGAAAAAGTTGATAAAAACTTGTTTAAGAATGAAGTAGAATCTATTATTGAGTTAGAGTTGGCTCAAGATGATAAAATTATGCTGAATTCCATAAATTAAATTATAAAAAATGTTACAGATTTATAGGTTTGGGATAGCTTTAGTGTTGCTTTGTTAGTTTAAAAGCTAAGAAGCTTAATTTAAATAATATTAGCTAAGTTAAATAAAACACTAAAGTTAAACTCATAGTTGTAGCAGCTTATTTCAAGTAATAATCCAACTCATCCAAATAACGATGTTTCTATTATTGAGAAAGACATACTTTCAGGGTTTTCTTAAATAATTGAGCAAGTAGGAGGTGTTAAAGAGGAGGATCTTTCAGATGATCAAAAATCAAGAAAAATACAGCTAAGTTTAAATACTAATCATATTTCTATAATAAAAGAATTAGAAGAACCATAAACTAGCAAATTAACAGATGAAACAATTCTGATTGATAAACTAGGTAAAGAATAAGACTTCTAAAAATTCGGGTCAAAAATAATTTAATAAGATGATATTAAACACTTATTAACCGAATTATAAGAGTTAAACTAATCAACAGATTACAACTAATATGTTCAATTCTTTATAAATAGAAAAAAAAATTAAAGTAAGCAAAAACTCTAGTTGCCAAAATAAAACTAATCAAACTAAGAAAATTTGCAGGTAAATTAAGAAAAGACTACAAGTTAGTTAACCACAAAGAATGAAAAAGAAACTTAAACTAATTCAGTCATTTGTTAGTGTGCAATAAACTAAAACTAAGATAAAAAAGAAAATAAAATGAATAATCAATAAGAAATTTATGTAAATAAATTAAAAGAACAAATGCAGCTCTAATTTTCTAAAAAAGTAAAAGAACTTGAGTAAGTCTTGCTCTTGATAAAAAGCTTTTTAAATGATGAAAAAGAAAATGTTTTCAATAATAATATAAATGGTGAATCACATTAAATAAATAACTAAATGCAAGACAAGCTCTAAAAAATATATCAAAGCAATCCTAATCTAAAGCCCTTCATATAAAATTTTATAGATAAAATTAGCAGCCTCAAAGAAATTAACTAATAATTATAGCTTGAAATTAAAAAATATTAACTTAGTAATAAACACATTAAGCAATTAAGATGATGATTCTTGGCTAACATTAGGGATCTCACAGAATATATTGAAAAAAGAATGTAAAATATTCTGGATAGAAGAATAAATTTTGATATCTTATTCAAATTTAAAATTTTCTGCAGATTAGTAGTGGTTGATTAATTTAATAAATTAAGCTAATTAAAAATAAACTATTTCATTTAAAAAAATTAAAATTTAATAAAAATTAATTTTAAGTAAGAAAGCAAAAGCTATTCATTAAAAAATTATAAATAAATTATTTTCTTTTGAATGTTTAACTAATTATAAAAATTTATTATATGTTTTATGTTTTTATTTATATAATTATTTGTAAATAACAAAAAGAGTTATCAATAATACAATTAATATATTTTTAAAAATTAAATTATTTAATCTAAACTAAATATGCAGCTTTCTTAGCATGATATTCATATTGTGGAATTTTATTTAGGATTTTTCATCTAAATTTAAAAGATATTTTCGAGTTATGTAAATTTAAAAATTGAAAATTTAAAAAAGCAAATTATTTATTGGATTTTAAAGTAATCAAAAATAAAAAAAATAATTAAATAATAAAGCGCTACTGGTATACTAATTATTAAATTTTTATCAAAAAAGAATTCAACTACAAACTTAATTAAAAATATTATAGGACAGTTTTTATAGATCAGTAAGCAAATAAATAAAAAAAATTTACTCAAAAATATAATTAGCAGTAGGAAATGAATATTGTTTAGAAAAATGTAGAAGATTTTGAAATTTAGGAATCTATATCTAGTGATAACGCTAACTCTATCACATTTTTATGCAGCGAAAAATACTCGGGAGAAAAATTAGTTATGAAAAAAATGTTCTTTAAAACAAAACAAGATAGATTAGATGCAATAAGATAAATTTAGAAGTATTAATTTTTAGATGCAACAAGATCTTTAAAGAATTAAGATGATAATGATTCAGAAAATAATTATAGTATTTATAGAACTCATGATTATCCTGAAAATAATTTTATAAATAAATATAAATACTACGCAATTGATTAGAGGTTAGATACTATTGATTTAATGGTATTTTAAGATCCAATGCAGCAATCATTGCAGGAAAAGATATAAAAAAAGTCAAGATTTGAGGATTACTTATCTTCAAAGGAGATGAAATGCTTAGTCAAATCAACTTTTTCAGCTCTTGAATATATGGACAATAAATCTCTTGCACATTTTAATCTTAAGCCATCAAATATATTGTTTAGCAGTACATTTGAAGAAGATTACTATAAAGTTAGTGATTATGGTTTTGAAAGCACAGATATAGATTCGAATTAAATATGGGAAGTACCAGAAATTATAGAGGGAGAAAACTACACTTAAGATATATTCGATATGCATAATTATGAAACCTTTAAAGAGGCATAAAAAAGAAGAGAATTTAACTCTCTAAACCCAGACCATGCAGATTATGATCCTATTAAATTTGATGTGTTCCGCTTAGGTTTGATTCTAATTCAAGCTGCTACATTTATTTCAAATGAAGAATTACAATGCTTTAAATATGAAGGGAATGTAGAAACTCAAGTATATTTTTTTTAAAATACTAATTACAAATAAATTATCTTTCTTTATAAATATGTAAAACCTTTTAAAAAATAAGTCATTCAAAGATGAGGTTTTAGAAACAATTAAATAGAGATATGATAATGATTTACATGACTTGATAGTAAAGATGATTAATGTTAATCATATTTTGAGACCTTACCCTTCTAGTTTAAAAAAATTAGTACTTTAATATCTTCAATCAAAATATGTTTTTCTTGGTGGACCTCAAGGCAAAGGACCTTAAGAAAATTTAAGTACTTATTGATATTAAAAAAAATAATTTAAAATTGTTAAATTATTATTTTAAAGATAAAAAAATATGTAGCGAAATATATCAAAGAATCTTGAATGCTATCATGGCTAAAAAGAAAACCCCCGAACTCTATTTTTTAAAGTATGATATGAACAGAGGCTTAAAAACTATTTAATTATAGAATTTCGAGAGAGCAATCAGGAATCTCTAGCTTTCTTTAACACCTTATGAATATGAAATTCTCATTAAGTCCTTACAAAGTGAAAAATATAATGTACTCTAAATTTAAACTTGTAAATAAAAATATAAAAACATTTCTATTGTAGAAAATAAAAATATTTATATAATTTAAAAATAGTGATTGACACAGAAGATAGTAAGGCATTTACTATTGAAGTAAGAAATCTATTGATTAAAAAAAAAACAATTTGAACATAATTTATGGTATAAATAGCAAGAAGATAAGCACAAGATAAAAATTATAAATTAGTAAGATGAGTAAACTTACGTTAAAGGCATTCTTGAATTAAATAAAGAACTCAATAAGAAGGGCATTCTATTGAGTTAAATTCTAGAAGACAAAAAAAGAATCAGTATTGAATTCCTTGAAAAGGATGATTTCAACTTTTAATTTAAAATGAATTAGGTTTAATTACCAGAATTTTTACTTGACTTGATTTATAGAAAATTTAATATTAATAATGATGGTTTAATAGCTTGCTAAGTATTTATTGATGATTTTATTGCATAAACATAAGGTAAATTTTATTTTAAATTCTTTAATCAGAATAAAGTGTAAGCTTTTAGCTTTTAATTAATTAAACGGTTTTTCAATTTAAAATATTTAAATTATCCTCAAAAAATTTGAATTTTAATTATTTAACTTTATTCATATTAAATCAATAGTCTCCGATGATGAGTACCTTAAAGTAGTTAGATAAATATTTCATATTATTAGAGAAAAATATCTAACTTTAGAAAACTTTTTTAAAGCATATGACAATAAAAATTAGAAATATATTTTAGAAAGTGATTTTTAGGAATTTCTTGAAGAAGCTTGCTTTGTCATTCCAGAAAAATTTTATTCTTTAGTTTCTGAAAATTTATTGACAAATAGTGATGAAAAAATATATCTTTTAAACTTATATTAATTTTTCAATTAAATCATTGCTGATTTACTTAAGACTTTCTTCAACAGGCTCATCAAAGATCTGCAAAAAAAAAATATCAATCTTTAAAGAATATTTTAAGACAATTGCAGTCCACAAAATCATTAGCTAATCTAAATAGAAAAAGTGGGACAATCATTTAATGTGCTAAGTAATTATTTTAAATTTACATTTTAAAATAGTTTAATTTTAAATTATCATAAATTATAGCAAACGATTCTAGGCAGTATATTAAATAAGATGAATTGGCTTTTATTTTAAATTTGCTTGGCATAAGAAAAGATATTCATGGATAAATTAACTTTGAAAGCGCATGCTAAAAATTTTACGAATGGTGTGAAGAAAATGATGTTAGGTAGATAGATAATCTATGTGATTAGAAATTAATTAAAAAAATGAGAACCTAAAAGGAAGAACTTTAAACGGTTAGAGGTAAAATTGGTCTATTGTCATCTTAGTTAGCTAGTAGATTGAAAAGATTCAAGCAAGAGGATGTTATTGCGTTTTTTAGAATCTAAAAATCGAAAGATCCTTTAATGCCTTTTTAAGAATTCAATTAAAAAATATAAGTTATCATGAAAGTTAAAGAAGAAGATAGTATTTCTATGTTTAAACATTTAGATAAGCTAAACATAAAGGCCGTTTCTAGTATTATGTTCTTATAATTTGCTTAGTTTAAGGTAGAGTCTTTTGAAGAAGAAATAGAGACTAAACTGATTAAAGGTATGGATGCTAAAATATTTAATCGTCATCAAAATTTTATAGAAGAAATCATATCATTTTTAGAAGAAAAGAATGAAACTATAGATAATTATTTTGCTTCTGATTCTGGTTATGTTCACAATGTAAATTTCAGGTAAAATTAATACAATCAGTTAGATTTTATCAGTTTTTTCAATTTTTTTAACATATAAAATGTAAAATAAAACATTATTTCTAACTACTTAATAATAAAAGATATATGCTAATGGATTTGGATATAAACTTAACATTTTTTAAAGATGAATTAAATGATTTGATTACTACTTTATCCTTACCTTCTGACCCCAATAATATCAATATAGAACTATTCCGTGATATTATGCACCATTTTTATTAGCTTAGAGCCAAAAAAAATGCTTTGAAAGGAGATGGAATAGAGTTTGAAAATATACATTTTGCTATTTAGTGGTTTATTTAAATATACGGCTAGCTAAATTTAATGAATCTTACATTTGAAAAAACATTTTTGAGATACGAAGAACGCAATTATGAAATCACTTTACTCGTATTTTCAAATTTCAGTTTTCTTTATTAAAAAGACATTCTAATTTTGAATAAATATAAAATATATTTTTTTAATTAATTAAATTTTTTAAATTAAATACTCAACAACATAAAATACCTGATTGAAGTTTTAAAAATCATTTTTTTTTCTCAATATTTATTTTGATTAGATATGAATAATTTTTAATTTTAAAAAAACTAGAATATGGATCACGTGATATTTAATACACTAAAACTGAAAAGAGATTATGCTTACATTTTCTTTTAGAAATTTGTTTAGAAGGATAAAGAGTATGCTTCTTTGCTTAAAATAAAGTAAGGGCTTGAAAAAGAAGAATTTTCTTTAAAAGGATTAAAAGAAATTACTTAATTAGCAAGATAATAAAGCATAAGTATAGACTAATTGTTTTTGAGGTTTAATACTAATCATGATTCGACTATTGACATATAAGAATTCAGAGAAATGGCAAAAATAATTCATCCAACTTTACCTGATGAAGTAATCAATCATATTTTCTTGCGTATAGATCTTTCTGGAGACGGTTATATTACTGCTCGTGAATTTAAAACATCACTCTTTGGTGCAATTTCTGAAAGTATTTAAGAAGATGAGACACAATTTCACACTTTATTCATCGAAGAATTTTAGATGTATACAATTAACGCTTTTAAAAATTTAATTTGATCTTATTTACATAAATTTAAAGTGCACTCATGAGGCAAAACTTGAACTTAGAAGATTATTTGAAAGATATAAATTTCAAAGGCATAATTTCAATATCAGATTTCCTAACCAAACTAAATGATTTAGGTTATGATATCTAAAAAAATAAGTTAAAAGTAAAAAAATAATTACATTTTTAAGAAAATCTAAATTTTATCATTCTAATTTTAGATTGATTCACTTTTGAGCAGAATCAAGAAAGATGAAAACACAATATATTTTCTCGAACTTAAATCTGTCTATCTCGAATACAAAAAAGATGAAGCAGAATTGAGAAGGAAAGGTTTGATTACTGAGCAGGAAGAAAAAAGTTTACTTGCATATGGCTAATTGATAAGAAGAGAAATGTAAAGAAATAAGCATACCTTTGATACTATCTTTAAATCAAAAAAACTCAAAAATTCTGAGCTAATAACTGAATAATAAGTTAGAAACTATCTAGTCTTCGATTTAGAATTAAACGATGATGCTCAAATGAAATCATTTTTTGAACATTTAAAAAGATAAAATCTAAATAATGTAGGAAATACTAATACAAGTAAAATTTATTTTAAATAATTTTCTTAAATTTATGAAAAAAAAATATATAAATAGGATCTGGTTTAGTCAATTTGGATGATCTAGAAAGGTTAATTTATGGCTATAAATCTTAAGATGATTTGAAAAAGGCTACAAATTAATAGGACTATAATGTAAAACTAGAGACATTAGAAGCAAAAAAATATGCTTTCACTTTAAATCAAAGCTTACTGGATGAATTAATATAATTCATAGCTAAAAATAACTACATCAGAAAAGAATTGGATGAAATCGACTCTTCATCAAGAAAAAAAATAGAAAGAAGGTCAGGTTAGGTAACTGCAGAAGAGTTTAAAAAAGTTTTGAATGAAGCTGGAAGGTATTAATTATTTAAATAGCCAAAACAAAATAAGTAACTTCATTTTTAATATAAATCAAAGATATGCTAGGTTAGAAGATGTTGTTTAGTTAGCAAATTATTTTGGCTGCAATAATGATGGGATATTTTTTTATAAGCGCCTCTTAGAAGAAATAGAAAGGGAAACTAAAATAAGACATGTTTAAGCAACTAAAGATATCACTATCAAGGATTTTCCTATTGAATTCAAATAGTTTTGCATAAAATTAAAGAAGAAATTGAATGAAAGAGGAATAAATGTAATTGATTTAGTTAAAAAATATTACAAATAAATAACAGATAATTGGATTTATGAAAGTGATTTATGGTATGCTTTTAAGGTTGAATAAATTCAAATAGAGTATGAATAAACTAAATAATTAGTATAATCTTTACCTTACAGAAATGGCAAAATAGATTACAAAATAATGAATGAGCTCATTTTTGAGCATTTCAAAGAGGATAATAGACTATCTACTCAAGAAAGCAACTAAGAAGAAGAAGATTATATCTAAGGGGGTAAAAAGGTAAACAAATTTTATTTTCGAGAAATAATTAACTTTAATATAATGAAATTATTATAGGTTAGAATGATTATTAATGAAGATGTACGTGACCTTTTCAGAGAAATAAGAAAAGAATTCTAGTAATATATGGGTAGAGAAAATATACCTCTTTTAGTGTTATTCAAAAGATTAGATATCGAAAATGATGATTACATATCATTTAGTGAATTCATTAAAGGAGTTAGTACATTATTTCCAAATATTAATTTGTCTAATCTAGAGCTTGTTTAGGCTGTCTTTAATAAGTTTGATAAAAGCCATGATACATATATAGATTTCTCAGAATTTAAGGCAGCTGTGCTTGAGGATTAAAGGGATGTGCAAGTAAAGCCTCTTCTAAGAAAAATTAAAAATGTAAACTCCTTTTTAAAAAGTTAATAATTTTTAAAAAGCTTTTTCATAGGTTTTAGACTTGAAAACAGAAGAAGAAATGAAATTACAGTTTGAAAAAATGGATACAGATAAAAGTGGAACAATAGCATTTGGTGAGTTCAGTTAAGCATTAAAAGAAATCGATTTCCGTTTTACACAAGAAGAGATATAGGTAAATAATATTATTATTTAACGAAAATACTTTTTGCAGATAAAATGTCGAATGATTTTTTTAAAGAATTATTTTATTATTTCCTCATTTAAAAGAAAATATTTTTTTTAATTCATTATAATATATTTATAATTCAAAAAGGCGTTGTTTGAGTACTTTGATAAAGAGGATAAAAAACACATTAGTTATCATTAATTCATATCTATGTTAAATGATGGTCATCTTGATTTTTTGGTAACCTAATTTTTATTTTAAAATACACATTAAAAAGTAAAATATATATATCTTTATACAAAATTAGAAAATAAGAGAAAAGATATTTGAATATTTGAAGAATTAAAATATTCCTATGGAATATTTCTTTAAGAGGTATGTGATGGATTAGCAACAATACATAGAAAATAGCATTATGAATTTTGAACAGTTTAAAAAAATGATGAGAGATCTAAGCTTTCACTTTGACTAAGGATAATTAGAGGAGTTATTCTGCTACTTAGATGAAAATAAGGATTTTACTATTTCGATAGATGAGTTTAAAAGCAAAATATTTGAATGTAAAATTGATATAAATAAAGCTCTCAGAGGTATTAGAAGAGCAATTATTTAAGCTGAATTTGATATTGAAGAAGCTATGAAAAGCAGAGATATTCACAAAACAGGAACTATCCCTTATCATGTATGGGTAAAATTACTAAAACAGTATGGTGTTGAAATCAAACCAATTGAAATGGAAGCAATTTTTAAATTCTTTTCAAATAACAAAGAAAAAGAGCTAGATTACATGTAAAATATTTTTGAGTTTATTTTCTTGTTTAATTTTTGTAAATTAAAAAAAAAAAGAGCCTTTATTAATGGGATGATTAGTTAAGTTTTTAACATTGAGGACATTCAAGAAAAAATTCTTAAAATGTGCAAGAAATATAAGACAGAGCCTGACAAATTGTTTGAATTATTTGATGAAAAAAAGGATGGAATGCTAGATTTGCATGAATTTGCTTAGATGTTAGAAAATTTACAAATATTTCTTTCAAATGATGAATTGAAAGAAGCATATCAAGTCTTTGATTTAAATAAAGATGGCTAGATTAATTCAAATGAATTTAGGGCTATTATTGAAGGTAAGACCTACTCAAATAAGATGTCTTTGCAGCAATTAATTAGCTAAAATTATTATCAAAAACAAAAAATGAATTATAATAACATTCATAACTTAATGTAAACCACTAATTTTGACCCTAAAGCTCCCAAATAAAATATAGACAATGACAGTTAATTAAAGTAAAAATAATTTTAATTTTATTTTATTAAAAATAATTTATAAATGTAAAGGTAAGTGCATATTTAAACAAAGTAGAAAGGATTATAATCTATGAATAGATTAGATAGTATGGTAGAATTTCAAAACTTTAGCCCTGGAAATAGCGAAGTTGGTAGCCCACTTCGTTCGTCTTCAATCGTTAAATTTAAAGTTTAGCCAACATCAACTATAAGAAGAGAAGGACTTGAATAATTTAATTTAGATTAGTATATTAAATTAATAGTAAAATCAGCATAAGAAGATGAAATACCTATTTTTTAACTATTTTCATAACATGATGAAAAAAAGAACTTCAAATTTTATATTACTGGTGTTTAAAAAATATTTTAATAGCTCAGAATCGATGCAGATGAAAAGCATATTGGCTAATTTTTCTAAAGCTCAACTCTTGGGAACGATGGTTGCTTCTACTATATCCCAATCCTCAAAAAAATTTTATAACCACCAAGTCTACTTTAGTAGATATTGTTATTTTCTATCAAAGCAAATAATCTCAAGCCATAATAATATTTTTAATTAGTCAGAGAAAATAGCAACTCATAGACAGCTGACATGGATCATTGGTATATTTCCTTATTTCCTATTTATCTTTGTATTGACTCAATATTTACTAAATTGTAATTATTACTAAAAATATAGGTCATTAGGCGAAATAATTTTCTTAAATTAGAATATGAACTTAGATTTAGACAGAATGTATCTGTAAGAAGCCTGGAATAGTTGGCTTTTTACTTTAGGTAACTCTAATACAATAGATGTCAAAGATTTCATTGAATTACTAGGAACAGAAGCAATTATCATGGGTGGTGAAGATGCCTTATCTGAAGTTATGTCTGAAACAGAATTAAAAAAAGCTTCAGAAGAAATTTTTTCACAATTAAAATCAATCTATATAAAGTTTGGTATAAATCTTCACGACATATTTACAACATTCGATGTTAAGAAAGACTATACTATAGATTCTGTCAAAAACTTGTAAAAAGCTCTTGCAACTGTTTATATCCAGCCAGATAAGAACTAGCTTGATCATTTTTATAATGCTTATAAAGATAACACAGGAAAATTCAGATACATCCTTTTACTGAAGTACATTTAAAAGTAAATTGAATAATTTTAGCTTGCTTATTTTTAATATAATTTATAAATCTCCAAATAAATAGCTTAGATGAATTATTTAAGTCCATCTTGATATTTATCATACAAGCAAATAAGCTAAGCTATAAAAGTTTCTTTGAAACTCTTAAAAATTAAGAAAACAGAAGTGTTTATTGGGGAGTTGAGGAATTTGTGAAAATCTCAAAAACATTCAATTTCTAATTTACTTAAGAGGAGTTAGAAGAATTGGTATTTGAATGGGGTAAAAAAATGAAAGGAAAACTATCAATATTCGATTTGGCAGTAGCCTTAAATTTGAGTATTGATATTTCAGCTAAAGATATTGAAGCGATGTATAAAGAGAGAGTCAAAAAGATATTTTCAACAGTAAAAGATTATTAAAGAGATATCAAATAATCCTTAGAATAATAGCAGCAAATTATGAGTATGCACTTTGGCACAACTGGTAATTTTGATGAAAGTGAAAAGATTAAGATTAATCAATATGTAAACGAACTAAGCTAATACATCAATGACCATAATTTTTTTGATCCTTTTGAGTCTATGGCTAAAAATGGATAGCTAAACTTTAATGATGTTTTTGAAGCACTTAGAAATGGCTATTCAATTTTTTAGACTTAAGAAGATATCAAATTACTAGCAAGTAATTAATTATTTTAAAATTTATTTTTTTAACTATCAAAAATATCTTTTTTTATTCTAAACTCTAATAAACAAATAAATTAATTAATTATCAACAAATTAGGTTTAATAAATCATTTTTAAAATGCTTAAATTTAATTTTTATAAACTTAATTTAAATCTATTCATTATAATTCTTTTTTATACTTAAATTATATCTCATGTTAGTAAAGTGATAATCATTCTTTCAATAAAAATTTTTAAAATAGGATGGTTATGCAGTGATGGACCAATTTTAATAAGTGAATTAAGTAGATTGCTCAAATACGATAAGGAGCTTTTAAAAAAAAAAGAAGAAAGAGAAAAAGAAAAAATAGAAAAGATAAATTAAGGAATAAATATTGGAAGCTATGTTAAAGAAGAAGTAAATGTAAATATGGCAGAATAAACTTTAGCAGATTTAATAGCAACGTTTAAGAGAAATACTGAAACAATAATTAGTATATATTTTGGAGAAAAAGACTATATTATTTCAGCAAATGAGTTTGTATAAATTACAACAAATGCTTGTTCTATAATTGATTCTCTATAGGCTTATAACTTATTCAATTATATTGATGTGAATCATAGTGGTACTGTTACAAAAAATGAAATGCTTATACTTTTTGGAAATGCTGTATAGAAAACATCAAAAGAAGAGTAGTATGAAAAGATAAGAGCATCAAAAGATGTCAACAAATAAATAGAGTATTATAAATACAAATTTTTTTAATATTAAAAATATTCTAAAATTAATTCAAAATTATTTTTAATGTTTTAAAAATTAATTTAAAAATTATTAAAATAAAGGAAAATGTTTGTTTAAGTTGATAAAGACAATAGTGGATTTGTTGACTATCGAGAATTCGATTAAATGCTAAGAGGTATAGGAATATTCTGTAGTCAAAATGAACTCTTGAAATATTTTGCATTATTTGATACAAACAAAGATAGTAAAATATCTTTTGATGAGTTTAAATCAGTTGTGAGTGAAAAGTTAATGGAAGAAGTTATGTCTGCTGAAGAAATAGTTGAAGATTTGAGGATGCAATTTAAAAAAGCTGATATCAATAATACTCGTTTACTCAATAAGCCATAGTTAGGGTAATAAAAAATTATATAAGTTAGTTGCCATAATCATTTTTTTTCTTTAATTTTTTAAAAAGCTAAGTTTTTCAAAATCTCGGTGTCATTCTTACAACTTAAGATTTAAATGAGCTATTTAAAGTAATAGATGCTGACAAATCAGGTACTATTGATATTGACGAGTTTTTATACTTCGTTAGCAGTAATGGCTCTCAGTTTACAGGAGTTGCAACTAATGTTCTATTAAATGTAAATTATAAACTTTAGCTTTATTTATTTATTTTTTATTATTTTTTATTAAATTAGATAAGATCAGCTAAGACATTGAATATTAATGATATGAAGTCACTCTTCTCTAATTTTCCTAGCAGCTTTTAAATTTCTTTTACTAGAAAGAAAAATAAAAAGAGAATTAATCTACCTAGCTCAACTATTAAGCCAATTCTGAATAACTACGATATATATGAAGGATTCAGATTTAATTATAAGGAAATAAATAATAGATTCAGAAATAACTCGTTAATAGATAGGTATTTTGTTCCTCATAAGTTAAATTGTGAAATAAAATTTGATGTAGCAACTGGAATTCCTATACCAAAAGATTAAATTAAGGTATAAGATATTGTGAGCAGACATGTCTACATTTCATTTTTTGACACAAAAAAACATCAAATATTTGGAAACTCATGCAGAGTACCTGTTAAATGGGACCCCAACTATGAAGATAGATGGTATAATTTTTTGGAAATATTTTTTGACTCTAAAATTTAATAAATTTAATAGGAACTTTAAATTTGCAGAAAACTTATTAGATAACAGTATTTTAGTTAGACATGCTAATTATGATTAAATTAAAGACATGGATATTATGCTATGTTTTGAGTTTGTTATAAGCGTTAAATTAAGTAACCAAAAAACTCAAAATCTTGAAATATAAAATAACCTTTCGCATCACAATAGGAATTAACTTTATGAAAGTTTTGTTTTATCAACACCTGACTTTGAAGTATCTTGTTGCTATGGTACTGTTCCTCTTTATGAAATCTTAAAATCAGGATCTAAAACAATTAAGCTAAATGGAGGTACCCCGATTAGAGAAATAGATATAGATAAATAAGATGTTAGCGCACGTCGCTCTGGATGGCGAAGCGTTGTGAAAGCAGTAACTGGATAAATAAAAACTACTTTGAAATTTGAAATAAGTAGATCTTTCCCAGACGAAGAGATTTATGAAATAGCAGCACTTCCTGATACAGTCATAATACCTAAAAAGAGTTTAAGCATAATCAAATCATTTAGAGAATACGCTATTGCTAAATCAATTAAACTAGACCTTACATTTAATACAAAAATGCATAGCCTTATCGAGATTAAAACATTCTAAAGATGTGTAGATTGCCCTGACATTTTATACCCTCTTTCAAAATTCTGGAAAGAAACTGTTTTACCATTTATCAAAGAATACAAAAAGGAGCTTGATACTTTTGCCAGCTTGATGCAAAAGTTAAACCTAGTTATTTAGCATAAAGCATTTAGATTTAATAATAGTGATCCAACAGCAACATACTATTCATTCCCTTTAATTACTAATTCAAGAAAAGAAATGCTTGACCTCGTCTTTAAAGAATTTAAAGAATAAAACCAATTAGAAGTTAGACCTAAAGCCAATCCAAAATCATCATAATAATCCTCATAGCAATCGTCTAAACCATCAAAACCAAGCAACTAGTAATTATTTTATTTTCAAAATTGTTTTAAATTCATAATTTTTGAAATTACTGTAATTAATCAATAAAAAACATCTAACCCTACATTTATTTTCATAAAACTATTATTTAAAGGTAGAATGGATATTATTTTTACAAAATAAAAATTTATTTTTAATAAATTTATTCAGGGTATTTTTCTAAAATAATTGTTTTATTAATAAATATTATTTTGAATTTTAAATATTGTTTTATAATTAAAGATAATTTGGATTTGATGTTATTAACTGCTATGAGACATTCAATATATCTGATATCTTAAGTGATGATGAAGATAGTGACTTTGATATGCTTGAAACTTACTATTAGCAAAAGGATAGGATTAATAAAACTCAACTTTTTTTGGATTGATTAAATTAAAATGTTAACTTTTTTGTACATAAATCTATATTTTATATTTAAAATTAAATTTACTTATTCTACTACATATACTTTAAAATAAAGGAATTAATTACTGGAAAATAAATCTATGAAATTCATATTGTAAGTTTTTATAAATTAATCAAGTATCTTTAATTAAATTATTTAACACAATTTTAAATTAAATAATTTGTACAAACAATCAATCAAGTTAGTTTTTCAATAAATCAAAATGTCTCGGTAAATTTATTTAGTGATGGAATTCAAATTTATTATTTTTAATTTATAGTAAAAACAACTAAGCTAATAATTCTTAAAGCTATGGAGATTATATTTATAATAACAATTAAAAGAGTAGCTCAATAAAATAACAAAACAACCAAAATAATTATAATGAATATTCAATAAATTTAAAAAAACTGAATAAAAAAAATGACAATTATAATGAAGGGTAATCTGATATTAATTAGTAATACTTTGTAATAAACAGATTTAAGTCTAATTATTCCATTTATAAGTAACTTAGGGTCAGAGAGAAGTTTAGGTGAACAGAAATAGCAGCAATAATATAATTATAATGATTACAGTCAAAGAAGTACAAAACACAATGAAAATAATGACTATGGATATATAAAAAAATCAAATAATAATAGCAGTAACAGCTTATAAGTAAGTGATAAAAACTACTTTAAAAATACAAGCAATTAAAGCAGTCTTATGCCTTCTATAGATAATTTATATGATGGATATTCAAAAAAATCACAAATAAAAAGTGATAAAAAAAAGTAATCGTTATTTTTCAAATTTAATAACTTTGTAAATAGTATTTAAAAACTTTAGTCAACAATATTATGAATAATATGGAAGTAGTCCCAAAAATAACAAAAACAATAACAACTATGATGATTATAATTAAAAGTAAATAAATTTAATTGAATAAAGTTGATATTTAAATAAAACTAATAAAACATTTAAAAGAACTTATAATTCACCAAAGAATAATAAAGGAGATTTAAATTACGATTCATACGAGTTTACATTTGATAAAAAATAAAAGAGTAAAAATCATGGGAACAATTATGATATCGATTATGATAGTAAAATTTCATATACTGATGAATTAATATTTATTTAATTTAATATTAAAACAGATTCAATAATTAAATCTTCCAATCAAACATCTTAGAGAGATTTGTTTGAAAATTAGAATGACTATGATATTTCAGATGGTTAAAGTGATGATTGTCTAGACATCAGTGATTTAGAAGATGAAGGAGAATTAAGAAATAAAAGGTATCAATCAAAGTAAAGATATGAAAAGAGAGAATAAGTATAAGAATGTAAATATATTTTGTATTTTTTTATTATTTATTGGGTTTTATTGGTTAAATAAAAGGGGAGATTGAGTATGCTTACAAAAAATTTAGAGCAAACATGAAGTAGATTATGACAAAAAAGTAAATCAATCTTAGGACTATTTTTAGGCAACTAGATACTGACAATGATAATTTTATTTCTTACATTGATTTTTGTAGAGGTATTTGTTTATTAATTGTAAAAATTTGGAGCTGTAAAAGATTTAAAATGATATTTTATATAAAAAGGATTGAGTTAAATAAATATAAATAGTCATATTTATTTTAATTTGGAAGATTTTGATTTGATTACTTGTTTGTTTGAGAGATTGGATATAGAGAAACAAAAGAAAATATCCTTTGATGCTTTTAGATAGGCTATTTATAAAAATAAAGAAGATAAATTACAAATAAGTAACTTACTAAAGAAAATTAGGTTAAGATTCAATTAAAATGATAAAGATACACTAAATAAGCTATTCTTGTAATTTGATTAGAATAATGATGGGAAAATTTAGTTCAATGAGTTCAAGTAAATAATGCAAAAATTTGAGCTGTAAACAAAAGAAATTGATGTATATTAAAAATGAAATATATTAGTTATTAAAATTATTATAAATTTTATAGGAGTTATTTATTCATTTTGATAAACTTAAATAAAATGAAATCGGTTATGAGGAATTCACAAAAGTATTGTTTGAAGACCATATGATATAGTCTAACATTTCTAAGACAATATAAGAATACATGGGAGAAAAATCTATGTCTTTAAGGCATTTATATGATAGCTTTAGTGATCCCTAAACAAAAGAGCTTAAAATAGGATAGTATATAAAAATGATGAAACATATTGGATTTAAATACTCAGATTCGATTGTTGAAGAAACATTTGATTTTTTTGATGCAGACAAAAGTGGAGCCATATCATATGAAGAGTTTGAAAAAGTCATATACGAGTAAGATAGCTCTTAAAATTAAAATGCTTAGAGTAGGATCCCTATTATTCTTAGATCTATAAGGAGATAAACTTTATCTCGAGGTATTGATATATGTTTAAAATTAAAGAGTGTTAATCACAAGTCAAGAAATCGCTTAACTTTTAGCATCTTTTGTGAATGTCTTAGAGAACTTAATGTCGATATTAAGCAGTTTGAAAAAGAGGTGCTTTTTAATTCATACAAAAGAGTGTAAATTATCTTTTTTATTTTCATGAAAAAAAATATTAATGCATTGTTCTAATACATAATTTTAATTAATTTCAAGCACATTAAGATAAATGCTTAAATTATTATTAAAATTCCTAAAATTAAACAAAACTAATAGTTTTTTAGTTCATTTAAAATAATTTTTAACTAAACTTCAATATAAATTTTATTAATGAAAGATTAAAAAATTATAATTTTAAATATTTAAAAGGAATGAACAAGATTATTTAGATGTTGATAAGATTGTTGATGATATCTTATTCTAAAAATTTGATATCAGTTTTATAAGATAAAGACTACTTGCAAATTTAAAAAGATATAACTTAACATATGGGTAGCTATTCAGCTTTTTTGATGAAAATTAAAATGAGACTATAAATTATTAGGAATTCTGCTAACTACTTGATGTTATTTAAGTAAGACTGAGTACAGAGGAAAGCATAGAAGCTTTTGCCACCTTTGATATAAATCAAGATGGAGATGTTACTTAAGATGAATTCATTCGTGTTTTAGAAGGTTGCTTAAATTGATACTAATTTTTTAGCAAAATTTAACATTTTTGTTTTATTATAGGAAAAGAAGTTGATCACTAAATAAGGTTTGAATAAATGATGAACAACCTCAAAGTGTAATAAAAGGCTCAACAACCTAAAAATTTGTTGCAATTACTTGAGCATAAAGGAATAAAAGTAGAAGAGCTATAGATCAAAGATATGATGAGTAAATTTTTATTTTGATTTAATAAACATATTGATTGATTTTTATAAATAAATAAATAGGTGAAATTGTAAATAGATTTATTTATCATTTAATATTTAAATGTAACATTTAATCAAATGATATAACTTTAAATAGGAAGATCAACTAGATATTAAAAAATAAATTCCCCAAAAAAGCATTTATTTCAACAATAATTAGAACTCAATAAATGGAAAAATTCAATAACACTCATTTTCTGAAATGTATTTAAAATTTGTAAAAGAAAAACCAGGAGCTTTAAAAGAAGAATTTGACTTTAATTAAGTTTTAGAATGTATAATTTACAATATTTAAGAGTTAAATATAGATTTTATTCATGAATTCATTAGAGTTGATGTTTAACATTATTGTGTTTTGACATCAGTAACAGATTTTTAGAATATTCTTTAGAATATTAATATATTTTTCACCAAAGAAATTGTAGAGCAAGCCTATCTCCTCTTCATGAACTCTCAAAATTAATTTGAATATATTAAATTTTTAATGACCATTTACAACCCTTTTTATCTTTTTAAAAGAATCTTCATTTATTAAATGCAGGTAAGGCCTTCTTTCTTATTTTCTTTTTTTAATATAAATGTTATTAAATTTAAAAAATAGATAAAAGATTTCGATTTAGTTGACATGCTCCAATCAATTAAGTAACTTAGTAAAGATTAAAAATAAATTGACTCTTATGAAGAAAATTTAAAAATAACTCCAACTGATTTCGTTGATTATTGCCTATAAACTTATCTAACCTTTGATAAAAACAGCTTTTAGTATATTTGGACTAAGTTTAATCCAAAAGAAAATGAAAGTATTGGAGTGGAAGATTTTGCAATAGGATTATAAATTCCTTACAATTACCATCCATTTATAGACATATAAAATATGGCAGAGTACTAAATTGAGGTAATTAATGAATTTTGCCATTTGATGGCAAGGAATGCATATGAGAGAAATATTAATATTATAGAACTATTTCTTTACTTTGATAAGGAATGCACTTTTAAATTGAATAGTCCTTGCATGCTGTAAAAAATAGCAAATATTCTTTAAGTAAATTTGTATTTAAATGAGATAAAAGATTTAATCTTTAAATTAAATAAAAATTATAGATCAGAATGTCTAACCTAGAAATAAAAGCAATTTATACATACCTCTCAAAAGGTGATTCTTGTGGTTAAATGCCATATTTTGATATTATAAAAAAAACTTAGCTTCCACATATTTATTTAAAAAGTATTCTCGTAATATTTATAAGGATGGAAAGATGGACATTGAAATAATTGTTTGACCATTTTTAAAAGTATTAAGAATTATTTAATTTTTTTATATAAGATTTTTATAATTAATTTTAATTTTGTAGAGAGAACGTTTGGGATTTAGAAATACTAAAATAAGTAATTGGCTATGCTAAAATAAAAAGCATATCAAAATGTATAGAAAGAACTTTTTAAATATGGGTTAATAATAAGAATCAAATGAATTTAAGTGATTTAGAGAGAATCTTGAACATATAAGAAAGTTGGAGTCCTAGACAAATAGAATTAGATTTTTTGAACAAGTAAAATATGAACATAAAAGATTATATTCATCTAATTGATGTTGTACCTAGTTCAAATCCTAACTATTATTTATATTACTATATTAATGAACCAACAACTGAGTTTCTATAAAATTAAAAGAAAATTCTTTAGTAGGGAGAAGAATATGCAATATAGTAAAGATAAAAAGAATAAAGAGGAGGAATTTTATCTGCAGAAGAAGAGCAAATTATTGCTTAAGCTGCCTCATTTCTAACCTAAACAACAAGTAAAAAAGGTAGTAGTGAAAATTTTCCTATAAATAGAAGCAGGTAGAGCACATTATAATCTCCTAAAATGAGAAATTCTTTTATTTCAAATCAATAAAACTTGCTTAAAAAGGACAGTGTTCTTTCAAAATTTAACAAATGAAATAAACATAATTCATAAATTAACTTGTTTTGTCAAAAAATAGTAACTTATATTTTAAATTTAAAATAATTTCTTCCAAGACTAAACTTTATTTTAAAACATTTTTGATCTTTAACGTTAATATAAATTAATGCAATTAGTTTTTATTAGTTAATATAATGAATTATTTTTTATTCATATCTTTAATTCATTATTTAAAATAATAAATTTTATTTAATAAATAATTTTAAAAAATAAAATTTAAGGATTCATAACTAATTTTGTTTAATACAGCCAGTGATTATTATTCGAATTTTAAAATAAAAAGATAAGCTTTCTTTAAAAATAAATAGGAATAGAGAAAGTTATTTTTTTTCAATTAAAATTCCAAATTAAAAATTAATAAAAACCCTAATTGTAACAGCCTACTTTTGAAAAATTATTTGGTTTAATCTTTTCTTGTAAATGAGAAAATATAAGAGGAAATTTTGCTATGACTCACCAAACATAATATTTTAACTTGAATTAATTTAATAAAATAAAAGCAAAAATGACTTTAAAAAAGTATTAAATAAAGTAAGGTTAAATAATAAATGAATATATTTTATTGAAATTAATAATAAAATTTATAGAATTTTATATAAGTTAAACAAAATGAAATATTAGTTAATTTTCAAAATTCACTTGCAACAGTTTTTCTAAAACCATCACAGATTTTATGCTCTAAGACAGACATTAAATCGAAATCTACATTGAAAGGAGTTCCTTAGAGTGGATACTTGACTTTATGTTTAAGGGTAAGTAGTCTGAATAAGAAAATAATGTCTTTATTTTTCTCTTCGTTGCTTGTTTTTAATTTTTACTCTATTGCTTAATTTAATGTGCTTTCTATCCATTTATTAGCCAGATCTCTTTCATCGTTTGATTTACTCCATAGTTTACTATATAAATTTTTTACATTTATTTATATGACTTCACAATTGATAAGTTTATTTACCCTGTTGAGATTGTAACCTTAGGGATAAGGGCATCTGAAGGTCTTTATGATTTAAGCTCCTTTAAATAATTTCTTAGTAAAATAATTAATTTGTTATACATTTCTAAAACTATGTTTAGTCCCTTAAATTAAACTTTTAGCTCTCTCAAATTGATTGTAAATATAATCAATGAGTTTCTATAATTAATTAAAATATGATCATTAAAATATATTTCTTGAACATAAAATTACATTTTTTTAGATTCAGCTGAGTCAATGCTTCTTTGGTACAATTCAAATAAAATATCTACAGAACTTCTTCTAATAAATGCTAGAATTTCAACTAGATTAGCTATGAAATAATTTTAGTTAAAAATAATTTATTTAAACATATATTTAAATATTTACTAGCCAAGCTATTTGATAACATATTTTCGGATTGCTTGTCATTTTCTTGCTTTCTTTTTTCGTCTTACAGAGTCACACCACCTTTACGATTTTTTATAGATAAAGCAAACTTTGCTTTCCACATTTATAACATTAAATCTATCAACCTTCTTCTTGTTGCATTTTCTGATATTTCTAATAATTTATCCATTCTATCCTTTTAATCTCCGCTTTCTTAGATAAAACTTTAAGCTCCTTATACTTAAATTGCAGGTTCTTTAAACATTTTATTCATAATTTAATCACTTTTTTAGTTCTATGCAGTATTTTTTCCATTATTACCCTAGCCACCTCTATTATTAGTTTAATTATTTGAAGGTCCATAGCTCTAATTGTTATTTCCATAGCTTTAATTATTATTATTGTTGTTGTTTGTATAGCTTTGATTGTTAGCGTTTTATCTTCTATCGTTAGGAAGCTCATATTCTGAAGAACCTCTAAATTACCTCTCTTCATTAAAACCATCCCCACCCTATTCAAAGTGAACTCCTCTTCTTCCACTTGCATTAAAGGGTTAAGTGTCAACATTAAACTGATCATGTGCATAGCTAATATCACCCTGGTTTTAAGGTAATCTGTTGTAATCACTTTGATTAAATGCCCCTCTAATATTTTCTTTAGAGCCAGTTTCAAAGAAGGCACCGCTTTAATTAGGTTTTATCTTGCTTAATTCATAATTCTTTAATAAATTTAAAATAATTGAATAATTAATTAATCCATAAATATATTTGTATTTCAAAATCTTACTCTATCAAGTGCTTCTTTATTGAGACTTTGTATTTCACCTAAATAAGCTCTCTTTTATTCAGTGCTCTTTAGAAGTAGCATATCTAATTCTTTTATTTTATTTTTTAGATGTTGAATTTCTTCGTTCTTCAAAGAATTGTTTTCCGAGTAAGTACGTTCTATTTATTCAATTCTTATCTACTTTTCCCTCAATTCCGTTTCACTTTTTGATCTTAAAGTATCCAAACTAAAGCGTAATGCTCCTGTTTCTTCCTCTAATCTCCTTTTTATTTCAATCAGGTCATTAACTTTACGTCTCATTTCAGATAATTCCTTATTAAATTAAAAGCAATAAATAGCAAACATATCAAACTTTTATATTATTAATTACTATATTTTTATCATTCATCTGTGATGTTAAACTCTATATATCGTACTGATATTTTTTGTCGCCCTCTTTTAATCTTGTTAAATTAACCTCTTTATCCATTGTCATATTTTGTATTTCGTTCTTTTATATTAAATTTCTTTATACTACATGTCTTGAATTAATTTTTTATTACAAACAAGTTCGCATTTTTATCATTTTGATGATCAAATTTCACGGATAAATCTGCATTTGCTGTCTATATTTACTTTTTTTATAAAAAAAATAAATTTAAAACTCTCTAAAACCTTAAAAAAACCCTACGTGTATATACTTCTATTGATCTAAATAAACCAAATACATGCGCTTTAAAGTGTCTTTATATTAAACAGACTCAGCTATAACTCTGTTTACTTCACTTTTTAAAAAATTATTCTAAAAAATTTTTTAATTTTTAATATGCATTCTTAAAAACAGTTAAATTTATTGCTAATTACTTCGTTAACTAAAGTATCTATTTCTATCATTTGAGTTTATATTGTATTTTCTCTTTCCTAAATAAAAATAAATTATTTTAATTATTTTCCTATTTAAATTTAAGACTTACTCTTAGGTAAGCTCTCATCTTTTCCATCTCCATATGGTAATGTTATTCATCAAAAAAAACTTCCCTAACTTCTTGGATTGGAGGCAAGGGCTCTCTATAATATAATTAAAAATTTTAAATAAATTATATTATCCCAAAGTAAAGCTTACGATAAATAATTTCCTACTGTAGGATATAAGTGCGCCATTATTTATATAATTTTAAATATTAGATAAGCAAAATTTTAAAAAGATTTGCACTGATTTATTTATTTGAATTATTAGAAATAAAGACTTATTAAAAAAAGATCTAGTTTTTGTAATTAATTAATTAATTGATAATTATTCAAATTTTATCTTCTTCAAACTGTTATTCGAAATATTTACAAATATAAATAAAATGTATGTCAAATATTGTTCATTCAATTAATTTCTAAAATCTAAGTGAAAATTAATTCAAAAAATTTTGAAATAAAAACAATTTAATTTCAAACATAAATTTATAATTTATTCTCTTTGTAATTTAATTTTTTAATAAAATACAATTTAAATAATTCAAATTTACAAGTCTTTAAAATAATTTATTTTGATTAAATTAAAACAAATATAACATATAAATACAGAATAAATTATGTGAAAACAAATATAAATGATATTTTTTCATTCTAAATGAATATTTTAGAAATAATTTATTTATAAAATAGTGTAAAATTTTATTAAAAGTGTTTTTTACAATTAAAAAAAATATTTTGCTTTTAAATTCATCTTAAAAGTAAATCTAATTTTTTACTTAAAACAAACGAATGCTTTTTGATAACAATTTAATTAATATAAATTGAAAAAATTGTTTAAAAAGTTAAATTCATTTTCAGCTGTTTTAAGGTTTTCCCATAATATATGAATATGATCTCTATGGTATACCAAATCCAACAAGTGAAGAATATAGCTTTAAATCATTTATCAATATTTTTCCTAAGCCTATAATTATTTTAAATAACTTGTAAGAAGAAAATAAAAATTATAAAAATATTTTACTTGTTTTTTCGTATGGGACAAACTCATTTTCATTTTCAGTAAATGTCGTCACTACTTATATTTACTAATTCTCTTGAGAATATGATCTGGCATTATTTCTTGCACTATTATTTTACATATTTTACTAGTTATTTACAATCATCTTATCTCTATTAAAATTAGCTGTATTGTTTTAATTTTAGTATTTATTCTTATCATGCTTTAATCTATCTGCAGAATTATGTCTTGTATCTTCAGGATTGCAACCTTTTTACCAAAATTTTAATTATATTTTTTTTTTTCTGAAGAATCTATATTAATTACCTTTGCACCCACAATATTTACAACCATTTTTAGGTAAGGCTGTTTTTCTTACTTTTTCTGGTACTTAACAAAGACATGCCTAAAATTTAAATTTAAATTTTTGTAAATGAAATAAGTAAAATAACTAATTACTTTTCCTGACTTCGAGAATGCTTTCAGACATTATTTACAGCATCCATTTTTCATTTCAAAATCTTAATGATGATTTTAATTATAATTATTATAATTTTGTTGGTTATAATTATCATGATGTGAATGATTATCTTAAACTTTTGAATTGTTAGATCTCACATCACTACTTTTTCTTTTTATTTTTGAATTAGATGGGTTATTTGCTTAGTTTTATATTTCGTCTTCTTTTGAGCATCCTTTGCAACCACATGTCTAGCAACCAGACATGCCGATAGAGCTTCTTCTTTAACTAGCAGGAACGACACAAATACATGTTTTTCCACCTTTGTCATTTTTTTTACACCTATTACAGCACTATTATCATTCAATAAAATAACATGAAAAATTAAATTAATGAATAAAATAATTAATACAGTGTATTATTTATCTCTTCTCCCTTTAGAAGCACTTCTTGTTCTGCTTCTGCTGCTTCTTTTGCTCCTTTTTTATCTAAAATAATTTTGAATAAAAAAATCAATAAATTCACAAATCAATGTTTTATATTAAAATTAAAAATTTATTTTACTTTAAATTATTCATTTAAAATAATATGCTAAATAAGAAGACTTATTTATAAGATAAGTTGTTTACCTTCTTGATTTTGATTTGCTATCTGGACTCCTAGAATAAGAATAATAGCTTCTATGACGACTATCGTTATTAGATCTGCTTCTTGATCTTTTTGATCTGTGACTTGATCTCTTCCTATTTTTATGGGAATCTCTACTTTCTGATCTATTTCTACTGTTGTGGTCTTTTGATTTTTCCTTGTCATTTTTGTTTGATATAGATGTAGAATTTGCTGTGTTTGCTTAATTATTTTCTACTGATTTATCCTATTTGATATCTAGATTTTTGCGCTTTTTAAGTTTTATACTACTGTCGTACTCTTCGCTATCACTTTTTTTTAATGAAGCTTTCTTTTTATTTTAATCATCTTCTGCATTTGAAGTTTATTTTTGATCGCGTGTTTCTTTTCCTGATTATTTTTAATTGTGATTGCTTTTATTATCTTCTTATTCATTAAATATATCATTTATATCTTCTTGCCCATTTTCTTATTCGTCATCCTATTAATCTTATTCTTCGTCATTAGAATCTGAATTATCAGAATAATCATTTTGCCTATAATTTAAGAAACTAATTTTTTAAACTATCATATTGATTAATTTAGCTACTATTTTTTATCTTCTGAACTTTAATTTTCGTAATCTTCATTTTCGTCACCTTCATCATCTTCTTCTTCAAATTCTTAATAATTAGGTTCTGCATCGCTTTCTTCTTAAGAGTTTTCATTAGATATCTGATTATCATTGCTATCATTTTCTTCTTCGCCTTCATTTTAGTCTGTGTTATTTTCTTGAAATTCCTATTCTTCTTTATCTGCAATATTGTTTTAATCAGAATTCTTATTAGAATTGACTTCATCTTCATCTTCACCAAATATCTCATCGAAATCTTTTTCTAGACTAGAATTCAATTTTTACTTATTCTAATCATTCATTTTACTCCCTGATTTATATTTTCTGATTTAAAATATAAATATTTGTTAATATTTTCCTTTTTTATCTATTAAATATTTTTTTTAGCAAACAAACAATACTAAATTGTCTACAATTAGATAATAATTTTATTATCTAATCGAGTTTATCTTTTCATTTTAACACCCTATTTGAATAACAATTTTTACAGTAAACAAATCTCTACCTTTTTTAAATACCACCTGTCGAAATATATTCCTATGCAACTATATATTATCTAATAGTATTATGAAATTGATCTAAATTTTTGTTGAAATTAAATATCACTAATATTATTGAGTAATTAATATTTTGATGTTAAAATAATTACTTCTAATATCCATGAATAACACTGTTAATAAATTAATAGATACTTGCTTTATAATCATTATAAAAATTAAAACATATGATATTTTTTCTTTCATTTGCATATTTATATTTATGAAATTTTCATAATATAAAATTTAAATTAAAATAATTTCAATTTTAAGATTCATTTAATTTTATTCAATAATAATAAAAAGTGTGTCATTTAATTATTTATTTACTTAAAAATATTACTAAATTTTATTAAAAATCCTTGTATTTAAATTAATAAAATATATTAAAAAACTTCAATTAAAACAAAAATGATTTTATCAATAACTTAATTTATTTGAAATTCACTTTTATAAAATAATAAAAAATCAGTTTAAAAATAAATGAAAAACTAGTTAAGAAAATTTTAATATTTTTAAAAAAAACAAAAGTAAAATCATTAAAAAGAAGTTTAATTATTATTTTCATTTGAAATCTTTAACAAAGTTGAATAAGCCGATGATATTGTTTTAAAAATCCAAATAATATTGTAAATTATTCAATTCATAATTAATTATTATCTTAATTTTATTATTCAATTTAAAATAATATCTAATTTAATATGAAAATCTTTCTAATTAAATTATTTGTTTTAATATTTTTTTAAATGGAATTTTTGTTTAAAAATATAAAAGTTGAAATATTTATGATGGGTGAATTTTTATTTTAAAACATTTTCTTTTAAAAAATCAAATAGAAGTAAATGAATTAGCTGTAATTAAGATAATAGCTTGCAAACATATTGATTTTTGGTGAAACAAGTAATATATATCTATCAATCTTCAATTTGGTATATGAGAAATACTTTCACAATGTATAAGAGTTTCACTAAAATCATTAGTTAATAAATTTAAGTAATTGATGTATGGATGGAATGTTAATAAGAATTTTTTAATTTTATGCTGAAGATTAGACATTTATTTTAAATTCGTTTTCGTAACAATTCCCTCTATATTTAGAGTCACAATAGCTATCATTTAACAGTGTAGCCAGAACTGTTGAGGAAATCGATTTCCTTTTGAAGCTCAACGCTTGCTTAGCTGGTGTAGTTGATAGCATTAGCTCTGTTTTTTAATTTATAAATTAATTTGATAAAATATTAAAAAAGTATTTTGAAATTTACCTTTCAGCTTTAGTTTAGTTGTAAATGCTTGTAATTCTAGCTAACTCAGCTTGTAATGAAACAATGTTAGCCTTATGAACCTTAATTTAATCGTTGATAGCTTAAATCTATTATTCAGCTTCAGGAATAAGCACATTATCAATATTGTTTGTAAGAACATTGTAAAGATTGAGATTAGCATCTTCTTTTTAGGTATCAATTGATAAAGCTTCATAAATAGCATTTTAGAGGTTTTTGAAACGTTGAACAATATCGTTGGCATTTTATTTATCAAAAAGAGAATTCAATTAAACCAAGGCTTCAATAGGGCGACCTCTACCAACACTCTTAACTTAAGCAAGAACTTAAGAAACGTTTGTATTATCTAAATCGGGGACATCGGGGTTGTTAACCAAACCATCTTATGCTTGTCTAATCAATTCATCAAGAACCAAAGCTAATTAGCTTTAAGTTTGAGTTCTTTGTTTATAAGCATCTCTATCTGTTTGATAGATATTTTCAATTTTAGCTCTTTCAGCTCTTAATGCAATAAGCTTATCTCTAAGTAATTATCTTTATGTTCTTAAATCAGTTATGGCTTAGTTTTCAGCAGCAATTGCATCATTAATTCTTTTAGTATCCTTAGCGAATTAATCATCATCAGCTTATTAATCGGCAAGAAGGATGTTGTGTAAGCTACCAATGTTATCACCAATATCATGAATCTTTTAATATCCAGTTTACTTAGTTTAGAGTAAAGCCTTGACGTTTTGTAAAAAAGGAGTTGCCTTTTCATTAGTTTTCATCTACAAAATATAAAAAAAACTTTAATAAGATTTATAAAACAACAAATACAATTTAAAATGTATAAATTTTTCACAAAATAATTTTGCATCGTTTTACCAATCAATCTCCATTAAATTATAAAATATTTTTGACTAAGTTTTCTTTGTTTATGTTTCAATCATTTATTTATATTTATCTCCTCTTATATTAGTTTTGAAAATTTTGTCATAGATAGAAATATTGATTGATTGATGATATTATGCAGATTAGTAAAATGTTTTGAGAAGTTATTTTAAATTGTTACGATGTTAGAAAGAACTTTCTAAAATTTCTTAGAGCTGTAAATTTAATGATTTTCATGCTTTGACTTATTTGCGTAAGCGATAGCTAAGACGCAAAGTAACAAGCATATTAAAGTTTTTGAATTCATCTTATATGATCTAATTCAAGTCTTTTCTATGTAATATTTTTCTTTGTATTATATTGTTTTTCTTGATTTTATTCAATTCTTTTTAAAAGTCGTTTTTTCTTTTTCTAAATTAATTCAAAGCATAACAAGCAAGCAAGCAAACCTTTTATTGATCAATTAATCAATCATTATAATTGGTTTGACAGATTTTTTGTTTCTCTTCACAAACAAATCCATATAGTTCTTCTTATCTTATTTATTTCCAGCTATTCGTTTTTACTTTTATAATTAAAAAACTGATAATTTGCCATATTCATGAACATTTGTTTTAGATCTAATTGGTTTGTTTGCTATTTGATTGCATAAAAAATCTAATCTATATATTTGAAAAATTAAAATATTTTTTAACTTATTTTTGAATAAATATATTTAAATTTCTAAAGCAAAATATTTTTAGAAACTAATTGATTGAATAAATAATTATCAAAAATTTAATTATTTATTTCCTCTGAATTTCATTTACTAAGAAAGTAAAAATTTGGTAATTCTTTAATATTTGAAAATCTTCAATTTTTAATTAATAGCAGTACGATGCTGATTAAATAGGTCAAAATAATTATTTTAGATTAGAATATTTATTTCTGTTTAAAAAATATTTTCAGTAAAAAATAAATAATTTCTATAAAACTTATTCTATAAAATAAAACCAATTTAATAGAATAAAAAATTATTTTATTTATTTTTATAAGGTTATAATTCTATCCTAAAAGGTATGAATTAATTATTAGCAAGTGAATTTATTTAATTTAAACTCAAATAAATTGTTTCAATTTTTTATAATTAAAATTTGTAGTTATTAATTTTGATAGATTAATATAATTGTTTAAAAACATTTAATTCTATTAAAATATAAATTTTTAGAAGAAATTCATTTTCAAGAAGTAACTTAAGCGAAAAAAAATTTTTATTATTAATTTTCTTTTTAGATTATTAATTTATTTAAATAGATTTAAATTGATTTAAATTAGATATTTAATTCATTTTAGATTTTTAATTTTAATAATTTTTTTTTAAGATTAAAATTCCTTGATTTATACCAAATTATAAAAAATAATTTTACTTTAAATAAAATTTTTATTTTTCATAAAACTATCTAAAAAAATCAGAAAAGGAATTAATTTAAAGGCCTCTTAAAAATTAAAAAAGTATTTGTTAAAGACTAAATAGAAATAAATATATAACAGAACAATTTATAAAATAATTTTAATAATTAATTAATAAATTAATTTTTTATAAAGTTTAGGAAATCCTATTCTCACTTTAAATATCTAGATTCAAGGTTCTTTTCTATTATTGATTGCTATATACAATAAAATTGTTAGCAAATTTATTAAATAAATAAATAATTAGACCTTATTTAATTAACTATAAGATTTAATACAGTTCACTTATTAAGTTAATCTTTGCAAAAATAAAAATAGAATATGACTCAATTTTAGTTAATTATGTTTTTGGTAAAATTATTGTTTTTATTATGAAATTAGATATTTATTATATATTTGATAATTTAAAATTATCTTTATTTAATTAGTTATTAAATAAAATTGCTAAGAAATGACTTTGATTGATAGTTTATTTTTTAAAATAGCCTTCATTAGTTTTTTATAAAGATTGATTAATCAATCATAAGGTTTGATGATTTTCTTATGGCATGCAAGACAAAAATTGTAAACTAGGTGTTTCTTTTTTATTTATTTAACATTTTGTTTGATTAACTTAAAATTTTTGCATTTTGTTAGTTATGTATATTTAACTAAATTCTTATATGATAACATAATTTATTAAGAAGAAATATTTGTTTAGAGAGAGGAAACCCAATAATATAAAGTCCTTAGAAAGCAATTTTCATGATGAATATTATTATTTTAAATTAAAAAATGTTTTTATTTTATATGTATGTATGTATGAGATTTGAGAAAGTTACAGATAATTATGAATTAATTTAAATATGAGAAAGGTATGAGATGATATAAGAATTGGAAGGTGTGATAGATTTAATTAGGAGTTTGTATATTAGATTAATTTATATCAATGTTTTTATTTTAAAAAAGTATTAATAAGATAGAAAAGAGCTAAAAGATCAATAATTTATACTTCTAGCTAGAGTTTTTTTATCAAAAATTTGAATTTCTAAAATAAGTAAATTTATTTATTTATTTATTATTAAAGTTATTGGTGTAATATAGTTTGTTTAGAATGAAAGAGGCTTGGTTATTTATTTATTATTTAAATTTTTGTAATGGTTAATAATTTTTTAATTGCTTGTTTGTTCATTATTCTTTTAAATTTCATAGGTCTTTAATTTATTAAGATTTTTATTTTTTATGTTTTATATAATTTGATATAGTTATTTTAATATGATTAATAGAAATTTTGCTATATGTTAGATTGTTTGTTTAATAAGTTATTAGATAAAATATTCTAATTATTATTGAATATCTGATTCACTCACTCACTAATCAGTCGAAAATCGTTTAATCATTGAGCGAGTAAAGAATATTTAAATTAATTTTCCAAAGTGCTAAGAGTTATGCAAGAAACAGATAGCATTTAGGGCAGACTAGAATGTATCGAATTCCACAAAAGCTGTAACTTTTTTGTCTTATTTACTTATATCGTGTTTAGTTACAGATCCGTAAGGCTTAAAAATGTTTAAGAAATCTTATTCTTTTTTGATTAGCTATATCGGTATATTTGTTACATAAACAGTTTTGCTTACAGGATTATAAAAGTTGTTTTTCTTATTATTTTAACTTCCTGCTCTAGACCTGGGATCATTATATTTATTTACAAAATAATCTGATTATTAATATTTTTAATTATTTTTGTCATTTTATTAAAATGATTGAAATTGTTACAAAGTTTTTGAACCTTAATTTTGTCTAATAATTATTGTTTTATGCTTAGCATACGAAATACGCATTTGATCATCACCTTAGAAGCTCATATTGTTTAGCTAATTTATTGCCATTTTAGCCTAGCTTACTTCTTCGTATTAAACTAATACAGTTTTCTTTTCCCTTAAAAAGAGGATAGAGTGAACATAGCCAAAGTTACGGAAAATATTGTAGACATTTTCAGGAGTAACTTCATTTATTTTTATATTTTTTATGTAAATAACGGGTGATTCTTCTGTTTATTGTTATTAACCTAAATAAGATAAAGATTGAAGGGGCAAATTTTCGCTTTACTCATTGTGCTAGTTAGATAGAGAATTTTTTGATTTAAGGGTAGAGATGTTGTTAGGTTCATCTTAAAAATTATTGTTCGATAATGCAACTCCAGATGAAAAGCTCTAATCTAAGCTATTTTCTTAAATGAGAGGCGTAGATGAAGCAAATTGTTAAGACTGTTGCTGAATTTATTGCTATTATGATGGATGAGAATATTATTTGCTTAAATGATTGTTAATGAAACCTTAGGAAGAATTAGTGGTGTTAATAAATTATGAGCTAATATTATTGCTAGATAAATCAACTTAATTTAATTAAAGACTATCTAATCTAGAAATTTGCTAGTAAAGATGAGTTTTACATGAATTTGGATAAGATGGAGAAGTTACTGTATGAAAGGGACTTGGTGATGAAGTTGAGCAAGTTGATTTCGAGTTTTAGGTGATGTCAATCATTGACTAAGGACCTATAAATGACTAAGAAGGCACCTTGAACTCTTTTTATTATAAAGCCTGTGAAAATTATGAATTCATCTATGAATAATAATTATCTTAGTTATTCTGTTAATGCGCAACCATATCAGAATTCAAGAAAACAAGGCTCCCTTTTCTAGGAGAAATATCTGTAAGAGATTGGCTTTAAGTTGATGATGGATTGTTCATATTCTATTAGCAAGCTGACTATAGATTGAATTCTGGTAGATTCTAAATACTAGTATTTCCTTAATCTTAAATCTAATTAAAGCTTTCGAAGCTTTCAAGCTTAGTAGGAAGCATAGAACAAGAGCCTTAACGATAATTACTATCATTCTTTCCTATGTTAACAGTTTTTGAAGTAGTGATAGCATTACTATTTCCTGCATTACTAATCTCATATTTTTGGTCTAGTGGAGATTTGAAACAGTCCAATTCTTCCTTGATTCCATTTTCTTCTTAAAATTGCTAATTAAAGCCACTTCCACCTTATATTTAAAATGTTATTGGGGAGAAGTAAGTAGCACTTTCATTTCTAACCGATCCTATATTTGTTTGGGAAGAAGATAATTTATTATGGATTATGCTGCTTCCTAATGTGATATTCCCCTAAGAAGTAGGCGTGGATGTAGATGTGAGTGATTGTAAACTTTGCGAGTATGGCTGAATTGTTTGGTTGTAAAACTAAGAATTTGCTGTAAATTAAGTATTTTAATGAGGCTACATTACTATATTTTATATGAGTGGATTCACAGTATTTGGTGGAGCTACTGTAGCTTGATACTATTACTATTGTATTAATTCCTCTTAGTTTTGAGGATTCTATTAACTTTTTTCAACATAAGTTATAGCTCCAATGGTCTATCCTATCGAATTAGATACATTTTTGAAGCCATGATTATTATGAGATGTTTGTTAATTCCTATTTTGTTGGTTAGGAGTTTTTATATTACTGAAGCTATTCTATTATTAGCTCTAAGCGTTTTTAGGAGAAGGTATAGAAGAAGATGAAGAAGGGAGATGCTTAAGGTTCAATTATTCCTATTCTTATTCTTAGTTTCCTTATATTTTATTTTTGCATGAGGCGTGAGAGCTATGATTTATTGCTTATTATTAGAATTTGTTATTGATTTAATTAGAATTCGAGTTGGAAGAAATTAAGTTTTAAGTAGTTGAATTTGTAATTTTGTTTGAAGATAAGCGATAGTCCTTGCCTTCAGTTTTGTAATTGCAAAGGTTTAAGTCAGTTGTTTATGAGTAGTGAACTTTGAATTTATATTTTTAGTTAGGAAGAAGAGGTATCTTGGCCCTGTTGAGGGCTTCTTTAGCCTTTTTAGCTGACTCTACACTGTTCATTTCAATAAATGCCTTAGTAGAGTCAGTGCTCTTCTAAAATATTAGCACTTTGTTGACAAATCCATAAGGTGAGAATATTTATTGTAGCTAGTCATTTGTTATTTGCAAATCTTTTAATTCAAATACTATCACTAACAAAACAGAAGAGGGACTACCTTATTCCTCTAATTATTATTAACTTTTTTCTTTGTTAAATTTTTCGCAACTTGCGTTTTATTCGTGGTGTGTTTGAAATTATTTTTTAGAGTTTTGATAGAAAGGTTGTTATTGCTATTATTGTTGTTGTTGTTGTTATTGGTACTAATGTTTAACGTGCGTTGTTTAATCTATCCCTTAATCTTATAATTAGTGGCAAGAGACCTTTTCATTATTCTAACCCACATTCAACTAAAAATTTTAAGTGTATAATGTCTGAGAAGAGATAAATTATTAGTTTATTTAAATTTATTGCTATTATTAATAATTTGATTGTTATTAGCTCATATCTTGTTGTTAATTATTCTGGTAAAAACCGAGATTATGTGGTACGTAGAATCTAGATGCCATTTATTATTGTTGATGTACTTAATGGCTACTCTTGCTACCATTATTTATTAAGTATGAATTTTGATCGAAATTCAACTGCTGAGGATTATTTATCATTTACTAATCATTTGAGGCCATGTGCTCTTAATGATAATTTTAATTGATCTTTTAAAACACAGGCTGTTATTGAGAATAATTTAAACAGTTTCCTTGAAATACAAGAGATTTATCAGCAGATGAAGCCGCGCTAAATTAATCTTCGTTCCTGCTAGAATACTAATTCTAAAAATTCTGCTGACTATGATTTTGAGGCATGCCCGAATAGCTTTGATGAAATTACTAATTCTTGCTAAGCGATTTTTACTAATACTATTAATGCTACTGCTACTAAGATAAATAACTTGGTGAACTAAATTGCTAGACTGCTTATTGTTTCATATTGAGAAGGAGTTGCTATTTTTTTAATTAAAGGTTTGATTTTTGAGGGAAAAGGAGCTAAATGCTTAGGCGTATTAGAGGTCCTTCTTTGCTGCTTTAAGATTTTGAAAGTATTTATTGATAGGTCTTATGCTCAATAGTTGCAGCTAGAAAAGGGCAGCACTACTTTTATTAGTTATTTGATTTAAATTTCTTTAATTTTTTTAATTGCTGATATTTTAAGTAAAATTAAATGATTATGCTTTTATATTTTTTCCTTTTCTTAATCTCCTTCCTTAATTATTATTATTTTTCTTTTTTCTTTATCCTTGTGAATTACTATGAAAGTGGATGGGTTTCTTATGTTTTTAAATATTAGAACTATTTATTTGCATGAAAGCTAGCTAGAGATTGATTTATTGATTGATTTATCAGCAATTTGTTGGTATTCTAAAGAAATACAGTTTGTTATTTGCTGGCTATTTTTTCTAAAGCTAATATATCAGATTCAATTTACTTTTCATTAAAAAAATACCAATAATTTAGAAATAGAGGAGGAATATTTCAGTCAAATATCTCAGCACCACATTCATTTAATTAATATCCCTATAAATATTCTTTTTTATAATTTAATTCACACATTGAATAGGCTAATCAATTTCTACTCAAATAACTAGCCTATTTTTTTTATATGTATTATCTATCTTTCTTACTACTCCATTTTTACAACCATAAAAATTTCATAGGGATTCCATATTTTATCTGATATCTGAAAATGGCAGAAAAATCATAACTCACTTAACTTCCAAACAAAGGATCACTTTATTTAAATTATTAAATTTCCAGTTTGCTTAAAAATAGCCTGAATTCTAATTAAATAAAAAAGAAGGATAATTGTTGTAGATTAGATGAAACTTTGAATGAGCTTTTAATAAAACTTAGAATTTCTAATGATAAGTAAGTTTAAACAAACAAATTCTTTAAATTTATATTGAAGACTTTAAAGATTTTATTGTTAATTATTTGATTATAAGTTGATATTACTTAAATAATTCTGAAAAATAAACGTAATTTTTACATCTATTTTTATTTATCTTTTTCTGTTTAAGAAATTCGAAAATTTTGCCAGTATTTATATTCGAGTTAGATATTTAAAAAAAGAAACGGAAAAATCTTATTTCGCATTATGACTTATTTTTTAATACAATTATTTTTCCTCAACATTCTAAGAAGAAAGAGCATACCTTACTAGTATTTTCGCTTATCTACAAAGGTACCTATTATGCTAATAATTAAACAAACATAAAATAAAGTAGATATTAAAATTAATAAATTAAAAAGATAGCTTTTTTTACTAGGTAAATTAAATAATTTCGTGAGAAATAAATAAATAGCAGTGTATTTGAACAAATATTAAAATTAGAATGTTATAAAGTAAACAAATCTTTTAGATTTTTGTCAGATTAAAAAGTAGCCACATATAAAATTATTAATTGATTCGAGCATTGAATCTATAGTAGTTGATTTTCTTGTTATAAATAAGGAGTCTACCCAAAATAATAAAAAGATTTAATTAAGCGGAAATATTGGCTGCTTTTTAATGCAGATTTTTTTAACATTTTTTTTAAGTCTATTAAATATTTCTATGAAAATTAGAATTTACAATAAAATAAAAAATGTTTAATAAGCTAGTTTTATAAGAGAAAAATGCTTCTATTTTTTGAGCAAGCCAAATAAAAACATGAAATGCTGAAAATCAATTTTCTCATCTATCTTTCCGATAAAGCAAGATAAGCATCTCAGCTAAAATTTATTCTTATTAATTGATGAATATTTTTCAAAATTTTAATTTACTAATTATGTGCTGCTTGCTTATTTAGGAAAATTAAAATTTATTAAGCACTTAAAATCTAAAAACAAAAGTATTAATTTACTTCACTTTCGCTTATTTATATTCTTTCCTCTTTTATTAACAAATCATGATACTTAAATTATTTATAGAGTGTGTAAAAGATTATGAAAATACACTTAGACTTTCAAAGAAAACATTCTTTCATAGTTTAATATTCAAACATCTTTCACTTTAGCATTTTATTTTAATTACACCTATCAAGAAAATAATTGTAACTTTAATTAAATATCATCAGATTACCATAATATCGCTTATTCAGGTTATGATACCTTTGATTTTAACAGTATTGGCTTTGCATTGCATGAACCGATTTAATTTTTTTTTAAGCGCTGGCTTATCTTTTAGAAATATTTATTATCATTCCCTATCAAATAAAACCATCAGTATAATATAAACGATTTTCAACCTAATTTGATAACCTAATAATTACTCTACTACAAATTTACCTTACTAGATTTGCTTATGGTTAACTCACAATTTAAATTTTATTTTTCTAAATGTATTTATTGACATCGAATGTCAAATTATCATATCATTTTATTGGAAATTAAAACACTCTTGACAGAATAGATAAGAAAAAAAATATTATGTCTAATAAACTTTTCAAACATCTAGCTTTGTAAAAAGAATAAGGAAATTCAGATGTAATGCATGTAGTTAGTTATATATACACTTTAATTAATTATTGAATTTTCTTCTGAAAAGTTGAGTTTTTAAGTTACAATAACAGACGTAAAAGAATGGTATGGATAGTTATAAAGCTTCAGGAAACAATCATTAATTTATTTTCATTATAAAATACCAAACATTTAATCGCATATTAAAGAGAGCATGTATTAAATTTTATTTTTTAAAAATCACAGAAAAAAAAATAAAAATATTAACTAGAGTTATTTTTTTTGATTTGGAGAAACTATTAATATCTTTAGAAATTATTTAGCACAGAATTGCTTGATTATATGATGCCAAAACGATTTGAATTATATTTTTTCTAGTGTTAATTATAATATAATTAAACAAAAAGCAAATATAAGAAAAAAGGACTCTTTTATAAAATCTTATCTTCTAAAAAAAAAATAACAAACAAATAAATAAATAAACAAATAAATAAATTGTTAAGTTATTTACTAAAATATTATCTCAAAATATTTTAAAAAGAATAATTTAGATTAGATAATCAAGTTATAAATATTTTCATTTTATTTTTAAGATCTGATTATAAGTAAACTTCCTAATAAATTTTAATAAAAAAAAATGACTTAGTTAAATCATGTTGTGTCTTATACAAGTAATTATCTTTTATAGGTGATTTTTAATCTGTTCACAATTAGTTACATCAAAAATATTAGATCTTCCTGAGTTGAAAAGGAAGTTAGTTAATTTGCATAGATCTATATCACACTGTAATATAAATTATTTTTTATTAAAAAGCTCCTATTTTTTTCCCCCTTACTTATTACAAAAATTAAATTTACTAATCACATAAACTCTACCTAAGACAAAAGATCTTATTATACTAAAAAAGTATCTTTTTTCTTTTTACCTCTCTTCCCTATATTTCTAGGTAACTATATTAATGTAATTATTAGACTAGTTTAATTATCAAATGCTTGCCTAAAAAATTTATAAATCTCAAAAACTAAAAAATGTATCATGGTGAATATCCTAACATAATTAGCTTGAATTACACAATTATTTTTATTTTAATACTTAATTCCTATAATAAACACCAAAATATTTAGGAATTAGTCTTTTTTTAGTAAAAATGTGATGTTGCAAATACTATTAATTTTATTAGATGAAATTTTACAAAAATAAAAAGTATTTTAAGAATCATTGCAATCGAAAATAGCAAATAAAATCTTTCTTCTGCTCTCAAATTTATATGATAAATGTGAGAGGATAATACCATAGAAGTATTTTTTTTTAATTTTTGTGAAATCAAAATTAAATTGCGTTTGATCCATAAATACTTCTCAAAAAAATTGTACAATAAACCAAGCTTTTTTAAAAATGGTATTAGGATTATTTTATTACTAATATTTTTATTCAAAGAATATTTTACTTTTATTAAATAATGAAAACTTAAAATCTTGTTTTGAGTATTCTCTTGATTTCAAAAATAATAAAAGCAATTTATCACAATTTTTAGCTATTACATGCATGCAAATATTTACCTAGCTTATTTATATTATATTTGATTTATATAGATAAACAAATTTTAACCTCAAAATAAAATAAAAAAAGAAAATAAAATCAAGCGGTTTGTACTCACTAATTTCTACTATTCTATCTATTTAGTAAAATATTACACAAATAAGTCTATATAAAGTAAAGTAAAATTTGTAAATCTAAATGCATTTCTAACTAAAAATTATTTGCTCTACAAATTACTAAAAATTTATATTACTCCTCTAACTTACAATATATTTTTTTATATTTCCCATTTATCTTAAAATTAAAAAGATGTATGGGTTTTTAGAAATTGATATTGAGACAAACAAAATATAAATCTATTTTAATAAATAAGTAGCAAAGTACTTTCAAGCAATAAAATCAAAATTATTAGTTCAAAATTTATCAAATACTTTCAAAAGAATTATTAATTTTAATAGGATTTTATAAACTTTCTTTCTTTGATAATAAACTAATATTTCCAATTCTTAAAATAAGATTTAACTAATAAATTGTAGTTTATTTTATAATCTAAAAATTTTTCAATAAACCTAAAGTTAGAATTATAAGTTATTGTAACATAACGAATTGTTTCAATAATATAAAAAAACAGCTATCTATTAAAGTTAATTCTTCAAATATAACAATTAAATTAATTATAAAGGTTATTTTTTCTAATCAATATTTAACAAAAAAACAATTTTTCCATGTTTATTTTATTTTTTGTTGAATAATAAAAAATAAATAGACATTCATAAAAAATAAAATAATAAATCCACCTATTTATTTTACTAAAATATTTTGAAATAAAATCCCTATCAAAATTTAAAAAAACTTTGTATTAATTAGTTAATTTTTTAACATATTATAATTTTTGTTTTAAGAATATTAATTTTTTTAGTAATAAGAAAAGCATTTATTATTTTAGTTTATTAATTTACTTTTATATATATTATATTTGATCTTTAAACAATCAAATGTTATTGAAACCTAATATTTATTCACTTACATAAGCATACTATCCTATACTATTTGTGTGTATTTTTAATATTTAGAAATGCTATCATGTAAATTTATTCAAGCATTTTTTATATTTTAGGTAAAATTTTTATTCTAAGTTACTTAATTTTTTATTAAATTAGATGTATTCATTCATTTTTAAGTTTGTAAGGTATTTAGATATTTAGTGTTCGTTATATTAAAATTAATTAATTATAGCCACCAATAAATTTATAAATTGATGAAATTTAATATTTTTTTATAATTAATTAATTGGTTAAAATAAATTTGAATTGAGAGTAAAAAAATAAAGAGAATAAATGTAATCTAAAATTAGTGGTTTTACCATCATTAAGATAGTTGTAATATGATAAGTAAAATAATAAGAAGATAAATACTAGAATGTTTTTAAGAATGTATTTGTTTTTGATTCTTTAGAATCAAAATTTTATTATATTTTTATTACATAAAAAATAAATAAATAAACTTCTTTTTTTTAATAAAACAATTATTTATTTTATAAAATAATAAAATTAATTACTTAATTAAAAATGTTTGTTTTTATTATTTTTTATTTTTCAATCAAAAAAGTTTTCTTCTTCTAACTCTTCAATTACTTCATTGATTTCAAAATAGTAATCATCTGTACTTAGTTCTTTGTTCTTTTATTGAGTTTTGGCTATTTATATTTAATTTTACTTTTTGTTGGATTATTAGGGTGAACTTGCTTCAGAATTATTATTATTATTTTAATACTAGATTTCCTCCTACTATTTTTAGGTATTTGCAAATCTGTAGGAGTCTTTGCATAAGTTATCAAGCTTTTTGCTAATATTTCTAAAATACTTTTCTTTTACATAATGCTCAGAGTAAAGATACTCTTAATCCTTAGGTAATTATTTCAATTTTTATATTTCTTATTCAAATAATTATTGATTATCTAAAACGAAATTTGTATAGAATAAATAAGCTAAACCAGGAAGCATAAATGTTTTGCGACAGAAGTTCATAGCCCATGCTTGTCTCAAAGAGTATTATTTAGATATTTTAATATTAATAAGACCAAAAAGATGAATTGCTGCGAAATAAGCTGCTGTATTTTTAAAAATATTTAATCCCTAATTATATGAAGTCAAGTGCTTTAATTTAAATTAGTTTTCCTTCCATTTATCTTCATTTCCATAAATTAATAAAGGATTCACATAAAGTACCTATTTTAGCTTATTAATTTAAACTCTAGATTATTATTTTCCTTAAATATACTATTCTAAAAGCTATTAAATGCTCTCTAAATTGTTCATTTTTATTTGTTTCTAAATGAAATTACTAAATTTATATTTTTTTTTCCAGAAAGATTTAAGCAATAAATTAATTAAATTCGATTGAATTCAAAAAGGGTTCCAACATAATTTTAAAGGAATTTAATAAATTCTAAGATAATTATATTATTTTTTCATTATTTGAAAAGATTAAGAAATATACCTGCAAAAAAGTATGCTAAAATTTAAGGAAATACTCAAATTATAAAAATGATGTTCGTGCTTTGATATTTCATAATTTTTTTTTTTTATATCAAATAAATATAATATTTTATATTGATTATTATTTATTTTTATCTTAAGTGAATTCAAAAGGAAAATTAATTATTAATAATTTACCGAACCAATATAATCTTATATTAATACCACTTTTTCCGTTTTTATTATTTCCAAAAACAATTTTTTTTTTCAATACAAAGAAAAAATAAATGTAAATCCATCTAAAATTTTTTTAATTACTATTATCTTAAATTATAAAATAAACATGTGGATATATTTTTTTATATCTATATTTTTTGTTTTTATAAAAGATAATTACTAATATTTATAACGCATAAAATAAAATTCTAAATTAAGCTTTGTTAAGTATGTCAAAATCCGAATATTTTTTGTCTTTATAAAATTTTATAAAAGATCTTTAATCGTTTTTATTTTAGAAGAACCTGTTGTTCCTATTTTTAAACTAATTTTTTTCTTTTCTTTCATATTTAATATTACTCTACTTAATGCTTGTTAAACAGCTTTTATAATTTTACTTAGCCTATAAAATTATTTGAGTCATTTTTTCTTAGAGGAAGAAATGAAATACTGTTAAAACTCATATTTGTTAGAAAAACTCAAATTTTTATCATGAATGCTAAGTAAAAATAAATATTGTTTTATATTTTAATAACTAATAAGTTCTTGATTAATGTTAATGTCTTAACATGTTTTTTGTTTATATTAAAAATTGTAAAAATTTTAAATCATCGTAATTAAAAGATAAAAAATTAATTAAAATAGAATTCATAGAATAATCTTATCAAAACACGTAATTTAATTTTCCAAAATTAACTGTGAAATAATAATAATTTTTATCTATTTTAAACTTTTTGAGTTGACTTTATACCAATTAATTTCATTTAGATTAAATTCAAATTGAGTTTAACAAAAACTTAAAAACGAATAAATTTTTCATTCTAAATTAAAAATTAAGAGCGAATTTCAATTAAGCATAATAATTGTCATTCCTCTATTTTTTTCATTGTTTGATTTGAAAAACACCTCTCCTCGAATAATTAAAAAGATTCATTAATTGTGGCGTAATAATCAATTCATTCTAAAGAGTCAATTGAATTAAAAACAAAAAAAAAAAAAAAAAAGATAATTATTAGGGGAATTGATAATAAAGTTTAGGCAAAAATTAAAAATCAATCAAACAAAAAAAGAAACAAAGAAAGAAATAAGAAAAGAAGCAAGCAGCTCGTAACACATAGTAATACAAAGAAAATCTGTAAAAATTAAAAAACAGAAAAATTATTAAAAACAAAAAATATAGTAAAGAAAGTTAATAGCTAAACCAATTAAAGCCTACTTATAAATTATCTAGTATAAACAATTATTGAAAATCACAATAATAAATAATATATCTAAACAATAATTTAATCTTATAGAATCTATATAATCAAACAAAAAGTTAACATACTAACTAACTAACTAAAATTCATACAAAACAAAACAAAAAATACAAAATAAATGAGTCTGTTGTAAAAGCGAAAGCAGGACTAAATGCATTCTTAACAAAATTCTAATAATGAAAGACTTTTGTGCTGCCTCTCTGTGATGAGTGTAGTCAATATGACATTTGGTAATCCTATTTATGATAACTATTTTGAAGGAGTCAAAGTGGTAATAGGACCAAATAGAACATAATCAATATTTAACAAATTAAAGGAAACCTAGTAAAAAATCACTAGTGCTGATAAAAATTCATAATCAGAGGATGATGAAAATAAAGGCATACTTGCATAGATGCATAAATTGCTGGGTGATAAAATTAATTAAGAAATATAAAAACGTGTTAAACTTTTCTAAGACTGCATAAGCTCATGTATGAAGCTTGCATAAATCCCTCAAGCCTCTGCTGAACTTCTTAATATATTACGTGGCAAAGAAGACAGCTCAGATGAAGATAACTCATAGGTATTATCAGAGTAAGTTAAATAAGCTAGAGAACTTATTAAAATAATTTAAAACTTTTGGGGTGAAGAGTAATTTGTTTAACTAATCCATTTATCATTAAGAAAACTTAATATTGCTCGTGATTTCCTTCAAAATTCTAAGGTTGATACAAAAGCTAAGTGTAAGGGAGGAGAAATGTGTGAAGAAATAGCTACATCAAGTACTCTCAGTGATGAAAACTCTGCTTTGACAGCCATGATTGGTTAATAGTCAAAAGAAATCTAAGAAAACAGCTCAAAGCTTGCCAAAACATTTAAAGAACAATTGCTAGTAAAAGTAATTCCTTGCTTAAGTAAGTATTAAGAGTCTATAAACCACATAAAAACTTTTGAAAGTATTTAAAATTGAAAGGCTGTCTTGTTCCATAAAATACAACACTGTAATTATAAAGTATCAGTTTACAGAAGACATTTTTAAAAAAAATATTAATATCCTCAAACCTTAACAAATAAACAAATAAATAAAATTATTAACAATATTTATAAAAAAACCATAGACATAACATCATTAATATATACAAACTCAAAGGATTTTGACTCTAAATTTCAAAAAAATTGTAAATAATATAAGCAAGCAATCAACCAATAAATTAATCTCCTTGGTAGCACGATAAACCTTAGATTCTTCTTAGCAAAAACAACCTTACTTATATAAAACAAAATCCTATTAACAGAAAATAAAATAAATTATATATATACATTTTATCAACAAACAATTACAGAGTATCAAATTTATTACAACCATTTCAAATAAACATAAATGTATTTATTTATTGTATAAATCAAATTTATTTACTCACTCATATAACAATAAATAAACATTTTAGAAAATTATAAGAGCTGAATTTTTTATATTTTAGCAAATCTAATTTCATTAGAAAAACCATAAAATTAATCGCAATAAGATAAATAGATCATTTATTTATTTATTTTTTAATTTAATTTGCTTTTATCAAACAAAATTAGTGTTTTTATGAAATTCTCAATTTCAAATTAATCTAAATCATCTGATAGTATTTTTTTGCATTATTTTATTTATTTACTAAAATATTCGCTTTTCTGACATACATTAAATTTATTCTTGACCACAAACAAAAACACCAAAAACTAAATAAAGAAAATGAAAGAAAATTATAAAGGAATTTAAACCATATCTTCTTTACTTTTTTCAATTCTTTTTTTTTTCATTTTAAGATGAAATAAGTGTTTTAATATCACTCGATTTTAGTTTTTTAGAAGATTATTTTTTACCAGAAGTAAAAAGGGGGATCAAATAGTGTAAATTTAAAGAAATGAGTGAGTTAAAATATCACTAAATAAAAATTTAGCCTTAATGAATTTATAAATTTAACAAATAAAATATTGCTTTTGATTTTCTCATTGTTTACATATTAAAAAAATTTTAAGGCTTTAAAAAATTACTTTGTTTTTAATTTGTATTTTGATAATGTTTGAATAAAAAAAGTTTACTTAGTTTTACTGTAAAATTGTAGATTATATTAGTAAAATTCTAACATCAATAGGTAAGTTGGAGCAAAAAAAGAAGAAAAAAATAATACATTATAAATTATAAAAGTAGAATTATAAAATATATTATATATTATGTGTTTAAATGGCAAAGAATTGTAGTTTACTTGCTAAAGTTAAGATATAAAAGAAAATAAATTTTAATTAAAGACTGAGGTATAAAATAATCATCCTTAATGAAAGAACCAAATATCAATTGTCATAAAATCTAATTAATATTATTACTTATGAATTTTAATGGCTTAAATTTATTTCAAATGTATAAAATTAATTTTTGATAATTCAATTAGAGTTAGTATTTTGTAACTCAATATCAACAGAATTTCTTTAAAACGTAAACAATTTTAACAATACATTTTAATCCAAATTTGTTTTTTTATAAATAAATTATCTAACTATATGTTTATGAATCTATTTGTCAATTTATCTACTCAATTATCTATCCATTTATGATGTTTCGTTTAAAAGAAATTATGTTTCTACAAATTTTTCAATTTATAAAAAATATATCTAAATTTAAAATATCTTAGAGTTTTTCTATGATTAAAATAAATTTTGTTAGTTCGCAAAGAAAAAGCTCAATTAGAAAGTATGTATATTTTTAATATGATTTAGATATAAATACTATTTTTTACAAAATAAACAACAATATTTAACTAAATTAAAAAAAATTCTTCTAATTTATAATGTATAGAAGCTACTGCCAACACAATTTGAAGCTCTTTGGTATTTCTTACATCAAATAATGAATTAATTAAATAAATTAAAAATTTTGTAAGTTTTGAATAGTTTTTTGCATTACTTTCAGATTTAATTACAGTAAAATTTTTGCATAGAATATTTAATAAATCCCAAATAAATGCTATTTATTTTTTTATATTATCATCTCATATTTTTTAAATATTTTTGATAGCGATTAGCAATATTATTGCAAAATTTAAACTCTTTAGAAGTTTTTTTGAATTAACAAGAGAAATAAATTTCAACAATATAATTTTATAAAAATATATGGAATTTCAATAATTTACAATTATTAAAACAGCATTAAATAATGAGCTAATTTTTTAATATCAGATTTAAATTAGTATTCCAATCTAAAATTTAAAAATAATTGCTCATTATTTGGTGTTTTAATCATCACTTATTCACCCAAGGCTTATAAGCTAATGTATTATTTTCAAAAAGTTTTCACTTAGATTTTTAAAAATATTTATCTACGCTTATAAGAAAAATAAGAAAAAACATAATAATTACAAAATTAAGTTTTAAAAAAAATGAACCATTTATTTTGTGAGTTTGATTACAAAGTATTTCACTCATTAATTAATATTATTTAGCAAAAAAAACATAAATTTTAATATTTTTAAAAAGTTAAAATGAGAAAATAAATAAAATTCGACTTAAAAAAGACATAAAAATTATCTGTTTAAAATTAAATTAATAAAATGAATTTAATTAATTAACTTTATTGTAATAATTAATATGCACAAATACTAAATTCTGGAGTATAAATTATAAATGCATAAAATTTTCAAATGTAAATTTTAAAAATTTGATTAAAATAAGTTGTGATTTATTTATTTGTTTGTTTATTTGTTTGTTTATTAATTTGCTAATTATTTATTTCATAATTTTTTAAATTATAATTACTCAAAATTTTTACTATTACATCTATTAATTGATAACTGGGAAGATGCAATAGCAAATAACTTTTATTATTTATTTATTGTATAATTTTTTTAGATTTAAGATTCCTTGTTAATTAATAATTTATAATAATTATTAAAGTAGGATTATTATTATTACAGATTATTTTTAAATTTTCAGTTTTATTACTAATCATATTCCTAACTCTTCTGGCTAAAGACATACTAGTTCACTAAGCTTTAAATTCTTTCTATTGAATTCTCTTACATCATTACTCTGTGCTGCTTGAATCAAATAGTTCATTAAATATTTTAATTCAGTGTCTTTTTTATCGTTATGCCATTCAAGAATGGGTACACCATTATCTATTTAAAATCCGAAGCTGTGTGACAAGTTATCTACAAGAATAGTATACCTCAAATCAGATCCTGAAACTATCCTTAAATCCTTAATAAAAAATCCGTTTTTAGTTTCCATACAGTTTGATCTATTTAGTATTCCACTGATGTATTTTCTTGTAGGGTCTATAAAGTTTATGATTGCTTCTGCATAAGTGGAACTGCTTGCTGTGAAAATAAATATGTCCCAGAATTAGGTCATTTTTTAAAGGAATTCATAGCAGAAAGGTCTAATCCTGAGTCCTATCTATTAAATAAAAATATATGATAATTATTTGATTTTATAAAAATTTAAATAATATAAGGCGATGATTATAATGTTACTTTTTTGCTATTTATTGAAATAAATTTGTGGAAATTGATATTTTTTTATCATATTTTTCAAGCAAATTAATTATTTTTCTACATACATACTAATAAAATACGCTTTGAATCTTAATACTATTTGCTTCATATTTTAAAAAGAATAAAATTTATGAAATTACATTTTAGGTTTCACCTATTTCGTTTTTGAATTTCAATATCTGGTCTGGATTCTCTTTGAGTGAGCAAGTATGGATTAAGGTTTCGTCTAAATCCAATAAAAGAGTTTTTCCTTTTGAGTCTTTTTTTTAATAACAAATAAATTAGTTAATTGTTTGATTAATTCTTTTTATTTAGTTTTACATTATGGCCTTTTCATATTCACTTTTTTTGATTCTATGTATTTTTCTGATGGTCCTTTAAGACATCTGGTAGAGTAAACGAGTCCTCTATAAACTAGAGTTAAATGCTTTTTAAAACTTGACTCTGCTATGTAGTTTGAGAAGATAAGGTGTCTGTAACGGTGGTTCTTTAAACTGTCAATTATTTCATTTTTTGCTGCTACATTTTTTGCCTCAGCGTCTGAGTCTATCAATCGTTCTTGCATCTATATATGAGACTTTAGATCATGCTATTTTACTAAATGATTCTTTTATAATACAGATGCAACTTCTTTTCTAGCATTCTCTAAAATTGAATTGGATTTTTTTATTTTTAATTTGGATGGCTCTGTTAATTGGGTCGATAACTCATTGTTTAAATCTTCATCTTGATTGAGATCATTATCTCCATCATGCTTTTGAGTAGACAAATTCTTAAACTTTGACAATTTGCCATCTATAAGTAATAACATTTTTTCAGTTAATTTAAATTTATAAATTTAGAAACTAAATTATTTATTTAATATTTATAAAATTTAAATTTTTTTTTGTATTTACTATTCATTTTGGAAGTAGCTTTTAAAGAAAAATTTTCGTTATCTGAGTTTTCGTCTGTAGCGTATCCAAAATCAAGCTTAAAGACGCCTCCTTCAGGATTCTCTTTTTTAACTATAACCTCTTTATTAGCATAAGGCTTTTACTCAACTTCAGCATCAGAGTAATATTGCAACCCTGGTTATCCTTTTATTTTAATATTGTTACTTCCTGCTTAAAAGTGAAATAACTTATCCATTATAATTTTAAATTTCTTTTTCTTTTTTTTATTCTTTTTTCTTTTTAAACAAATAGTATAATTTGTTTTTCTGGTTTTTATGAATTTGCGACTTATATGAATAACTAACTAAATATTCCACTATTTTTTTTTTGTAGTTTTTAATTTTTTTACTTTAAAAATGAAGTTATTATTTGTTAAGTATATTAAATTATTATTTTTTGGCTACTCTACCAGCTATAATTAAAAAGGCTAGTATAAATAAGTTTCTACATTTGATTTTTTGGAAGGAAAAAATAGAATCCTAATTCAAGAAAATTAAATTCACACAATTTTAAATCAAGTATGTAGATAAAATTTGGATTTTACATCAATCACCTTTTGTTTGTACAATCAACATTTTTTATTTACTTTTAAAAAGTTGCAATTTTTTTAATAGATCTATTTATAATTCAAGTATGTTTGTATTTCAAGCTAATCATTCTTTATTATTTTGAGTATTCTCTTTATTATTTAGTTAGTAAACACTAGAATATAGATATATCCTGAAAAAGGTTATCTTGAAAAATTAAAGTTGTTTAATGCCAATAGTTAAAAATATAATTTGCTTTAATAATAGAAGGTAAATTAAATGTTTCAAATTTATAATATCAAATGTTATAATATAAAAAGATAACTTAAATAAAATAATTATTTAGCTAAATACGACATTTCTTTTTAAAATTTTTTAGATTTTGTTAAAAAAGTATCAACTTAATCTACACTTTTTAGAATATTTTTCAGGCTAAATGAAACTATAGAAATACTGATTGTAATTAATATTCATAAATTGAGCAAAGAAATTTATAAATAGATATTAAAACTGTAGTTAAATTTATTTAAAGAACCTATTTTCCAATAAAACATATTTTTAAAATAAATAAATAATATAATTTATATTAGTTTTTTTGTATTTTCTAAGATCCAAAATAATTTTCAAAATTTAATTTGTTGTAAACAAAGAATTATTAATTAGATTTGAATCTAAAATATTCTTAGAAATGAAATGGTTGTATCATTTAATTCTTTAGAATAGTTAAATTTTTATATAAACATACTATTAATAATTTGTTAAGATAAATTTAAATATATTTTTATAAATATTTTATCAATCAGTTTTCTATAATTATATTAAATTTCCCTCAACTCGAGTTATTCTTTTCTAATATTAAATATAGATATCTATTAATTATAATATATTGAAAACAGTGCAAAAAAAAATTAATCAGTCAGTATAAAAAATATTTCGAAGCCTAAAAAATAAATTTTAAATAAAAAATATTTTTATATTTACTTCATATTCATCAATTTATTCAAAAATCTTCTTAATTTCTTACGATTTTTTATACAAATCATCAATTATTTCATCTTTCTTTTAAGAACTCTCCTAATCAACCTAAAATAAATATGTTAAGTATTGTTTTATATGAAAGCTAAAGGCATACATATTTTAATATACCACAATAAAAATATAAAAATTATTACTGATTATACTACTAGCTTCGTTTGATCTATCCTCAAATTAATGTCTTATATTTCGCTTTAAAGCTTAGAAATCTAGTAATTTATTTTTAAATCATAAGATTGATTTAAATAAATATAATCTAAAACTAAAAACAATATATAAATATCAAATTAAATAATTATACCATTTCAAGTTTAGTTTAAATAAATTCATTATAAAAGATATCCATCGCTTTACTTATTATAACTTAAAAGTTTGTGTGAATTTTTCAAATAAAATTTATATCTTCAAGATATTTATCAAAGCTTTTCTTAACTCTAAAGCTAAAAATTAAAAATAAATAATACGTTTTGTATAAAATTTTAGAATATGTGGTTTATTAATTAATCTTTTTTTTTCTTTGATATCTTTTAAGATAGAAACGATGATTTTAACAAAATAAATCCTCAAAATATGCTTAAAATAATATTAATTATTATCTATAGTATTTAATAAATACAAATATGCAGACAATAATTTTAGCAAAAATTAAAAAACTAAGACAAATTTTAAAAATAACAAATAGAATATAAAAGCTATTAAATTGCATTTCATGATATTTTAAGTTAATATCTGTCTTACTTTCAAAAAGAAAGAATTACCAATTTAAAATAATAATTTGAAATTTTTGCATTTATTATAAAGCTATTCCATAAATTCAAATTGAAGAAAAAAGATTACAATAAATCAAAAATAAAAAAGAAAAATAAATAAATAATTAATTAATTAATTAGATAGAAGATAGACTGAATTTCATGAAACTTTAATTAATTAGCTTCTTTTTATTATTCTATTAAAGATTCAGTTAAAGATAAATATTTATTTATTATACAATTAATTTAATTTCAATATTAAAAAGCAAGTGATATATTTATCTATTACTCTATTTGCATTAGCCAATATTAGTGAAACATAAAAAAGCTACACTATTTTCAAAGATTCTATAAGCTTGAAGTTATTTTATTCATAAAAAGATGGGAAGTTGCTAATCCGATTGCCGTGATAAATAGGAAATTGATCCTTATAATGTTCCAAAAGAATAAGAACCATTAAAATTAGAAGATGCAGAATCTTAATAAAAAATTATTAAAATATAATCCTTCGCAAGAGGATACAAAGCTAAATAGGAAGTTTAAGAGCTGAAGAAATAAGTTAACAGTAATGCTCCACCAAGAGAAGTTGCTCTTCCTTACGAAGGTCCTATGGCAACTGATAAACTCTAAGTATAAAAAATTTTGAATGATAAATTTAATTGGCCTGCAAGACCTGAATTCAAGGAATTTATTCGCCTTCCTCCTTTTAAATTTATATAATCTGGTGCCATCTACAAAGGTTAATGGAATAATGGTTTAAGACATGGAAGAGGTATATAATTTTGGCCAGATGGCTCTGTTTATTAAGGTGATTGGGTCGAGGATATGGCAGATGGTAAAGGTAGACTCATTCATCCTGATGGAGATTACTACTAAGGTGATTGGTAAAAAGATCGCGCATAAGGCATAGGTAATTTTTTTTCCATAAAAATGGAAAATTTAAACGCAAAGTTCAATATTCTATTAAGAGAATAAGATTAAAAACTTATAAATGATATTAATATTTCATAAAAATCAAAAGAAAGGCATTTATTTCACTTTATTTTAAATTTTTTTGATATTTTATTCAGCCTTTATTTAAGTTTCAAAGATATAAAAATTTTAAAATAGAAAAAATAATATGTTTGTTTAAGAGCATATTTTTTTACCTAATGCACATTCTCTTACTTTTTGCTTCTATTTTCTATTCTCGTTTAAAATTTTTCAGCTTTCTTTACTCAACTTTTTAAATATATAATTTTATTTAAAATTAGGTATTTTTGTTCACGTAGATGGAAATAAATATGAAGGTGAATGGTATTAAGATAAGTAACATGGCTAGGGAGTAGAAGAATAGCAAGATTTTATTTATCGTGGTAGCTTCTAAAATGGCTTAAAGCATGGAAAGGGAAAGATTATTTGGAAAAATGATGGAACTTCATACGAAGGTGATTTCTATGAAGGCTTGATGGAAGGTACTGGTAGATTTATTTTCTAAAATGGAAAAATCTATAATGGTTAATGGTTCAAATCTAAAATGCATGGACATGGAGAACTTATTTATCCTGATGGAAGAAAATATACAGGTATATTAATTTCCTTTTTCTTCTTAAAATATTTAGTTTTATATATTTTTAATTAGGAAGCTTTGTTGAAGGATAAAAAAATGGATTGGGTAAAATGGAATATCCAGATGGTAAAATTTATGAAGGTGAATGGAAAAATGGAAAATAGCATGGCCAAGGCTAGGTAACAACTCCAGATGGTAGAATAGGTTAGGGTTACTGGGAAGAGGGCAAAAGAGTTAAGAATTACGATTAAATGAACTAATAACATTAAGAAGTAGGACTCTGAGTAAAACCAACTAATCTATAATTAAATTTTTATAATATTTGTATAATAAGCTTAAATTTTAATTAACATATTCTTGTATTTTTATGTCAATGTTTGTTTTTTCTAAAGAATTCCGTTTTAAAGATTTCATTCCATTTTTTATTTAGAAATATTTGATAAAATCAAGATAAAATTACTTGATATTTCATTATTAATTGCTTTTTAAATGGGGTTTTTATGAAAACCATCATCTATTATAAAAATATTTCAACATTTATTGAAGCTAGATGAGCTAGATTAAAGCACTAGCAACTTCCTACTTTAATTTGATCAAAGAGTTAATGTTTTTTAATTATGAATATTCTACATATCTCATTAATGCTTTCATGTTAATTAAGTATTTAAGAGTTTAATATAAACAAAAAAGCATATAAATTTATATTTTATAGATTAATTAATTAATTAGAATTATTAAGATTTTCAGTAATAATTTAAAATTTTACCAAGTACATTTAGCATATTTTTTACATTACTTACTTTGGTTTGTTAAATGGATCCTTCATAGAGAACATCAGAAAATAGTTTAGTTTAAAATGAATAAAAAAATGAAGAATAAGACAAAGAACAAAAGAATAAAAACATTTTAGATTTGTTACCTTCTACTTTCACTTAGTTTCTGAAAGATAATAACATTAATCTAGAATACTTTTAAGAAATTGAAAACTTTCCTAGGTACATTAGATTAAAACCAGATATCAAAGTTTCTATTGAGGAACTTAAAAAAGATTTAGGTACAGATGATGTTTAGAAAATAGACTATTTGTGCAATTTTTACTCGATTCCAGAAAATGTTAAAATCGTAAATAGCAAATATTATAGTTAAGGATTGCTTTATGGTATAGATCTTAGCTCTGCTGCTGTAATTAAATCCTTAGACCCTTAAAAAGGTGAAAAAGTTTTGGACCTCTGCTGTTGCCCAGGTATGAAACTTTGTAATATTGCTGATATAATCGGGGCTGAAGGAAAGGCTTTTGGTGTTGATATCAATGAAACCAGATTAAATACTTGCAGAAGTATTGTTAAGAAGTATAAGCTTGATCATATCATAAAATTAGAACTTGCAGATGGTACGACATATAATAAAGAGAGTTAATTTGATAGAGTTTTAGTTGATGCAGAGTGTACTCATGATGGTTCTCTCAAACACTTAGCAAAGTTTATTAAAAATCAAAAAGCCGTGATTGAAGATATGCAAAATAATGCAAAAGAAACTATTGATAATAATGAGTAGAATTTAGATAAAAAATAAAATAATTTAGATTTCAAAAGTAGTAATAACAAAGATGCAGAAAATCCTTCATGTTAGTTAGATGATGATTAAGTTGAATCTTTAAATTAAACTGCTGATAAATAAGTAGAATAGAATAATACATGCAATTAAGAAGAAACTAATCAAAGTGTAGACACTTTAGACTCTCAGATAAAAGAAAATTAAAAGGTTCCTCAATTATAAAAAGATAAAAAATAGGGAACTGAAAAAAAGATAAGCAATAGGGAGTTAAAGCGTAGAAAAAAGTAGATAGAAAAGAATAATAGTAATATATACACCTAAAAAAAGGTTAAAAAAAACGAATGGAGTATGGAAGATTTCTAAGAAAGAGTTTTAGATCCAATAAAATTATAAAATATTGTTGATTTACAGAAAAAATTATTGACAAACGGTTTTAAATTATGTAAAGAGGGAGGCTATATAGTCTATAGCACTTGCAGCTTTGCAAGAAACTAAAACGAAGATGTTGTTGAATGGTTTCTCAACGAATTTAAAGACTAAGTTGAGTCAATTCATCCTTTCAACAATGATGTTTCTAACATGCCTGCATGTAAACCTGGATTTATTTAAAATACTGTAAGATTTGATCCTTTTGTTAGTAAAAGTGGAGGAATGTTTGTTTCAAAATTCATTAAAAAATAGAAACAATTATAAAACTGAGAAATAATTATTTTTTTATTAATTCAAAAATTATTTTAAATTATTAAATCATATAAATACTAAAGGCTAATCTAAGTGTATCAAATAGTTAAAAACTATATTTATATATTTGTCTTTTATAATAATAAGTCTGCTTTTTCAGTTGCTAAATTTATTCTATGTCATTTCAAAAAATAATTGATTATTAAAAAATTAATTTTGATAAGCTTAAAATATAATAATTTTATTGAGATACTATAGTTCCTATTGAATAAAAGTGACAATAGTATAAAGATGAGTTTTTGATTATGAGGAGAAAAGGAGGAAAAAAATCAAGAATGAAAATTTATTTCCTCATTATTCAAGAGAAAATATGGTATTTTTAAAATAAGTTTAACTTATATTTATAAAAAACAGAAATCAATACTAATAGAAAAATATAAATAATTAAATAAGATAAATGTTAATTTAACTGTATATCAAATAATTAGCAATCAAGATATTTATAAGGATTCTGTTTCTTTGTTTTTAAATCAATTTTATAATTGTTTAAATATATTAATTAATCTAAAAAAATTCTATATAATTATTTCAATTATTTATTTATTTTGTTAATCATACAATATAAACATCTGATTTAGATATTTTGGTTAATTTATTATTTTAGCAAAAATAGATAGTGAAATAATATTTAATATTGATTTTAACTTGTATTTCAATAAAATAAAAAAAAGAAAATTTTATTTTCTCTTAAATCAAATTTATTTTTTAGATTTATCAGCTAAAAAATTAAAGGCTTATGGCTGTAAAATGTTTTTGAAATTAATAGTTTAAATAAATAAAAGCAATAATTATTAATAAAGAATATAAATATATTTATTTATTTAATTATATTTAACTATTGAACTCAATTTTAAAAATACATTTCAAGAAATGCTTTGTATATTATTTATTTTTAGATATTTTAGCAAAGATTGAGTGAAATTATAAGTTTAACTAATATCAATAAAATTGTAAAAATGAAAATTTTCCTTTCTCTTAAATAAAATTTATTTCTTAGATTTTTCAACTAAAAATCCAAAATGTTTTGATTATAAAAATTTTTGAGATTCTTAATATAAATACATATATTTTAAAAGCAAAAATTAATAAGAAAGAATACAAATATATTTTTTAATAAAAATTTTGTGAAAGGGATTCAAACTCAATTTTAAAAATTTGTTTACAGAAATTGTTTGTATGATTAAATGGCTTAATCGAGATTTCCTATTTCTCTATATTCATGGCCAATAAATTGATTTTGCAAATTTTCTTATGGATTTAATTCTAGACATTACCTATATGATAATATTGCATCATCAAATTTACCTTTTTCATAAAAAGCTAGACCTAAATAATAAAGAGAGTACTCGTTTTTAGGGTTTATTTCCAGAGATTTTTTATAAGATTGTATAGCTCCTTCAATTATTCCCTTTTAAAAATAAGCAATTCCTAGATTACAGTGGCAAATATCATTTCTTGGATTAATTTCTAGGCATACTTTATAACATTTTATAGAATCCTCTATATTGCCTTTTAATCTATAGGTATTACCTAAATTGTTTAGGGTGTTTTCATCACTAGGATTGATATCAAGACTCTTTTTAAAGCAGGCTATACCTTCATCTAGCTAACCTTTTTAGCAAAAGCAAAGACCTAAGCTGTTGTAATACAACGAATTATTAGGGTTAATTTCAAGACAAATTTTGAAGCATTAAATAGACTCTTCTATTTTATTTTAGTCATAGTATGCTTAACCTAAGTTATAGTAAGTATTTTCGTTCTTAGGGTCATATTCTAAGCTTTACACAAAAGCAGATACAGCTTTATCTAATTATTCTAATTCATAACAGCATAGTCCATAATGATAAAGAGTTTATGAGTCTTTTGGATTTATTTCCAAGCTTTTACTAAAGTATTATGAAGCCTCAAGGAAGCAGCCTTTTTGGTAGTACGCTAAACCCAAATTGTAATGATAGGAATCATCATTTGGGTTTAATTTAACACATATTAAGATTGTTTAAATAGAATCGTCTAGCTAACCATTTAATCTATAGGAATTTCCTAGTCCGTTATAGTAATCAGGATCCTTAGGATTTATCTGAATACATTTTTTGAAATAAAGAATAGATTAGCTAAACTAACATTGTTATTTGTAAATTAAACCTAAGTTGTATAGTGCTATTTCGTTATTCTAATTAAGTTACAAGCATTTTTAATAAGTTTCAATTGCATCTTCCATCATCCCTTTTTCTTCATAGGCGCTAGCTAGACTATTTAAACATTCTTCGTAAGATGGATTCAAATCTAAGGATTTTAAGAAAACAAGAATAGCTTCATCTACTCTACCTTAATGAATATACTCCAAACCTATATTGTAGTGAGCTACTTCATTTCTTGAATTTATTTCTAAACATCTTTTGAATAAAATGAGAGCTTCTTCAGACATTCCTTTACGTTTATAGGTAAGTCCTAAATTTATATATGTGTTTTCATGCTTAGGATTGACTTCTATGCATTATTTAAAAATAGATATTGCTTCATCTACCTTTCCTATTTTATAATATATATTTGCAAGGCAGTTGTATCCGTTTTCATATTTAGGATTCACTTCAAGGATTTTATTATACGAAAAAATGGCTTCTTGAATTAACCCCATATCTTATTATAAGTTTCCTAAAGCTTCATAGCACATTTCATAATTAGGCTTAAGCTAAATAGCCTTATTATAAGAGCTAATAGCTTCCTAAAATTTACCAGAATCATGCAAAGCAAGTCCCAAATTATAGTAAGAAAGGTGATCATTTGGGTGCAGTTCTATATTTTTTTTGTAGCAAGCAATAGATTCATTAATCATTTTCTTTTAGTGGTAAGCGTATCCTAATTAATTCAATGCGTTTTGATGTTTAGGATTAAATTCCAAGCATTTTTTGAAAGATTGAATAGCCTCATCTATCAAATAAATATTCTACTACGACAATCCTAAAGAATATAAATAACAATCTTTTTTTTCGTTTATGTCAATACAAATTCTAAGTAAATCTATTGAATCTTGAAAGCTTTTACTTTCAATCTTCTTACTTGCTAAATCAAAAAGTTGCTTTTCTATTTTTGCAAGTTTTTAAGATGGGTCTGCAGTCATTTTATATTTAAAAGAAACACTATTTGAAATAAATAAATAAATTAATTAATTAACTAATTTAGTTTTAATTTTTTATAATTGAAAGATTATTATCAAATACTTTTAAAATTTAACAAACTTAATTAATGGCTATTTTTTTTTAGAACTAAATAATAGTCATATTTTTATTAATGACTATTATTAATTAAATAAATTTTAAATATTTATAAATGGATACAATTTATTATTCTTCGATTACCATTATAAATAATATCTAGGACCAAAATCAAATCACTAAAAATAAACATTTTGTGTTTTGTGTGATTGAATTTTTTTATTATTTAAAGTTTTAATAAATTATCAATAATTTTTATTTTGCTAAAATAACTAAGATTTATTTTAATATTATATGTTTAAAATCTTTATAATTTTTATTCAATAATAAATAAAAAAATATAAAATTTCAAAACTAGAAAATTCTTTTTTTTTATTAACTAAGAAACTAACATTTTTTTTTTTCATAACTAAGAATACATATTCTATTTTGAAGCATCTAAAAATATAAAATACTCAAAACTTAAAATAATAAATCTATCTTTAAGGTTAATAATATAAAATTTTAAATTATTAAATAAGTAATTAACAATTTTTATTAATATTTAAGCATCTTTCATATATTTAAATTAGCTTTAAGAGATATTGTAATATTTTCTATATGAAATTTTTAATTAATATAGATAGATTAAAGCTGATAAAATTATAATTTCTTCAGCCGCCTTAATTATATATTTTTAAAGTAAAATTAATTAAAATTGTAACAAAAATTCAAGTTTTTGAATTAATAAAATAAATAAATAATCTATTACTCTTCTTAAGACTTTAGATATCTAATTCTATTTGAAAAAAAAAATCTTTTTATTTTTATTAAGTATTATATATTCTATTCCAAAATAATTTTTTTGTCTATTCAAATAAATTATATTTTTTCATTTTCTGATACTTTATTGATCGATATATTTGTTATTATTTTAAATCATTTCACAAACTATAATATTTTAATATTTTTCTAAATGTTAAATAGCTACTTTGTTATTCCATAAAAAAATAAAATAAATGGGTACACAAATTAATCAAATTTAAAATTTGTAACCTCAAAAATAGATAATGAATCAATATTTTAATAAGGATTTTATTCATGGAACACTTAAATAAAACTAACTTCTGTTTTTTAAAAGATTAATATATTTTATAAATTAAAATAAAATAATTGAGATTATTCCAAATATTTTCCTAACAATTTTTATTTTAAAATTGAAACAACTTCTAGATATTTCTTTTTTTAAAAAAGAAAATTAACAATAGAAGTTTCTAAAATTTGTGAATAAAATTCAAATCTAAAACATTACTCAAATTCATTTGATAATATCTTAATTATTTTCATAAATTAAAATTGAAGATAGATAGATTGATTGATTTATTCGCAAATTTATTTTTTTATGTATAAGAAGTTTCTCTGTATGCTTAATCTCTTTTTTATCTATCATAAAGTACAGATCACAATTTATTGAATTTATCTTTACAAAAATTTACTTGAGTAAGTTTTGTAAACTTATTTAAAAGAGTGGCTAAAAGCAATTTATTTATTTATAAAATAATATTTTTCTATTGTTTATTTTAGATTTTAAAAGATATTTATAAATTAATGAATTTAATTGTACTGAGTTATAATAATGTATTAGAATATGATAATTACATTATATTATATTTAAAAATTATAAAAAAATAACATAATTTTATTCTATACATAAATTGAAGAATTTAAATTAGATTTTCACAATCTTAAATCTTATTTTAAATATTAAATTTATTATGAATTTGTTCATATATTAATTATATAATTAAAATTATGTGAGAATAACTATGCTAAATATTTTAAATTAGAATTTAAAATTGAATGTTTAACAAAGAAAATATAGTAAAAAATACATAATGTTGATTTTAAAATAAAAAGTTTTATTCAAAAAATGATGACTAGCTGATTAAAAATTTTGATATTTTATTTATCTTCTTTTAATTATTTTAATTAGAGTGAATAATATTTTAGCATATTTAAAATCTGAGAAAAGTATTGAAGAATACTATTTTCTTTCATTGACATAATCTCAATAATTAATGAAGCTAAAGTCAAGTTTTGTATTTTAATGCTGTAAATATGAATATGAATAATAATCCTCTGATGAATAAAAAAATAAATTTTCCATTTGCAAAATGGAATTTTTGTTTCATAGAAAAATAATTAATTCTAAATGAAATAGTTTAAATTTAAGTAATATTATCATACACAAAAAAATTCTTAACAAGTAATGAATAAGGTATATTTATTTATAGATAGTTTAATTCTATATAAATTAGTAAGTGATTCAATATATTGAATTGCCATTCTATTACTTCTTTTAATTAACAATTTAATTATATTTCATCAGACTTAACAAAAAACTTTACAATTACTTTATCAATATCAGAATTTGTTAGCCTTTATTAAATTCTTTGCAATCCATAATTTTTTTCTTTTATAATGAATTTATCAGAATCTTCAAGATTAAAAAAAAATTTACACTCGCAAATTAAAAAATAGCCTTATGTTGTTTGTAATAAATCAATTAATAATATATTTATTCTATAACTTTAAAAACCTTTTACTAAGCCATAATAAATATTATAATTAATAAAATCTTAAATAAAATATCTAAAACTTTTAAATAAATTCTTTTAAAATAATAATGTCAGACTAACATACTAAATAAGAATTAGTATAAGATTCTTAGAAAGATAAAAAGAAAGAAGAGGAAAAACCAAAAGTACCATACTTTTCACTATTTAGGTTTGCCACTTTTACAGATAAATGCCTTATGATTACGGGTGCGATAGCAGCAGTTATCAATGGTTTTTCATTTCCTGCTTGGTCATTTATTTTTGGTTAAATGGTTGATTAATTTAGCCCAACTTCTGGATTTGACGGTTTAATCCATAATGCTTCTGTTTAAGCTATGTGGTTTGCAATTATTGGAGCTCTTTCTTTGGCTGTAAGCGCGGTAAAATAAAAAACATAAATTTTATTTATTTTATTAATTTTCAAAAATTTTAAATTTAGATTTAAATAGCTTGTTGGTAGTACACAGGAGAAAAGCAAGCAATTTGCTACAGAAAGTATTACTTTTAAGCTATATTGAAGCAAGAAATAGGATGGTTTGATAAAAATAATCCTAACTAGCTTGCAACTAAAATAGCTACTGAATGTTTTGCAATACAAGGTAATTTATTTATTAAAATTTTAATGTAATTTTTTCATTTGAAAGGATTTTAATATGCATTTAAATAAAATAAGGTGCAATAAGTGATAAAGTTGCTACATTTATTACTACTATTTCAATGTTTTTTGGAGGTTTCATTGTTGCTTATCTTAGGGGATGGCTTATGAGTTTAGTAGTTTCTGCTACTATTCCAATTATCTTTGCAGGTGGTATGATTGTTGCAGTAGTTATGAAAAAAGCTGAATAAGTCAGTTAATAGGCCTATACCTCTGCAGGTGGAGTAGCAGAATAAGCACTCAACGCTGTAAAAACTATTAAGAGCTTGAATGGAGAAGATTATGAGCTAAAAAATTACTCCTAAAAAATTATTTAGGCTTACAAGACTAATGTAAAATTCAGTATGGTTACTGGATTAGGAGTAGGTAATAATACTATTAATAAATCATTTCTTTAGTTTTATTTAATTTTAAAATCTTTATCTAAATTAAAATTATAATTTTTCTATTTTAATTGCAAATAGGTATCACTTTTTGTTGCATGTTTTTAGCATACTCTTTGAGCTTTTGGTATGGAGGCAAGCTCATAAATAACGAAACCGAAAATTCTATTTATGATCGCGCTTATACTAGTGGTGATGTAATGGTTTGCTTTTTCTCAATTCTAACTGGTGGTTTTTCTCTTGGCTAAGCTACTCCTTGCATTAAAGATTTTATGAAAGGATAGCAAGCAGCTGTAGAAGTATTTGCTGTTCTCGATAGAGTTCCCTTAATTAAGGATATTCCTAATGCCAAAAAAATTTCTAATTTACTTGGAAAATTTGAATTCAAGAATGTTTCTTTCTCTTATCCTACTAAGTCAGATGTAAAGACTTTAAAAAATATATCTTTCTAAGTCTAACCAAATCAAAAGACTGCTCTTGTTGGTGAGTCAGGTTGCGGAAAATCGACAATTATGTAATTAATTGAAAGATTTTATGATCCTCAAGAAGGTGAAGTTTATTTAGATGGTATTAACGTTAAAGAATTAAGCTTGAAGTGGATGAGAAACCAGATAGGGTAAATTAACTTTATTAAAATAATTGTTTACAATTAATTTATAAAATAAAAGATATGTTGGTTAAGAACCAGTATTATTTGCTGCTACTGTAAGAGAAAATTTATAATTTGGTAACTTAGATGCTACTGAGTCTGAAATGATTGAATCTCTTAAGTAAGCCAATGCTTGGGAGTTTGTATAAAAGCTTGAAAAAGGTCTTGACACTTATGTAGGAAACGCAGGAAATCAATTATCAGGAGGTTAAAAGTAAAGAATATGTATAGCAAGAGCTATTTTAAAAAATCCCAAGATTCTCTTGCTTGATGAAGCTACTAGTGCTTTAGACAGAAAAAATGAAAGAGAAATATAAGAAACTCTTGATCATGTTTCGAATGGAAGAACTACAATTGTTATAGCTCATAGATTAATGACTGTTAAAAATTCCAATCACATATTTGTTATTGATGAAGGTTAAATTATAGAATAAGGAAGCTTCTAAGAGTTGATCAACAAACCTAATGGCAAATTTGCAGGTTTAGCAAAAAATTAAGTTTTCCATGATGAAAATAATTAAAATGGCGAATTACAAGAAATCTAAATTGTAAGAAAATAATCAAGTAAAATGAATGAAAATAACTTACCTTTAAGAGCAAGTTTCAATAAATCACAGCCTGTGAATAAAAATGATCAATGCATAATCGAAATGAAAAACGAAGAAAAAGCTGAGGAAATTGAACTAACTGATGAACAGATTGCACAATAAAAGAAAGAATAAAAAAAGAAAGAAGAGAAAGAAGATAAAGCCTTTGCTTCAAGATTGCTAAAAATGAATTAACCAGAATAAAAATGGCTTATTTTTGCTTTAGTAATAACGCTGGCCTCCGGTATACTGTTTCCATTGGCTGGGCTTATTTTAGGTAACTTCATATCAACTCTCTCTTAGCCTTAAGAAAATGATTTTATAGATGAAGTTAATCGTCTTTCTCTTTACTTCTTACTTTTAGCTATTGGATCTTTAATCTTATATACAGTACAATTACATCTTTTCAACAGAGTTGGAGAAGGTCTTACTCTAAGACTTCGTCAAGAAACTTTCAAAAAGATGCTGAGAATGCCTTGTGCTTGGTTTGATGAAGCTTCTAACACTCCTGGCACTTTATCTTCCAAGCTCTCTTCAGATTGCTAAATTATAAATATCCTAACAACTAATGTAATATCTATATAATTTCAAAATCTAAGTACTTTGCTTTCAGGTTTGATAATTGCCTTTGTCTTTTCATGGAGAGTAACTTTAGTAGGATTGGGCTGCATGCCTGCTATGATAATTGCTGGAGCTTTATAAGTTAAATTTACTGAAGGATTCAGTGACTAAACAGATAAAGTAAACATCTTTTTAAAATAATTAAAAGTAATTAGTAATTTTATTTTATATAATAGGCTTACAAAGGAAGTGGAAATATTGTAACAGACGCAGTTACTAATATAAGAACTGTGGCTTCTTTTGCTAATGAATTAAAAATTATGGAAATGATGGATTAACAACTTTAAAATCCTGCTTAAGGAATGAAAAAGAAATCAATTATTTCAGGGTTAATGTTTGGCATTTCTTAATTCTGTATGTTTGGAATTTATGCACTCATATTTTATGTATCTGCCTACTTTGTGAGAGATTACGGCGTATCCATTAAAGAAATGTACGTCTCAATGTTTTGTATTTTGTTTGCTGGATTTGGTATGGGAAATAACAATGCCTTCGTTGGAGATGTTACAGCTGCAAAAGCTTCTGCAAGAAATATTTTTAAAATACTTGACTCTGAAGATGAAATTTAATTTCATTAAAGAGTTTACTCTCCTCAATCCTTAAAATTAACATCACATGGTTAAATTGTTTTTGATAATGTTACTTTCTAATACCCAACTCGCGACACTCCTGTCTTTAAAAATCTTTCTTTCAAAATTAATCAAGGATAGCATATAGCATTTGTTGGCCCAAGTGGCTGCGGCAAGTCAACAATTATTTAAATCCTACTTAGATTTTATGATGACTTTACTGGTCAAATTACAATTGATGGAGTTGATATCAGATAATATGACATATCCTCTCTTAGATCTAATTTTGGAGTAGTATTTTAGGATCCCATCCTTTTTGATGATTCATTTAAAGAAAACATTAAATATAACACATCAGATGCTACTTTTGATGATATACGTAGGGCAGCAATATAAGCTAATGCTATCCACTTTATAGAGGGAAATGAGAAGAGGTAAGAAGATTTGCAAAACGGAGACTAAACCCAAATTTCAGCTTCTGGATTTGATAGAAAAGTAGGTATCAAAGGTAGCTAAATAAGTGGTGGTTAAAAACAAAGAGTTGCAGTTGCAAGAGCTATTTTAAAAAATCCTAAAATAATGCTACTCGATGAAGCCACAAGCGCACTAGATCAAGATAATGAAGCAATTTTGTAATAAGCTCTTGTAGAAATTTTAAAAAATAAAACAAGTATAACAATTGCTCACAGGATTAACACTATCAAAGATTCAGATGTTATCTTTGTTTTGCAAGAAGGAAAAATTGTGGAATAAGGTAAATATGATGAACTGATGAGCAAAAAAGGTTTCTTCTATAATATTAACCATAATTGAACGAATATTCTTTTTTTAAAAGAATTTAATTAAATTTAGTAAAAATATATCAATGTCAAGAATATTAAATTATTTTATTGTGATTCAAACAAATATTTTAATTTGTAAAATTATAATCTAAATAAGTATTTGTATGTAGTATATAAAAATATTTTATTTTTTTAAAATAAATAAATAACTGTGCTCTTATTAATGGTTAACTAAAAGCAAATAATCTGAATACAAAAAATTAGTTCAATATAATTTTATTAAATAGTATAAAAAAATATTTTAAAGAGAAATAATATAAAAATTAGTTTGAATATCCAGTTTATTTAAAAATAATTTAGATACCAGAAACATACAATTTATACTAATAGAAAATGGCAGAAAAAGAAGAAAAAAAGTTATTTAAAGAGCTCAACAAATTCGTAATATTTTCATTTTCTTCGACTTTCGAGTTATTCTGAATATATTATGGCAATAGCTTCTTTTGTATGTAAATATTCTGCTGACAAGAAATTTATTTAAAAATAGATTTTTTAACTTTAACTTGGTCTTAGTAACCTTTATTTTTCACCCTTTCCCCTTAATTTTTGACTTTTTCACTTCTCCTTAATAGTTTGCAAAATTTTAAGTTAACTTTTTGCTTCTTGTAAGGTCTAACTTTTATGTGACCAACAAACTTCTACAAATACCAAATAAAATTTTAATTGAAAAAGAGATGATATAAAGATAAGTTTTGAAGTGAAATAAAGTAAATTAAAATAAATAAAATTATTGCAATTTAATGTGAATTGATGTATATTTAAACAAAAATCAAATTAAAATATATTTGGCAACATAAAATTTAAATAAGATTTTTAAATTAAAATATGAAAGTAACTAAAAATAAAAAATTTTAGGGAGACTATTATTTAGAGTTGGAACCTTGTACTTTACAATAAAAGCTTCAATAAATTATTTTCCTCTTATATTGATCCATCCTACTTTAATATATTAAGTGTTAAAGATATTTATTTTAAATAGTAAAACAAATAATTTTAATTTAAAATAAAAATTTTAATTATTTTGAATCAGATAAGCAAACAAAATACTCAAAAATCTTATTTATTTTAATAAATTAATTATCTTCTTAGTATTTACTAAAATGTAAAATATTTTTTTTTCAAATATAAATATTCCTAAATGTATTTATACAATTTTAAATATTGAAGGTTTTATATCTTTCAGGTAATTCTATCATTAAGAAGTAAGCAGTAGTGATATATTTTGTAATACACTTGATCTCTTTATTCTGAATATATTATTTAATAGCCTTATTAAGCTCTTCTAAATTAATTTTTATTTTTTGAATTTAATTTAATATTAAATATTAATTAGTTTATTAATAAAATGCATGGAATTTTAAAAGAACAAAAGATTATAAAAACATAAAATTTTACTAAAAAACTTAAAAATATTTATTTAACTTAATTTGAATTAAATTATTAAAATAACTGAATTTTTTCATTTAATTTGTTAATACATGTTTACATTAAAATTTTACATTTAAATTGATCAATGTGATAATTTTTATTTCCTATTTACTTATTTTACAAATAATAAATATTCTTTTTTTATATTTTTCTTAATCTATCCGAACAGAAAAAAGTATCTTATTTAAATACAATATTACATCAGAAGTAAATTTATATCTTTTCTAATTAAGTCAATAATGTTCAGAAAACAAAATTTATTTAACAGAAAACACAAATTTACTATTTTTAATATAAAATGAAATCTCTGATCAGGTAGTATGAATTTATTTTTATAAAATCTAAGACAGTAATTATATCTTTTCATTTTCTGATAAATTTTATATTAATTAAAAATTTCTATCTTAATTTTGTAATAATATGATTTAAGAAATATTTATAATAACTTTTCTCTATTCATTAACAATTAAATATAATTTTGAGTTAATATAATTAATTATTTAAGCTTATACTATTTGAATAAATAAATACAATTAATTTAACAAACCAAAATACATTTTTACTATTATTTCTATCAGGCTTATTAATTTTTGAGAAAATTTTTATAAAGATACTTTTAAATTTTCTTTCTTTTATTTTTGATAACAAATTTACATCAAATTAGATAATCAAACACACCTAATCAGACAGATAAGGCATCAGATTTTTATAAGACTATTTGGTCAATTAAAATATTAAAAACTCAATCTTACTTATTATTATAATCAAATAAAATAAATTCAAAAATAAATTGAGAAAAAAATAAATTTTGAAAATGAAATTAATCATCTTTTTATTTGCTATCTTTGCTTTGGTTGTAAACGCAACTAATCAAGATCCCTAATGTCTTGTAGACCTTAAAAATAAATAAGTTTGCAAAGAAAACGATTCTTTATGTTCTCTGTAGCTTGGTAACTTTAATAAGTGTATATAATAATGTGCTGATTAAAACAGTTAAGATTAATATGCTAATACACTTTGTGTTATTAATAATTGTAAATCAAGTAACGCTACAGTGATACCTTTTTATTGGGATGTGGTGGAATGCTTATAATCAAGTACTGTTTATGACCCTAAAAGCCCTGAGATAAACTCAGAAAATTGCCTAACTTACTTAAATAATATGGAAACCTCTTAAACTATATGTAAGTAAGGTGATACTGACTGTATTGCTGCAGCTAAATCTTTAAAAGATTGTTATTAAACCTGTAAGAGCTAAAATGGGTACGATTAAAGATTATCTTGTGTTAAAAATACTTGCAGTTCTAAAAATGAAATTGTACAATCATTTTTGAATGACCTTTTAAAATGTTAATCAAGTACCAACTCAAGAGGTTCAACAACCAATTCATCTATAATTGCATTACAGATTACCATTTTGTTCATTTCCTTATTCATTCTTATGTGATTTGATCAAAATTATAAAAATAATAATAATTTTTTATATATATCTTAACAACTCAAATATATTTTAGTATTTTATTACAATAACTTTTTTAAAAGAATGATTATCTATGCAGTCAAAATATTATGTATTTATTAATGAGTATTTTATTTAAAATTAAATAAATAATTTTATACCAAAATATTTTTTTAACCATTGTAAATAATAACTTTTTAAATAAAATTAAAGATTAAACCATTTAATTTATTTGTTTTACTCTCAAATATGGTTGAATCATAGAAAAATTAAAAGCTCAAACATTTTATTTGTAAATTTTAATATTTTTATTTCTATTTATAATTAAAAATTTAGAAAGCAAATTTTATTTTCAGAAAATAAAATCCATTCAAAATATTACTATTTGATTTTCCATTTATTGTTTTTTATTGAATAAACTGTCTTTAATAATAAAAAATAAAAAAGTCTATTAGTAATATTTGAACTTGTAATGTTAGACCAGATTAAATCACCCAAAAAATATTTTCAATAAATGATATTCCTTATAAATTGAAAAAAAATTTTTTCTAAACTAAATTTTTGAAAAAATGATAAAATGCAAATTTTTTTAATAAAATTAAAATTTTCAAATAGTTCTTTTCAATAAGAAATAATTTATTTTTACTCACAATAATTCCTAAAAATTTGAACCTCATTTCAGTTAAAATTGATAAAACACACAAAATTAGCTGAACTACCGCTAAATTTTCAAACAATTTGAACAGATGTGGTTATTAACTTAGGAAAAAGTAATATAATATGATTTTTTTATTTTTTTAAGCAATTTTTTATCTATTTAATTTTATTCTCTGACCAGAAAAGTTTATTTAGTTTAATATCAAAAATATATTTATATTTTTACCTAAAAATTCAATAATTTTAAAATAATCTAATTTCTTCAATAGAAACCACCAAGTTCTAATATTAAAATGGTTATTTTATAAAATCCTAATAAAAAAATTCATAAAAATACATTAAAATGATAAACATATAAAACAAAAATTATTGAATTAAATTACTTTTCATTTTTTATTTGTTATTTGAGCAAATGCTATCTTATTTTTAATACACAATAAAATTCCTAATCAGACAGAAAACACTTAATTTTATCAAATCTAAAATTAAAATTATATTTTATTCATTTTCTGATAAGTTTTTGATTCCTATTAAGATAAAAATACTTCATATTAAAGAAGAATCTAAAAAAGTTGAGAAAGATCAAATAATTAAAAATGAGGAATCTGTCTATATTTTAATTAATAAGAATCAAAATAATATTCAAATTAATTTAAGATGAGTTTTTTACTCTTATGTTTTAATTGTTTGATTGATTTTATTAAAACATTAAATAAAAATGGAATAATTTATATCAAAATACTTCTATAAAATCAATAAAATTAATAATTTTAAATTATTAAAAGATATTCTTACAATTTTTACTTTATTACCTTAATTTTTAAGTCCTTTTTGGATAAAAATATATTTCATTATTAATTCTTTCAGTGAATTTTAAAAAATAAATTTAGATTTAATTAGATTATTTAATAGACCTAATGATCCATATAAGGGATCAGATTTTTGTAACAATATCTGATTCAATAAAGCTTTTAAATTATCTATCTTATTTACTAAAATTAAAAATAATATGATAAATTAAATGATAAATAAATTTTGGAAATGAAGTTAATTGTCATTTTATTTGCTATCTTCACTTTGACTGCAAATGCAATTAATCAAGATCCTTAGTGTATAATAGAACTTAAGAATAAATAAGTTTGTGAAAAAGATAATTCTTATTGCTATCTTGAGCTTAGTACATTTAATAAGTGTACATAATAATGTGCTAATTAAAACAGCTAAGATTAATACGCTAATACGATTTGTACTATTTAAAAGTGCAAACCGAGTAACATTTCAGTGAAAAATTATTATTATGATGTGGTAGAATGTTTAAAATCAAGTACTACTTATGACCCTCTAAGCCCTTAAATAAATTCAGAGAGCTGTCTAAGTTATTTATTTGATATGTAAAATAGTTAAAAAATATGTAAGGAAGGTGATACTGACTGTATTGCTGAAGCCAAATCTTTAAAAATTTGTGCCTAATTCTGTAGCAGTTATGATAACCAAGATAAAAAAGTATTTTGTATTAAAAAAAATTGTAGTCCTAAAAATCAAACTGTGTAATTATATTTGAATGATCTTACGTAATGTGTAAAAAAAAACTCCTAAGATATAAAAAAATCAACTAACTCATCAAAAATAGTCTTAGAGGTTACCATTTTTTTCTTTCTTTCTTCACACTAATATGATTTTTTTTCTTAATTAAAATAAAATGATAACTTTTTCAAAATATTGATTATCTATCTTTATGTGTGTTGAAAAATTTACACTTTTGTATTTTGTAAATTAAATAAATTTTAAATTATTTAACAAAACAAAAAAAAATAAAATAAATTTAAAAGAATAACTTAAAATCGATAATTAATTTGTAGCATTAATAAAAATTAAAAATTAATTTAAAAAAAGTTTTTGTTTTTTGTATTAATTAATTTTTTTAAAAAAATATTAAAATTAAATAGTTTTATTGTAGGTTTTCTTGATAATAAAGTAATGGCAATTCTTCTATAGTAATTGTAATTTTAAAAACAATCTTTTAATATTTTTATTTTTTTGATATTATTTATCTGAAGTTTTAATTTACAATTTTTTTATTTTCTTGATACATATTTCTATCAAAAAAATTTTACTTTAAAAATTTATTATATAAAATTATAACTCAGCGCAAGATAAATTTAATCAAAATAATAGAAAAAATTATTAGAGCATTAAAAAACAATCATTAAAGATAAAAAAATTGAGATGAGAAGTTTTTTCACTAATAATTTATAATAAAAATAAATTAAAATTTAACAGCTAACAATTTATTTAAAATGGATTGATACAAAGTATATAAATAAATATAAAGTAGAAATGAATATAAATTTTTGATAGATAAGTGGAAAATTGATCATTAAATGCTTGTTTAAATTTGTGGAGAGTCATAGATTGGTATTTCTTATTTTAGAAGCATTTTTTCTATGACTTAATTATCAGATAAATGAGGACATATGTTTTCTCCATTAATATAGCACTATGGATTTTACTGCATATCAAATTCAGTACAACTAGTACTATTATCTAGGTACTTTACATGATCAGAAGTACTTCCTGTATTGAATTTTACAGAGCAATTTGGATCTTCACTTTAGAATGAGCAAATAGTATAGTTATTTTCTTAATCAAACCAAATTTCAGTACCTATATGGGAATATCCAAAGATTCTCATAGGAAGACGCACAACTATATCTTTATTATTAACTATTCTCAAAGCAAAAGGAAAAATTGAATTAAAATAATCAACAAATTCTTAGTTTCCAACTCTGGGTTATCCAAAGGTATAAAACTCAGATATGAGATCATTTTTATTTTATTGTAATAAGTAATCTTAAATTTCGACAGCTGCTATTGTAGCAACGGCCCCTCCTAATGAATGACCTGTAATTATTATTTAAGAATTAGGATATTTGATTAACATCTCTTAAAGATTTTTAAACAATTGATCACTCAAATCAGTAAAGGTTCTAAAAAAGCCTCTATGTATAGTACACTTTTAACATTTAGGATAATCAACTTTGATAAAATCGAAGTTATTTAGCCAGTTTTTATTTAATTATGTCCCTCTGAATGCGATGACGATGTAATTATTGTGATATCCAATATAACCTTAAGCAGCATTAGTGGTATTAGTTAAAACTCTTACATCTTTCATATCATCATGAAATTTACAAATAGTACCACAGTTCCATTGTTCAATAGATTAGGATGGACAGTAAGAGACCTTCTAGTAGAATAAAAAATCCATAGCCCTTTGGATATCGAATGTGAGCTCATCAGAAATAACTAAACCCAAATTTATGAAAATAAAAATATGAACAAGGAAGTGTATTTTCATTTTCTTTTGGTTATCTTGAATTAATTTAATTATTTTTTTTTTAATTTATTATTATTACTTATTTATTGTTTACAACTCTAGTACTCAAAGTACCGTCACTAAATCAATCGTCAAATTTACTCCTCTATCTTGATATTAAAGAAAAATTTTAATTTACAATTTTTATCCGATTTCTTCAGAATCTTTATAAACATATGAATCAAATTTATTTATTATACAAGACAAAAATCTATTATTTCAGTATGAAACACGAAAAAATTAACAAAGAAAACCCATAAAAACCCTACTGGAATTTTTTTTTATTTTAATTTTTTTTTTTAGTCCTGTATACTTTGATGAACTTTATTTTGATTTTTGCACAACTCAAATAAAATTAAAAAAGTAAAAGAATATTTAGTTTTCAAAATTTAATGCATTTTTAAAAAGAGGTGTAATAAGAGAAGTGTTAAGTAAATTAAATAGGTTTTTATAAACCCTGAAAATTAAAACAAAAAATTTTGCTTTAATTTAAAATTTTAATATAGCTTACATGAAAATATCAATCAAAAGTTTGAATTAAATTTTGATCTTAACATAGAAATAAAAATTATGTGATATGTTTGCCTTTTTAATTATTATAATTTAATACAAATTGATACAAAAATAATAATCAATACATTTTCTCACTGTAAATTTGTACTTCTATCAAAATTATAAGTTTTTACAAGCAGCTCAATAAATTAAAATTTCAGGCAGCACAAACAAAATTTTAAAATGAACTCAATTTATTAAGTCATTCTTTCCTTCAGCTTTTCTCAATTATTTCTATTAAATTTTTCTATTTATGATTTAGAATTTCATAGATTTATTTACTAAATCAATAAGAAGTGATGGTTTTTATAATTTTTACTACAGACTTTACATTTTAATTATTATAAAAATAAAAGTGAATAATTTAAAATAAATTTGAAATATTAAAATAATTTATACATTGATTATAAAAATTGAATAATTGCCATTTCTTTTATATAAAAATTTATTTGCTATCCAACTTTAATTAACTATTTTTTAGAATTAAAAGTAGAAAACAAAGTAACACAAAAAAATCACATATAAGTATCAATTTTATAATAGTTCGATTTTTTGATTAGACGTGATTACAATTTACATACCTATGATTTTAATACAGTAATAGTGAATTTTTTTGTTAAATTTTCTATTTTCTCACTAAAGATTATTATGACATAATCATTAAAGAATTATATTAAGATGAAATGCTATTTTTAGTTTTTATAAATAAAAACTGCAAATTCTTTTTTATTTCCATTTATTAAATCTATTCCAATATAAAATTTAAAGAATTTTAAAAGGTTCTAAAAATATATAAAAAGTTTAAAGGGTGGAGTACTAATAAAAAATTTTATACTATGCTTGTTTGTTCTACATAAAAATCAATACATCCTAAATTTAAGAATTAAAGAGTTTGTTAAAACTCATTATTATTACCTTATTATCCTAGAAATATAGAAAAAAATAGTTTAAATTATTAATTACCACAAATTTATTCATAAAGAGTGGAAGAGTACTATTTTATAAGAATTTAAAATTATTTTGCAAGTTTGAAAAGATACTTTTTAAAATACTATTCTTTCTTTTTTAAATACCTAACAGAAAAATAGAAAAATCAATAAATTTTACTATTAAAATACTATTTTCTGAAATCTTAACATGAAAAGTGATAGAAAATTAGAAAAATAATGACATTCTAAATAAAAATCAGTAAGATTATCAAATTTTTCTTTTTTTAGATGTAAATTAACAAAAAACCTAAAATAATTTTTTAATTGAAAGATAAAAGTAAATATTTTTATAAATAATAAATTTTAAGTTAATCAATAAGATATTTCATTATCATTTTCCTTAATACAGAAATTGTAAGCAAATTTAATAAAAGAAATAGGGAAAGCTTATTATGAAAATACTCAAAATTTTATAATTCAAATCATTTTTTAATTGCAAAATTTGAAGTTTGATTAAAAAGTTTGCTAGCTAGATAACTAGCTAGCTAGCATGCTTATGTTGTGTTTTAACTAAACTGACTAATGACATTTTATATAAAGTTAATAAAAGAAAATGATATTAATATAAAAGTAATTGGTTATAGTATGTTATTTTAGTGTTTTTTCATTGTTTTTTTCTGCACATAGGACAGTCATCTTTCTCCTACATCCATAATTTAATGCATTCATAATGAAAGGCGTGGTTGCATTTAAGATAAGAAACTTTTTCTGCTTCATTTTCGTATTCAAATAAGCAGATTGAACAAGTTTAACCTATTAAATGAGGTAAACTTTTAACAGCAGTGGAACGCAATTATCCAATTTTTATTAGGTAGAAAAGTTATTTAGAAATGACAGAATAAGTTAGTAACAAAAGAATGCTAACGCCATATATTAAAAGGAAAACTACACTTGTGGCAAGAGTAAGCAAAACAAAGCAGAATGGTAAAATCATGGCTAAAGCTGGGATACCTAAGAATAATAATACTCCTAGCTCGTATTCTGGATTTAAATAATTTGTATTGATTTATGCAATATTATAAACGTAAATGATAACAGAAGTTGCTGTAATAAATAACTTGGATCCAAAGTTTTATGTTTCAGTATTGTTTTCTAGTACATTAAATAGAGTGATGTGGTCCTTTTTAGAATTAACTCTGTGGTGAATGATTCCTTGTTCAAATTAAAATAAGTCGTTTTTTACTTTGAGCAAATGTTAATCCTCTTTCTAAGAAGAATCTTCACATTTCTTTAAGTATGATGGCTTGTGACTTTTCTTTTCTTTTGATGAGCGACTAACTCTGTTTCTTCTTTAAATAATAAAATTTTCTTGTAAAAGAGAATCTATTATGGAAAGAGTAGAAATTAATCTCTCATCATTTTGATGTAATGCCTAATTTTCAAGCAAGCCTGCACTATTCTATATTTCTTGATCAAATTATTTTTTTAGAGAATCATCTTTAGCTGATTGTTTTATAATTTCATCCTTTTCTTATTAAAGTATGTGCTTCATTACATTTAACAATTGTCTATCTTCTCCTATGATCTTGTATAGCATATAAATGTATACAGCATTCTAAATAAGAGAAACTACATAGAAGTCAATAATTCCTGATAGGGGATCCTTTGGCATAATTAACTGATTTTGCTATTATTCATTAGTGATAGTCAAATTATTTTAAGAAACATTTTCATTTTACAGGAAACCAAATTAAATCATAACGCACAAGATAATGCTTAATGATGCATGAAATAAGTAAGATTTTTCGATATTAATAACTATTTTAAAGTGCTTAATTATTTATTCTCTGTCTGAGATTGTAGCTTAAATTTACTCTTCCTTGAAATTACTCATCCCTTCTTCATACTCTCTTTGATTTTGTCTTCTATTTATTTCCAATTATAAATGGCTATTATGATCAATCATACTACTATCTTCTACTTACTTCCTTTAGGTTAAATTATATTATAGGATATATGGTACCTATTTTAGTTTTTCAATTATTATTAACGCTATTTTTTATTTTATCTCTATCAACAGTCCTTCTTATTGGCTTATGGTGATAATTACTCTTTTTTAATTATTAATTTTATATTGAATAGGGTTTTAGTTTTATAGAAATTTATTGAATTATTATTTACTTCAATCTAAAAAATATCAAGAAAAAAATATGTGATTTTCACCTTGAAAGTTCAAAAAATTAAAATTGAAAGACAAAAATCAATAAGCTATTGAAATCTTTTTCGTAATCACTCAAGTAAATTAATAATATTATAAACTAATCATCAAGTATTTATTTAAAAATTTTAAATTAATTCCCACATTTTCATAATAAATTTCATTCAAAATACCTTATTTATTTATTGTTTTGAATCAGCAGAGAAATAAATATACATTTTTTATAAAGTAAAAAATAGTTGTTTTTTTAAAAAAACAATATAGTATTGTGAGTTTATATATTATTATAGTATTCTAAATATCTATTTAAATTAATTAATTAAATTATTATGTAATTAAAAAAAGTAACTAAATATTAAGAATTATATGTATTTGTTTGTAAAAATAGTTGTTTTTTTTTAAGATCTTAAAAAGTATGTGTACTTAAAACAATTATATAATGTTAAAATTCTATTATATTAATGAATTAAATTATTATCAAAAGTAATTTCGATGAAAATTTAAATTAGAAATAATTAGAATAAAGTAATTGATATCAATTAAAAAATACTAAGGGCTTTATTTTTTTACATTATTATATCCAAACACATTTTATTTTTACTAATTTAAAATTTAATGATACTTATTTTTACAGTCAATATTTAAAAATATTTGATTTAAAAAGACAAAATATGGAATTATATCCATCTATTTCTAATTTAAAATTTATATAATTAACTCACAGCATATAGATTTATAAAGAACTAAAATTTAGCAAAAAATACTTAAAAATTATATATACTCCATAATATGTTTGAATGTATTCTTATTTACTAATTTATAGGGATATATTAAATGTGAGATTTTTTTTATTTAGAAAACATTCAATCATTAATTAATTAATTATTTTTTTTCATTTTTAACTATAGTTTGAAGTAAGTCCCTAGGATATTTCATATATAATCCTTTTAATTTTTATTACATTTGTCTATATTTTCAAGAATTTCAGCTATGAATGGGTGACTTTCTTTGAAAAATTCTTTTGCTATTTTTAGTGATTCTTCAAATTTATTTTTTGCCATCATTGGATTATTTTAACTTAAGTGGCATAATCCAATGTTATTCAATATTTCAACAAAATTTGGGTGATTTTTTTAGAAAATTCTTTAATTCATCTTTAATGATTAGTCAAATAAATTTAGAGCATTTTGATTATCACCTATTTTCATATAATACCAACCTATCTTACAATACGATTAAGCGATTTCTGAATGATCAGTTTTATGATTTTTTAATCTTATCTCCAATGAATCATTTAAATAATTAAATGATTTTTAAGTTTCGCCTAAGTTTAAGTAGCATATTCCTAAATTGTTTAAATTTGAAGCTATTTACAAGCTTTCTTTACCAGGAGAAATTGATCTGTTCATTTTTAAAGACTCTTCAAAGTAATCAATTGCTTGTGAAAATTTTTTTAAATTTAGGTAGCATAATCCAAGATGGTTGAGAGAAAGAGCAATATCAGGGTTGTTTATATTTTTTTCAAAAATTTTTCTTTTAATATCAAGCGATTTCTGAATATACTCCAATTATTTTTAGTAATCTCTAAGGTATTCATAGCAGACACCTATACATTCATGATTGATTGAAATAGAAAATGGATCTTAATTTTCTATTTTTATTTTTGTTTGGATATCTAGAGATTTATTAAATTTTTCTAAGGCATTGTAAATTTCACCAATATAAAGTTAAAATAATCCTATGCTAGTTAAAGATAAAGCTGCTTCAGGATGATCTTTTTTAAAAATTGTTGAGATAATATTCTCTAATTTATCAAAGTGATTTTTTGCATTGTTAATCTAACCAAGCTTCAAAAGTATTTTTCCAATATTATTATGCAGTGCAGCTACTTATCTATGATTAATTTAATAAATATTTTCAAACTATTCAAGAGACTTTTAAAAATAATCTAAAGATTAAACCAGATTTTCTGTCTAAAAATGGTAAAATCCAAAGCAATTATAAGAATCCCCAAGATCTGGGTGCAATTCTTTGAAAAGTTCCTATCTTATTTTGAGAGCTTATTCAAAATTTGATAAGGAATTTTTAATATCTCCAGTAATTAAATAATATAATCCTAAATCATTAATAGTAGTAGCTAAGTAACAGTTTTTATCTTCATGAAAAATTGACCTTAATATTTATAGGGATTTAAATAAATTCTTATTGGCTTACTTATATTTACTTAGATTCAAGTAACAATATCCAATATTTCTGTGATAAATGCCAGTTCTTTAAAGCTAATCTTTTTAAATATTCTTTGAAATAACTAAAGATTCCTAAAAATTCAAAATAGCCTTTTTATAATCACCTAAAAGACTCCAACATTAAGCAATATTATCTAAAGTCTAAGCTATTTCATTTAAATTTTCATTTACAAACATTCTCCTAATTAATAAAGATTCTTAAAAAGATTGAATGGCATTTTCATATTAACCAATATTAAACTAAGATTTTCCTACATTGAATTAAGATTATGCTATTTCATTTAGTGATTTTGCTGCTATCTCAGAAATAAAAGGGGTTTTTCTCTTTTGTATGCTTTCTTAATACTGGTCAAAGTCTTCTTTGTAGATTTTTTACAACAAAATATTTTTTTTTTCATTGTAGTAAAGTATGATTTCTTAAACAAAAGGAATGTCTTTGTTTTTGTCGTAAGCAAGTATTTCTAAATTTATATCAATACTCTTTATATAGCTTACATAAAATTTTATATTTTAGGAATGTAATAAAATGTTAAAAGCTTTATTATGAAGTTCTAAACAATCTAATCTTTCTTCATTATTTTCAGCAGTGTTCTCTTTGATCAGTTCCTTAAATTTTTATTTTACATCCTTATCTATTTAATTTTTTTGCTCAATCTTTGGCAAAATTTTTTCAAACGTCTTATTTAAAGAATAAATATCAGATTTAAATGTTATTTTATTAGCGTTATCGCTTTTTTCACTATGTTCAACCTCATAAGCTGAAAAGCCATTTGAAAATCCCTTGATATTCACTTAAATATCTCGTTTTTTGATACAAGAAATACCAAAATCACAATACAAATAATCATCATTATAAGAGAAAAGAATATTTGAAGGTTTAATATCCAGGTGCAAAACATTATACATTCTAAGCTATATTAAGCCATCTATTAAATCAAATACAATTTTGAAGAATTTGAAAGATTCAAAACAGGTAACTTAATTTAATTCTTGTAATAAACTATACTTGCACTTTTGCATAATTAAAACATTTATTGAACTTTCTATCTGAAAACTGTCAAGATATTTTACAACCTTAATATTGTATTCAAAGCTACTGATAATCTTTACCTCATCATTAAAAATTTCTTAATCACCATCTTATTTAACTTCTTGAATTTTAATTGCTAAATCTTCATATTATCCAATAGATATTTTTTTGTATCCACTGCATACAAAACCAAATCCACCTTCACCAATTATATCACATAAAAAGTAGTTTTTTTCTTTAAGCGATTTTATTATTTTATCTATTTTATCTCTTTTAAATTTTTTAATTTATTTTGAAAATTTTTCTAATATTTTTTATTTGTTAAAAACTCGGATTTAGTATCTTTATTTTAACTCCTCAATTTAATTGAATTAATTTTCACTTAAAGCAATTAGATATATGCTTTCACATATTTGATATTGATATTAAATTTATTCTATAACTTTGTTTTTATATAAATCTTCAATGACTTCTTAGTCTCTTAAGTACTCATCTTGATCATAAATTATTTTGAAATTCAAGTATTTAACTACTCCTTATATGTAAGTAAATCCTTAAAATTAATCAAAAAATGTTGATTTAGATGTTTAAAGAGTAAGAAAACAATTTTTAGATGTTGTTTCTGTCAATATTTATATTCTACTCTTTTAAAATGAAGGACTTAAATCTTTCATAGAATTAATTTAATAAAAAATATTAGAATTCCATAATAAAATTTGAAAACTTTTATGAGCTTTACTCAATTTTTATAGTATGTTCAAGCTACAGAAATTTAAAGCTATCATATAAATTTAGTCAGTTATTTATTTATAACAAAGTATTTAAATAACATTTTTAGCTTAAAAATATGATAGAAGCAAAATGTAATTTGATAATTCCTTTTTGTCAGGTAAATAAAGAAATTTAAAAGTGATCTATTCCATCTATGAGTTATTAAGAGATTAGAAGCCTTAAAATATATCAATTTTCTCAGCAGAGTAAACAAATTTTTGTAGACAATATGAATTTTAAATCAAACAGTTTAAAATTTCCTGCTGCATAATCTTAAATTAGGAGTTAATTTACTATTCTTATATTATTATTTAAAATTTTTATTTTATCATTTCTTCAGGGTTTTATTCATCTTACTAACAATCTTCTCTTATTTATTCAAATTAATTTTAGCTAAATTACAAATTATTGGTGTTGCATATTTCACTATCCAAATTTATTTATTTAACAAATTGGCATGATTTATTTTATTCTTCTTATTAGCTACAATTTTTTTCATCTTTTTAGTCCTTTACATCTTAGTATTAATTCATTTTTATATCTTTATTTTCACTTTACAAAATATTTTATTCACAATGACTTAACTTACTGATATAATCTTCTAAATCTTAAATTTCATCATTTATAGTTTTCTTTTGAATAATTATTAACTATTTATCTTCAAATTATTTTTCATTCTATTGATCTAAGCATGTAAATTCATTTATAAAATCAACCAAGTTTTTTCTTTTTTCATTATTATTTTCTTTAAATGGTTCTAAATTGGATTCTTAAATAATTTCTTTATGAAAATCTAAAATTTTTCTTTGATTTTCATTTAAAGTTATTTTTGTTTGCTAAGAATTTTCAGTTTTTATCAAACCGCAAATTTATTCTGTTAGATCTATTTTTTTATCAGTTTTATGAATAGATTTGAGTTCGCTCAACTATTCCTTATTTTTAAAGATGTCATAAGTATTAATATTATTTACTTTTTTTAGGGAATTATCTTAAAGATCATTAGTATTGTCATTATGTTACAATGTTTTTAGTTTTTTATCCCTTTTTCTATTTGTTTTATCTCTTTCCATAGCAATTGTTGCCATATATACCTCAATCTTTAGTTATAATAATAAATGAAAAAATGCAATAGTATCAATCATGCTTACATTATTTAGTGATAGGCAGCTAGTTGTAGGACGTAATTTTTTTTAGATATCTATAAAATAGCTTAATGTTGGATATATTATATTTAAATTATTTATAAAATAAATAAAAATTGGGCTTATTTTAAATGATAAACTTTTATATTAGAATATTTAACAAAATACAATTTCGTCACTATTTTAGAATTATAATAGTAAGTATATATCAGATTACAAGATATAAATTTCTTTTATTAAATTAAATTAATTGTTTTTATAATTTTCCTAATTTACTTTTATGAAATTTAAATAATTGTATGCGTGTTAAGTGACGTATTTGTAAATCGTAATATTTTTATAATTCAACAACTAATTATTAGGCAAAAATTTCAGAGAAAAGAATTTATATAATTAACAATCTCACCTAAGTACAAAGACTTAACATTACTACTATAATACTGTAATTTCTTAGTTAAGATAATAGTTCAATCACCTAAAAGCTTATTAGAAATTAAAAAAAAAAGATTTCTTAAATACAGCTCAGAAGAATACCCTAAATTCCATTACAATAGAAGAGTTACAGTATTTAAATATCTCTCTCTATTTTTTAATATATTGTTGGAAAGGAATTAAATTTTTCAGATAATTTTATAAAAATAGATATTCCTTATTTTTAAAAAATTATTTTAGTGTTTTATTTGGCTAAAATTATTAAATTTATTTTTTTATTATAAAAATTGAATTAACTTTTTATTTTTAAACTTGAACAAATTCTATTGTGTTAATATACAAAATATAAATAAATTTTAATTTTAACTTTTTTACAATTAAAAATACTTAAATATTTAAAATTTGAAATTAATTCTTTCTTATATTTTGATAAATTAATTTAGCAATATATTTCAAACATTGTCTGATAAGTTTACAAATTTTCTTAATTCATTTTCATAGACTTCCATTTCTTTATTTAAAGTACTTAAGCAATCTATTTCTTTTTTTAACATTACATATTCTAACTCAGCTACAGTTACTGCTAATTAATCAGATCCTATGTTTATTTAAAGGAAATTAACAAAAGTATTAATATTAAAGAATAAAATATATAAACAAGTTTTTGATAAATTAATGATTAACTAATTTATATAAAAATTAAATCTGTATAAAACTTTTTAATTTACTAAGTTAGAAAAAAGTAAATTTAAAAAAAATAATATTTACTTAAATTGATTTCTGAAAATTCAAGCTCATTAAAATGTTATTTTATCAGATTTTAGGCAACAGAAATTTACTATTTTTTAGCGTGGCTTATAATTTAAACAATAATTAAGTCCTTGTACATCTGTTTAAATCTTTCTGGTACATCAGGATTTTTTGTATTGTATAATGCAATAAATGTTTCAGAAACTTTTAGAGCTTAGTCATATTGTTTCAAAAAAAAGTAGGAAAGTGAAAGATAAAAATTAATTAAGCATATATCATCACTGTTTTAGTTGCCCAATGAGTTAATTAAATTTTCCATATTCAAGTCTAGAAATGAAATAACATACTTATATTATTTATTAGCAAATAAAATTTTTGAGTATAAAATATAATTGTAGTTTATAGTTTTTTAAAGCATAGTAGCTTGCTTTAATTTCTTATAAATAATATCGAGATTTTAATAAAGGCCTAACTTTAATATAGCGATTGTGTAATATTCGAGTATGAGGAAGCTACCAATTTAATTATTTTTTTTATTTAGATAATTTTTTTCAATTATGGATTTTACTTGTTAATAGTCTTTTATCGTTGAATAATAAAAAATTTTTAGCTAAACATATTAACTGATGTTATTGATTTAATTGTAATATGAAAAAAAGAGGTCTTCTTTCCCTAAATAATAGAAAATGTAAGCAGCTTAAACTATAAGTTTTCTTTTAGCTTCTAAATTTAAAGTATTTTATTTTGAGGTAAGACAAGTGTGTAAGTAATTAGCTGCTTATTCATATTATTTAATTGTTTTACAATTTACGTAAATTTCAAGTAAAAGACCTGTTGCATCTATAGGTAATTCTTATTTATTTGCTTCATAAAATTATATTAATAAACTAGTGTAGAGCTTTGTGTTTTCTTTTTTGTACAGAGTCTTACAAATTTGCAAAGTTGATAGGTCATTTTTGTTGATCTTAAACTCATATAAGATAAAATATTCTGCTTCTGGTATGCGATTTATTTTATGAAAATAAGAGAAAAAGAACCTCAGCATTTATTTAAGATAAGGAAATAAAGAAATATACAAATCAATTCTTTTTATTGAAAGTTAAGTGTTATCAGGATAATTTTTTGCTCTATTAAAACAAATTATTTCTTATAAAAATTCATTATTTTATTTGTCATTTTATAGCTTAATCATTTCTTTAAGTTTTTCTATTTCAATTTTGTTAATTGATTTAATTTCATTTTGGAGATATTTGTGCTTTACCTATGGTATGACATTAACTAAACTATCTAGCAGTTCTATGTGATCGATTTCAAAATGATATTAATAAAATGTATTTGAAGATTATTTTAGCTAATTTAGTTCAGAATATTATTCTAGATTCTTTATATTTTTAATATAAAGATCAGTAGTAAGTACTTCATAGAGGGTTTAAAAAAAGAACGTTAAATAAAAATTTAGATTAGCTTTACTATGCATTTAGGCTAGTCTGTAAATAAAAAGAATTCTCCAATCTTTTATGATATCTTATTAATTAATTTAAGTGCCTTTATAGTTAATTGCATCGAATGTATATTTTGATAAATCTATTTTGCCTTCTAAAATAGTATAAGTTTTTAAGTACTACCTTATAATAATTAGACTTGTTAAATATTCATAAACGATACCGAATTAATAAATATAATTGGAATTTTGTGAAAATATTTTCTCAAAAAGTTTAATTGATCTTTTGTAGTTGCGTTGTTTATTAAATAGAATTGAAGCATAATGGAGACACATTTCTTGATCATATTCAATTTTCAAGCATAGATCATAGAATTTGCATGCTTTTTAAAATTTATTGATTTATTCATACTCTTTAGCTAGTAGAAGAAAGGATGTGTGAATATCTTTTAACCAAGATTTATCACTGTTTGTTCCTTTTTTATCTCTTTCTCCATCTAGTTATTTGTGAAAATATTTAATTGCTTTTTCACTATCTTTGAGTGATGAATATACAATACCAATCTACCTAAATATTTTATTTTACTAGCAAAATCCTTCGCTATCATTTAACACACACATAAAGTAAAATTCTAAAGCTTTTTGGTAGTTTTGATTGTGCAAAAAAGAATTAGCCTCATTCAAATATTTAGTTAACTGTTTTTAATCTACCTACATCACAACTATATTTGAATCAATTCCTTAATTTCTACTTTCAACTATTCCAATATGGTTTTAAATATCTTAATTAGTCAACTCTTAAAATATTTCATATTTTAGATTTCTCAATTCTTAATACAATTCTTGTTCACCTTACATCCAGCTCTGATATTCCTAAAGAAAAATTTAATTTTATAAATCTTCAATACTATTTTTTTGAGTACTCATCTTAAGAATTTCGAAATCATCATTATTATAATCATCTTCAACTCCCAAAGCATCTACTTTTTCCTCTAAGCTAGAACTCTTTTTTTTTAAGGAAGAAAAGTATGAAAGAACTGAAACTTAATTGTGAAGCCCTATAAATTTTGAAGCGCTTAATTTCTATTGTTAAAGACTACTCAAAATTCTCTATTTTATTAAGGCTTTTACCACAAACATGATTGATTATATATTTGTATGAACTTTTCTAGAATATAAGATACAAATTTTTGCAAAAATGAAATGATTATCAAAAAAATTTTAAATTTATAATTAACAAATAAACTAATTAATTGTCTTTAAAAATTGGCATAGAATAAATTAATTAAATAAAAATATATTAAAATATTATTTTTAGAATTATATTTAATATTTGTTATTTTGCAAAAACTAATCTTTAACATTTTAATTTTAAATCAAGATTTTTATTTCATAATAATAAATCAAATATATCTTTGGTCTATTTTATCAATAATCAAAATTTGATGATATGTCTGTCTTTTAATTTAAGCAAAATAAAACTATTAAAAATTTAAATATTAAAAATTTTTTCTAATTTTTTTTAATTTTATTAATTTTTAGAAAAATATTTTTAAATTTTAAAAAAATATAAAAATAGACAAAGGCATTCTAAAAGCAATTATAGTTTTAACTTTCAGTCTAAAATGATCAAAAATTACAAAAATTTATGTAAGATTAAAAAAAACACCAGCTGAATAATTTTCTAGAAGATTATACTGAAATTAGAATATAATAATATAGTTTACTGATTTTAAAAAATCATTTAAATTTATTTTATATCAATATTTTTGGAGCTTATTTATTACAAAAATATTTTATTGAGATAAAATTTTACTAAAAATGAGTTTTTACTTTTTGAGAATTGGTGGTTTATGGAACTTTAGATTAAAAGATAATATTCTAAAGAATCTTTTTTATATTTTTTGAGAAAATTTCCAGGGAATCTTACATTTAGTTTGTTATTTAAGCTTATTTGCAAATTTCTTTTATTCAAGTTTCTCTTTTTGAGTCAAAATAAAAAGTCTTTTACAAAAAATTAATAAATAACTTTCTGATAATAAAAAACTTTTTGATAACACAAATTATAAAATTTGAATTCCTAATATATCAAAAATGATTATTAGAAATACTTGTAAACAAGGAAATTAAAGTTGATATTTTAGCTTAAATACTTCCAGGATATTCATAAGAAAGCAAAAATCAAATAAATAATTTAGTACAATTTAAAATAGAAAACTAAAAAAATTATGACTTTAGAATCTGAAACAGTTTTATCAAACTCTTCAAGTCTTTGTTCATACTAGATTTATTTAGAAGTTGCTGTTTTTGTTTTACTTTTAGCACTATTTAAGAAATGGATTAATGGTGGAACAGTAACAAAAAGAAGAGATTTAACTAATGAAGTAATTATTGTCACTGGAGGTAATTCAGGAATCGGATTTGAAACTTGTAAAGATTTGGTTAAAAATGGAGCAAGAGTAATCTTAGCTACAAGAAATGAATAAAGAGGTTAGAGAGCTGTTGATGAACTGAATAAGATAAGACCTAACTCTACTGAGTTTATGAAGTTGGATTTAGGTGATTTAACTTCTGTTAGGTTATTTGCAAACGAATTCAAGAGCAAGTACAACAAATTAAATTGCCTAATCAATAATGCTGGAATAGCTGCTATTAGTAAAAGAATTTTAACTAAAGATGGTTTTGAAAGTTAAATTGGAACTAATCATTTCGGACATTTCTTACTTACTCACTTACTATTTGATGTTTTAAAATCAACTCCACAATTTAGAGTAATCAACGTCTCTTCAAGATCTCATATCCGTTTTTGTATAAATCTTGATGACATTAATTTCGAAAGAACTCCTTATTATAGGTTTGTAGCTTATTCAGCCAGCAAAATTGCCAATATTCTCTTTACTTAATAGCTTTAAAAGAACATCCAAGATAAAAATTTAAATGGAAAAACTGTAAGTCTTCACCCTGGTGCAGTGAAAACAGAAATAGGCTCACATTTTAGCTACTATAAGCTCGTTTATCCATTTATTCTTCCATTTGCTTTGTTATTCCTAAAAAGTCCTAAAGCTGGTGCTTAAACTACTTTGCAATGTGTTTATGAAGACTTTAATAAGTTAGAAGGAGGTAAATATTATGTAGACTGTAAAGTTACACCCACAGCCAACAAAGAAAATATAACTCCATAAAATGCACAAAAGTTATGGGATTTATCTGTAAAATTACTTAAATTATGAAAAACCATTCATTTATGCTTATGTTTTTTGTTACATATTTAAACTGTAAAAGTAGTTTTAATAATTTTTTACTAATTAAATGAAAATAATTTATTCTTATTGATTTTATTTATTGGAAATTAATAAATGTCTAAAATAAAAATTTATTGAAACTATCAAATTTCATTTGAAAAAAGTATCAAAAAAGAAATTTGTAAAAAATTGTAAAAAGCTATTCAAATATAATGACTTTTGAAAAACCAAAAAAATTTAAATCAACATCACTTTAAATTATTATTTTTAGCTTTCGAAAAAATATTATAAAATTACATTGAAAAATTTTTAATATTTGTTTTTAAATATTTATATTAATTATTTTTTTATTAACTAACAAAATTTAGATAATCGTTTTTAGTATACAAAATATTTTAGTTTTAATGAATACACTGTTATTTGTAAAAAAGTAAAAACTCTTCACTTTTGTGGGTTTTTTTATCTATTTATTGTTTTATTTATTCATAGACTATTTCAGATTTATTAATTTTTTCTAATTTTCGATTAGAAGATTATTTTAATTGTAGTTAAACTGATTTTACATTTCATAAGATTTGCAAATATCAGATTTTTACAGTCTTTATTTTTTTTATCTTAATATTTACATTGTTAACATATGAAGTTGAATAACCTTCTTAGAATAACTTTTTCCTGAATTTATTAGATGTATTGTTCTTTTTTTAGAATTAGTAAAAACGCAAATTAATATTTATTAAAAAGTAATCTATTAAAAAAAGTATTATTATTTTTTTAAATTTAATTAAGAAGCAAATCTTTTAAGAAGAAATCAATCTAAAAATTGTGATATGAATCAAGAAACAGACACTCATTCAATCGAATCTTCTCATTCTTGCTGCTGTTCCATGTATTATTATGGAGCAGCTGTTGTATTTATACTTCTAATTACCGTTAAGAATTGGGTTAATGGTGGTAAAGTTTCAAAGCGCAGAGATTTATCAAATGAAGTGATCATTGTAACTGGTGGAAATTCAGGAATAGGTTTCGAGACATGTAAAGATTTAGTTAGAAATGGCGCTAAAGTTATCTTAGCTACTAGAAATGAATAAAGGGGATAGAACGCAATTAAAGAATTAAATAAAATAAGGCCTAACTCTTCTGAATTCATGAAATTAGATTTGAGTGATTTAACCTCTATAAGATTGTTTGCTAACGAATTTAAAAGTAAGTATAACAAATTAAATTGCCTCATCAACAACGCTGGTATCATGGCTATCTCTACACGTGTTTTAACAAAAGATGGCTTTGAAAGTCAAATAGGAACCAACCATTTCGGACACTTTTTGCTAACTAACCTTCTTTTTGATGTATTAAAGCAAACACCTTAATTTAGAATAATTAATGTTTCATCAAGAGCTCATATCCGCAATACCATCAATTTAGATGATATTAATTTTAGTAATACACCTTACTAAAAATTCTATGCTTACTCTGCAAGTAAAATTGCCAATATACTTTTCACTCAAGAGCTTTAGAAGAAGTTTGATGCTAAAAAAATAAATGGAAAAGCTATGTGCCTTCATCCAGGAGTTGTTAGAACTGAACTGGCATCTCATTTCCCTTACTACAATATTGTATATCCTATATTATATCCTATTGCTTTGCTTCTTTTAAAAAGTCCAGAAGCTGGAGCTTAAACTACCTTGCAATGTGTCCATGAAGATTTCAGTAAATTAGAATCTGGTAAATATTATGTTGACTGCAAGGTTCACCCTACAGGCAATAAAACAGCTTTAACTACTTAAAATGCAGAAAGACTTTGGGATATGTCAGTCAAATTAGTTAAATTAGATTAAAGTATTTGAAGAGTTTAATATTTATTTTAAAAATTAGTTTCATTTTGTATAATTTGTTTAGTTAATTTACATAAATTTAAAAAAAATTTTTAACATGTTATTGTTGAATTAAATAAAATTAATTTTTAATAAAATATAAATTTTTTATAAATTAAATGGTTTCAAATTTTAAATAATTAATTTAATTATAAGGAGTAAAGGAACTAATGATAATTTTATAAAATAATTTAATTGATTAAAAATATTTTTATTAAATTAAAATGCTGCTTGCTTATTTATATATATTCTAACCTTAAATATAACATTAAATTTTAGTATATTAGTTTGAATAATCAATCTTTTTTAATTTTTTTGGTTGCATTTTTGCCAAAGTCCTTGACAATGGGATATGACTCTGCTTCTCTTTCAGGAGTTACATATGTATAGCCTTTAGAAGGCTCATCGTTGGCATCTTCTACGCTTAATTTAAATGAAATACAAAACATTTTTTTGGTTGCAGTAACATTTTTGATGATATTAAAATGTTCAATATGCTCTTTCTTGAAATGAGGAAGAATTTATTTAGCTCTCTCTTCAATTAGCTATTTACATTCGTCTTCTTCTTCTCCAGAAACAAATCCTGTTGCATGGATCATTGGTAGATTATTTTCATTCCAAACTTCTGGGCTACCCTTTTTAAGCAAACCTTAGAATACATCACAAAACTCAATATTGTCAACAGGTAAATTCATGTAAACATGATCAAAATGATGGAATTCAGAAGGATATTTTTTATATTCTTCTTTACTAACTAAGATATCGACTACTTTACGAGCATCATTATTAAAGCATAAAGTTTTATCTTCAACGTTATTTTTTTCTCTATTGATTAGTAAATAATCATAGCAGTGAGGATTAAGATCGTTGCAGATAACCTTGCATCCCATTTTAGCAGCTCTTAATTTATTAACAAATATAATAGATAAATAAAAATATTAATAAATTAAAATATGTAAAATACCTGATTGCTAATGGTCCAACACCACAAAAAAGATCCAATACTGTTTCGTTAGGCTTAATAAGTTTCAATACTCTATCTCTTTCAGTTTAAAGTCTACTGCAAAAGTATACTTTTTCAAAGTCTAACTTAAAAATACATTTATCTTCTTTATGTTCAGTTTCAAGTTTATTTTCTCCTGCCATAATTTCTAACTCAGGAGTTCTGTATACATTGTGTAATTTATCTAATTTATTAACTACAGTCTTTATATTTTTAAACTTTTCAATTATTACTTGACCAATCAAATGCTTATAGGGGTATTACTATATTTATTATTTTTAAAAAATAAATTAATTTTTTTTGTTTAGATAATATTTTTGAGATTAATCAAAAACATTTTAAAAAGCAAACAATTTTTTATTTCATAAATCTACCAAAAAAATTTTTTTGTTTTTAATAAATTTTTTTTTCTATGTAAAAAAATTACCTATGGTTTTAAGTTAAAGTGAGCAATGTGACCTACAGTTTCATATCCAGTAGGTACTCCAATTTCAGCAGGTATTATTTTTTCTAAAATTTCATTGACAGGAATGTTATCGAATCCGATATTTACTTCATAATCTACAATTTCTAATCCAAAGTCTTAAACCTTTTTTTTTAAGGCTTCTGGCCATTTTGAATCAAAAGAATCTTTCTTCAAGCATTCTTGCAATAGAATGAGTTTTAAATTATTGTCAACTCCCTTCTCATTTTTAAATGGAACAATTCTTTTGACATTTTATATATCTAAGAACTAATCTTTGACTCCATTCATAACTTCATTAATTTGCTTATTCTCAACCTTGAGAGCACTAACCTTAATAACTTTATTGTAATCTTCTTTAACTAAATGTTCAGGAATCATCCTTGCTAATGTACTAAAGAATCGCTTCAAAATTTCTAATTCAAATTTAAGTTTGTAAAAATTATATTACAGTCTTTTAAGATATTTATTCTTTTTATAAAGTTTGTATATTGTGGATAGTTTGATATATTAAATTAAGATTATATTATTAGTTCACCTGCTTTTTTAATTGATTCTATTTTATTCTGAAAGAAAGTAGACTATACAAATCTTAAAAAATTTATATGTATTTATATATATCTAAAATTAACCAAAAAATTTTAATTCTAATAAAAATAAAATCGATTGAATTGTTCTATGAAATCGATTAAATAATTGATCAAAAATTCAATTTATTGAAAATTTTAATTGACATAAAAATATTATTTTGAACAAAAAATAAGCAACCTGCAACATTTAAATCTGACAATTTTGCTAATGAAAAAACATTTTATTACTTAACTTATTGTTTATGGGTTTTTTATTGCTATTTTGACGATGAGTTCAATTGAAATAGTGCTAAGCAATAATTTCATCAGCACATTTAACAATTATTTGATGTATAAAAAGATCATATTATTTAAGTTGACTGGAGATGAAACAATAGTTAAACCTTTAATTAATGTTGGAATTCTATTTAATTGGGTTTTTATTTGTTTGACTGTATTGGATTTGCTACTTTATGCCTTTTAAAATCACATGAGTAAAAAATATAATCCTTTTGTTACTATATTTTCTACAATATAGTTTATAGCTTTTACTGTAAAAATTGTTTTGTATGCTGCTTGGGCTAGCTAAAATAGTAGTTAATACACTCCTTATACACAAAATTAAACTTTTTGCAAATAATTAAATATAATAGTTAACAAGCAAGCTTAATAAACAATGTGCAGCTTTGCTGATGAGTGGATTTATTTTATTTAGTTGATATTTCCTTACACTTTAGGTTTCATTTTGATATATTGTTTATTCTTATCTATCCTTTTCAAGTCTCAAAAGTATGCACAAGAAAGTCTTATTAAAAAAAATGAAATTCATGATTTCAACAATTAAGGATCATTTAATATGTCAGAAAAGTTTTTAGTATCCCCATAAGCGAGATCTTATTCGAATTGACAAATAATCAAACATAAATTATGCTACTTCAATTAAATATTTGTTTAAAAAAATGTTTCTGTCCAAAATCACAAAAACAGAAATTATTGTAAAAAAAATATAAATTTTAAATTTCTAAAATTAAATAAAGAAAAAGCCTATGATTGATTTATATTGTATTAAATTAAAAATAAAAATAATTATTGTACTGTATTGTATTGTATTATATTGTATCAATTAGTTTTTAAATCTAATTATGAAATGAATATTGAATAAATAATTAAAATTTAAAATAATTTTGAAGAATATTTTAGATTTATTAATGAATTAAAATACTTTTTAATAAAATGCTTTTTTTAAATAAAATTAGATTTAAAGAGGAGATAAATTTTTAAATTGTTTATGAAAGAATCTCCATATCATATCTTTATATTTAATGGAGAAGATATTATTTATTTTTAAAGGATACTCATGCATTTTAAAGGATATTTAGAATGAAATAAAAAGACTTATAAGGATATTTCTATGATTTGGGTTCTTCCATTTAAACGCAAAATATTGTTTATTGGAAAAAGAATATGAAAAGGAATGAAGAAAATGAATTAGCAAGTCAAGATGCATGAAATTCTATTTAGTTAGTGTTAGTTTATAAATAATATCCTTGTAAATTTTAATTTGTAAGAAAATGAAAGCAAAAATAAAAATATGAAAAGAAGAAAATAAAAGCAAGTATTGATGAGATAAATGAAAGAAAAAATCTTAATATATTTTGAAGAAGAAAAGAAGGAAAGAAAAAAGATAAAAATCAAACATCATTTGTAAATATTCAGAAAAAGAAGGAGAAGAATAATTTTCATTTGAGAAACAATCATAAATAAATTAAATAAAATAAAAAGTAAAGCAAAATCTTCATTATAATAATCATGTAGGTTATTCGTAAGCACTTGGCTCAAAAGGGTTTATTCAACCCCTTCTTGTTCAACCGTTTTTCTACTCAACAAGATATTACTAGTGTCCCCGGTGACAAGCCCCCTGCCGTAATCAACAATCAATTTAGTTTTGTTAAAATGAATAAAAAAATAAATCTGCCACCACCTCATTCTTTTAATATTTCGATGAAATCATCTTCTTTAATATTTATTCTAATCAGAAAAATCATTGCAATAAGCGCTAAGAAAGAACTTACAAAATTTAGGACATTAATAGTTTTAACTCAATATCTCAGCTAGGTGCCATGATTAATAATATTAATATATTTTAAGGAACGATAAAAGTTAAGCTAAGCAAGAAAATTCAAGAAATAACTCAAAATTTTAGAAATAATCAAATTATCAACATAGTGAAAAGAAATTTAGGAATTAGAAATTAAAAAAAGCACTATATTGGCAACATTTACAAAATAATCTATTGCAAATGCTGAACATTATTTTTCATTTTAGGGATAATAAATAAAAGAAAGATAAAAATTCAAAAATACTTCTGTTTAAAACTTAAATTTTTTGATGTAGGTGGTATAAATAAAGAATTCTAATAAAAATAACATGTTTTGATTTTGTCTTTGTTATAATTTATTAATTATGATTGAATGTTAAATTTGCAATATTAAATAATGAATATAATTGTATAAAAAAAGATTGAAGATAGCATTCACGGTAAATATGCTGGTGTCTTGTTCTCCAGTGCTTCTTCCAATAAGTCTTTAAACAAAGTTGCTGAAGATATGAAATACTTTAATCAATTATACAAGGAAAGTGAAGTCTTCAAGAGTTTCTTAAATAACGTTTCCCTTAAGAGAAACCAATAAAGAGATATTATTTCTGCTTTGGGCAAGACTAATTTCAACCCTGCTACTAACAACTTGTTAGAAACCTTGATTGAAAACAAGAGATTAGATTCTCTTCCCAAGATTGCTGAAAAATATATGGATTACTACAGAATTTTGAACAAGTAAGAATCTATCACTATTATTTCTGCCTAAGAATTAACTGCTGCTGAAAAGTAAAAGGTTGAATAAGGTTTGAAGAAGGGTAACGCCAATGTTTAATTCACAGTTGTCTATCAAGTCGACCCTGCTATTTTGGGTGGTCTTCAAATGTACTCTGGTAACAACTTCTTGGATTGCTCTCTTCTTTCTCGTGTTAACAAACTTAAGACCGAAATCGCTAAGATCTCTTTCTGAGCATGATTAAATGTTGCTTATTTACGAAGCCTAATAAGTTGCATTCATGAATATCATAGCATTCGAATCTCAATGCTTTTCTAAATACGTTTTCATACACAGCAGTCAAGTAGATAAAGCTAAAAAAAAGCTCTTCAACAAACTCCAAATTGAAAAATTAAACTTTTTAACATTTAGATTATTACAACACCTTATTCATGTGTATTAAAGTGTGTGAAAGCTATCTTTAGATAAATTTATGTATGTGCTTATCTTTAAATATTCAATATTCAACTTAATTTTTTCTCCCAAAAATGAGTATGACTTATCTAAATATCTATCTATCTATATAAAACTTTCAACAACATATCAAACATTCCTAAATTTTGAATTTAAAACTTATAAAAATATTATATTTATTTATAGATTCAGGACTTTATTTATTTAAAAAATGAATATTTTCAGTTATTCAAATTTTTAAATTGTAATTAATTGATTCATTTTTCTATACAAATATTTTAATTTTTTTATATAGAAGCTAATACTAATAAAAACTGCTTAACATTTAACAGTATTTTCAATCTTGATTATATTTTTAAAAATAAAATTAAAATTTTGTTGAAAGAGAAATGATCACAAATATTCAATATTTTTAAATAAATTGAAAAGAGATATCAGTAAGTAGTTAAAATTCCATTTTTATTTAATTTTTCTTTTTTTAATAAAAAGCTGTCAAATAAATTAGAAAACATTAAAGTGTTGATTTGCATATTACTAATTTCATATTAAATTTTTCATTAAATAATGTTTATTTTTTACTGTTTCTATTTGAAAGGAATCCTACTTTGAACTATAAGAAAAATATTAATATTGGTTAAGAATTAATTGTTATAAAATTAAGGTTTGCATCATTTAAAGAAATAGATTTTCAATTTTTCAAAAATTTCAAAAAAAAGTGTGATTAAAGTCTTGTAGGGTATTAGATTTGCGTATTAAAAGCAACTTAATAGTATTTATAAGCAATAAGTGTTTGATAATTTATAAGTAAACAGACTATGGTATGAAATAATTGCTGTATTTTTCATCTCTAATGCAATTCTTTTTAAATTATTATAAATAGAGTTTTTAAGCTTCAGATTCAGCTTTTGTAGGATTAGTATGGATTTATGATGAAAACATTATAGCACAAATTAATATAATAAACATTAAATTATTTTATTAAATAACTTATGTGTTTTTGTAAATTATATAGGGTCCAATTCCTTTGAGAGATAACTAAATGTAAAGTCCAGACTAGTTCGAAGGTAATTTTAGAATTTAAACTACTAATTAAATGAAACTAATAACTTAGCTAACTTTATCTTAAATTCTAACAGATATTTTGAGAAAAATGAAAAATTAGCAAGAATAAAATAAGATACAGCAAAAAGAGAAGGAACTAAAAGATTAAAAAGTATTTTCTTTAACTTTAAAAATGCTTAATAATTACTATCTTTTATAATTTTAAAAGAACTTGCTTTAGCAGAGAGAGTAAGTAAAAAGATTGATAGAAAAAAATAGCAATAAGAATTTCACTTATGACTATGATGGGAAAATAATTATAGCTAAAAAAGGGAGCTCAAAAAATATTGTAAATCAAGAAAACACAGTAGGTGTATCGTAATTATTACATAAATAGTCATAGTTACTGATTAAATATTAGCTACTTGACAAATATCTTAATAAAATTGATTTTAAATTTTTTTATTTATTTCTTATAGATATAAAATTGGCACAACTACCAACGTAGTCAAAAAAATTAATGTAGAATAACCACAGCAAGTCATACCTAAAATTATTTAAGGAAAAGACCAATAGCTTTAAGTAAAAAACTCAGGTTCAAATATTCATTCTTAGAACTCTTCATAATCTAATTAGTTTTAAAGTGATCTCACAAATTAACCTAACTCATATGAAATGATGCTTGAAAATATTAAGCCTTCGCAGGGAGTTATATTTAAAGGAGCAAAAGGAGAGGTAAAGACTGGTGAAGGCTATAGCAATTAATAATCTTAGTTTGATTTTTATGATACTTAAAAAAATCCAAATGATATAAAAAGAATGACTAAAAAAGACTATGAGGAATTTATAAAAACTTCAGGAAATTATTCAAGAAACGACACATACAAGCCAAGAAGGTATACAACAAACAATCTAAACCAAAATAAAATAGACAATAATTTTGAAGATATTCTTGATGGAATAAATTATTCTTAAATACAACCTATTGAAGAACAAACTGAGGAAGAAAATTAAACACATCAAGATAAAGGATTTCTATAAAACAATTTAATTAAGGGAGTTTCTCCTCTGACATAAAATAAAAGCAGCTTTAAACTTGCTGGATTTAATTCTATTTAGAGATAGAGCTCTGATAGAGTTAATAATAAATAAAATATTTAAATTTTTGATAACCCTTATGGAGTACCTTAATAAAATGTTAATTATTAATCAATAAATAGAGGTAGTACTATTTTTAAAAATTCATCTTAAATTTAATAGCCTAAAAAAAATAAGGCTGGAAATATTTAAGTTGCAGATTAAGAAAAGCTAAGAAATATGCTTTTAAACTGATTTTATGAAAAAGTAAAAAAAATAATTAAATAAAGTAATTTATTAAATTAATTATTTTTTTTATAAATGAATTAAATTATAAATAAATAAATAAATTACTTTACCAAGTTGCCTAATATCGATTTGGTAAATGAAGAATAATTAAATTAATAATAAGCATAATTATTTACCAATATAAAAACTAGTTTAATATTATGAAGAATAATAGGAAGAAATATAAAATTTATTAATTAATTAAACTAAATTTATTTAAAATATCTTTGTTTTATATTTTATTTAGTAAAATAAATTGCTATCAAATAATCAATCAAGCATTTTTTAAATATTATTTTAGATATTATTTATTTTTTATTATATACTAATGAACAAATTATAACCACAATCTTGACAAACTTTTTAAATGATATTCAAATATTTATTTTCAAAATATATGTAATAAGTAAGTTAATAAATAAATAAGATTAGTGTTTTTTTCTCTTGAAAATTTTAGCTTTAATATTAACTATATTTTATTTATATTATTTAATTATTTGTTTTTATTGGTTTTTTTATTTTGTGTTTATTTTCTTTATTATTTAATTTATTTATTTATTTTTATTTATTTATTTATTTATTTTATTTATATTTATATTTTTTATTTTTATTCATTTTTAAATTTTAATTTGTTTTTATTAAATTTTATTATTTATCTTAAATTCTATCGCAATCAGATTCTCAAGCAGCAGGCAAATCAAATCTATTTTTTTTAAAAAATATTTTTATATATTAAGAGTCTAATAGAAAATTTAGATCAATCGATCTGAGAGATTATTGCTGATTTATTGATTTTTTTGAAAATACATATGCAAATCAACTATTAGAAAAATTCTAATAGATGTTTGTCATATAATCTAAGTATGATTAGTATTATAGATTTAATAAATAAATCTAAAATATTTTATAAAAACTTATTGGAAATCTAAAAAGGCCAATGGATTTTGGTGTTTAAAAACTTTTTTACTAATATCTAATCATAACTCGATTTACTTTTTTTCTTTTTCTTTTGTTTTTTAAAAAAATTAATTACAAAATTTTCCCCTTGTCAAAGAAAATAAATATTGAATGAATAAATAAATAACATTTAATTTAAATAAATTTTTATTATTGTTTTTCCCCAAGTTGTACATATATATAAATTAGATATTTAATTAAAAAGAAAATAAAATTATCTTTTATAGCAAATGAGAAAACAAAGATTTGAATCAAATTAGCAAGCTTAATTGATAAATTAAGAAATAATTAATTTGTTTTCTATTCTCTATTAATACAAACAATTCAAAAATATTTAATTATTAATTATCAGATTAGATTCATAAAAATGATATAAAATTGAAATTTTTTAAATTATCATTTAAAATTTACTTTATATAATATGAAAAATGGATAGATGATACTCTCTATAGTTTTGTTAATATTAAGTATCAGTCAGTGTTCATTTCAATTAAAATAAAATCATTTATAAAAATGAATATATAGCTTATTCACTAAAATATTTTATCTTTCAAAAGCAAAAAATACTTGCAATTATGGTTTAGTTTAAAAGGTGAGCTTTATCTCATTTTCTTTTTGTTGATTAAAATGACGATTGCTGTAGAAATATTAATAATTTTTGATTTAATTATTATTTTATTTAGGTTTATAAAAAAGGTATAGATAGTAATTAATTATCTTAATAGTTATCCAGAAATACATCACATATACTATATATAAATATTATGGATTTTTAAGAAATAATTGTTTTTATATCACTTTCTGTGAATATGGAATGTTCCGTGGTGACCACCAGTTTACCAGCTACCTTGGAAATCGTCTTAAGTATGCTTGCCTTTATAGGTAACTTTGTGTTTTCCAACATATTGCTTCACAAGGTGGAGTTCGTCACCAACAAATTCACCACTCCATATAGAAGATCCTACTTCATCATGACCAAATCCAAATGCTCTTCTGTTATCATCGAAGCCAAAGTAGGCAACCATTTTGTGATCAGAGCCATGTTAGTTGTAAGTTCCTTCCCAAATTTCAGCTTGAACTTCCAATCTAAATGCATCATGCAAGTTGTTTAGTTTCCAAGTACCCTTGATAACTCTGTCTTCCAAAGCACCTTCATAAACAACACAGTGTTTACCAACGTATTGCTTGTTAAAGTGAACTTTTCCATCGGCAGCAATCTTACCATCAATTACGAAATTTCCTACTGTATCATGACCTTCAGTATGAATAGTACCATCAGTGGTCAAATGTAATGCAGCAAGGTCCATCTTGTGCTCAGATCCATTTTAGGTATAATAACCGTGTATCTTAACTACAATTTCTTGATTCTACATTCTTTTTTAATTTAATAATCTATCTTTTTTTTATTGTTAATTAATTTATTATCAAAAATCAACTAATTACTGGTGCTTTTCAATCAATTTTTACAATCAAAATCTTTGTAAAATTCGTTTTTAAAAAACACTCTAATTTAGAGAATGATAGAAAATAAAATTTTTATAATGAATATCTTAAATTATTCTACTGAATCATATTTTTTTCTTCTTTAAATAAGTTTTTTAATAGATAGATAGATACTCACTTGAATCTAAAATAGATATCTTACTGTAAATTAAATAAAAATGTGAAATAAAAGATTATATCATGTGTATAATTTATAAAGTAAGATGAAAAGTTAACTATTCAAAATCTATTTCAAAAATTTAGCATTTAGCATATTTAAGATATTTGTTATTAAATGAATCAATAATATTTAGTATAAAGATAATATTTTTTTTGTTATATATATTGTTGGTAAGTTTTATTGAAGTTTTTTATGCTTATAAAAATTATCTTTTCTATAAATATAATTTTATAATATATTAAAAAAATAAAAAAAACTATAGAATTTATTTTTTAGTTGCAACACATTTATAAAAAACAATTAACTATTCTGAATAAACTTAAAAAATTATATTTTTTTTGGTAATTGGGAGCTAGAACCGAGTCTTATTTTATAATGTTAATAATTATTTAATTTATTTTAGACTGTATTAACTTATTTCAATTACAAATAATAGATACAAAGCTATTTATATCTATAATTAAATTTGTTTTTTTCAATAATCTTTATTTTTTTATTTTAAAATTAATTAATTGTAGCAAAAATTTTATAAATCTATTCTTTAAAAAAAAAAATTAAGTAAATATTTGTAATGTGAATATGTCTTTATTGTTAATATTTTTGCTCATAATTTTATAAATCTTAAATCTGTAAATCATAAATAAATTCTAAATATAACATTATCATTTAATCTTTAGATATATTGTTTTGAAATTCATATTTTAAGTTTTTAATAGGAATATTAAATGATACAAATTATTTTAATTTGCTTGAAAACTAAGAAGGAAAATAATTTTAAAAAAAATATTTTTAAGGAAATATCACCTAATTGATAAATTTTACTAAAACTTATAAATTCATTTTCAAAATCAGTTAAATTATATCTTGAAATTTAATAAAAATTAAATTAAAAATTATAGTCAAAGAAAAGCAACAAAAAATATAATTTAAAAATGTTTTGTTAAAAAAGTAGAAAATTTTAAGAAAATTATTTTTCAAATTATTCTAAAAAGTAAATATTTCTAAATTAATATAAATATAATGAATGAAAATATAATAAAAATATCATATTTAAAATTCTTCAAAATTGAAAGTGTATTTTTGCAAAGAATCTATTGCTTAACTATGATAAAAATAAATTAGCTTTTAAAAAATGGAGTCTTTAAAAAAGAGTTTTTTTAGTGATACAAAATTAATTAAAAACCAATCAATCATAAATAATTTCACTTAAATTTATATTTTATATTAATTTTTAAAGTAAAATTTATTTACTTTGTTATTTTTGATTGGCAAATTAGTATTAATAAAAGCCACAAATTTTATAAACAAAAAATATTATTACTTTAAATAAAGACAAAGTAATAAGAGAGTTCTGTAAATTATATATTTATTTATTTATTTTGCGCAAATTAAAGAGTAAAATATATGTAAAATGAAGAAAGTCTAAGAGTGGATTGGTTAGGATTTTGAATGTGAAATTGTTTTAACCACAATAAAAGTTATGCTTGACGTCTGTAAAATGTGATTTTTCATGAAAAAAAATAATATAAATAGATTGTTAAGATGAGAATCAAGCTATTCAAACTGGCAAAAAAGGTAAATGCGAAAAGAATGCCGATTTATCAAATAAAAATTATAAAAACTAATTTTTAAGCGAACAGTTTGATAAGTAAAAAATAAGAGTTAACTAAAAATAAATTGAATAAGACAAAGAAAAAAATTTAATTAATAATAATATTTCATAAAAAAAAGTAAATAAGCCCAATAACATACATTTAACAAATCTCCTTAAGAAAAAATAGTTAATTATTAACAAAGCGTAAAATAAAAGACATGGGAAATTGCAACTTCAGATAGCCTGATTAAGAAGATACAACAAGTAATGAAAATTTAACAGCATTTAACAAATAAGTCTGAACTCACATGAACTTACTAAAATATCATAGCTTTTTAATAGAATTAGTTCGTGATTTCATTCTTACTTACTCATTCTTACTATTAGAGCAAAGTCTAATTATTTTACATTTATTTAAAAAAGCTGCCATTTCGATAAATAACTTTGATCTTAGGTTCGTTATTGGAAGAGGAGGTTTTGGAAAGGTAAATAAATAGTTATTAAATAGTAATAAAAAGACTTTCATTGAGCTTACTTTAGAAAAAGCATGTGTAGTTTTATGTTTAAAAATATTTAAACAAACTTAAGCACTTGCTTAGCTTTTTCTTAATCCTGCACAATGTTAGTCCTACCAATTTTTGAAGATGTTGAAAGATTTATTCCTTGATTGAGTTCATATTTTTTAACTTAATAGGTTTGGAGAGTTGAAAATAAGAAAACAAAATAGATTTATGCGCTTAAGGAAATGTGTAAAGCAAAGTAATCAATTAAAATATTTTTCATTTTGAATTCAGTTTCTTGACTAAGAGTTGACAAAATAAATAATTCTGAAAAAAAAAATATGGAATAAGTTGAGAAGAGTAAAAAATATTTGTGATAATAAAGCAATAGTCAATTTACTGAATCTGTTTAAAACAGGATGAAATAAATTTTTTTATTAAAATAAATCAGGGTCATATCTAAAAGAAGTGTCAATTCCGTCATGAATGAGAGACAACTCCTAGCAAGTTTGCATCATGCGTAATTAATAAAAATTGCATCACTAATGATGTCAATTTTTCAATATGAATACCTTTTTCTAATAATACATTTTTTGTAAATAAAACAACAGATTTCTGATTAATATGGTTTATGCTTTTTAAGACAGATAAAACTTGTATTTAGTTATGGATTTATTGACTGGAGGAGATTTGCGTTTCCACATTTCAAGACATCGTAGATTTTCAGAGGAATAAACAAGTAAAAAAATAATTTTAAAATCTTTAAATAAATAAAATTACAAAATATTAATCTTTGAAATATAATTTCTAACTTACTCTAATAAAAAAATAGAATTTTTCTCTGCTTGTATTATTGTTGGCTTAGAGTATTTACATTAGAATGGAATATTGCATAGAGATATTAAACCAGAAAATTTGGTATTTGATAATAAAGGTAAATGATCAATTAAATAAAGTATTATTATAAACGAATTCTAAGTTTAATTCAAAAATATATAATTTAGGGTATATAAGAATTACAGATTTAGGTATTGCAAGAATTTGGAAACCAGATAACTCCTCAGATACTAGTGGTACTCCAGGATATATGGGTAAAAAAAATTTGAAAGAAATTATTTTTAAAAATCTTGTGCAAGTTAATTAAAGAAATAAATAGTTTTAATTATCTAATCAAAAAATTTATTTCTTTAAATTTAAGATTAATTTGATATTATTTACTTACTTATTTATTTGTTTGCTTCTTTATAAACAGCAGCATCAGTTTTTTTCTTGATTTTCAGAAATCTAGAAAAATTCAATTTTTATTTAAAATAATTTATATTGATTTATATACAGCTCCAGAAGTAATGTGCAGGCACAATCATGGTGTTGCTGTAGATTACTATGCACTTGGTATTATCGTTTATGAATGCATGATGGGTAGAAGACCATATGTTGGAAAAACAAGATAAGAAATTAGAGATCAAATTTTAGCCAAGCAAGTTCAAATTAAAAAAGCAGATGTACCTGAAGGCTGGAGCTTAGAAGCAGCTGATTTTGCAAATAGAGTAATAAAAAATATTAATATCCATTATAAGCAAGACTAAGTTTATTATGTAAAAATATTAGCTTATTTAAAGAAAACCTGCCAATAGACTTGGATTAAATGGACCAGATGAAGTTAAAAACCATGTTTGGTTCAAAGATTTCCCCTGGTAAAAGCTACTTAACAAAGAGTTGATTTCTCCTTATATCCCAAATGTATTCAGATTTTTTATTGATAAATGGCTTGAAAATTTTTTTTAAAATAATAGCAAAAAGAAGAAAACTATCATGTATAGGATAATAGAAAAGATAGCAATGAAGACTTAAATGGCCAAAATGCTATTTTGCTAAAAAGAAACTCTATTCAAGGTAGAAAAAATAAAAATGATCTTAATTAATATTTAAAAATGTATTTTAAAATTATTAGATTTATTTTCTGGATATAACTTCGATAGTACTCATAACCCTCCTCAATAACTGATGATGATGAACAGTCCTAATGTCAGTAAAAGATTTAATTAAAGCTAAACATAAAGTTAAAGAGCTACTCCTGATATCCCATCAACAGCATCTAACCACTCACGTAAAGTTTCGCAAATGGGATCTCAGCTACAAAATGAAGTCCCTAACTCTTAGTAGAATCTACCTAATGGATACCAAAATAGTTATATGGGTAATCAATCTTACCAAAATTAGATTGATCAAACAGCTTCCCAATCTTACTAGTAATATTAATAATAGTTAGCTTAATAAAATCAAATGAATAAATAAAAATCTCTACGCTAATCATTTGCATGATCAAAGTTTTATAAAAGTTAAATTTTGATAAATGCTTGCTTGCTATATAGCTTGCTAGCTAGTTAGCTAAAAAAGCTACATAATTTAATTAAAATTGATTTTCCTCACAATAAATAAATAACTAACTAATAGATAATAATATTTCATAAACATTCATTAATTAATACTCAAACTCCTTGATTACCTTAATAACTAACTAAGTAAACAAACAAACAAATAAATAAATAAATGATAAGTAAAACATAATTCTCAAATAAAAGTGTATTTAGCATGTGTAAAGCAAGTAATTGTGACTGACCCTTAACAACTACGAATGATTTTATAACAATAAATATAAATAAATAAATAAATAAATAAAATAACCAATAATCAATAATTTATAAGATAACAATAGTTATTAAATAATATATCTATTAACCATCTACTATCTTTTAATAAAACTAAATATATATCTATATATTTATTTATCTATCTATCTATTTGTTTAATGAAATTTATAACCAAATCACATAAATAAATAATAAATTGATATTTATTTAGAAATTTACTTTTTATTTTTATTTTTAAAAATAAAATATCTTTTAATTTATATTTTTTAAATATAATATCATGTTTAGATATTAATTTAAATGATATTTTAAGTTAAAATTTCTAAAATGCTATTTAGAGTATCTTACTTTTGTATTCATCCTAATTTATTCTTAATTCAATTAGTGTTTCTGTAAGCTTATTAAAACTCTTATTTGGCTTTTCTTTATTAATAAATAACATATTTTACAAAAAATAAATAGTTGTCACTTTAAAAAGCTGACTATTTGTGAAAAATATAATTTCAATAATACTTTTATATGGTTAAAGGAGAATAAATTTCTTTTTTTTCTACAAAAAATCCAAACGAATCACCTATACCACTACATAAAGCTATTACAAAATCATATTAAGAAATAGAAAAATAAAATACTTAAAAACAACATGATTATATTAGAAAACCATTGTAAGATATTACAAACACAATTTAACATTAAAGTGATTATAAAAAGAAGTCAGAAAAAATTTAAACTTAACCTAAACTAACTAATAAATATGTAAATTTTATTATTGAATAAATAGAAAACAATATATTTTTAATTTTAGGCACATTTGACATTTCTTAATAGAACTGCTGAAAAAAAGTATAGAACTCTTCTTTTCATAGACAGAGAACTCAATTTCCCATAAGAATATCTATAGAAATTGTAAAATCATGTACATTCTATTACATCAAATTTCTATTAATATGTTAAAAAATTATTTTAAGCTAAGTGATAATGATACAGAATCAGATGATGAACAAATATTTAGTGCTATAAATAAATTAAAATAGTCCTTACTATTAGAAATTAATAAACAAAAATAATAATTAATTAGCAATTCAGATCAACAACCAGTACTATGATAAAATATATAATATAAGTTAAGCTAAAATAATTTAGCTTAAATTTGTAAATTTTTTGTTTAAAATATTTAAAAAAAAGTAGTTAAAATTGTTAGAAAAATTAAAATATTTGCTCTAAAACACAGTCGAATATTTATATATATATTTAAATACTATTTATTTTTATTAATTAGTTTATTTTATTAAATTTAATATCTTCTTTAGTTTTAATTGATAGTTTATTATATTACTCCAACTTGAGAAAATTTTCATTGAGATAGTTACTCTGAGCTAGCTCTATTAAGTGCACTTCTTAAAACCTTCTCATCATCTGTGGGCTCTATTTTCATTCTTAAGAGGTGAATTACAAGCATAGGGATTAATGCTATTAAAATTATCAATAAAAGTATTCCAATTGTTTATAAAGTCCATATGTTTCCTATATCAAACTAAGGCTATAAGAAAATTAGTATTAAAAGATAGATTATCAGCGAAATACCTATAAATAATGCCTGGATCCATTTTATCTTTTTGATCTTTGTATTAATACAATTTTTTACATAGTTAAATTTAATTTAATTTTGATTAATTTACCTAGTAAATTTTAGAGAAAATCATAAAATACTCTGTGAATATTAATTCAAAAAGAACAAATGTTTCTATATTCAAAAAGTATTATCTTTAGAAGAAAGTGAATATTAGCATCATCAAAACGGTAGCCTAATTTTAATTCAATTCAAAAATATTAATAAAGTATTTTTACAAAATTAAAAATTAATTTTTTACTTGATAAACAGCTTTCCAGATCCATGAAAAGAATGTTCTTAGATTTAAATGTCTTCCTTTTAAAGCTGATTTGTAAAGTTGAGGAAATGAGATACATGTGTTTATCTATATTTTATTAATATTTATAATTTAATTTAACAAATACTTAGTTTAATTGTGATTACATCTATATCTGAGTCCATAACTAGTGTTAGCACTGGGAAAATAGTAAATATGGTAGCATAACAGAGTAGTAATTAAGCATTAAATATTTATATTGTAATAGTGTAAAATACTCCGACAAAAATCAATTCGATGAAAGCAATTACTAACCCTCTTTAATATACAAAAGAACACAAAGAGACAGCTTTTTTGTAACACCTTCCATGCCATAATAATAGCTGATTTAAGTAATAAAACTCAGGAATAGTTACATCTGCAGCCAGCTATGCCAATTTATTATCAGAATCACTTATTCCTAATTTGTAAAAAATAGAATTTCATTTTTAAAAAAAAAAAGTAAAAAAATTATACCAATTCCTAAGTGAGCACTTTATATCATTCCAACATCATTTGCTCCATCTCCTATAGCCGCAATTCTATAATCAGTATACTATTTAATTAGATCTATTATCTAGTGCTTCTATTGAGGAGTGCATCTGTATGTTTTAAAGTTATTTTTAGAAAAATATTATTAAAAAATTTATTCTTAACAAGTTTTTAATTTAAAAAATAATAAATTATTTATTCTTGTTCTTCATCTTCATCAAGGATAAATTTTTTTTTAATATTGAAATGCATATTTGATTGATGTTATTTTTTAATATTATCCATTTATTTTAGGAATGTTTTAATTTTTTTTTGAAATTTTAAATTGATCATTTATTTATTTTTTTATTTACTCGCATAAAAGGACAGATGCAGCCCTTGTGCATACATTAACAAGCTACTTTTTATCAACTTCCATTGCTACACTTAGAGATTATCCATCCATAACTAATATTTATTTTTTAGAGTTTCTGTCACTATTTATGTACATAAGCTTTGCTTTTATATCTATATCGTCGTAAACTTTCTTGACTATGTTAAAATGTTAATCATTTTATTTGATTCCAGATTAAATAGCTGCACTTATAGTTGTTTGCATACTGTCACCTTTTTAAGAAAAAGATAATTTCATTTTAATTAAAATAAACAAAATTAAACATACCAGATACAATCCAAACTGAAATACCTGCTAATGTTAGAGTTTCTATAGTTTATTAAACACCATCTCTAAGCTAATCTTCTACACCAACTATACCTAAAAATTCCATATCTTTTTCAAATTAATCAAACATTTGGGAAGCGTTTTAAATATTATTTCTCATTAAAGGAGAGCTCATGTTAACGTTTATGTTCTTATTTAGTTATGCTTATTTCCATTTATTGTAATCATTTTAGTCTATTTACTTTTATGCAAATACCATGACTCTAATTCCTTCACTTCCGATATTTGAGCTTTCTTCATTTATGAATTTTCTTGATGACTCAATTACAAGTTCTGACATCTCTCTAGCTGATCCTTTTACATAATATATAATTTTTTAGCTACTCAAATGCTTAACTATGATTCCCATCCTGTTTTTTTCTGAAGAGAACTCAAATAAGTCTAGTATTTAATAGTAATCTTTATTTTCTCTACAGTTTTCTATCCCTATAGTATCTTCATTCCTTGTCACCAATTTAATACCTAATTACTCAGCAAATTCTACAAATGCCACTAAGATATTTAAGTATAAATCAAATAAATAATCAATCTAAAGATATTTATTTATTTACCTTCTTCTTATGATTCACCTAAATATTTACTCTATCTTGATATTAGCTCTATCCCAGGTGATACAGTGTTACAAATACACATTGCATTAACTAAATCTCTAAATATTTCTTCTTTAGCACGCTTCTAAAATTTATAATCATTTGATTAGGTCTATTTAAAATTAAAAATCAATAAATAAGAACGATTTAAGTTTTATTACATTTGAAGAAGTGAGCTGATAATTTGCCAGAGGCTCTAAGTATCTTTAACACTAATTGATAATAATAGACTGCATGACAATCATATCTTCATGAGTGTAAGTTGCTTATTCTAAAGCAACTCTATTAAAAATCATTTCATTCTTTGTTAAAGTTCCTGTTTTATCTGCTAATAAGAATTAAACTCGCCCTAATTCTTCAGGTATATTCTATGTAAAATAAAATTAATTAATTAATTAATTAATTACAATAATGTTGAATTTAATATAAGTTATTTTTTTTACTTAATCCTTAAAGTTAACTCCTTCCATGTCTGGGTCATTATTGATTCTAAATGTAAAATAGATTTTGACCATTTCAAGATTTATTTTTAAGCAAACCGGAATAATATTACAGAGTAAAATTAAATATCTATAAAATAAATAAATGAATTAGAATTATATATCTCAGTTGTAAGTCAATTATTTAATTACCTTATAAAATCAATTACTATTCTTATAGAACTCATTATGTTTCCTTTAATAATCACAATCAAGCATGAATAAAAAATAACTATTAAGAAAAATATTTTCATTAAAAAGTTGGCTTCTAAGTCAAATTTTCCTATTTTAAATCTTGGCGATTTCATGTTCATGTTTGTTTTTGTTTCAGATCCTGTGTAAATAATCAAACCTGGTGATAAAAAAAATTATTAAGTTGAATACTTCTTAACATTAATCTATTTACCTAAAATAAATCCATTTGATACTGTACTATTTTGCCATATTGCATTTTCAATTGTAATTTTTTCATTATACTTACTATATCCATCATTAAGATAGAAAGTAGCTTCGAATTAGCTATAGTTTGCTGATGGTGGTGGAATTTCAACATAACCATCTGTATCAATTAGTTGAAGATAATCATTTTAACGTTTTTTTATATCTTACTAAAAATAATTAATAGCCTTTCTTGAAATTTATTTTGTTTTTCCATCAAAATGGTCAGTCTTGATTAAAATATTACCATTTATATTGCTATTTTTATATAAAAAAATATATAAATTTCTTCTAGATATAAATTAGTTTACCTAGAATACAAAATTAGTAAATCTGCTGGAGCTGGTTATCCTTCTTACAGCTCAATTATCTAACCGATTTTTAGTTCTTGGATTTTAACTTCTTGAAATTAATTTTAATAATTGAGCACTTTAAAAACTGTCTGGTTGTATTTACTATCTTGCACGAATATTTTAATATTATCATATACTTTTATTTTTTAAAAAATATATGTAATTAAACTCAGTTTTTAGCGATAATTAAATAAAATTCTGTTGAAAATATGAGAATTTAATTAAAAAAACACAATCTTAAAATCTTGTGATTTATTAATTATTTTCTAAATCTATGGTTAGCCAAACATTAAAAGTTAAGCTTAGAGGTGTTGATTGCACTTCAGCTTACTTTCTTTTATTTACCATAATTTGATGGGTTTTTTATGATTTAAAAGAGAAAATATTTATTGCTAACCTAAAGTTAAAAATAGAATATATATATATCTCTTATTAGATAAATTGAGAGATACATACTAACTAATATTGAATAATTAATTACCTTCTCGAGCCATGACTAGAAAAACAATAAAAATGACAGGCGAGAGATAAGTATAGACATATCCTACCTTTAAGTCGTATATAAACTAAGATATAGTGATTATAAGGTATAGAAGGTTCATAAAATTTTAGAAGTGATTCCATAAAACTAGTGGCAAGAATGTTAAAAGAGAATATTTTGAATTTTTAATTTAATTTATTTAATAGTTCTGTGGAAATATATCTCCATTTATGTATATTTATCTCTCAACTTTCTAAGGATCTGGATTGCCAATTAAATTTTTTAATTTTTGGAAGAATGTCAATTTATAGTTTGCTTCTTATTTTGGTCTCACTTTGAGTAAAGGTTCTTTGACGTGTATACATTATTCATTTCTAATTACATTTTATTTATATTTTTCATTTACAACTATTTAACTCGTATCATCTCTTGGTATTGTAAGGAAGCTACTAGATTAAGAGGAATTATGCATTTTTATTTGGCTGTTATCTTTTTATCTTTAATTTTATTTGCTTTAACTGCTAAAAGAGTTTCCTGAATTAGATTTATTTCCCTCTATATCAAGAGAGATATTATTATTGTCTTTATTATTGCGAACTCCTGCTCGAGAACTATTATTTCGAAATATTAATGAGGGTTAGTCTACTACATCCTTCTACTCCTCGATTAGAGATTCCTTATTGTTATATGAATTTTCTCCGTTGATTCCTTTATAAGCCATTTGCAACTATTTATTGATAGAATTACTCCTAAATGCCAAATTTCAAGGTATCCTTAAATTCCTGTTGCTAATTTGTTGATATTTGTATAAGAATTAAAACCCTAATATTATAATTTTCGCTAATAATTTATTTGTTTGCAATTTATAAATTGGCTAAATTAGCTTTATATTGTATTGATGATCAGCATGCATCTGTTTATGTATTTTATAAATCCTATACTAAATAATTAACTATTTAATTGTAATTTTATAAATATTACCAATCCATATAAATGAGAACCCTCTCCCATTTCATACTCTTATTTGAAAATAATTTTTGGGGTTAATAGGATAGGTAGGAGGAATCTAAAAGATAAATGAGCTAACTAATAACTATAAATGATAAATAAAATTTAAAATAATTTAGGATTTAGATGAGCTTTGTTAATTCACTTTAAATTAATTTTTAAGAATTAAGCATATTAAATATTTAGTATTATTGATTGCCTCAAGTTTTACAATAATTTAAATAAATATTTTAATATAAGTTGTTATAACAAGTTATTTTAAGAAAAACACAATATAATTTAAAGGATTAGTTAAGTTATTATATCAAAAAGCAGGTAAAACACTATTTTATGAATAATTAATAACAAATTAATTATTTTATTAAAAATCATAATATTATTAAGATCGAGATCAAAATATTTACTTTATTAAAAATGAGAAAATATTTTTTTATTTATTTTTTGAAAAAAAATAGTTTATTGATAAATTTAAAAATTTATTTATTGTTGAAAGTTCTATGATTAAAAATCCTATTAACTTGATTTGATTACTTTAAAATAGATAGAATATATAAACAATAAAAAGATATTTATTTAATTAGCATATTCCTTAAATCAAATGGACAAAATAAATAAAAAGCTTTTCAAAATTTTAGCTGGATACTAAAATTATGAATGGGGTAAAATTGGAGAAAGCAGCTAAGTTTATCAGATGGTCAAATGTTGGAATGAAAGTTTATAATTAAACTAAGCATACGCTGAACTTTGGATGGGCACACATGTAAACTGTCCTTCAATAGCAATTACAGAAAATAATTAGAAAGTTAAATTAGGGGATCTGATAGCTACATAACCGGATGCTTACTTAGGCAAAGAAGTAAAAGAAAAGTATAATTTATAAGATTAGCTGCCTTTCTTGTTTAAAATATTAAGTGTTAACAAGGCTTTAAGTATTTAAGCTCACCCAGATATTGAGTTAGCTAAAAAACTATTTAAAGAATTTCCAAATATTTATAAAGATCCTAACCACAAACCTGAAATGTGCATAGCTTTGACTGATTATGAAGCCCTATGTAACTTTTGTAAGGCTGATGAGATAGTTGAAAATCTAAAAGCTACTCCTGAACTCAAAGAGGTTATAAACAATCAAGAACTAATTGATAAATTTGTTTCAAATAAATCTAAAGAAGATCTTAAAAGTATATTTACTGCTTTATTTGACGCTTCTTAAGACCACATAACAGAATAAGTGAAAAAATTAATTAATAGAGTTTAACTTAAGCAAGATAAAAATGAAAGAGATCTATTGGTTATCAAACTAAATGAGTAATATCCAAACGACGTTGGAATTTTTGTTAGCTATTTACTCAATTATTTTAAAATGAAGGAAGGTGATTGTCTTGTCATGGCAGCTAATGAACCTCATGCTTACATATCAGGAGATTGCATTGAATGTAAAAAATAAATATTACACTAGAAATTATCATATAAATTAATGATAAATTATAATTTGATTTTTAAAAATAGGTATGGCTGCGTCTGATAACGTAGTTAGAGCAGGTCTAACTCCAAAATTCAAGGATAAAGTCACACTATGCAACGTATATTTACAAATTTAATTTTTTATATCTAATTAGTTATTAATAATTTTTAGATGCTTACCTACGAAATGAAAGATCCATCAATTCTTCGCCAAAAAGTTACTTTTGAAGATAAAAATAAAGGTTAAATTATTGAATTGTATAGCCCAGAAGACTACAAAGATTTTAGCTGTCTTAAAATCTCATCAAAAGAAGGAGACCTCTAAAAAACAGTTAAATTAGAAAGTGGAAGCATATTCATAGTTATTTAAGGTTAAGCTGTAGCATATGTCGATGAAGAAAATAGTGTTAATATACTTAAAGGAGACACCTACTTCGTTCCTGCAAATATTGAGTTTTCATTCAAAAACTCCTAAAACTTAGTAGTATTTGTTTGCTATAGTAGATATTGATTAAAATTAAATTACATAATATTCTCTTTCAAAAAAGAGAGAAAAAGGCAACATAAAAATATATTGTTTAATTTAAAATAGTTTATTTTTATTTATTAATAATGCTTATTCTTAATATTATTATTAGAAATATTTACCAAAAATTTTTTAAAAATAAATAAATAATTTTGTTCTTAATTATAAAGTTAATGCATTTATTTTATTAAGTGAAATAACTAAATAAATAAATACATACATATATAATGTATTTTATATGTGTAATTCAGTATTTTTTGTAGATATTTTTTTAAATACCTGGTCCTAATGAAAACTAGATTTTAATAAAAAGATTTGTTTTGATAAATTTCGGATTTTGTGAGAGTTATGGTATATTTGAATTATTAAAACTATTTTATAAAAATGTACTAAAGAGTCTAGTCTAAAAGAATTTGTGTCTATTACACTAAATAAGCCATAGTAAATCAAGTAGACAGAAAATTAATTTAATGATTTTATTTCTAATAAAATTATAAAAAATTCATATAGAAATTTTATTTGAATAAATGTTGTACCATTATTAAGTAAAAGAAGAATATAGGATAAGAAATGTACAGAATTTAAATGAAATTCTTTTATTTTTAAAGTGTCTTAAATTAAATTGAGCAAACTATATCTTTTATTATTAAAAAAATTAAAAATCAATTATTTAATTATTTTATCAAACACACAATTATTAAAAAAATAAACTACACAAACAATAAAAACTTTAGAAATATATTCAAATGAAGAATAACAATTATGAAAAATTTTAAAACAAGCAGCAAAACCACATTTAATATGTGAGAAAAAATCAACAAGCAACTGATTAATTACCAAGTAAACAAAATCAATAGGTTTTTTATGTAAGAAAATAATAAAATGGAAATGAATATTTTAATCAGCTAGAAAATAATTAAAATTATAATATGAGCTTATAATAAAGCAACTAGTTGAGTTATTCAAACAAAAATGAGGAAGACATTATCAGAAATTTATAGGAACTAAATAATTTAATCAATAACAAAAATGTTTAGAACTAAAATTAAGATTCTGATTAAAAAAACTAAAATTTCAACTAATAATGTTAATAAAATGATTAGGTAAATAGAAATAGTTAATAATAAAGCAAAAATTAGGAAGATATTATCAAAAATTTATAGGAACTAGATAATTTAATCAATAACAAAAGTTTTTTGAACTATGATTAAGTTTCTTAAGGTTAAAAAAGCTTCAACTTCACCTAATAATATCAATAAAATTATTAGGTAAATACAAATATCTAATATTAAAGTAAAAATGACCAAGATATTATCAGAAATTTATAGGAACTAGATAATTTAATCAATAACAAAGGTTTTTAGAAATAATATTAAGTTTCTTAAGCTTAAAAAAGCTTCAACTTCAACTAATAATAATATCAATAAAATTACTAGGTAAATAGATATGACTAATAAAAAATAGTAAATGTTCCTAAAAAATAATAGTACTTTAAAGTAAATAACCAAATCTTAGATAAATAGGTTTATAATAATAATAATTAAATAATATAATAATCAGGTAGTAATCACAATTTTTAAAGTCAGCAAAACAATCAAAATAAATAAATAAACAATTAATTTAACCCAATAAAAGTTCAAGAAGATTAAATTTTTTTAAAAATGGAAGAGTAGAATAAGAGAGATAAAATTATTGTTTAAGAAATGCAACAAAAAGATCAGTAAAAAAATATGGATAAATAAATGAAAAATGGGTAAAAAAATTGTATTCAAAGCAATAATTAATAAGAAAATAACTAAAACTTATAAAATCAAAATTAAAAAAAGAAGAAAAATAATAATTAAAATAACTTTAAAGATGTATATTGGATTTGTAAAGGCTGTAAAGTAAAAATTCAATGGGATATGTAAAATTGTTAAGCTTGTGGAGCATAGAAATTTCCAGGAATTAGCAGAATGAAAAAAAATGTTGGGTAGAATGATTTCTAGTATTTATTTTTCATTGATTTTGAGTGCAATTTCTTTAATAAAAAATTTGAAATAATTGAATTTCCATTACATGTTATTGATGTAAATAGTAAAGAAATTGTAGATTCTTTTGTTTCCTATGTTAAACCAAGCAATAATATAACAAAATTTATAACTAGATTAACAAAAATTACTGATACTTAAGTTAAAAATGCCCCTATTCTTTAATAAGTACTAGTAAATGTATAAAACTTCTTAGAAAAATATCTAAAAGTAGGTATAGATAAATGTGCTGTAATTTATGACTGTGATAGTGATTCAACATTTCTGTTTAATGAAACCTCTTTTAAGAAAATAAAAGTTCCACCTATTTTTGAGAAATACATTTGTCTTAAATCTGTTTTCCCTGTTGAAATAGCTAATAAAGCTCCTTCATCTTTATCCCAAATGCTTTAAATTCTAGATATGAAATTTGAAGGTTAAAAGCACTGTGGAGCTGATGATTCTATGAACTAAGCAAAAGTTGGCTAGAAACTGTTACAACTAGGTTATAATTTCTCAAAAGACTAATAAATAAAATTAGGAAAACCAAGCACAATTAGCAGAAAAGAAAAATTGAAATTAATAGACATATATATTAAAGAATACGAGCTTGATAAATAGAAAAATAATGAAAACTAAAATGATTAAAATAAATGAAAATTTATTGAAAAATTCTAATTTGGGTTTTTTATAACAGTTTAATGATTTATTTGTATATATACTTGTTTTATTTTCATTTATGTAAATTTATTAGGGATAAACTGAATAAAATTTTTTTAGTTAAAATTCCTTAAAAATATAATTCAAAATTATTTTATTTCTTATTTATCATTTTAAATACATGTTTTTAAATAAATTATCAAAATTTTATGTGTTTTGTTATTTTTTTTAACATTTAAAACAATTTTAGCATTTTTGTACTTTTTAGACTTAATAAATGCAAATATTTTTTGAAAATGTGAGCTTATTTGAATACTGTAAAAAAATAAATTATTTATTTAAACAGTTATTATATGATTTTTTTTTGATATTATGAATCACTATTTTACCGTAAATAAGAAATTAATTTTTTAATTACATTTAAATATTTGGATCCCAAGAGATTTTAAATCTTACAAATATAAAAAATTTATATATTAAACGAAGTATAATGGGTCAATTAATTAGTTAAATCTCATCTCTTGGTATCAAAGCTTCATTAGCGAGTTATGCTAAATCACTCTCAGGTATTCCCGTCTGAGTTTCTTGAACTTGCGCCTATAATTTCGTTTTAAATTTTAAAAGTGAATCTAGAATTTTCTATTTAAATTAAATTATATTTACCATCATCTATTAATGCAAAGGTCGGTAGAATTATAAAGTGTTTAATATAAGATTTCAAAAATAATATTTTTGTTGTGCTTAAGTTAGTTTCTAAAATTTTTTAATTTATTTGTGCTATTTAGTTTCATTATTATATATGCATTATCATTAATTGTCTTTTTCTGCTAAAGTTTGTAAATCTATGCTATTTCTTCTGATATTTAAAACAAATTTATTCATTTACCTTCATCATCTAATTTTAACAATGTTAGATTATTTTTTGGAAAATTTATAAAAAATAATAGAAACCTTGGGAATCATCAAGACAGAAGCATCCAGTATTAAGTCTAAAGCCAGTGAAGAGGGTTGCAATAGTTAAAGCGGGGGCAACGGAATCCTTTGCAATAGTAATGCTGTTTTCCCTTTTATTTGATCGTAAATTATTTATTCATTAATACAGAGAGAAATATTATGATTGAAAGAATTTTCATAGATCAAAAAAGAAGTTTTCATACATATTTTTTTTAATGGTAACTGCCTAAAATTTAGGTTGATTGAAGACCTACTTAAAGTTTTGTGATTGCTTAGAAATCTTATTAAAGTTATTAAAAAGCTTAACGCCGTATCTAATGTTCATTGCTATTCTTCTCTGAACTTCTCTTAAACAAAAATAAATTACTTATAAATTAATTATCTTAATTTTCACTTTTCTACTCAGTTCAAAATGCAAACTAAAATCAATAGTAAAAGCTTTTAATCATCCATTAATCAATTAATTGATTAATCAGTATTGTTGCAAGCTCTAAAACTAATTATTAATAATAATTTAGAATTCTAAATAATTAAGAAAAAATTTAAAATAATTAAATTTATTTTAAAAAGTCATTAAATAGAATGATTATCAACACAAGATAATATTTTAGATATTTTAATTCTAAGCTTTAATGAAATGCAATTTGTTGAGAAAATATTTTTAAATTAGGAAGAAAGTTGTTTGATTGCAAAGGATTTACTTATGCCAAATTTAATTAATTAATCAGCAATAACAGATACATATGAAAAGAATTAACAAACAAACAAATAAATAAACTAAAAATCTATTAATCTTTCTTTTAATTTTAAAATAATTGAAAAAAGCCAGTATCAAATTTTCATAAACAAATATTATCTTAAACAGTATCAATTTGATTATAAAAAGAGTTAGTTTATTATATAGCTAATATGGGGAATACTGTAGGATTAACACCTCTAGAAGTTTAATAAATATCTTAATGCACTAATTGTATAGATTTTGATACTCTTTTGATCTTTTTTTTGGATTAAATTTTGTTTTCAAAAAATTAATTACATTTTTAATAACATATACAATGTAGTTGATGAAAAAGATGTGAGAAAGATTTTTAGGAAATATTAAAAGCTAGATAAAGTTAGTAAAGGAAATGTTAACTACTTTGATATGTAGAGATTACCAGAAATAAGCTAGAACCCACTAGGTATTTATTTATATAGCCAACGTATAAAAAATAAAAAACTTAGCAAATTTTGTAAATGAAAAAGGAGAGAGAGTAGCAAAATCATTGTCACATTCTTAAATAAACCCATCAGTAGATTTCACAACATTTATATCAGTAAATTAAATTGAAACAAAAATGTATTTAATACCAAATCTATTAAATTAATTTAGAACTTAAATACTTTCAATAGCAACAACTAAGAAGCAAAGATAAAATGTAATGAATTATAAAAAAATAAATAAATAAATTCCTTATTTTCTATTTTCAATTTTGATTTTTCTTAATTACTAACAAATTTACAAAGCTACTAACGGATAAATTAATTAATTAACTAATTCATTTTTAACAAACAACTAAGTTTACTTTAAAGTGTATGATACTGATGAAGATGGAGTAATAAGCAAACAAGATGTAGAAAATGTATTTAGCCTTCTTGTAAATAATGAAATAAAAAAGTTTTAGCTCAAAGATATAATTGACACTCTATTTTCTTAATACAAGCTTAAAAATGAAAACTATTTTGATTATTAAGAATTTAAAAGCGTAATTAATTATTTTTATTTCTTATATTTTTAAGGAGATTAAAACAATTTATAATTAAAATAGCTCGTATTACAAATGTAAGAATAAATGTGAAAAAAAGATTGAGGTAAAAACAATAGTATGATATAAAAGTAAATATAAAAAACTGTTTAAATAAAAAATGTTGATAACTAACTATCTAAATAAATATGAAAATACTACTCTCATAAGATAATATATGCTAAAAATAATTTAAATAGACCAAAATATTGAAAATATGATAATAATATATAATATAATACTGCAAAACAAAATATATTAAAGAATAAATACCTTTAGAAATAATTCATTTATTTAGAAAAAACTGTTAAAATTAAAAAATTAGCTATAATGAATAATTAATGTAAATTAATTTATCTTTAATCAAAAAATAAAATAAATAATTAATTAATTAATTGCATAAAATTAAAAACAAGTCATATCCACTCAAGTATAATTCAATTATAATTATATAATTAGATTAGTTAATTAATGTGTTTCTACTTTATATAACTATTTTTAATTGTTTTAGTAAACATTTTAAATTCATTAAATAAATTATTTTTCACAAATTAAAAATAAACTATTTTTTAATTTTTTAAAAATTATAAAAATGAAAAATTTTTAAGAATGAAAACAAACGCAATTGAGTAAATAAAAAATTTCAATCCTTAACAACTTAAAATTAAATTAAGAATTAAAGAAAGCAAAAACTATTTTTTAAAATAAAGGATAATGGTTATTGCAAATTTTTAATAAGATAAAGCAATTATAGTTTGAATATTTGAACCAATTAATTATTACGGAAATAAGTAAATATATAAATAGGAACTTATAAAGTGTTGGTTAATCTTAAGATATAATAAATTATAGTACTTTTTATTTATTTAGTAAGTGATAATATAATTTTAAAATAAATATATTTCATAATTTGAGATACATTTTATTCATTTCAATAGTTCTACTACTATTTCTTTTTTGCAAGCTTTTCCTCTAATTTCTCAAGTCGGTTAAATTATTTTGCTTGCATCTAGGTAAGCTATTCTTCTATTTATTTAAAAATATGCTTTTTATTTGACATAATTAATATATATGTTATTTACATTGTTCTTGGAGGTAGTTATGAGAAATTTCGCTGAGATTATCGTCTACTTTGTTTTTAGCTGGTATTGGAGAAAAATCATAAGCAAATCCATTACCTTCATAATTTTTCGATGCAAATGAGCAGCTTGGAATTTTGTCTTCTTGGTCAAAATTATTCTCAAAGCTAAATTGGTATTTATTTCCTTTTATTTAAACATTCTATTTTCCTTCCTAAAAGCTTACTTCTTCTTCTTTTTTGAGAAGATAGGGATTGTTGTTGTACTCTTATATTTTATTTTATTTCATTAATCTTTTGTTGTGCTCTGCTTCTAAATCCAATTCCTTGTTTTTATTAAATATATTTAAATTTATATTCAAAATTTTGATTTCTTTACTTATGTTGGAGGTATCAACGTAAACCCGATGTTTTTAGAATCAGAATGAAAGTTACTCATGTCTTGAAGTACAGAATTAAATTTAGCACTCTATTTACTTTCATAGTCAGTTGCAGAATAATCTGCCATGCTTATTCCTTTTGTATTGCTCTATTAATCTCTATTTCTTGATTATGTATTATATTTTTTACTATCTAATGTAAATTCTTTGGTTTCATATTCTTTCAATTTATCTGCTACTCTAAAATAGTGATTTTATGTTGGGGATTAACTATAAATAACATCATCTCTTTATTAATGTTTATTTAGAATACTACTATCTCTTTTTTTATTCTACTGAAAATTATAAAATTAATTATGAAAATTTTTTATAAAAAATCTTACTTTAATTTCAAAAAGATTGATAACACCTAAAGGTTCATTTACTAAATTTTCTTTAGTATTGTTGAAGTTGAGACTATTTTTTGACTTTGAAAGATCAATTATTGACTCTCCCTCTTGTTTTTTCTACAAAAAATCGTATTTCAAGTGCTTATTTTTATTTGCAGTTGTACTGCTTTAGCAAGTTTATCTGCTCTCTTAACTTTTATCCAAAAAATTTGATATCTTCAAATCTTTCTTTTTTCTATATTTAATTAAAAAATTTAATTTTGAATAAATATTCACTGAAATTATAAATTTACATGTTATTTGTTGAACGGCTACTTGTTGGCTAGCTGACAGCACTTGTGTATTATTTATAATTTTTGTTATATCCCTTATTCATTAATTATTTCTAGGCTTAAGTAATATCATTTGAGAAATCAGATATTTTTGAATTTTTATTAACAAAAGAGTCTTTGAAATGATTCAAAAATTTATTAGTTCCAATATTCAAGTAGTTCTGAGATTGTGTATTTTTTGCAGTTACCTAAGCTGTAGTACTAACACTTGTATTAGGATTAGACATATTGCATTATTATAGAGAAACCTCATTACTTTGTATAACAAATCCCTCTATTTTTTTATTAGATCCCTATCTCCTTATTGAAGTATTAGATTCTGATCTCTTGATTTGTTATTTCTCATTTTTATTTATAATAGGCTATTAAGATATCGGTAATTAAATATTATTATCTGATGATGGTTATAACTGAAAGCTATTTTGCTAAATTTTTTTAATGGGTGTGTCATCAACATTAGACCTTTATGAGATGTGGCTACTCCTATTTTATATATTAGATTAAGCATTATTAATATTGCTATCTAAATTGCTGTTTGCGATAATCATTTTGTTCTATTATTTGAGTTGCGAAATATCATCATCTTTTTACATGTTTTGAATTTTTTAATGTTTAATTATTTATTCGTCAATGTGCTTTATTTTATCAAGAATTTCATCTCTTTTCTAAAGAGCTAATTATTAAACTGAAGTAATACTTTGTGTTTGTGAATCTGAAACACTGACATCAAATGAATTTTTGCTTTATTTCAATTAATTTTGTTAAGTATTATTATTATTCATATTCAAATTTAGACTGTCTAAAGAAATTCTTGATTCCCTTTTTGTTTATGGTGATTAATTTTATGCAATAATTTTTTCTGTAATTTGTAAGTTAGCAGTTTATTTATTGTTTGGTGTTGAGGGCTTCTACTATCTAGCATTGCTATTACCTCTAGGAGTCTTTGTAGTTCCGCTATTACTTTTTTTGTTAAGTTTTTTCTCTTTTATTTATTGATATATTTCTTTTTTTCTGATTTTCATGTAATCTTCATCCACTATTTCTTATTTTAAATCTTTGTTTCTGGGGGCTATTCTATCAGAATGGCGGGTATTTAACTTAACTCCGTTTTTATTGCTATCACTTATATTTTACTAAGTATTTTAAACTGTACTACTTTCTGTGATTACAAACTATGATTCAACTAAAGTTTTAGATTCAAACAGATTTGTATCAGTTATTAAGCTGTTTCTAATTAAAGTATCAAAAATTTAAAAAAAGATTTTATTTAAAAAAATAAATATTAAAAAATAATAAATAATATTTACAGTTCTTGAGAGGAGTATTTGGCTTTGATTGTTCTAATTGGACTAGTTTGAGCATCTTTGTATTTGCTTTCTTTTTTCTAATTTTAATAATCTTTTTTAAATTAATTGATGTCCTCTTCAATTATTTCATCTTTTGTTGGAATCTCTTACTCTAATTATTTTGTCTGATCAATATTATTGCTTAATTAATTATTGTGATCACTCTCTTCTACATAGTTAGTCTATGCTGATTTGATTACTTCTCTTTATTCTTCATCTCTGCATGTTTTAATTATTTCTTTGGTAACTTCATACTATTCTTAACAAAAATCAGTTTATACTGCTAAATCTTCATTTAAAGCAATGCTTTCCTTCTCTGCATCGAAATCTTCATAAACCATAATTTAATTTTGATTTCCAAATTCTCTGAAACCATTTAAGCTGTTACCCCATGACGATTATTAATGCTAATAAGACTCACTATTTGATTAAGGAGATACTTTTCTTGTATTATCCTAAAAAGTTTATTTATTTTATGCTAATACATCATTTTATTGAAAGGAATTTGACTCAACTGAATTTTCTCTTGATTAACTTGCACTATTTTTTGCTTAATTAAAAACGGATGTATTTACAAGAAGACTAGATAATCTCATAGACTGCTCAAGTGCAGCTTCTTAAACTGTGGGGAGCTAATTAGTATTAGATTTACCAGAGGAGGAAAATGAGTTTCTTCTAAATTTAAAATAAATAAATTATTAAAACTAATAATTGAAATATCTATTTACCTTTGATTATTTTTGAGTTTGTATTCTTCAATTAAATCTTTTTCTTCTTTGGTTGTCACAGGCCTTGAAATAATTTTTGTTAAGGCACAGCTCCCCGGAGCTAATTGAGAAGTTATTGAAGAGTAATTAATTGCATTAACTTAACTATTTGTTTGTTAATTTAAACCATTTTTTTATGAGCAGCTTCTCTATTTTTCAAGAGGCGGCTGCATATTTTCTGGTTTCTATATATTAAGCTAGGTTTCAACTAAAGAAGTAACAGGTCTACTAATATTTTACTGATTAGGGATAGAAGGATATTATATTTTTGTTTACTATTATGGATAAATAATATTAGGAGTAGATAAAGCTGGCCTGTAATTGGTTTAGGAAATACTTTTAATTGACTAAGAAATTGAGTTTCCGCCAATAACATCATTTTAATATTTACTAGTGTTATTGCTTATTTGTGCTGGTTATTGGTTTAAATTATTCTCAAACAATATATCTTTTTATTTTTGGTATGTATCAAGAAGCTTTAAAGCTGATTCTGAGAGATTTGCAGTTTGCTTTTTTACTACTTAAGAACCTTAGTTTATTTAATTCTCTTGAATAGTTCTATTTGTAATATTTTGTTTCACAAACGTAGCAGTTTACTGATAAGCTGAAGGAATAAATTTCTAAGAACTTATTTATGAATTCTATACTTATAATGGAGAGTACACAGTTTATGTTGGTGAAGTCATGAGAGTTGTTTATTATATTCCGTTATATTAAGGAGATATGGGTGAATTAAATTATTAAACATCTGATTTCGTAGTGATTCTAATAGATTGAGGTGGACTAACTACGTAATTTCCCTAAGAGGATTGCTAAACAGGTAAAGGTGAAGTAGTCAAAAATATTTATTTTTCATTTATCTATCGAAGCTAACTTTTTAAATATTCTTTTTCATTTGAAAGAACAATATCTTGCTGCATATTTTCTTGAGGATTGTTGACAACTACATCAATACTATTATTATGACTTGCGCTATTACTTAATTTATTACCACTATTGTTATTGTTCATGCTATTTGATAAATTTATATTCCTTCTCGCTAGCATAGGAGAAGAATTTCTGATATTGTTTACTAACTTTAAATTTCCTTACTACTCATGGTTAGCTGTGCCATTATAACTTATGTTAGCTCCCCTCTCCTAAATAGGTAAGCTTCTCTATTGAATTAGCTTTTAATGGATTTATTAAACTATGTTGCCTCTTGAAAAGTCAGCTGAAACTAATGTCGGATTAGCTTACAATAAACTTGGACTCTGCCTGTTTGTCACAGAAAGAGGAGGCTTAGGAAGTAATGTATGAATAGATTCTTATACATTTAGTGACGATAAAGATGTGAATGATGAAGAAATAGCACTTGAAGATGATGGCTAAATAGCTCTCCTATGCTATATAGGAGGAGAATATAAGCGCTCCTTTTTAACGTTATCTATAAACGGGCTTGTAGGAGGCTTTATTAAAAGAGTCTAATTACCTCTAGTGCTACTTTAATTTACCTAAGAAGCTGATCTCTTAAGCTATTCGTTCATAAGTTAATAATTGTTTATATTGCTTGAATTATATATATAAATTAATATTCTTAAATTATTAATAAAGAAATATTTTTATAAAGAAATTAAATGACAATACATTCTAACTAAATGTACTGATTTAAAGATCTGTAAATGGATAGAAATCAAATATTACTTTGAATTAATTTAATAATTTGTTATTCTTCATTCTAATTAAAAAGATCTTTTAAATTAAGTAATACTATTTAAAAAATTTGAAAACACTTCTTCTTTGCATAACAATTCATTCATTCAATCAATCATTAATATCTATCTATCTATCAAGCTAAACGAGTTAGTAATACAACATAATCTTTCTGTAATCAATTTTAAAAATCATATTGAATCTCTATCAGTCTATCTATCTATCTGATTTATTCAACTCCTCTTTATTCTAATTATTAAATTATTTTGAATTCTAATTTTCTAAACATCTTTTGAATGAGTAAAAAATTTAAAATGGGATATCTTTTTTAAAAAAACTAAAATAATATGTTTGTTTAATCAATTTAAATTCTTAAAAAAATTAACTTAATAAAAAATAATTTAAATTTGTTATAATTTAAATTAAAAATTCATTTTTCGTTAAAATTTACTCGATTAATAAAATCATATATTTAATTATTAAAATACTATTTAATATTTTTTAAAATTTGAAAATTATGAGTTATTATTAAATTATTTTAAAAAAAATAAGTTAAAATTCATTTTAATATCATATTAAAAATATTTTATGAAATATCATTATTTTTTTTACAAAATTTTAGTAAAAACATTAATTAAGAATAGCAAACAAACAAACTTGAGTAATTTTTTATTTTTAAAAAGCAAAAGAAATATTTTTAATTAAATTTATTTTAATTTTTTAAACATTTTTAATTGAAACATTTTAATAGTAAATTTTAAAAAATATATTGCCTTTTCAAGTAAAATTAAAAATTATTTTAAAAGATTAATAGCTTATAAAAGTATAATTAAATCAGAAATTCATTTAATGTCTTTAAATACAACAATTAGATATTACCTAATTAATTTCATTAAATAATTTGAATTTGCTTGAATTACATTTATCAAAAAATCATTGTATTTGAAAACACAAATTTTATTTTGGTTTAAATATTTGCTAAATATTCATTGATTTTTATATTAAAATAATTTAAAAATTGGATTTGATTTTTATAAACATGGTAAAAAAATAAACATTAATCAAAAAATTAAGATTTTTCAAGTAAAAATCAAAAGATACTCAAATTATTTTGTTATACTTTTAATTCTTTTATACATAAATTGAATGTATATTCCTTAAAAGTTAATATTAATTTATATAAATTCAGCTAAAGATTAGATAAATCTTATTCGAAATTTTAGAGTAACAATAAAAATGAATAGCTAATCAGATTTAAACTCAAAATTAATTGAGAATCCAAATTAAAGCCCTGAAAAAACTGTTAAATCTAATTAAAACATTTAAAAAAGAGATGTTACAATCAACAACCTTAGTAGTATAGAAAACAGCTTAGTTGGTAGCTGTGATGAAGATATTGAAAAAATATTAAACAATAAAAATAACGAGTAATAATAAGTTGAGTAAACCCCACAAAAGAAAGAAAGGTTTACTTCCTTCAATATTGATGACGATATGACATGGAAAAATGGTCCTAAAAAAGTATTTGATTTAATTGTATTTTCTATGTAGAATATCATTTATAATTCAGGACTTTTTATCACTTATATTTGCAATATGTATTTTGTGAGATTATAAGATAGCTCTGATTTAATGGCTGGTTTTGGGTTGGCAAGTACATTTTTCGCTGCTTTTGGATTTGCTTCTATTTATGCCATGAATTATGGTATGTAAGCACTTGGATCTCAAGCTTACGGAGCAGGAAAATTTGAACTTGTTGGCATCATCTTCTAAAGAGGACTATACATAAATACAGTAAACATTTTGATTAAATATTATTTGATATCCTTATTTATTTATTTGAGATTATAATTTAATTGTAAAAAACTAATTAATTAACAACTTCTACTAATTATTTTTAGATTATATACTTAATTTGAATTATATTCCTTTACAGTAATATATTCATCTGAATCCTTTAAATAACCAAACATTTAATATTAATTATTAAAGCTTTACCTTATAATTGTTTCTCCTCTGTTCTTCTACTTAAGAGATGTTCTTCAATTAATTGGAATTAATACGAATATAGAGATACAAACATACAGCAGGCTCTCTTTATTATTCATATTTTTAATATGCATAGAAAGAAGCTTTCGAACATATTTAAATTGTCAAAGAGAGTATTTTATACCCACTTACTGTGCAGTGGTAGCTTATATTCTCCATCCACTTTGGTTGTATTTGCTATGCATAAGAGCTGATCTTGGAATTAATGGAATAGCTTGGTCAATGGCTATTACAGAGGGGCTAACTCTACTTTCAAGTTTCATAATTTCTACTCTTCTAAGTAAGAATAAATTTTTTTATTTTAAATTATGAATTTTTTTTTTTTCTTTTTTAAAATTTCTTTGAATTTAAATTAGAAAAATATTAAAAAACTTGGAATGGATTTAGTAGATAAGCCTTTTCAGGATGGTGGGAATACTTAAAGATTTCAATTTCAGTTGGAGCATCCTCTTACATAGAGTGGTTCTCTTTTGAGCTTCAAACAGTAATAGTTGGCTTTTTAAATGATGAAGACTAAATGGCTGCCCATTCTTCGTAAGTTTCTCTGATGCTTTTTTACTATATGATTGTAAGATTGATTATAAAATAAATTTTTTAAGACTAAAATATTTTATTTTTAAAACAGCCTATTGCTTTGAATCAGACTATCGGCACTTATTTAGGTAATTCAGTTGGAGCAGGCTAAGTTAGATTATCTAAGAATCTTATTAAATTAACATATATAAGCATTGTAATTTTAAGTATAATTATGATTGGAATAGGAGCAGGCTTTCAACCTCTATTTGTTAAGTTATACTGCACTAACGATGATATGGAGCATTACTTTAAACTAATTAATAACATTTATATTTACTTTTTTATGTTTGGAGACAATCTTCAGGGAATATGCTAGTGTGTCTTAAGAACTATTGGTTAGGAAAAATGGGCTAATGTGATTTTCTTTTCTTGTTTCTTCATGACTGGAAGTGGGCTTAGTGCTATTCTAGTTCATGTAGCACATTTAGGAGCTCCGGGAGCATGGTGGGCTTATGCTATAAGTGCATATATAGCCGTATTTTTCTTACTACTACTTCTCAAAAAAACCAATATATAAAAATGCATAGAAAAAATTTCTGAAAACATAAAAGCCTAAGAACAATAAGAAAGTGAAGATGAAGATATTAAATTAGTTATTGAGGAATAAGAAGGTTCTTCTTGAGAAGAATTAAAATCTCCTTGTGTAAAGTCTTGAAATAGCCAAAAATAATATTTTAAGAAAAATTAGCTTTTCTTTTTTTTTGGAAAATCAAAGTCTTTTATTAAAAAATGTAGTTATGGAACTATGAATAATAAATAAAATTTTGGCAATTTTTTATAAAAAAAATCTTAAATTTTGTATAAAAAATTGGAAAATATTTTAGAATTAAAATCTTTTTATATTTATATTGGTTGGTCTTTTAGTTAGAAGTTGTATTTTGTATTAAGGTTTTAAAATAATCTATGAGAAAAATATAGTTAAAATTACAGATAATGCATACTAGATGTATATTCGACCTAATTCTTATTTTTTTAATATTATTAATTCACCAACTGATCAGGGCTAAATCTATAAGTTATCTGGGATTTGTGATAAAAATTAAATTAAGAAAATCTGATTTTTAATTTATTTTTGTCTTTCCAAGTTTTAATTAGCTTAAAATTTACTCTCATAATTTCCTTACTTTTTTATTAAAAAATAAATTCGACTCTTTTTGATTATTAATAAAGTTACAATCAATTGATCGTCTGAAAGATTTATTATTATGAGTTGCGTTGTAAATTAAAACTTTCATTACAATCACAAATTATTATTTAAACATTCAAAAAGATAAAAATAACTAAAGCAAAAGCAAAATAGAAAATTTCTAATTAAAATAATTTATTTGCTGTAATTTAACTATTAATAGCAAATATAATTAATAAAAAAAAAATATATTTTTTTTTATTGCTAATTTTAGCACTAGAATTTTCTTTATTTATTCTATTTGCATATATTTTAAGCTTCTTAAAAGTAAAAAAATAAAAAACAAATACAAATATTGGCAGAACTTGCGATAATATGCATGTTAATATATTTTGACTTTTATTTACTAAAATTAACAATTATACTTTGATTAAAATTTTCCAAAATCACTATTTTTTAAAACAAAAACTTTTAAATAATTGGCAATAAAAAGATTAAATAAGTTTTAACTTACATATTCACCTCTTTACTGAGTTCTAACTCTTACGAATAATATTTTTGATTATGTTTTTGATAAAATTTCATATTTTTGATAGTTATAAAAGATATTAAGAAATTATTACAGACAATTTTAAAATGTGTAATCAAATTAAAAATATTCACCATTTAATTATAATATTTTAGAAGGTATTCAATAATTTACTTCTAATATTTACTGTAACATTTTAAACTAATTTTGATATCAAATATTTTCTACTTTCTTATTTATTAGTCATTTGTAAACAAGATCAGAATGCTATATCAATCTTAATAATTAACTTGAATAACTCTAATTTTACAAATTTTTTTATAGCCTTAAATGACAGTACCTTAATAGTATGAAAAAAGGGGGCAAAAAAAATATCTTTCTATGTAAAGATTTGGCTTAACTTTTTTCTAATAAATATAAAAATTGCTTATATTATTAAATTTTTACTTATTTCTTATTTTACAGTTTTTTTTCTAACTAATACCTACATGTAAATTCACAGTAAAAATAAAATTGAAAAAAAAATTGAAAATACCGGATAGCATAACTTTCAAAACCACCAATAGAATATTTGTGCTTAACTTTTTTTTAATTTATCACTTTGAAGTGTAATGAAAAAATATTCGCAGTAAAGAGTTCTATGAATAGATAGTTTTTAAAATGGTGCTTTTTTTTATGTTTTGAATATATTATTTTATTTTCTAAATAAAATAATCCTTTATAAAACATTATTAAAGAATTAAAATAAATTTTTGATACATATTACCTATTAAATTTTTATTAGAATGTTTAATTTCCTTCAGATACTTTCTTTTTAGGTAAAGAGTAATTTAATCTAGGAATATCAAAAAATAATCAAATGATAAATCATTTTAGAAAAGTTTGAACGTTTATGTTGAGAACTACTTTTTTCTTGCTTTTAGCTTATTTATTTTCGATATAAAATCAAATAAAAAATGTCATTAATTTTTTATAAAAGAAACTAAGTGATTACATTTAAGAAGTAAAGATTAAATGAATGAATGAATGAATGAATGAATGAATGAATGAATGTATTATTATTTATGGGAATGTGATTGATTTTAGAAATGTATTGAAAAATTGGAGTAAATAGATTTATTATTAATTTGTATGAAATGAGGTACAGTCAGTTTAGAAAAAAATTTTTAAAAGAATGAAATTACATAATACGCATTAATTTATATAAAATATTAATTTTTTAATTTGACAATTACATATGGATTGAATAGAGTTGAACACCTTTTTTTTACTTTTAATATTATTTATTGAGGCAATAATTTATCTATTTGATTTTATTTACAAGCAAAACATATATCAAAAATAATCAGACTAAAGTTGTTAACAAATTTTGTATTTGTAAAATAAACAATTGAGGTTAAGGACATTTCTTTTATAAAATGGAATATTAGTATCTTTCTTAATAATTATTACACATATTAAATCAATAAACAAAAATAAAATTTATACCTAAATTGTTTGTGTTTACTGGTGTAAACATATCAATTACTTTAGTTTTTAATGAAAATAAGTGGTTTATTTTTCTTCTCCTTGAAAATAACAATTTATTTTTATTTTTGGGGTAGTTTTCTCCACTCTATTTATTATAACCATTTTCTGTTTGCTTTTAAACTGCATTTTTTATAATCCCTTTAATGACGAAAAAGTAAAATAAAATGACGAGCCTTTTAAAAAATGTAGCTTTTTGATAGGCGTTTCAACAAATTTCTTTATTTATTTCTTAGGAGATTTCAAAAACTATATCCATTATTACAAAAGGTATTCCCAATGTGATTTTTAGTTAGAATTCTCCTTCTAATAAAAGATAAGAATATAATGAAAAATTTATCGAATTTTCTATTTTTCTTTAAAATGACTTGAATTTTCTTTAATGAATATGGGAGAAGAAAAAAAAAAATCAATTTGGAATAATTTATCAAGTACCTTTATTTATTTAAATTATCAATTGATAACAAGTAAAGCAGCTAGTTTCGTTGTTATACTTTTGGTAAATTATAAAATTTTCCTGTATTTAAAAGTCTGCCCTTTAGTTATTTTTGTTTGTAAGTACTTTTTAGAAAGGGGTCGCAACTTACTTATTTTGGCTAATTGATTATTTAATATCGATTTATGATATTTTTCAAAAGTTATCCACAATCATTTATTGCTCATATTTTTAATTAGAAACATTATAAAAAAGAAATTTAACAAAAGTAGTTCAATATAATAATTTTTAATAAAAGTAGTGCTTAAAGCATAAATCAAAAATAAAAAAACCAAAAAAGATAATTCAAAACATACATTAATGTTAAGGGGAAATGGAATAACCACTCCTACCTTAAAAGAGCTTTGAAAAGAACAAAAAGTTCATTTTTTATGTTATACTCTATGGAATCACAACTCAATGCATGAATCTAAGTATCCTTGGGCCTTTCTTCCCTGTATAGGCTAAGGAATATGATATCTCAGAAACGATGATCGGACTCATATTTAGTGGCTTCCCTCTAGGTGCCATAGTTTGCACCCTATTTATTCGTAAATGGATGAACATGAACCGTAAAGTCTTTATGATTTGCGGAATTGTTTTCTATGTACTTGGAATGGTAGGATTCGCTTCCGCTTTTTACATAGAAAATAAGGAATTTATTATTTCCAGCTCAATTTTTTGCCGTTTTCTAATGGGAATAGGTATGAGTATGTATGACAATCCTTCTCTCTCATTCATTCCTTTGCTCTTTAAACACAAAATTGACAGAAAACTAAGCATTATTGAAGGAATGCAAAATATTGGATTCATGTTGGGACCTCTTCTTGGAACTCTTTTGTACAACATAGGAGACTTCTAAACTCCATTCTTTGTGTTGGCTGGTATCTAATCTGCCACTCTTCCCTTGCTTTTGATTTTATTTCCTAAATAATCAGAGATAACTGAATTTATTAATGACAGTATTTTACTTACATAATAAGCTCTCAAATATAGATCCACTTATGAAAGCTAAGGTTAAAATAGCATTTGCTCTGAAAGAGAAGAGGAAAAGGTAAATAGAAATTCTAATGATGACAATAGTAACATCTCAAACTACAGTAGTAGTCTTTCAAGAGGTAACTTGAGTAGCATGTTTGAAAAGGTTTCATACATATACTCTATATCCCACTTTTAAGTCTTTTTGATATTCATAATGATATTTTTGACAGCCAGTGGTTTTTTGTTCTTAGACTCAGCATATGCACCATTCCTTGAAACTGAATTTGATCTTGACTAGGATATAATTAATTACATATTTGTGGGTTCTTATACATGTTCTAGTTTATCAGCCCTAATTGTCTCATTCTTCACTCATTCAAGACCTAGCAATTATAAAATTATGCTCTCAGGCTTCTTTATTGGGTTTTTGAGCTATTTCTTTATTGGGCCCGCATAATTCTTCCATTTTCCTAAAAATCTTGCCATTACTATATTCTTTAGATACGTCATTGCGTGCTGCTAATCTGTCGTGTATATTCCAGCAATTAAGGAATTCTATTTTACCATTTCATCTATATACATGAATAAAGTAGACGATGACCAAACAATTGGTAACATGGCCAGCACACTTTATGTAATTTCAATGTAAAGTGGAGAATTTATCGGTCCTATTGCAGGACAAGCTCTTGTTGAATGCCTTAATTTCTAGATGACCTCTGCCTACATAGCTATACTTGGAATAGTTGGAATAATTTTTGTTTATCTTTTCAAAAAATTATTCAAATAATTCGAGTTTAAAAAGAAACATTTTGAATACTTCTAAGTCAAATAAAGAATTGCAGATATAAGTTCCAATCCTTTGTTTGATACTTTTCAACATGAAAGATGTAGCAGTAATGCTTCATCTAATGCAACTAATAGTAGCAAAGAATACTCCAAAATATGATCAATAAATACTTTAAATAAAATATCAAATATTTGAACTTTACCTAATTACTATTTTAAATATTTTTAAAATTTATTATTTGTAACAAATTTTGTATCCATTTATAATGAAATTTAACCAGCTAAAACTAAATATTTTTATATCAATTTCATTTTTCATTAATCAATTTGAAAATCAATCTCAATTCTAAATTTATAAAAAAACTGATAGATAATTTAAATAGCTAGCTAAAAAATAATTTCGGTTAAATCACAACCAATAAAAATTAAATTAATTAAATAAAAAGTTATTTTAGATTTAAATTAATTAAATTTTAAAATAGAAAAAATTTATTTCAAAATTTTTAAAAAGGAAATATGAACTAATTTGATTTTCATTTTTGAAAAAAAAAAAATTTTAATTAATTTCCTCACATTTATCATGTTTTATCTAATTTGCACATTAAACTAATTTTTAAAGGCTGGGAATTCTTTTTTTCTTTTCGATTGCCTCATATGAAATAAAAAATTAAAAGCTAAATTCTAAATAAATTAATAAATATTTTGAGTTAATATTCTTTTTTGATATTTTCAACTCGTAGCTCGAGAATTAATTAATTTAAATGTAAATTTTCATTGATTGGTTTGAAATGTATTTAAATTATAATTTAAAATTCCATGCATTAAAATAAAATATTTTGAGTTTTTTAAATTATTTCCTTTAGATTAATTAAATTATAAATATAAAATAATTTTAATTTTAAAAAATAAATTTAAACTTTATTTTATATGGGAATAAAAATTATTAATTGATTTATTAGATTGTATCCAATTATACATATTAAACAAATTTGCAAAGGTTGGGATATCTCTTTTTATATTTTGATAGCTTCTGATAAATAAAAATGATAATATGAAATTCAAAAAAAATTAAAATAAATCTTTTGTATCGATATATAAAAAGATTTAAATTAAATATAATATGTTGATTGATATATTATATTTGTTTAATTTTATGTAATATAATTTATAAATATAGCTTACATTTTTATATCGATGAATTATATCTATCGTTTTAAAAGATTTAGTTGGAAAAAAATAAAACCATTCACATTTAGATAATTATAATACTTGCGTAAAATCAACTTAAAAGATTGTTTGTGTGGCTAATAGAAACTCTTCATCATAATTACAAAATACTTATTTTTATTATTTATACTTTTTTTATTTAACATTAATTAATAGTTGTCTTATGAATAAAGAGGCAAGCTAAATGATTCCAAATGAAATAGCAAATGAGACTTAATTAAATACAAATGTGATTAATATTAATACCTCAAACAATCAAACAGCTACAAGAAGTATTAATTCTTCTTAAAGTAATAGGTTAGAGCGTAAAAATAGGTTTAACTTGCCAGGAGATCAAGCATATCAATAGTCATCACTATTATCAAATAGTTAAAGTAATAAAATTTAAGTTCAAAGCACGAAGAATAAACATTCAAGTCAAGATAGAAACCTTAATGCTAGTAAAGAAAAAAAAATACAACAAGATAATTTGCACATTAAAGAAGAAGCTGCTAATGAGCTAAGCAGTATATGCAACTCTGTATATAGTAAGAAAGAATATTAAACCAACTAAAACTATAATAATTAAGATGCTTCTCCAAATAAAGCTAGAGTACTGTATGGTTCTTAAATTATACAAGTTAGATAAAGTTAATAGTAGATTGTAGAATAAATGAATTGTTCGATGTAATCGTTTCATTCAAAAAAAAGTAAGGATTTGCAGGTTTATTCTGCCCAAGATAACAAAATGCTTATATTGGAGGTAAAAAATCCAGAAAATATTGAGAAACTAAAATTAAAAATTGAATAAGATGAACAAAACAAGCTTAATTCGGGGATTAAAAATAAAAGTTAAATAAATGTGTAAGACAATAATAAAGAGCAACTAAGATAATAAGATGACTAAAATAGTGTTTTAAAAGAGACAAATAATGTGCTTTCATGTAAGATATGTCTAGAAGAGGGTGATTCCGAGAAGTAAGGAAAAATCTTCACCCCTTGCTAATGCACAGGAACTTGTAAATGGATTCATGAAGAATGCTTAAAAGAATGGATTATTTCGAGATATGTTCATTTATAAACTAGCAATAATCCCAGAGATTTTCTAAAAGCCGAATGTGAAATATGCAAGTACAAGTACAACATGAAATTCGAAACACAACATAAATTTTATAAGAATAATGTTTGTACTAAAAATGGCAAGAAAAATTTTATTACTTGTCTTTGTTCAATGCTTTGCATAGTCGCTTATATTGTCTGTATGCTATTCTTTTTAGTAATCAAGTAAACATTTCTAACAAAAATTATTATTTATTTAAAAATGTATCAATAAAAAAAATTTGATTGATGCTTTATTTATTTATTTACTTACTCCCTTTTATTTATAAACTTGTTGAAATTAGATTTTTAATATTTTATTAATTTATGAGAGCGTTTTGTAAAATAAAATTATATTTTAAAAAAATAGCAATAGCAGTAGTGGTTCAAGTAGTAACTCTAACAATTAGAACAATAGCAATTCTAATCAAAACAACTAAGGAAATGTTTAGTAATCTAGCAGTAGTAGCTCTAATGTGTAATCTTATCAATATGCTCTGATTATAGTTTGTTCACTACTTATCTTACTATCTCTAATTGTATGCATTGTTAGTGCTCGTTAAGCTTTCTTTAGAAGAAGTATTAGTAGATGGTTAATATTTAAATATGATCCTATTTTAAACAAAGTATAAAATAATAATCAAAGTTAAAATAATAACTAAAAATAATAATTAAATAATTAAAATTCAAATTAGCAACCAGGCTATCCTCCTAACGATGATAGAAATTTAAGATTTTATTATAACGGCTAAGTTTTTAATACTAACTTGAGAGACAGTGTACCTGTTAATTAGCAAAGATATCATGTTAGAAGATAAGTAAATCCTAATAGAAATAATTCTATGAGAAGAGAACCTTCAACTTAAGACTAAAGCTAATTATTTAACTTAAGGAATAGTGATCTTGCAGCAAGATAAAACCAATAAAACTTAATACTTGTATAAGATTAAAATGCCCTGTAAAGTAATCGTGTAAATGTGGAAAATGATGAAGCTATGTCTTAGAACGTAAGCGCAAGACAAGTATAAAACAATGAAATAGTCAGAGTTGATAATAATAGATATAATGTTAATATTGATGATGAAAGTTTTGAATATTTTAACAATTCTTAAGATATGGTCGTTTACCAATTTAATAATAACAATAATAATTAAAGATAATCTAATTTCAACCTAGCTGACAATTATTGATTAATTTATAAATAAAAAAATATTTTCCTTGAAAAGAAATTTAATAAATTATAAAATAAAACAAAATCTATTAATTATAAAATTATCACTTCTTCTTCATCCTTTATCAAATAAAAAATTTATTTATTTAAATATTTTAATTTTAAAATAAAATATATTATTAATTGTCTTTTATATGTATATTTATATATTCATAATAAATTTATTGATTTCCTCATAACAATTAATACCAAATAAGTAAAAAAAATATGATTTGTTAACTTTGATAAATATTCTCAAAAAATATATTAAAATGTGTAAATTGTAATTTATAAATTGTAATCGTTGAAAATAATATCTTACAAAATTAATAAAAAAAAAAAGAATTTATTTTTTTGTAAGTTTTTAAGTACAAATATAAATAATTTATAACAACAAAATATATCCAGCCTTTTATAAATTAAACTAAAAATATTATTTTTTAGTTTTTTAACAATATTTACCTTGATCTTTATATTTTATTTAAATTTTTTATAAAAATAGCTAAAAAAATATAATAGAATTGTAATTTGAATATAAAAATTAGGTTTATATGGTGAAAAAATACTTAAAATTATTATTAAAATGGTTTTTGCAAATATAAAAAATATAAAATAGTAAAATCTATCTAGTCTGTCATAAATTAAATAAAATGTACTATTTATTAACTTTTTTGAAGATATTTATTCTATAAATAGTCTTTTTTTTATTTTTATTAAATTTTTTTAAAAAATATCTAAATAATTTGTAAATTTAATATTAGGATGGATAGCACAAAAAAAATTAATATTAAAATGAAAAAATATTTAGATTTTAAATTTATTTATTAATGATAAAATCTTTAAATTTGTTCTAATCAATTAGCTTTGAATGGTAATTTAAAATGTAAATGTAATAAGTAATAAGTAATAAGTAATATTAATCACACGAGTAAATATGATAAAAATAATTAAATAATTAAATAAGGTTATTTAGAGGAATTTTACAAAAATAGATATTACAAAGATATTAACTGGCTAAACTTAGAATATTTTTTTGAAAGGCTGCTATTAAATCATAAATAAAATATATAAACTGAAAGGAGCTAAGAGGTATGGTATTTTCTTTTATTTTCAATATCAGTTCAGTATTTAAGTTAAATAGATAATGGTAAATTTGCTAAATGCATATATAAAAGCTTAAAGAAGTAATAAATTAAGTTCTAAGGTTCAATAGAAACTAAATATGCAAATAAGAAATTAATTATATTTTTCTTTGTTTATTTGTTTGTTTGCTTGCTTGTTTGAAGAAATAATTAAATTTTTGATTATCAGATTAATAAGCTATAGAGTAAAAAACAAAAAAAATAATAAATAAATTTTCATTGAATTTGCTTTATCTGAATATAAATTAAAGAAAGAAGTAACGAATATATAGCTAATTTAAGAAGTATTTATAAGCTAAAATATTATCAAGAAAATTTAAAAACTAGATATTACTGAAGCAACTGTGCTGATTAGCTGCAATTTGTATATAAAATTTCTAAAATGGAGTTTTAGCAATATGGTAATTATGTTTCTTTATCAAATTTATTTTTCAGTTTACTGATTTTTGAATAATTAACAAAATGAAAACATAATTAAATTATAATAAATTTAGGTTAATAAATTCCAACGTTTTAAGCTTCATCTTATTTTTAGCAGGAATAATAATTAAATGGGGATGCAATATAATAAAAACTTGAATTTAACGAATCTAAATAAACTTTAGAGATGGAAGGTAGTATGCCTGCTTCATTGTTTTAAATAGATTAATCTATGATAAATAGAATTGAGAACGATTCAAATAATAATATATTATAAAGAGCAAGCGATTTGTAAAATGTTTATTAAATGCTGGACAATGGAAATAGTCAGTAAGATATTTCAATCACAACAAGTACTTAAATTATAAAAGTGCAAGATTGCGACAATGATCAAAATAATGAAACTCTTAAATAACTCAGAGAGTTTCTAGTGGATTAAATTGAAGATGTGTCGTAAAATTTTAGTTATTATGTTTATTAAGTTAATGATAATATATATTATTGGCCTTTAATAATCGCCAAAATTTATTTATTTATAATTTAAAACATAAATAATTAGGTTAAACGATATTTATGCTAACTACGAGTTGCTCACTAATTACTGCTTGAAACAATAATTCTTATTATAAAACAAGCATTTTAATCCGAAAGTTTACTTTCAAGGCAAAAAGATATCCCAAATTTAATTTAATGGTAATTCATTCATATTAAATTTCAACTTTCTTAGTAGATTTTTATCAAGAAAGCAATCAATAACAAGCACAATTTCTTCTCAAATCATATCATATTTTTAATTTAGTACTCTTTCTATTTCTTTTGGCATATTTACTTTTATCAAATAAAAAAATAAAAATTAGATATTTTCACAGAATAAAAAGTACAAACTTAAACTAACACCAATGTCACTAATGCAAACTAAGAAGGTAAAGTTATCTAAAATAAGCCCTTCGAAAAGTAGAGAAAGAATTTTTAAAATTCTAAAGTTTCTTCTGGTATATAGTTAGATTTTGTAAAAGAAGTGAAGGAAGAAAGCTTTTCAGTTGGTAGTGTAACCCCATAATCACCTGCACAAAATACTATTATTGCAGGTTTTTAAAAATATCCTTAACATCATATATCCACTCCAGTTAAAAAAAATTCTATCAATTTGAGCTCTGCTTCTACAAAATTAGGATTCTAACCTAATTCAGGAGTTTATAGCTACATTAACAGTAGTAATCAAGCATTTGATATGTCTAGGAGCTTACTCCAATCAAGAAGTATCTAATAAGGATCTAATTACAACATAAACCAGCCTTAAGACCAATAAAAAGATGAAGTGACATTAACAAAAGGCGAAAATTTTAATACTTAAAACACATAAGCTTCAAAAGAAACAAAGTAGATATAAAAGGAGAAAACAAATTGCTAACAAAAAAAAAAACCAAATTTAATTTAAACTAATTAAAATAATAACCAATTAATGTAAAAGTCTCCTAAAAGTAAATTAGTAGAACAAATTAACAACTTCGAAGCATAAGCTTCAAGCAATAAAAATAAAAATTACATTTCATACATTAGAGATTACTCAGGAGGTTCTGGTAACAAAGAGGTATCTTCTTCTTCTAAATAAAATTTAAATGGAAATAATTCCAAATTGATTTAAAATAACAATTCCCACACTAATTCAGCTACAAATATAGCAAATCTTTAAACCAACCATCTTAAAAATGTGTAAATTAATTTATATAGTAGCAAAGGCTCGTCTAATTTGCCAATAGATAACCTAAATAAATTAGAAAATCAATAAAAAACAGATAATTTAATTAAAACAGAAAGCTTAAATAAGATAGATATATTTTAGAAGCCAGATTAACAAAAAAAGTAAGAAAATCTAAACTATATCGATAATTTTTAAAAAAAAGAAAGTTAAATTAGTCAATAAAATGTAAGTAAATTAGATAATTTAATTAATTATGATACTTTAAGTAAGATAGATAATTTAAATAAGATAGATAAAATTGAGGGTTAAAGTAAATTTGGAAATTTAGTAAATAACAATGATTAAAAAAAGCTAGAAAGCAATAGTAAAACAGATTTTCTTTTAAACCAAAATAATAATAACTTTCTTTCTAAAAATAAATCTTTATCTCCCAAGGGCTAGTAAAGCATTGGTTTAAAAAGTTAGTTAACTAAGAAAGAAAGATTTTAAAATTTATAGCTGACTGATTATGTTTATTCTTCAGCAACAAATTAATCCTAAACAACTTAATCAAAGAAAAGTGCTGTTATAAATTTAAATTTAAAATTATCTCCAAAAGGAAGCTCTTAAAGAGTTTAAGTATCTCAACTTGATGGGAATAAAGTAAATGACAACAAATATGAGAGTAATAGAAGAAGTGCTAATTCAAGTTAAGAAACAACAAAGCAGGAACTTAAAAAAGTATAAATAAACCCTGGAAATAAAGAGAGAAAAAGTATTAGCATTCACCTTGAGTCAACTAAATACTATTAATATAATAATGAGCAGCCAATTTCTGTAAAAATAGATAAAATTTAAAAGGACTCAGCTTCTAAGGTAACAAACAGTTCAAATATTTCGTAATCTCCTTTATCATCTTAAATTCTTAAAGATTAAGTTAAGCTTAAAAATGAAATAAATAAGCTAAGTAAATTGCTAGATTCAAATTCTAATAAGTAAGAGTAAAATTAAAATACAAATGATTAAATAACTGTCTCTTTATAATCTACTTAGTAATAGATTTAATCTTAAACTTTGATTAATACTGCATCTACATCCAATACAAATAAATAAAGCATTGAGTTCAATAAGAATTCAATGAAAAAATAGATGCATTACACTATACCATTAATAAAAGATTTAAATCTATCGAAGGTATCATCCTAAGCTATACTCCCTGAAGATAATGGATCACACAGAGAAATAAAAGACTATGCTACCAGTGCTGCTAATTCGCGTACAGTATCTCCTTCAAATCCACTGAAGGAAATGAGAATACCAACCTCAGGAAACAGCTTAAGTAAAATTTATTTCCATAATTGATATTGTTAAGTTTAAGAACAAGAATTAATTTTAAGACTGAATTATACCTATTAAAACTTTATTTTTTTATAAAATAGATAACTCGAATGCTAGGTTAAGTAGCTCTCTGTAGCCAACTCCTAGGGACCATCATGATTAAATTCACTCTGCAGTAATAAATTAAAATATCAATCATTAAGTAGCAAGGAATATTGCTTCTGTAATATCAATCCTTAATAATAAGGTTTCTATAGAAAATAAAAGTATGCCAAGAGGTTACAATACATTAAGCAATAAATCAAACCCTTTAAGTCCAAACCAAAGAAGTTTATCAAGAGGAAAAATCACTCCTCTCCTTTCTGGATAGGTGCCATCTGAGCTAAATAGCAGAAACACAAGTTAAATATATTAGAGTAACTTTATGAGTTCAAATTAATGTACTTCATAAAATAATAGAAATTTGCTTAATTCACCTTCTTATGGAAGTATATTTTAGCCTTAATTGAGTTAAAAATACACATAAATATATTAATAAATGGAGCTATTAAACTAAAAATTTAATTAAATGGGAAACAATAACCCTTAGCAGCAAATTAATGTAAACATACAAAGTAACTTAAATAGTAATAATGGATCGTAAGTGTGTTTAGGTTAGCCTAATTCTTCTAACACACTCAGAAATTCCTCAAAAAATAATGTAAAAAATGTTAAAAAAAATATTTGACTTAAGAATTTAATTTTATCCAATGAATAATAAATATAATCTAAAAATATAATTTTTAATTATGGTTTGTAGTTATAGCTGAAGTCTTTAAATTGAGGTATTTATTTAGATTTTGATATTTTAAGAAAAGTATAATCAACTAGAGCAAGATTAGATCTAATTAAATTATCAAATTAAATTAAAGGTATTTAACCATAAATAAGCAAAAAGGTCTAACATTAATTGTAATTTGATTTATTTGTTAATTGATAGAAAATTAATTAAGGTCTAAAACCTTATTAACTGATAAATAAATTAATTAATTAATTAAAGGCGTAATGTATGCATGATGACCTAATTAATTCAAAAAAAAATATAATAAATAGAGTATTATGTATATAATCTTTATATAAAAATTAAAATACTCCAACTTCGTTTATCAAAAAGTTAAAACATTTTTTTATTATTTTATTTTTAATAGGCTTTCCATAATATTTAATAACTATATGATAACTCTTAAATATAGTTAAGAAGATCTTAAATATTTATATTTAATAAATTTAGTCATAAGTATCTATAAATTCAAAGTTTTTTTAATATGCTATTTTTTTTGTTTGTAGTGGGATTGAAACAAAGATTTATAAAAAATTTTTAGTTTATATAATTGCCATGAATAATAAATGACATTTTACATAATTTTTTCTCAAAAGATTGCTTATTGATTAATATAACAATAATAAAATTCAATAATTTTTAAAAATATTTCATTTTTGTGTGAATGATTACATCAAGTATTTTTGTTACATGTTATAAAATAGATTTTTATACTAGAAAAATAAATTGTAAATAAAGATAAGTCAAATTAATTTAGAAAGATATAAAGTTTATTTAAAAAAAGTACTAACAAAAGAGAAGTGAATTAATTAATTTAATTCATATAAAAAAAATAAATAAAAAAATATAAAGAATAAAGTTTTTGAGGATTGATTTTGGTCACTCAAAACAATTAAACAAATAAATTAGTTATTAAATAAATTAACAAAATAAAAACATATTCAAAAATAACTTAACATCAAAGAGAGATCAACAAATAAGATAAATTATAAATTAAATAATATTAAAATATTCATTAACTATCTTTTGTACATAAAACATATATAAAGCAAGAAAAACCTTAGTTATTATTATTCAAAATACATCATAGCATCAAATATAGCAAAGATAAATAAATGAAAGAATTGTCTATTTATTACTAGTATAATGATGAATAAGATATGTATTAAATACCTTTAAATAATTATATTGAAGAAAAAGATATCCAAGATTTAGATGTAGAAACTATTATTTAAATATTGCTCAATGAAGAGATTGAGTTTGATAAAAATGTCATTAAAGTTTATAATAGCGAAAGCGAGTAGTGGGAGGATATAGAGCATTTTTATGTTTAAGTAGAAGACCTATTCGAAGAAGATAGTTGCTACTGCTATGATAATGGTGTTCGTCTTCTAATATAAAAAATTTAATAGTATTAATTTGATAATTAGTAATAGCTATTATAACTATAAAATTAGTAATTAGAATAGCAATAGTATTAAGAATAACTGCAAGATCCTAACTACAACTAAAATTTTGATTAGCAAGCATTCAATGGGATTGTTTATTAGGAATTACTTTAAATTAGGAATATGATGAGTCAGTTTTTTTTTGATTCTGAAGAATAAAAATAATACAATTTTTAGATAATTTCATCATTTTAAAATGAGCTAAATGACTTGCAAAATAGTTTACTTTAACTGAACAAATAATTACAAAATTTTATGGACTAGGGTAAGAGCGTTAGATTTAATACTGGAAATGGAACTTAAACAAATAAATCTACAAATAAAGTTAATATATTCGGAAATATGATAGAAGATACCCCTTCTGAAAAACCTATTATTTTATTTCCCTTGGACAATAAGTAAGAAGAAAGCTAAAAGTCAGAGGAAGTTAATTTTTTTGGAGATTTAGTTAGTCCATCAGAGGATATATTTCAAATGAGTAGCAATATAAATAGGCAAGAGGAGACACCAACTGCTTCTGTTGGCAATAATACAAAATCTAATAGTGATTTAAGAAGTATGTTTACTATGAGGGAACCTAAATCAGATAGCATTGTAGATACAGATAAATCAACAACTAAATCCCCTATGTCATCCCATGTGAAATTTAAGTCGGCTAACAGTGCAAATATTAATACTTTACTTCCTCCTACAACACCTATTATGAAACCTCCATCAACAAATTTTTAAATGATGCAAGGAATGAGTAGTTTCAGCAACTCTAGTCAAATTCGTATGTCAATTATGTATAGCGAGCCTCTAGTTGTAAGGAAAAATAAATTTATTTACCCTGCTGGTGAACCTGTTGAATATGAGCAAGAAATATTATAGCTGACTCGTTATTTTTAAAAGTGTAAAAATAATGGTGAAATTAATATCAGAGTTGCTAATTTAGATAATCTTGAAGAAGAAATTATTAATTCTTAAATTATTCATATCTCTTGCCATGGAGATTTTCATAAGGAATATTAAAAGTATTATTTGTAGTTTGAAGAGAAAAATTGTGAGCTTAAATGTGTTACCACTGAATAGTTTAAAACTTTGTTATAAAATAAAAAGGAGAAACCTAAATTAACATTTGTAAATGCTTGTCACTCAGAAGAGGTGGGATTGATGTTTTTAAATTCTGGAATACCTTTCGTAGTAGCTGTTTAATCAAATCTCAAGATACAAGATAAGGCTGCTTAAATTTTTTCAAATTCTTTTTACATGGGATTGATGAAAAGATATACAATCAGGTAGGCATTTAATTGTGCTAAAGATGCCCTTGTAGCAAAACATCATTAGGCTTGCTACACGTGTTGTTGTGCCCATCAACATACAGATAAATGTGAATGGTAATTAATTTGGCCACATATCTCAACTAAATAAAAAAAAATATTTTAAATGTAAAAATATGTTTTTAATCTTTTGTTTAAATTTTTAGGTTATAATATGCTATGGATCATGGCTATTAAGAGGCTCATAAATTACATGAAGAATATGCTTGTGATTGTTATAATCCTAGTAAGCAAGGCAGTGTTAAAAATCCAATTTACCACAAATAAAGTTGCAATAAAATAAAAGAGTTTTTTGAAGTAATTTCAGATGAGAATAAGATGGAAGAAATATTTAATTTGCCTATTGATAAACCTATATACGGATGCTGCTGCTAAGGCGAAAGCACTACACATGACGAATCTGCTAAATTCAAGTTATTATGTTTAAACGATACAATAGATTATAGTTTTAATTTTGAAAAAGGAGAGATGAATATTAAGTATAATTTTGATATGTACAATTCTAACTTCAAAAGCTAATTCAAATTATTTGGCAGGTAAGCTTATAATCTAAATAATTCAATTATAAAATGTAACTTTCTCTCTTAAATTTATTAAAAAGGAATGTAGAAATGTACGAAATTTTTAACTCGTTAAATGATTGCAGCCATAATAGCTAATTTGTTGTGGTTTATGGTGAAAGAGGATCTGGTTTAACTTCAATTTCAAAAAAAGTAGCCAGGTAACTTAATAGCTAATTAAATTCATTTTAAAGATTTTTTTTAATAGGCACTTAAAAGAAAGGGAAGTTGTGAATGAAATTATAATAGAAGATTTTGAAAATGTTGATCGAGGTATTTCTAAATTTAAAACAAAATTAAAAAAATTTAAAAACGGAAAAGAAGGATCACAACCATACTACACTTTAATGATTTTGGATAATTGCGATGATTTGATAAATAAAAACCTAGAAGATTTCACAAAGCAGCTCTCAGATACTTCGCTGAATGTGAAATTTATAATTATCACTCACTTTAAGCCTAATTTAAAGCTAAATGAGGCCGTCATAAATTACATAGAGCTCAAGGCCTTAGATAAAAAAGTAGCTTTTGATATTATAAGTCATCACATTGGCAACTAAATTAGAATTCTTGCTTAAGATACTAGCTTTTCAAATACACTAGATTAGATTTTAGATAAAAGAGCAATATTACCAAAGTTTGTGATGGAAATAGTTTAAAGTATTAAAAATGGCTCAAATTTATAAGATTTACTTGTTAGTTAAGATCCTCTTGAGCTCATTATGAAGTAAACAACTTCTTTTTTAAATTAAGATTCTTTATGAATAAATTTAAAATTTATTCAAAATTATAAAGAAAATTAAAAGAAAACTACTAAAAATATGAAATGCTGCTTGTTATTTCACTTTTTCCTCATGGTGTTTCTGTTGAAGATTTAAAATATCTAGCTTCTAAAAAGAAAATCCCCTCTAGCTGGGAAGAAATTATGCTCCAGTTAACATCGAAAGAAGTAATTGATCCAAATTTAACTTTGAAATTTGAAGAGACAGAGAGTGAGGAAAATTCTGATATAGAGCCTAATAATACAGCTGAAACCAGTAGCTTTTCTGCTACTAATAGTTCACATTCTTCTGACCATCATCATTTTAAAATAGGATAATACTTTTGGATGAATGTGTCTAGAAATGACTTACAGTTTATTCAATTTAAGATAAAAAAAAATATCCCAAGATGGCTATATTCAAAAGAAGAATATGCGATAGATCTCCTTTAAAAAGAAGTACTCATTTTAGAGTACTTATCTTATTTTGCAAAAAAGATGCTTGACTGTATCAAGTGTGACAGATATTAAAAACTTAAAATGGTTGATTATTCATCTATCGTTGATTTTGGATTATTTAAAGTATCATTTAAGAAAGACTGGTTTCAAAATGATGGTGAAGAAGATGATTCTGATAAAAATTAAACAAACGGTTAAAAACTCCCTGATTTAAACAGAGGATACTCAGAAAGTTTTGAAGAGCACATATTCAAGAAATATAGAAACAATTAGGAGAGCTTATTTAAATTGCATGAATAAAACTTGTATGTGTACTTGAAAAAAGAAGATTTGATGAATTTGATAAAATTTATGAGTAAATGTTAATTATGCTAAAATTATTTAAATATTAAATTATAAAATAGATTCATCTCACTGCCACGAAAAGAGAATACTAAAAGAAGCACTTAAAGATTTGTGTGTAGATATACCTTCTATTCATAAATTATTGGATCATAAAGAAGATGCAATGGAGTAATGCGAGAAAGCTATTAATATTTTGGATGAACTAACAAACTATCCTGATAACTTACCTTTCTTGCTTGCAAAACTCAAAATTTAGTTTATTTAAGCAAATTTATGCTTCGATTAGTTTGATTTTTAAACAAAAAATTAAGAAGAATTTAGATTATTGCTTAAGCAATTTAAGTGTTTAAATGATTCAATTTAAAGTTTAGCAAATCATTCTGAATTCAAGCAGTAAAAAAGTATTTTGTAAGAACTTTTCTTTTTATTTTATTTAACAAGCTTTAAAAAAAAATAAATAATGATCAAAAAACTTAAATAATTCATTATTGAAATATAGCAATTTTTTGAAGAATAAATAATTCTTAATTAATTTTAAACTTAATTTTAATATTGAAAAACTTTAATAAAATAGGCTTATCTTATAGGCAGAAAAAGTTTTCTTCGTAGCATACACAATTAAGGTTATGGTTGAATAAAAGCTAATTAAATATCTACATGGCGGTTACGATTTATCTTAAATAATTGATCTAGTAGAAATAATTAGCTCCCAAAAAATTTAAGAGAACTTTACCAATTTAACGGATATATGCTCTTATTTAATAAACTAACTGAACTTCTATCCTTAAGAGTTGTTAAAAATAGATGGTTGTAATTTAGAAATTCAAAATAGTAAAGATAATTAATATTTATTGAGGAGGAGTCTTGATTATTTAAATGAAACACCAAAAACAAAACTAAATATATTGATTTCCAAGATCAAATTTGTTACAGCTTGCTTTGAAGGCTTTTAATTTAATGAGGAATTTAATGAAAAATATGTAGAATCTATATAGGAAAGTATTAAAGTTTTCACATAATATGAATTAAATGAACTGAAGGAATAGTGCCTTAAACAGTTTGCTAAATAATTCTGGAAAAATAAAACTCTTTAAAAGTAGAAAAAAACAGATCCATAAACAATACCTTAAAGAATAGAATCTGAAATTATCAAGCATGTAAAATCTGGCCCAAAAGAAGTAATAATTAAATTATTTTTTTTAGAAATCATAATTTGTTATTTATGATTTTTTATTTCAGATAAATATTCTAATTCAATAATCTTTATTTATAACTCAACAAATTTGTTAAAAAATAGAATTTGACTGAAAACATAAAAGAAACATTTGAAAAAGCTTATGACTAATTAAAAATGTAAGACCCTAAAGATTATAAAATTTCGATATAAACTAATGCATGACATAACCTACCAATCATTTCAATTACTAACTAACTTAATCACTTAATTTTATTTAAATTAATTTATTTATTATGTACATAGATTAACATTTAAATTTATAATAAAATTATTTAAAAATGTATTGTTGTTTCATATCAAATTAATCTTATTTTAAAAGATATTTAACAAAAACTATTAATTATTTTTAAATTATTATTTTATAATAAGTAAATATACTGTATGTATTTGTAATGGCTTTCATCTAAAATCTTTTTTTAATTTAAGCACTTAAAAAATTTATGCTATTAACCTCTTTAATATTTGAGATTTGTAAGTTACTTAAGAGGTTAGAGGGGATATGGTATTTTGCTTTTCCTATAAATTTATTTTAAAATTTATAATTGAAAATTAGGATTAAATTAATAAATTTAAAAAAATTGTATAATTTTTAATTTGGAAAATATATTGAAATACTTTTAAAATTGTATCTGTTTTCAGAATATCAAACATGGTTATTTATTTGAAACTTCAATTTAATTAATTTTAATGAAATTTCGAGTTTTTATCTTAATAATTAACATTTATTAATATATTTCTATTTTGATTTATTTAAACAAAGTAAAATTTTAAATGAATGAACTTAAATACCAATCAAGCGTTTGACTGCAAATTAGAAATTTTTTAGAATTTTAGTTGAAATATTATTTTCAATTTAAGTTAAGTCACATATTATTTGTTTTCTTTTATTATTAGCAGTATTATGAAATTTTACGAATAGTATACATCTAAACTTAAATTTCTACAGTATCTATGTTGTATTAACAGGCAATTTCATCAGCAAATCTAAACGATCATGCAATATCATTTACTTTTTTTTAAATCCTCTTAACATTTTAGCTATGTGTAGTAATGACTTTTTAACAAAAATTAATATTCTCATAAAATAAAAAAAGCTTAAGGGTATTAATTTACCAAAAAGATTAAGTAAACTCCTTTAATTAAATATATTTATAGAATAAAACAAGACTTTCTTAACAAGAGATTGGCAAAGGTCTAAGAGTGATTACTCAAAAACTTTCTTTGACAAGCTCAGTAGATTAGAAAGTGAAGTTACTAGCTAAGATATAATTTATAAAGAATGAGAGAAAAATAGTTCTTTATCAAATATAGATATGCGAGACATGAAGAAGAAGTTAGCATTAGATTAGATGATGAAAATTATTAGTGGCATTTAATAGATTTAAGCGATCACATAAACGAAGGTGAAATAACTATTCTTACTTTCGATATGCTTGTAGAGTTACTTAAAAATGATAATGCAAAGTTCTAAGAAAACAACATAAAGTTAAAAAATGACATATATTGGATCACTATTGGCGAAAACAATTTTGGAATAGATTTCACAATAGATGAGGAAGAGTAAATAGAAACAGAAATTATTCTTCTTTTGGAGTAGTAAAAAGGAGATCTGCAAGTATTTTAAGAAAATGAAGTTATTTAAAATTTATTTAAGAGCATGGAGTAAATAAATATAAAAGTAGATAAAATTTAATAGAGACAGAACGATATGTTAAGATTTTTTTAATATGATAATGAGATTTATCTGAAAGATATAATGGAAGAAACATTAAATAATTAGATAGAAAGGCAAAGAGATTTAGTTAATAATTTAGTTTAAACTACTTTAAGTACATTAAATGACTATTACAATGCTCTTGCAGTATAAATATAATAGGTAGAAAATAAATAAAATTAACCTATGCATTTTACGGGAATGATACCAAGAAGTTAAAGTTTTAGTGCATCTTAGTAGTTTATGGAGTAGAGTTTTTAGTTTAAGCCTCAACATAACCATTTAGCTAATTCATAATAAAATTTTAATATAAATATGCAGAGTAGTGAGCCAAGACATTAGTTTAATAGCTCGCTCATTTAGCAAAGTATTGATTTTGACTTTAAAAAGCAAGAAACAAAGGAAAGTTTATTCAGCAATGAAATGAATAAATAGCAATCCTAACATATGAAAGAATTTGAGACAGAATAAACATCCTAAAATTAAAAATAGGTAATAAATATGTTTGGAAATTTGATAAAAGATGATGAAACTCGTAATAAAGCTAATTCTAATCTATCTGACTAGAATTTAACTTCTATAGTTCACATAGATTCAAAGAAGATGCAAACATCAAGCATATTTAACAATAATGGATTATAGAGCAAAAGTGATAGCTAGAAAAATCAAGAGAACTCCCTGATGATTAACAACGTGCAAGGCTCTTTAACTGACATTGATAACAAAGAAAAACCAATATTTTAAATTAAAATTCCAAGCAATCCTAAAGATAGCAAAGAAAACGAAGAATTAGGATCTTCTACAGTAAAAGCTCCAATATTATTTTCTAATATACCTCAAGATGATGCTCCTGAGATTGATTTCTTTAAGAACATTGTCAAACCTGTTCCCAATAAGGTTATTACGATTTCTTAGCCTAATTCATCTGAAGCTTAAGCAAAGGCAAATGATATAGACCAGCTTTAAAATAAAAAAAAAATATCATCAGGCAGTAATTTAAGTTCGAACATTCCAAATAAAGTTCTTGGGCAAAACTCTATAAATTCTAAAAATAGACCAAGCCATATATCACCTGATCCTTAACAATTCTAAACATCTAGCAACAAACCCTCACATGACGCTTAAGGAGATAGTTCTTCTTCTATTAGTTTCATGAAAAATAAAATACCTAATTCCACTCATTTATTACCTAACAAAGAAAATAAAAGTATAGAAGGATAGGTTAGAAAACCAGTATTAAGAGATTATTAAAGAAGAAACAGTAAATTTAGAAATTCTTCTGATAATAGCAAACTTTTTTAAAGCTAAAATTCAGGTGGAAATTCCAATCCTGGTTTAAAAGGAAAAACCTCTAATATGACAGATATGACAATTATGTACAGTGAACCTATAGTAAAATTATAAATTTAGGCTACTTAGTAAACAGGGGCTTAACAGTAGTATTTACCTGCAGGAGATCCTGTTGATTATGAATAAGAAATTCAAAAACTAAATGAATTTTTAAAAGAAACAAATAAATAAATAAAATTAGATATTGTTGTAGCAAGTTTAGATAATTTGGAAAAGGCATTCAACAGAAACACTTAAATATTACATATTATGTGTCATGGAGATTATTCTGATAAAGAATAGCAATATTACCTTGCCTTTGAAGATGAGGAATCAAAGCTCGATGCTATTACAAGCAAGAGATTTTCTGAATTTTTAAAGTAAAAAAATTGTAATGTTAAACTTGTTTTTTTTAATGCTTGTCACTCTGAGGAAGTAGGAAAAATTTTTTATGAAGCTGGAATTCCATTTGTAATTGCAGTTTAATCTGATTTGAAAATTGAAGATAAAGCAGCTTTAACCTTTTCAAGTAGCTTTTATATGAATATCTTTTCAGGCCGATCTGTTTTAGAATCATTTGAAAGTGCTAAAATATCCTTACAAGCTAAATAATATGAAGGTTGCTTTACTTGTTGCTGTGCGCATTCTCATGACTAAAATTGCTTATGGTATTATACTTACTAATTCTTAAGTCTACATTTTTTATTTTAATTTAAAGGTTTGAAGAAGCTATGAATAATGGTTTTGATAAGGCACATGAATAGCACTTACCTTAACCGAAATGCAAATGTCCTAATTCTAAGAAAATGATACATGAATACACTTGTGAATGGGCAAACGATTTTCTTAAAAAATATAAAGATAACTATGAAGACTATTATGAAGAGGTAATACAGAATAATGAACCACTATTTGTTTGCTGTTGCCACGGATCAGAAACTCCTCATGACGAGTCACTTAAATTTAGATTAATTAAAAGAGAAGACTAAGAAGATTAAAAAATAATGTCAGACTTGCCTGAAGGAAATATTATAGAAAAAAGCAATCTTGATTTTAATCATCCGATCTTCTAAGACCAAAGCAAAATATTTGGAAGGTAAGTTAAATTCAATAAAATATCATTTAAAAAAAATTTTATCTTTAAAATTAGGAATATGGAAATCTTTAAAATCTATAAAGCTTTTATGAATAATACTAAAATAAAATTCAGATTTGTTGCTCTTCATGGAGATTTAGGTACAGGAAAAACTGCTGTTGCAAAAAAAGTAGCAAGGCACCTTAAAGAAAGAGGGCAAGTAGTTGAGATTATTTTTGAAGATTTTGAAAGAATGAAAACAAAAATTACAAAATTTGAATAAAAAATGAGACTTGGGTATCATACAAAGGAAGTGGCATATAGTCACTTAAAGGATAAAAAGGTTTTGTTTATTCTTGATAACTGTGATGATTTGATAAAAAACAATAGATTTAAATTCGAAACAACAATAAACGAGTTAGCTTAAAATACTACAGCTAAATTTTTAATTATTTCTCATGAAAAGTTTGATTTAAAACTTGGTTAAGGCTAAATTCCATAAATCACTCTTGGAAACCTAAGTGATTTTTATGTAAAATAACTAATAGAATTCTATGCAGGAGATACCATTCGTGAGCACTCAAATAACCCTTAATTCAATGAATAATTGTCAGAATTAATTAAAATTATGCCAAAATCACCTAAATCCATAATGGAAGCCCTTTAAAATATAAGTGAAAATATGGACATTTCTCAAATATTAACATCACTGAAAAATAACTAAATTAATGAAAGACAAAAAGACTTTACTGCTTTCAACCTTTTAATGAAGTAAATTATTGTTTTTTTTTTTTGAGCATAAACTTAAATAATAAAATTACCTTTTAACATTAATAAAAATAAAATAAATATTTTTTATAATTAATGGACTATTTAAATTAATAGAGATTTAAGACAGACAAACTAATAAGCCTACGATATGCTTTTGTTAATTAGTCTATTTCCTCATGGTGTAAGTATAGAAGATTTAAAATTTTTAGAAAAAAAGAAAAAAATACCACATGATTGGGTAAAACTGATGGAATGTTTGACTCTTTATACAAATGAAATAGCAGCCAATAGGACATCAGAATTAGCTCAGCATGAAATACCTGAAATCAGTGGGTTAAAGAGAATGCAGAGTAAGAGGCTCACAATATTTTAGTAATTAAAATAAGAAGAAGACAATATGGAAGAAGATGATTTCGATAATGATTAACAACACGAAGAATTTTATCGATATAAGAAATTTAAAAATGGATAATATTTCTGGATGAGTGTTTCTCGTAAGTTCGATGTAGTTGTATTTAGGATTAAAAAATTTGTTGTCGAATAGCTCAAGTAATAAGAATACAGATAAGATTTATTTCATAAAGAGATTCTGATTTTAGAGTATCTTTCTATATTTTCTAGAAAACTACTTCATAATTTAAAAGAAAAATCTCATCATTAAGAAAGAATAATTGAGTACTGCTCCTTAAGTCATTCTGGCTTGTATGGAGTTCATTACATACCTTAGCATTAACTCCACAAAATTTCATAATGTTAATCAATGAAATCTAATAAAGTGCAAGAAACTGGTGAATCAGATAATGAATATTACGATACTACACCTGAAAATCTTCATAGCAACGCTAGAGGTTTCAGTGAAGATAAGAAAATAAGTGTCGTCCATAGAGATTCGGTTAATTTAGAGAAAAAATTGTCAGATAAGACTGAGTAGAAATTATTTTCATCATTAACTCCCATTGATGTATTTAAATTGCATGAGGGAAACTTTTACTCGTATCTAAACGTAGAAGATCATAGATAAATCATTGCTCATATTAGTAAATAATAAAAAAAAATTTATTTTTTTATTTTTTTATTAATGAAATTACTTATAATAAATTAGACAGTAAGCAATGTGATGAGAAGCAAAAGTAAAAAATGAAGAAGCATATCTAAGATTTATGTGTAAATATACCTTCAATTCATAAACTATTAGATGAACTTTCTACTAGTGAAGAGCAGTGCGTATAAGCTGAGTAAGTCATAGAAGAATTACTTAAAAACCATTAAAACTTTTAGTTCTTAGTAGCAAAATCAAAACTTTTGTTTCTCAAAATATCTTTGTACATTGAAAAGTTTTCATCAGACCACATGAATAATTCGATAGAAGATGTTATTCATAGAGATGAAATAGAGAGTTTTTATGAAGAAGTAGATAAAAAGTTTACTGAATTTGATAAAAATGAAGTTTTTATGTAAATTTATTTCTAATTGTTAATTTTGGTTAATTTTAGGATTTTGATAATTTAATAGAGAATTGATGGATATAGAGAAGCAGTTTGTTGTGTTTTACTTGATATTTGTATCTTTTAAAAAAAATAAAGAAAATGAGCTTTCTCATACATTTGAATAAATTCTTAAAATACCCAAAGATCCTAGATTTAATGGAGTTAAAGGCAAAGTAAATCTAATTCTTGAAAGTCTTATACCTAAGCTTTTGCTGAGAATAAAAGAACTTAAGAAAAAAGAAGAATCTATTGATGAAGATAAAAAAGATATAAAAATGGGTCCTGATTGTTTAAATATTTTAGAAAGCAAGCTAATTTTGTTGAACTCTCTATTTGAACTTGAATTCAATACATAATTCTAGCTCAGATTCTAAGAACTCGAACAAGCTATCAAAGTTTTCGAAAGTAATGGTCTTAACAGCTTAATGATTCAAGCCACAGTAGTTTACTGCAAGAAAAAGCTCAATGGCCTCAAAAACTCAAGAGATACTTAAAATCTAATTAAATTGAAAAAAGATATGATTGACCCTGCTTTAAATAATTCTAAAATATGGAAATTAACTAGCTTAGAGGCTGATTGCAAGAAAATATTAGGTGAAATTAACGATCAACTACATCACATTAGTTCTAATGTTTTCTAATTTATGAGAGCTGCTCCAATAATATATTAAGATAAAAAAACTCCCTACGGACATATCATACGCTTAAATTAGTCATTTAAAAGAAGAATAACAGGTTATATTTTTAATTTGTAAGTAAGTTAGTTTTTTTAAAATGTAAATTTATGTATATTAATATAGATGTGCTAAGCAAGTTAGGAAAGGAACTTAATCTCAAATTCGAAATATAGACTATAAAACATTTTAAAGAATGTCTATAAAGAGGTTCTAAAGTAAAATATTACAATTATTTATTTGTTTTAAGGTAATTATTATTATATTAAAAGTTTATGTGCATCACTTGCGATGATGTGGAAGAAGATGGTATTATTGTTGAGGAAGATTAGCTTCCTTTGATGAGAAAGTATAAAGAAAATGAAATGGAAGAATACTATAAATAACATTATGAGGAATTTGGTTAAATAGAAATTCTAATGCTTTGCACTCCTAATGGTTTAAAATTAAAAGAGATGTTTTTTAGAATTATTGATAAAGTAAATGATTCAATTAAAAAAATGTAAAACAACCCTGATAAAAAATAGACAAAATCTAAATCCACAGACGAATACAAAGGTAAAAAAATAAATGAATGATTTCATTTTATTCAAACGAATAATATTTAAAAATTAGATCAAGTAGACAGAGATTCTGAACTAAGAAGAAGACCAACTATTATTGCTTTTTAATTCAAATCTATCAAAAAGTATACAAGGCCTCATTTTGGAAGAAGACCCACGATAATGAACCCAAGCTATCAAGAAAAAGAAAATGGAGATCAAAGTAATACTAGTAAGAAAAATAAGAAATAAGGATTAAGCAAAAACACTAAGGAATAGGAATTCAGCAACGAAATAGAAGAGGATGAATATGAAGATTTTTATTTATATTATTTAAGAGAGTTTGCCATTCAATAATTCTAGTTTGAATTTCTCACTTAATTATTATCAGATCGACCTGATCCCAATCCTTAATCGCATATTAGGAGAGCGTTTAATTATGCCAAACAAAAAATGGTAGAAGCTACTATTACAGTATGTTCTGAAGACATAAGGGATGAGTAGACTTTTGAATAAATTCTTGGAAAAGGCCCTGATCTCTTTTTATCAGATGACTGGATGGATGCGTAAATTAGTTTTAAATTGCATTTGATAAAATTTATTTATATTTAATAATTGTTTTAAAAGCAAATACGAATTCAGAAAGGGTTAAATTATTGATATAACATCTGAACGTCCTCCTTAAAATTTAAACAGAAATTTCCTCAGAATCTCTGGAAGAAAGCAAGATATTTATATAATTTTGTAAAAAATTCAAGAAAGCTGTGTAAATATATACGGACAAGTTGGAATAGGAAAAACAATAGTGGCTTAACAAGTAATTTCATTTTTATATTTCTTGATTTGATAATTAATGATTAGTGAATTCAATTAAAATTAAAGTTTTAATTCAATTAACTTATAAATGAGATTTCGCTTTATAAAATTAAATGTTTTTTACATAAAATAACTTGATTTAAATTAATAAATTAAAACATATTTATTTATTTTCAAACTGAAATTTTAAATTAAAAAAATTATTTTTTTAATTTGTTATAAAATTTATTTTTTAATGGATAGATTGCTTACTTTACTTTTACTAGAAATACTTTCTGCGATGGCGTATATTACTTTAGTCTTAAAGACCTCCCAAACCATAATTACGATTTACGAAATTTGATGTCGTCCTTACTTGGTTTGTAATTCAGCTAAGATGTGTGTGAGTATTTCTAAAATTAAAAAAAGATGCTACTTATTTTCGATGATTTTGACATTATTATTAACAGTTTTAATCCCTCTAACGATTATAAAATTAAATTTTTTGAGTATTTATTCTTCTATATTAACAAATTTGATATTCACTACATTCTTGTTACTCAAAAGTCTCTTCGCCCTACTTTAGAGTAAAAGAACTGTCCCCTTAGTTGTATAAAATCTAATATGCATTATCATGAAATAAAACTTTTTTCAAGAAAAGAATCACTAAACTTTTTAGATTCCTTACTAGACCTAGAACAAATTAATATCAAAAAAGTTCTTGAGAATAGAAAATAATTTGAAAAAATCTATAAAAAAGCGTAGGGAAATCCTAAAAAATTGATAGAATAATATTGCAAAAAGTTTGGTAATCCTAAAATTCCAAAATAATTTTATTCAAGTATTTAACAACCAAACATGATGTTATAGACACAATCTACTTTAAATATCAGTCCATTTACTTAGCAGATTAGCAATATTCCTGGAGCACACAATACTGTTTATTAAACGAGAAAAAAGCCTATGATTACAAATTAAAAATCAAGAGAATTTATTTCAAATCATCCTACTTAAATTTAAGTACCACCTCTTAATATGATGTAAGTAAATTAACATAATACAAACTTTAGTTCAAGTTTAATATCTACATCACATCCTAATAGTGCAAGACAAAATTATATAACCAACTATTCTGGTGAATAAAACTAGTATTATAACTAATTCTAAATGGAATCAAGTCTTCCAAATAGCTAAGTTTTTAACTAAGAGCATTAGTTTTATTCAACCAAAAATTAACAGTAATAGAAAAGCTAAACTTAACTCCACTCAAATTATTATCATTACAATAAATTAAATTAAAATACTTCTTAATCAATGATAATTGGGAATAATATGGAAAGTTCTAACACATCGATTTTGTATAATTAATAACCATCTTAAATAGTAAATCAATATGCAGAAAAGAAGTAGAGCTCTTTAACCTCTCATTAAGCTCATTAAAACAATAAATAAAATCTCCTTAAGATCACTTCAAGCGGCCTTATGAAAAATCATGATTATTCAAAACTTAAGAACTCTAGAAATTTACTTTCATAATCGAGTTTGCATGACTATCATAGCTAACACCATACTCAATTCTAACATTCTAATAGTGGATATGTAACAAATTAGTAATTCCCCCATAATCCTTAGATCCACCATTCTTCTTTTTCTGGTTCCAGCCACTAACATCATATGTCGCATCCAAACATGTCTAAAAATATGATTCAAGAAATTAACTCAAGCAGTAGCACTGGAAATACACCATAAATGGTTCCTACTAACATTTAAAATATTGCTTTATTTTAGTAATTTGGTAACAGTAGCTAACACAAAAAATCTTTTGCTCATTCTTCTGCTCACTAAGCTTAATTGAATAGCAAGAATGAACAACAAAAGTCAAGCTCTAAGGATGCCAGGATACACTCACTAAGTAGAAGAAATAAGGTAGAAAACAGTTAAATAATTGTATAAAGTGATCCTGAAGTTAATAAAACTAGCTATTCTAATGAGGCTATTAATTTTTAGGTCCCGAAAGATCAAGCTAATAGCGATACCTCATATTACCATAAAAATTCAGATTATAATTAATTTGGATAGGAAGATATTTTTTAGAACTAAGATTACCAACTTGAACTAGGATAAGATGAATATGAAGAAAGAATGCATAAAAGAGAGCCTAGTGGCAATCATATTAGTGCCAGAAATCAGTATTAAAGTTAATAAAGTAATGGATCATTTGTTAATCTTACTTAAGATAATTTGTAAAACAGTTAATCAAATCTAAATAATAGCATAATGCTAGGGTCTAACAATAATGGTACTTCAAATAGAAAATTGAAAAAGTCCTAAAAGAAGAGTGTTAAATATTAAGATAAGCATATTCAAGAAGAAATTCAACAATGCTTAAGCTTAGATGATGAAGATTATGACGATGAGGAATTCTCAAATAACTAATATACTGATAAAACCTAAGAAAGAGATTTAGAAAAATTAGAAGGTTCTGATTTTCTAAAAGAACTTTTTGGATAAAGTAAAACTGAAATTTAAGGTGAAAGTTTATCTAATAGTTAATCTTAATCAGTGAGGTAAACAAAAAATAGTAGCAGTGCTCAGAATTTGAAGACGTCGTTATACTCAAATGAATAAAATTATTCAAGTAATGGAATTCCATTTGAATATTAAGTAAACAATATTGAAGAGGAAGATGAAACAAAGTCAGATGATGAATTTATAAATTAATTAGAAATGTAAAAAGAATAAGAGATAAATTAGACAAAATAGAAGAAAAAAGATGAAGAAATAATTACAGAAGAAACAAAAGAATATATTCAATCTTCTCTTGCTATATAATCAGAAGTCCCTCAAATCTAGAAAGATATGTCCTTTGAGTTATCAAAAGGAGGGAATTTTGCAAACCTATAGGATATGGTTTCTTCTACAAATACTGAGAAATGCAGATTAGATGATTCTCTTAGCTAAGAATTAAAGTCAGGTAGATCTTCGAGCAAATAAAAATCTAAAAAATCCACTTAAATTCATCATGAATTTGTAGAAGAGGAGTATTTACCTTAAAAAGTCTAAGATGAAGAGAAAGAATAACATTCAAATCATGGAACTCACAGAAATCATCATCATCATAATCATAATCATCACAATTAGCATGGTCATCACTAATCTCATGTCAATAAAAATTAAAAATTCTAAGTAGATGAAAGCGAAAAATTATCCAGCGAAGAAGATGGTTATCAAGAAGAAGATGAAGAAGGAGAGCTTAATGAAGATGATGATATTGATGAAATGTAATCAAAGTATTAATATACTTAGAATATTTTCTTTGATAAAAATGAATTAAGAGTTTAAGACGATGATATAGATGATAAACCTTCGCTTAAAAGTCAACCGAATAGAGAAAATAATTAACATAGAACACCAGATAAAAGTTTGATAATATTGCCTTATTAATAAATAAGCCATTAAGGTAGTTTGAACTCTCCACCTATAATACCTATTTCTCCAAGTCAAAATATTCTTCATTAATATTCCCACCATCTCCACCACCATTAGTCCATCCCTCATCATTTACCAACTACATTTATTTAGCAAAGCTATACTTCTACTCCTTAAAATCACCCTCATGCTTAGTCTCCTAATTCTTATCCGTACTCATAGCATAAAAAACAAAATAAACCTTCGTTAAAAGAAGCATATACTGAAAGACAAAATCATCAACAAGTTAATATTAGTATGATAAGTAATATTTCAAGCTAAAGAGGCACTTTTGATTTTACTGATTAGATTTCTTCTGTAAAATAAAAGTCTAATTAATCACTTCCCTCATTTTTGTAAATATAGAAAAGTGATTCGTAAAGTTCAAAGGCTACAATTCAAAGTGCAGGCAGTTAAAATGATAGACAAAATATGAAAATGATTTCTTAAATGCAACTTAATAATAACAATTTTTCAGACTAAATACATAAAAAATAAAACAACAAAAAGAAGGTAAATTAAACAGGAAAGTAAGCATAAATATTTAATAAGAAAAAAAAGAACAAATATAACGAATATAAAAACAATAACAATCAAGCCAACAAATCTAGTTCTAATTAAGAAGATGATGAAGATGATTGATAGATTCATTCATTCATTCATTAAGTGATTAATAGTAAATTAACATGAATTTAATAAATTAATCTACTTAAATAACAATATTTATAAAAAATTCTGAGAAATGAAAAATTAGTTTCATCTATGATTTGCAGTTCTTAGGTAGTTAGTTAGTAAAATTTACTTAGGATTTAATATGTATATATTAATTATAAGATACATAATATAATTTATATTAAATATTTAATTAAGAGTAAATAAATAAATATTTTTAATACAACTCTTCACTCACAATAGAGGATAAATACTTTTTGGTATATTCTTAAAATAAAAAAAATTAAATCTAAATTACTATTATAAAATAGAAAAATTTTCAATCTATCATATTATCTTACCAACCTTTTTAACATATTCTTTCTAACTGTAAATTTATTGATTATTTGTATGCAAACTCTATTACCTCTTTTTTAATATTAACTAAATACTTTTTCAATACTTAATTTATATTATATTGTTATTTAAATTTATGTATTTTACTCATTAACTATCTTATCCTCTAATCATTATTTTAAAAAAATTAAAAAATTGTAGTTAATTCTTGAAATTAATTTACAATATGGAAGTAAATTAGCAAAATAATAATTTAATTGAAAACTAATTAGATTTATTCAGACTTAGATTTAATTAGCAATTATTATTTTGTAAAAATTTTATTGGAGGGTTTAATACAAGTGTTTAAAAAAATATTATTTAATTAGCATCTTCTCAAAAATTAAAAAATAGAATAGATTAGAAATAAATCATTCATGCGATATTTACTTTAAGTTACATTTAATTTTATTATTATTTTCAAGTAATACTAATGTATTTTGATAATATTTGTTAATAAATTTGTTATCATAGTTTAGATTAACAAAAGATTTATTTTGAATCAATCTTAAAAGTTGATAATCAGTAAAATTGTTCTTTTACTTTATTTAAAAGAATAACTATATGAAGTATTTATATGAAATAAATAAATAAACAATCAAACAATATATTATGCATGCAAGCATCCTTTTTAAATTGATTATAATTTACAATCGAATTAAAAAACTAATTTAATTAGTGTCATAGCTAAAAACTAAAACGCAAAAAATTACTTACTTTATAAATATAAAATCGAAGTTATTTATCTTTAAATTAGAGATTTGGTTAAGTAAATAGCAAAATGATGTTTTCAACGTCTAGACTTCATTTAGATTAACCCATGGAAAAAATAACCTACAATCCTAACTAAACAGTTTCCTCATCTCAAAAAAAATTTTACATAAAATAAGATACAGATTCTCCAATTAAAAATAAAAGTTAATTCTAACATTCTACAAAGAGTTTTAGCAAAAAATAATTTGAGTTATAAGTAAGGCAAACGTTTAGGTAAAGATTAGATAAAAAAAAAGATTTTATGACTTAATCTGCCTTATAAAGCACTATAAATTCATCTGATGTAAGGACAGTTGAATAAATTTTTAATTCAACTCATATGGCATTTTTAGCAGCACCAGATGATCTTTTGAATAAGTCTTTAGGTAAAGACTACTTATCTATGAAGAGTTTTACTCCTATGTCAACAATTCTAGTTAATAACTAATCTTGGTAGTCATTTGCTAAAAGGAATTAAGATTAGAGCAATACAAGAGAAGTGATGTCAAATCAACTTGTTTTCAATAGAACTTAAAAAAATTTCCTAGTAAATTAAGCTTAAAAAAACTATACAGAAAATTATGATTAATTGATTGACTCATATAGAAAAAGGGAATAAAAATTTAATTTACCTAAGATTAAGGTTAAGAATCATGACTAAGTGTTAAATAATATGGCTAAGTAGTAAAGCACATCTCCAGTTATTGGAACTGAAGGTAATCTGATGCCATAATAGCATAACGAAGAAGACGATGATCCGTTTAACAATTAAAATAAAGAATAAAATGAGAAAAAGCTAACAAATTTAAAATTTTATTGGTATTGTATCACTGATGATGGTTGGAGACCTGAGACAAGAGAATATCCGAGTCTTACATACATTGATGGAGTATGAAATATTATATATATTAAATTTTTAGCATCTTTATTTATTAAATAAGAGATTATATTTATACGGAGGCATGGGTTTAGATTTATTTAACACAATGTGCTACCTTGATTTTCAAACATGGAAATGGACAAATATGGATTAAGCAGCTTAACTTTAAGAAGGAAGATATGGTCATACTGCTCATTTGTAAAATGAAATTTAAATATTTTATATTTTAATTATTTTTTATGATATGAAAGATATAAAAAAGACTTGCTTGTATTTGGTGGAGAAAAAAAATATAATTCTCATCTTAAAATGAGATAATGTTTTAATGATATTTAAATATACGAATTTTCTAAGAATAGTTGGAATTAAATTAGGACATTCGGAGATATTATTGAAAATAGAAGAAATCATGCATCAGTTTTAATTACCAAGTTTTTATTTATATTTGGAGGTATCAACAGTTATAATAAACATTTATACGATTTTGTATCAATTAATTTAGAAACTTTTAAATGGTATTTTATTTATTTATTTATTTTTATCAAAATATTTGTACAAAAATGATAACTTTTTATTTTATGGATATTCTAAAGTAACATATTGTAAGTTGAAGGATTAGATAAAGGTCTCGCTTTCCACTAAATGACCCCTATTTTCAGAGGAGATGCTAAAATTGAAAATCCTTATTATAATGTAGAAATTAAAAAAACAAAAGATAAAAAAGTTAGAAAAGTCAAAGAAGAAGGGTTGTACGTATTTGGAGGTTTGCTACAAAATGGAGAGGCAACAAATTAATTAAGAATAATAAAGCTAGGATAAAAACCACTTAAGTGGGTAGTACCTGATGTTAAAGGAGCACTTCCAATGGCAAGATATCAACATTCTCAGCACTATTATGATGATTTAAATGTACTTATTGTTTATGGTGGCAGAAATGATAATTCAAAATTCTATAGAAGCTATAATATGAATATTAGCTAAAATGGAATTCTTGGTGATATATGCCTCCTAGACTTAGAAACATTAAATTGGATAAGTGTTGAAGAAAATGGTCTTAAGAATCTTCAAAAATGTGCTTTTGCATCCTAAATAATTGGATCTAAAATTATAATTTTTGGTGGATACCAAGAAAAGGGGTTTGTAAATGCTGACATGTATGTCTTGGAATTAGATTAATCAAAAAACAGAAAATTAATTAAAGAGAGCAACAACCCTCTACAGTCAGGACTTTCTAAGAACTGCATTTCCATTGTTGATATTTTGAATAGTAAAAATTAAATTAACACAAACGAATTAATTTACATCAAATTAACATATTTTTAAAATGAATTAAACTTAAAAGACCATACTGACTTGTTTGATATTTAAGATGAGTTTTCTAAGCAAAAAAAAAAGAAAAATTAGTTAAATGATACAGGTAGTAAAGTTGAATTGTCTGATAATGAAACAAGTCACATATTGGGTATGAGAACTTACTAGCCGATACCTTAAAGTATACTTAGGAGTAGAAAATCATCTATAAATAAATCATTTTTGTCTTCTTTGCAATAAAATTAAAATGGACTTAAATTCAAAGTAGTTATTTAACAGTAATTTTAATATAATGAATTATTTATAAAATATAAGGTTGATGATAATGGAATACCTTCATTAAATTGTGTACCTGAAGAAGAGGAGGATTTGGGCTAGTTTAGTACAAAAATAATTATTGAATAAGAAAAATAATAAAATGTAAGTAAAAATAAAAAAACAGTTAGCTATGCCTAAATCTGACTTGATCTTATTTTGTTAAACAAGAAATTTTGTTTTAATTAATTAATTAATTAAATCAATCAGTAAGTAAGTAAATAATTCAAACAAAAAGGTAAACATTTCAAAAGATATTAAAATTATTTATTAAGTATTAATTTGTATATTATATTTATTAATTATTCTTTATTTTTTTTGTAAAAAAATTATTTATTGTAATTTTAATATTCAACCATGTTCTCAACCTATAGAATTTAAAATACTTCTTAAAAAATAAATTAATAATTTCAATAATATACATACATTCCTATATTCATGTTTTAGTTATTAAATAAACAAGAAACCTAAATTTTGTAATTTCATTGTTTGTGGGATTCCAAAATAATTTTACTTAATTATGTTTTAAATCATAATAAAAGAAAATAAAATAAATATTGATCTGGGCTAGGATTTAATAGATCTTCAATTATACTAATTTATTTTATTATTTTGTAAGCAAAAAAAATGAAACTATACTTTTTTAATAGTAAAAAGACTGTTTGCTTCAAGAGAAAGAAGAGAAAGATGCAAAATAAAATTTAGAAATATAAAAAGTAATAGTATAAGAACCTACCTACTTGGTTTATTATTAAATGTATCAAACATTTATAAATATATACAAGATAAATATTAACATTTTTATTTATATGATACTTTATTTAATAAAAATGAATTTTACAAATTTTAACTTAAAATAAAAACATAATTCAAATTCAACATGCATGCAATTCTTTTAATTTTTTAAGAAAATTTATATGAACAAAAATTAAATTATTACTCAATCACTCATTGTTTTTTTGAGTTTATTTAGTACATGACTATGTGTCCTCCATCACTTGATTTGTTTGTTAAATTTATGTAGTTATTTTAATTATTTTATTTTTAGGTATTAGAGGTGCTCTTTTTTAGAAAAGTTTGTTATGTGCTATATACACTATTCATGTTATTTGAGTTTACATTTGAAGTATCTTAAGTCAAAGTTAAACTATTATTTTTTGTCAAATTATTTATTGACTTGCTATCAAATTTTTTAGCCATTTTTTATGAGTTATTTGATTATCTCAAAGCCTCTTTACTACTAGAATTGGAAAATTTACTATCTTGTGCTAATGTAATTATGTTATTTCCTGCTGACTATATTATCTTTTCTAATTGTTATGTATGTTAATTTAGCTTTTAAAGATTAATTACATTTTAGTTTTTGTTTTAATTTATCTAAGGATTATCAGGTTTTATTAGACTGCTTTTTCTTTCTTAAGTTCTTTGCTTTTATAAAAATTATTGAGAGTTTTAAGTTGCTTCACCTTTTAATTCCTTTTATTGATGTAAAGATTTCGAGGAATACTATCCTATATATAAGTCTTAAATTTTAATTCCTTAAGTCTAGCTGTTACTGCCTTTTAATTAAATTACTACTTGGTTTGGAGAGTCTTACCTTTTATAGGTTGTTTAGCTTTTCTTTTATTGCTTTTGCTAGACTGCTATAAAATTTTTTTATTGTGCTGTTAATTTGGTTTAAATATGAGACATATGTTTTGAATTTAATTGATTTGTCTGATTAGTACCTTTTTAGTTCACTTTTAAATCTTTTATTTATTTATTCTGAATTTATTGCTTTTAGCTATTCTTCACTTACTCAGTCATTTGTTATTCTTATATTATTTACAAAGAGCATACATTACTTGGTAAATTACTATTTTCATCAAATATTTAACTTAAATTTTATTTAGAAACACTACTTCCTGGTACTATAAAATCAGTATTTGATGATTATTAAATACCTCCCATAAAATTTAATAATTCATTAATAGATTGAACAGATTCTATGTCTCTTTTATGCTTTTTAATGTCACTTTTAGAGACATGTGAATATTTAGCATCAGAAGAGTTTTATGATGACTCTTTACTAAATTTGTTTAAATCTTCCTTGCTATCAAGAGCAAAAATAGGTTTTATGCTGAATTCTTCAATAATTTTTTAGTGCTATTTTTTCATTTCAACAATAAAAGGCGATTCATCTCCATTATTATTATCAAATTCTCTCAAATTTTCTATTTTTTGTTTATCATCCACTTGCTAAATTTTATCGCTTAAACTTTTACCTTCAATTTATATTTTATCCTTATTTTCTTAATCCTGCATCTTATTTTAAATAACATTTTTGTTGTTACTATTTTTACTTGCCTCAGTATTAATCTGCTTTTCTTAGTTATTTTATTCCTATTATTGTTATTCATTTTAGCTTGAATTCTTTCTTAAATCTAAGACCTATCCTGCTGAATAGCTTTTATCTTTTAAATTTTATATCTGATTTGTATACTGAGCTTCCTTTAAGCTGCAACTATTTGGTTTTGCTGGTGTTTTGTATAGATTAATAAAATCTGGATTAGCTTCACAGTCATCATCTTCATCATATTAAGCAGAATTTTTTTATTGTTTATTTTCCTCTGTGTTATTCTTTTCTAGCAATAACTTTTGTTCTATCTTATTTGAAAAAACTACATCTTCAATATAATTCTGATAATCTATTTTTTATTGCAAATTATAAGGACTTGCTTTAGTTTATTCTTTTTTTTTGAAATTTTTTTCATTTACTAAATGATTTTATTGATCTTTATTTTAAATGTTTTCAGAAAAACTGCTTGGTTTATTTTTTGATGTCTATTGAGATAAATCATAGCAAATTTAATTGTGGTTAACTATTAATGGAATTGGATTATTTCCTTTCATCATTAAAACTCTATTTGAAAGCTCGTTAATTTAATCCTCTGTGTAAGTAATTTCAGATCCAAATCCACAAGAGCTATCAATTTAATTAGTTACACTTATTGGACTCTCAGGGAAAGTAATCTAACGTTAAGAAGAATTATTTTATTACTAAGTTTACATTTTTTACGTAGAATTTTTTTATGAATTAGATTGATTTTATTTTAACTTTTGATTATCTGATAGTTACTATGTTTTTTATGAAGGTTTTTTATTGTCTGAATCATTGTCATAAAGCTAGAAGTGCTTTTACGACTAGGAAGCCCCATTAATTATTTGTGTGGAAGATGAGCGAGAATTTTGTTTCAATAGTTTTTAGCTATTTACTATTTTTTCATTACTTTGATGATGCTAAATGCTTTTTTATGATTTTTAATGATGACTATTAGTTTTACTGTCTGATTTTTGAGATTATAAATTAGTTTTGTTATTATTCTTGTGTGCAGATGATGAAATCAAACCTAATTTATCATCTGCAATTTAATTAATTTTGCTTTTGCTTTAATACACACTACTTAAACTTTTTCTACTTTTTTATACCTAACTATTTTTGGAGGTATTTTAATTTAATGTTCCTTTAATCTGTTATGCCTACGATTGAGGAGAGCTTTTTTATGAAAGTGAAACCTAATTCTTAGCTTCTTCAGTAATAGTTGAGTATTCTTTTTAGGCTTTTATCCTGGAATCGTTCTATTTATTAACAAGTTATTTTTTCTTCACAAATTTATTTTTTATAATCAAATTTTTACCAATGAATTATTTTTTAATAATTTGCTGCTTTCACTTCCTTGGTTTATTTGGGGATTTTAAACTACTTCTTACTCATGATTACTTCTTTGATTATCAATAACATCAGATTAATTTTTAAAATAATAAATATTCATAATTTTAGAGATATTTTTATTAAGATCTTATTATGATGTTTCATGAATTCTTTGTGACTTACTTCCCTCTTCAGAGTTACGACTTTTTAATTAAATAAAAGTAATTTATTTATGGATGAATAAACATTTAAAATTAGCATCCTTAGAAAACTTTCACAATAAAATTTAATAACATTTATTCCTTTGTAAATAAAATATACAAATTAAGCTACTAGTAAGAACTAAATAAAGGCGTTTATTCAAAAATAAATTAAACTTTCAAACCCTTTTATTTAATAAAATAAGCTAATTAATTAATTAATTACCTACTATATATTTAATAATCATCAATTGCGACAATTTCTTCATTATTGCTTGTTTACTAAATAGACCTGAAGGAGTTCTTTGCTATTTATTATTCCTAAATAAATTATATATTTTAATTGTTTTATTCGCTTCCCTCAAGTTAAAGTGAGTTATTGATCAAATTATTTTAGGTATTTTTATTATTATCAATACTATCGAATTATTATAAAGGAGAATAATTTGACTTTACTGATACTGCTGTTGTTATTGGGTTAGCAGTAGTGTTATTAGATTATATTGAGTCAGAAAATTTGTGGCGGAAACTATCAGAATACCTTATAATTGCTTTTTAAATATCTTATGCATTACCTTTCTCCTCAACACTCCTCCTCCTCTCTATATAACCAAATGTTTAAGGCTAATTATTTTATTAAATTATATAAGTCATGCATTTCTATTTCTACTTTATTTAAGTGGGTGACAAAGGAAGAGATGATAGATTACTACTTTATACTGGATTAGGCTAAGCATTCTATTCAATTGGATTATTTTAAGCATTATCATTACTTATAAACTTAATAAATATTGGCTATTAAACTCTCTAATCATATTAAACACCATTTTGCTATGCTGCATAGTTTGCACTATTACTTCTTTAATAATTTTAATATGTTTAAGCAAAACCTTGGCTTGGAGAGCTGGATATAGCAGTAGGAGTTGCAGGCTTTTACAAGGTTTAATATTTCTAAGGTTAAAACGAAACTACTTCATTTTAATTTTTTTTAACTTCGATTATTTATCTATTCGCATAATTGTGGTTTGCTAAACTCTGTTAATGCTATTTGACCATCATCTACTTGAAATCTATTGTTTAGCTTTTAAGCACCTTTGCTGTATTTGATAAGCTTAAAATAAAAAAGTTAACTTATAGAAACATTTAAAATATATTAATTCAATTTAAAATTTTTTTAGGGTTATTAATGCAATAATTATTACAATCTATTAGAAGGACTGTTTTCAATGCCTTAGTTGATCTAAATTCCAGTATGATTAATACTTTAAATTAAATATTGAGGAGGACTAGCATAGTTTGATTTTGGAGATAAGACCTAAATTTAGCCTGGTATTTTCTATGGCTATATGCCTTGTAGATTTAGGTGAAAGTTATGTATCTATTAGTAGTTGATTTAATTGTTCATTTTATTTTAAATAGAGACTAACTTTTATTTCTTAATCTTTTATTTAAAATGGATTAACTATCTATCTATCTATTTATTAGCTTTCAAGCTTTTGTAACAAAATAAATTATTAAAATTTTTGCAATAAATAATATTAAGAAATCAATTCTGCTTAAAAGCAACTTGTTAGATCTAAACTTGGTATTCAGTAAAAATCCTCCCTTTCATCATTTGACCTTATATGATTAACTAGCTAGCTAATTATCATGTATTTATATATGACAGATAATTGATTGGTTTGAAAATATTGATTATAAAGATTAAAGTATGAAATAATAATCTTAAATAAATTAAAGAATTTTTTATTTTATAAAGCAAGGTTATTTTTAAACTGTTACTCTAGTGAAATAAAATTTTGTTATTTTTAGGAATTTAAATGTAGATAAGAATCAGAAAATTCAATAGTATTTTATTAAAAATTTAAATATTTTAAGAAGTAAGGAAAAATTATTTTTTTTTATTTATTTTTTATGATGTTCTATTTTTATTTTTAATAAATTTATTTTTAATCTATCATTTTATTTATCTGTTTATTAATTGAATTCGTAGTATTTAATTATGTAAATTTTATTCTAATTAAATTTTGATAAATTTGTAAATAAATTTAATTTCTAATTTATTCAATATAGAAAAAAAATAAGATAATATCAATTGTTTGATTAATATACTCTTTAGTTTAATATTTTTTATTTTAAATATCATAGATATTTCTTAAATTTCAGTAATATACTCATTTTCAGCAAATAAAATAATTTATATAATATATTGTCTAACTCAATGAAAATATTTTTTGTAAATTAAACTTTTTAGTTTATTTATTTATTTTATATAATATTTGTTTGGTTATTGTGTTTCTTCTTTTTATTATAATTTAATTTAAAATTATAAATTTTATTATTAAAGTATCTATTTTTTGTTAAAACCTCGCTTTTTTTAGCAGGAATACAAAGGTTTGAGAGTATACAGTATCCATGATATAGAATAAGTAAATAATGTAAAATGAACTATTTATCATTTTTATACGATTTTTATTTGTAAAAAAATAAAGAAATATTAAAAGTTTAAGATAATTTTAGTTAGGTTTAAATATTTTTTATTTATTTTTTTGTTAAAATTAACATTTCAAAAACGAAAAATTTTTTTTATATTTTAATTTATTGAATGTGATTAAAGAGAATACATTTTTTTAAAATAATCTAAATTAACTAAGATACATCCTGCTGACGCTTATTTTATAAACAAAATTAATTGTTTTGCGATTATTATTGTAAGAGAGTGATGACTTACTTATCTTAAATATTAATTAATTCTAAACTGAGAAAAGATATATCAATTAATCTTTAATAAATAAACAAATTGAATAAATATTAATAATGTCATAAATTATACAATAGGGATTATCTGAATTAGCGATTTTATTTATAGCTGAAATAAAAGACAAAGCTCATTTTAAATACGGGCATTCTTTAGATTATATTTTAGAGCTACTTATTTATACTTTTATTTACTTAAACGAACAATAAAACTTTAGGAATAATTAGCAAATCTAAAAATCAAAATGGTATTTTATTAGAGATGACATTAAAAGCTCCAAAATAATTAAGCTAATAAACTTAATTCTCATAGTTACTTTTTCAATTTTATCTCTTATACATGAAAATGAATTTAAGCACGTATTTTAGAATATACTTTAAGGCCTTTTGCTTGTTTTAATGCTCAGATAATATAAAAATCTTCTCACATTCTGCGAAGCACTTTTATTTACAAAAGTATGTACTGAATTTTTATGTCTATTGTTTGCATTTATTCCTCATTATGGTTACTTGTAAGATATTTCTTAAGTTGCAGATTTATTTTTGATATCATCAATTGCTATTCCTTTAATTAGCTTGTTAGTATTTTAGTTTATCTTAAAAAGTGTTCTAATTCCTTTTGGATTGATTACTATATAATTAGGTATAATGTTACATTTAGTTAAGTTTAATCCAATAAAGTTAATTACTCTGACTCTACAAGAAAAAAATTCTATTTATTGCTTAGTTTATATGGTTGTAGTGACAATAATAGGTATCTTGTTAAGTGAATTATGCAAGAAAAGAATTTAACTTATTTACGTAAGAAAAATTTTCCACTTTTAAGTAGTCCTGATTTTTTCTGGAGGTGTTTACATAGCACCAAACTTGACTTTAATGGCTTCTAGTGGACTTATATGGATTTTCTTTATATTAGAATTTTTAAGATAAGAGTTTTCTACAAGTATCCTTATTTTTAATCGCCTGGATTAATTTGTATCACAATTTATAGATGAAAGAGATTCTAAAAAGCTCATTTTAACGCATGTTTATTTACTTTTAGGTGTATCTTATCCTTTTATTTATGAATACAACTTGCTTGAAGTGAATCTAAGCTCGTTTTATGAAAAGGCTCTGAGTGGAGTTTTAATTCTTGGAATCGGAGATAGTTTTGCAGCAATAATTGGAAGGAGCATCGGAAAATTGAAAGTATTCAAGTATTTCAATAACAGAAAAACACTTGAAGGATTTTTAGCATTTATTGGTTCTATTATTTTATTTGTTAAGCTTTTTAACTTTTTAGTTATTAGGGACAAGTAAAATATGATAGTTATGAATGATTGGTTTTATATTAAGGTAATATTATTGGCTTTTATAGAGTGTTTCACAGCCTAAGTTGATAACTTGCTTCTTCCTTTTTTATTTTTATCATTATGAATTTATTTATCCGTTTATTCATTATTTTTGTTTCTGTAATAATTTAAATAACTCTATTTATCTTTAAATAAATTGAATTTTATAACTAGCTGTAGATAGAAATAGCTTTTTGTATTTGTAATTGCAAATAATTAATTATTAATAAGAATGAGTAATAAAAAGAGCGGATAATTTTAAAAATTGAAATTCAAAAAATTGATTGATTATTAGTTCGCAACATTAATATTGTTCTAAAAAGATATCAAAAATTTTAGAACATTAAAAATCAGAATATACATACATACATACACAAATATATATATATAATTTAAAACTCTAGTTTGTTAAAATGGATTTCGCTAAATACTTTTTTAACACCTCAAACACTTCCTTTTTTAAATCCAGCAACAGCAATGAGGCAAATAATTCTAAAATATAATAAAACATTTCGAATAAAAATAGTGATTCTGAGCTATCTGTTTAGTCTAAATAGATTAAATCTAATTCAAAAGATTTATAGCAATCTACAGGCAAGTTTAATGAAACTGCATTTTTTAATAATTAATCAACGAATTCAAGTTAAAATATTTTCTCAAGTTAATACAAAGCAAATATAAACAAGTAAGGATAGTAAAATGCGTTAAATAATATGTAAGTTGGTCCGTTTTAAATAGGAAATAACACCAATGGTTCTATTTAGAAGGCAAACCAATAATAGGAACTAATATTTGATATAAAAGAAAATAAAACATTTTTCCCGTTTTTGAGCTGCTTAAAATAAAAGAAAGAAATTTCTGACAAAGAAAACGATGACCCTAATAATAATGAAAATAAAAATAAATCTCCTTTAATAAACTAACAAGCCTAATAAAATATAAAAAAATCTCCCCCTTATCATAATATTTATAAAGGAACTTAAGATCGTATATTTAATCCTTATGAATGGAGTATACAAGATTTTGAAATAGGGCGTCCTTTAGGATCTGGTAAATTTGGACATGTCTACTTAGCTCGTGAACGTAAAACTAAATTTATAGTTGCGATAAAAGTTTTAAGCAAAAAGTAGTTAATCGATAATAATGCAGAAATATAATTTAGAAGAGAAATTGAAATACAATCTCATTTAAAGCATGAAAACATCTTATAAATGTATGGATTCTTTTGGGATGATAAAAAAATATACCTAATATTAGAATATGCTTCTGGAGGAGAGTTATACAAAGAATTAAAATCTCAAGTAAAAATTATTTTTATTTTAAAATATTTTTAATGACTTCTGATAATTAATTTTATGAATTTTAATAAATCTATTTTATTTTTTTTTAAATTATCTAATTTTATAATCTATCTTGATTTAAAAATAGCCAATTAACTAACAACTAACTAAAATAAAATTTTTAAATTTTTAGTTTTTAAAAAAAGTTTTTTAAATATTTTTCAATCAACAACCAAAAAAAATTATTGAAAATAGAAAATTAATAAAACATTAAAGAAATTTAATTTTCAATTTAGATTTTGAGATTAAAATTTAAATTTGATTGCTATTTATTACATTCTAAATTATATTTAACATTTGAGATAAATATATCTATTTATTTTATATTAATTATTAAACTTAATATTCTTTAATAATTTAAAGCCTCTCAGAAGATTTGATGAAGTTACAGCTGCAAAATATATAAAATAGGTAGCATCTGCTCTAAAGTATTTACACAGTAAGCATGTAATTCATAGAGACATAAAACCAGAAAATTTGCTTAACTGTGATGTAATAATTTTAATTAGATTATGAGGATATAAATCTTTAATTAATTTTCATAAAATTTTACATATAGGGAACAATAAAAATTTCAGATTTTGGATGGTCAGCACATGCTCCAAGCAATAAGAGAAATACTCTATGTGGAACTTTAGGTATTTATTCTTAAATTTTAATAATAAATAGTTAATTAATTTAATTAACAGATTATCTGCCTCCTGAAATGGTTGAACATTAGAGCCATGGTAGTCATGCTGATTTATGGTGCTTAGGTATATTAACATATGAATTTTGTGTTGGTTCTCCTCCCTTTGAAGATAGATAAAATAAAAAAACATATGAAAAAATAAAATAAGTTGATATTAAATATCCAGATTATTTATCATCAGACGTAGTCGATTTCATTTCTCGTCTTTTAACAAAATAACCTTCAAAAAGAATGAATTTAGAATAAGCTCTTAACCATAAATGGGTTAAAATGTATAATGAAAATTGATAAATAAGTCTATTTATTTATTGTCGAAGGATATTAAAGACATATTATATTATTAAGATTAAACAATTTGTATACATAAAATTTTGTGTTATTTATTACTAGAAAAGCTTACTTATGATGGTTTAAAACATTTATAAAATATTATTATGAGTTATTTATTATACAATACAAAAAAATTCTTAAAAAAATTTGATTTTTCTTTCTTAAATAAAAATTACAATTAAATAGATATATATATTACTTAATTTCTTGTGGAAAAAAATAAAATTTAATAAATTTTATTACTATTTGGATATTCACTGTAACATTTATGCTATTAAAATACCTACAAAAATAAAAAATTTGTTATAAAAAACAATAAATTAAAAAAATTAATTTATAAATACAAAATTTAAAAATTATTCTTTTTATTTTAACAAGCACTTTATTTTTAAGACTAGTTTAATTATAAATTTTAAAAGTTTTAATTCTAAATTCAGTAAGCTACCTTTTTTTTTGTTTTATTTCTAATTATTAATTTAGATTGGAAGATTTGAGTTGTCTTTTAATTTGATATCTAAGCTCAATAAATAATGGTAAATAATGAATTAAAATTTTTATGTAAGGAATCTAATAAATAGTGATTAAAACCATGATCTTTCATATCAATATGTAACTTTTATCAATTAAAGTATTGGGAAATTAATCATGATTTATTAAATTAAGTTGTGGTAAAAATAAATAATTTTTGATACAAAATTTAATTGATAAGATTTTTTTCACTGAATTTATTTTTTGATTACAATTAAGTAACAAAGACAGACAAAGTAAGATATAAATAATTGACATATTTGTAAATGTTTTGCCAAATATTTTTACATTTTTAGTAAAATATTAAACCAATTTTTAGGAATATAATACTTTGCATGCAGATTTTAATCTTTTTTTTAATTGTTTGTTAAAAATAATAGATATAAGATTGAGTTTGATCTATTAGTCCAGTAACTTAAAGTCTATATACATTAAAAGTATTAATCAATATCTTTAAATAGTAAAACAATAATATTACTATCAAAATGTGTAGTACTTAAAAATTATTTATCAAATTTTACTTGATCTAGTTAGCAACTAAATCAGTAAAAAAATGTTTGAAATTAGTTATTTGTTACTCTTAAAAATAAAAAAAAAAAGAAAAAATGCAAATCTAAGTCTAGAATTTTAGATACTAATTGTTTTTTCTTTTTACGGTTCATAATTATTGAATTACTATTTAAAATCAAGTAAATTATATTCCTTTTAATCATTTATGATTTAGTGGAAGATAAACTACTTCAGAAATTAAAAGAAATTTATTAATTTTCATGTTTAGGCAATAAATATAACATAACACATTTTTCGTAAAAAATCAACACAATTACTTCCATATGCTAAAAATAATAGCAGATTCCAAGCCTTATCAATCTAAATCCAGTATAACATTTATGTTTAAATTTTTTCATATCTTATTCAAAAGTAATAAATTTTAAAGCAACCTAAAATGAATTAGAAAGAATTTGAGTTATTTAAGAGAGAGAGCAATTTTTACAATTCAATTGATCAACAGCTTTTTATTTGGTTGGGGGTTTTTACAGTATAAATAAGTATTAAATAAATCTAATGGACCTCTTTTTTTTTATAGAACTTTATGTATTTCTTTTTTATGGAAAAAATAATCACATAAGTAGATATTTTATGTCAATAAAGATTCTTTTTAAACATAAACCTTATTTTCTTAATTGAATATAATTTAATTTAATAAATTAATTACTTTTAATTGAGAATCTGAGAAAAAACAGAATGTCTAAAAAAAGTTATAAAGCATTAGCAATACTCTTTTTGATTTTCTGTCTCACTTCAGCAGCATCACCTGAAGTGGTGGAACTTCATAAAGAAAAAATATTTGAATTTAAAAAAGCTAATGGTCCTTTAGTTTATGAAATATAAGCCAATTTAGTTAAGAACTAGGCCGATTATTTGATGATAGAAGTAGAAAGTTTGACTCTAAGATAAGACACTTAAATTTACATTTCACTCTAAGGTAAAACTCCTTTAAGCAAGAAAGACAGTGATGTAGTTTGCTCTCGTTATGAGTATGATGTTTGTCTTATTCCTGCAAGTTAAATTAAGTAATTCAACCCAAGTTCAGATGATGTTAAGGTCATTTTTACTGTTAGCTGCTAAAATGATTGCAGTTTTGAGCTTTATACTTCTTATGAAAACTCTCTTCCTCTCCCTATAAGTAAATTATCATTAGCAAACTTGAATAGTTGACTTAATAGGATTTATTTTGATATTCATTTTTAAAATATAGATGATGAGAAGATTTTGGTTGTTAAGGAATCAAATGATTTGGAACTTTAAATTTAAATAGAAAATACTACTGAAAAGCCAATTAATACATTCATATTAACTGCAGAGTTATTAAATCCAATAGAAATAGAACACTATTTTACTATGAGTGTTATATCTGAAGATGATGCAAAAGTTATTTACGAAGCCGGATAGCTTGGTTATGGTCCTATAAAAGGTATATAGTCAAATTAATTTAAATAAGATGATAAATTTCATAAATTAATTATATTTTAATTCAATTAATAATTAAAAAGGCCAGTAAGTTTAATTTTTTAATTTTATAAATAGGTGTTTTCGAAATAAGAGGAGATAAAATATGTAAAGGAAAATGCTCACTTCATTTATTAATAGATGCAAAAAAGGGTAGTTTAATCAAAATAAATACATACGGTTATGACAAAGTAAGAGAAGTTGATCCATTTAAAATCTACTATGATTAGGTAGAAGCTAATTCTGAATTAGTGATGAAACTAGACTTAAATTACTTTAAAGAAATAGAACATATTAATTTAAATTAAAAGACTATTAATTTCTAATTAGTTCCTAAGTCTGGAACTTGTTCTCTGAGTGTACACCCCTCTTAAATATAACCCTAAGATTAAAGTAGCTACATGTTTAAATCTGAAGAAGAGAATGCGCAAGCTATAAGAATTCATTATGATTAGCATAAGAGAGAAGATCATGTAATATTTATAATAATTGCTTTATATTTTAGATAAAAAATAAATTTAATGTCATAAATAAATATTATTTCGATTTGAATAAAAGCAAAAAAAATTTTTTTGAGAAAATTTGAATAAATTTATAAAAACTTATTTTGTTTTCCTTAATAATAAATTTGTTTTTTAAAAAAGGTTTATTGGATTAATATCAAAACTAAGAAAAGCAGATGTGTTTTTAGTATCAAAGCTGATTTTGTTGATAATTTAAATCAATAGATCACTATCAACCATCCTATTACAGGTAAGGCTAGTAAAGCAACTCCTGAAGAGTACAAATTGACTCTATTAGGTAACCATTCTTAAACAGTGAAGGTTGTTCTCCATGGTGATAATCCCTATGCTGAATTATATATTAAGCTCTGTCCAAGTGCAGATAACTGCATAGTCACTTAGGGAGATATATAAAAGAAAAAAGGATTTTTCTAGATCAGTAATCCATCTTCATCTCAAAGTTAAATTGTTAAATTCAACCATGTGCCATAGAATTGTCCTGAGTACAAAGACTATAAGGAAGTTCACGACAGTAAATTTATTTTAATTTTCTAGTAAATTTTAAAATTATTTTCTAAATTAAAAAGGTTTCCCTTCTTGCACTTACTTAATTGTGGTTTATTCTCCTTAAAAAGATTTTGAATATACAATTGAAGCTATCTCTTCTAGCAAATACATTAGACACATAGCTATTAGAGAAAACGAAAGTATTTTTGATAGTGTTGCTGAGCAAGAAGATAACATTTACAGAGTAATTTCAAATTATTTAATAAAAAAATATAAATCTTACAACTTTATAAAATAGTTTTAAGTCGTTGATATTATAGATGAAGTTAAATTTGTTGCTAAAACATTGTTCGGAAAGATTACAGTTTCTGCATTTTTCTCAGCTGATGGAACAAATGTTAGTTTAGATAATAATTCATATCCAATTTAAGTTAGTTAATGGAATGAAATGTCATTTTAAAATCCTAAGATTGGATTTTATTACATTACAGTTTTTGGAAACAGTAATTTAATACATAATAATTTAATTTTTATTAAGTTTTATTTTTCTTGTACTTATATAATAGCTGATTCTTAATATACTATCACTCCAGTTGTAAATCGTCCAGAAAAGAGAGGTGAAATAAATATCTTGAAGTTAAAACAAGACATTCCATAATAGGTGATGGAGTCAACAGGCAGTAAGCTATCATATTTTGAAATTTCTATCACTAACTTTGAAGACAAGTACCCTGAAGTTTGGGTGAAATTAGATTAGAACACTAATGAAGTAGCTATAATTTATTTCATTTAGAAAAATTCTTATTTGAATATTTTTATTTTTAGTATTAAGTGTATATGACAAAGGATAGAGATTTGTTTATCACAGGCAAATATGAAAATTTTGAATGGTAGTTCACTTAGCATTCTAAAACAGACTTACACTTGGATTCTGATGCTATCAGTTCTATTTAAAAGAAGAAACTTTATATAATTGTTGTTCCAGTACACAAAGAGCTCTCTTAATTCTATGTGATAAAGTACCACTTCAGTTTTGCTTATTCAATCTTAGAGTATTCCAAGCCAGCTAAAGGTCATATATCTTCTTAGAGCACAGTGCTTTACAAAATTCCAGTATATTTTTTTGATATCTTAGAATATTAATAATAATTAAACAATATTAAAAAAAAAGATATTGTAGCCTAAAAACCTGTAAATAACTAAGACCGTAGTTAATAGTAGATAAAACAATATTAAAATCTAACTTGATTTCAATGAAATTTTTAGTGGATAGGCCAGCTATTTCAAAGAGTATAGTAACGACATTGCCTCTATTCCTGAAGAAACAATTTAAAAAGGTTGCTAAAACTAAGGCTCAAATATGTGTTACTTGTACATCAATCTTTTATCAAACTAAGTAAATTAATTTTATTCGATTATGAAGATTAAAATTGATTCAAATTACTAAATAGGAATGTGATTACTAGATCTAAGTTGATGAACAAGTTGAAGGTACACCTATTATGGCATATGATGGATACTCAAATCTTTTATTGGTACCAGATAGAATATCAAAACCTATTCAAGTTAACTATATTATAAATAAACCTGAAACTGTAGTTATAACTACTTAAAATGCAAAAGGCTTAATAATATGTGCAACAATTATAAACTCACAAAGCTAATTTGTAAAATTTATTTTTTAAAGTTAAAATTTTTTATCTAAAAGTATCTATTTTAATTAAAAGGACATGATAGATTATCCATAATAAAGTGCTTGCTAATACAAGTCTGATGGTAAGTAATTTTATGATCACAATTACATAAAAGTTCCTAAGAAAGATATTGAAGAGTTCTGTAAATTCTCAGATCCTCGCTACGTATGTGGTCTTGATATTTCTATTTTTACAAGCAATGACTCAGATATTTAAGATAAATTTAGACTGAGCATAAATTCTGGTATTGTTGAACTTCAAAAAGGAAAACCTGTAGTTGGTCATGCAGGATAATAGAGCATGGAATACTTTAAGTATATTAGTAATTCAGAAGATCCTATTAAGATACATGTGTTGCCTTTAGATTCATCAGAAATAGATGTTTTTGTAGTTTTTGGTGAAGAAAATGTAAAAAAAATTCATATTTTTTCATATTATAATTAAATTTATTTATTTAAAATAGAGACCTTTACCTTTCAAGGATTACGGATGGTCCTTACAACTACAAAGTAAAAATATAATTAAACCTTTTAAATATATAAATAACATTATTTTTGAATAAATAAGATTATGACGATAATATTTTAGAAATCAGCTAGCCTTTAGAAATTTAAAACGGTTCTCTATAAGGAGTTTATATTATTGGTGTTTACTCTAAATTTGCTTATAGTAGATTCTAAATTACTGTTACATAAGAAATTTTACATGTCCAGGAACTATTCTAAAACAGCATTTATAACTATAAGCTTTCAGCAGTAATTTGAATAATATTTTTATTTGAAAAAATATTTAAATTTTTTCTTTATTAAATTAGAATAGCGGCTTGTACTTTGAATATACTCCACATCCTGCAGAGACAGAGTTTACAATAAAAATTATTCCCTAATATGGTAAACCTAAAATAGCTGTGAAAAAAATGAATCTTGGCATAATTCAAAACGGATCTTTACCTGATATTATTGGTGGAAATTATGCAGTAAATTTTATTTTATTTACAGTTTATTTTTTTCAATATAAAAAAAATATCAAAGTTATCAAATAAATATGATGCAGAAAGTGAATAACTCAATGTAAAAATATTGGATTGTGATGATTGCATGTATTACATACAAGTCTACTCATTCAATTAGAATAGTAAATTTGCTTTATAAATATCAGCTACAGAGTCTTAGCTGATGCTATATAACTAAATATATTCTTATAAATTTGAGAGTTAGCGCAAGACCTAGAAGCTGTAGTATCATGTAAAAAATTTAAAATAATAAATAAATTAATATAATTTATTTATTTTTAATTTTAATTATTTTAGAGCCAGGAACAAGGATTCCTAATTCTCAATACGGAATATGGAGAAGCTTAAGCAACAGTTACCTTAAACGGGAAAGATGTCCTGTACAAATTATTATACTTTGTAGAAATACCATATACTATTGGTTAGGATTTATAGGTATCAATTTCATGCTCTGAATGCTCTTTCTCAGTTTAAGCAGTAAAGTTTGATGATTTAGTGACCTACAAATTTGGATAGCTAAAGTATTTAGCACTTGAACCCAATCAAGAATTTAAGATACAATTTTTCTTCAATCCCTAATAGCCTGAAGAATTGGTAATTATTGTTAATGAAATAATTTTTAATTGAATTTATTAAAACATTAAATTAGCTTAAACTCAATATACTTGTTGAAAATGTTGTGAGTGATGAGCATACTCTCTTATTGTATAAGCCAGAAGTTGTAATACACTATATTGAAAAGAGATATGATAACTACTAAGCTGTTTCTTATAGCATGCATAAATTCCATGAAAGCTATTCACTTTCATTTAAAGCCAAGTAAGGATAATACTAGATAATGTTAAAGTGGCCAGTTAATCCGAAGTATAAAGATCTTTAGGATAAACTATTTTTGAAAGTTTTTATGACCTAAAATGACTCAATTTTCTTACAGCCTAATGCACATTACTCAGCTCATCTATTAGGCGACTCTAAAACAGAAATTGTTCAAAAGAAAACAGTTTCAACTGAATTATAAGAGGTAAAATTTTTAAACTATTAAATTCTGATTAATATTAATTATTTTAAATAGCATGAAACTGGAATGGAAATAGTCTTCCATGTTTGTTATGGAAAATTAGATTCTTTGGGTCTTATACGTTATACGGACAATAAGCAGCATATTACTCGTTCAATCTTGCTTACAGAAGCTCCAAAAAATGTTTATATTTATGAATCTTTTGAAAAAGAAAAAGAGATTTTCTTTGAATTAAAGACTGGAAAATAAGAAACCTTCTTTAATGTTCACTCATAAAAGATATAGAAGGGTTAGATATCACTCTATTAATAAATAAAACTTCCTTCAGAATGTAAATAAAATATTATTCATTTTATTTTAATAAATTTCAATTATTCAATAATAAATTAATAAAGCAATATCTTTCGATGTCAAAGATGATAAAGTTAACTTATTCTTTGAAGGTGTTAGTATTAAGACGGAATATTAATTAGAAAATGTTAAACCAAAAATTAAGTATGAAGTTTACCTTTTCAAAAAAGTTTAAGATGTATAGAATCAGTTATGTCCTCAAATTGATTTGCTTGAGCTTGATGATGGTGTTGAGGAAAAGCCCAATGAAGTGAAAAAAGAATCTGGATTATTCATTACTTCATATATCAGCGAATAATTTAATGAAAATTAAACTGTGTCATTTGATAAAAAGAAAATACTTGAAGATAGAGATTTCAATAATTTCTATTTTACTGTCTAGGCTAGTGTAGAATATAACCATCAATAAGCTAAATTGATGTATAATATTGAGAAAGTATATTCAGTAGATTCACCAATTTATTAAGAACAAAGCGATGCATTTAATTATATATTATACGCTATTATTGTAGGTTCTGCAATAACAATTGTAATATTAGTCATTTTGGTAAGAAGAAAAATGAAATACGGTCTTTTACCTGAAACAAATGAAGTTTAACTTGAGTAAGTTGTTTAATAGGAAGTCAGTCATATGAAAGCTCCTAATCACGTTATATCAGCTAACTAAAGTATACATGTTGATTAAAATCTTGGAGTACCAGATTAAGAAAATATGAAACCCTCTTCAATAACATCAATCAATCCCTCTTCAGCAGTATCAATTAATAATACACAAAGAGGTTCTGCTAGAAAAATAGTAAATGTTTGAAGCAAACATATGATTATTTATCAACCATATTATTCAAATAAAGATATTTACTTACTTTTTGTTAATCAATTACATTTTGCATGAAAAATTGTATTTCATTAATTTTATTTCGACTGATTCAATTAATTTAATTTAAAATGAATTTATTTTATTCAAAAAATCTTTACATCCATTTTATCCTCATAATAAAATATTAAATTAATAAAAAAATTAGGTAAAATTAACCAAATTAATTAAATAAATTACACTAAAAATCAACTTTATTGAGTCAAAAATTCATATGATATATATAAAATTATTGAAGTATTAATTGATGAATTATCTACAGATGCATATTTTTAATTAGAAGCTTATTGTGTCATATTTATCACAAATACAAAAATTTTTTTCTTTTTAAAATATACATATATTGTAATAATAATAATAATAACTTGAAGAGTTATAATTTGTGTTTTTTATAATAATTTAAAAATTGAAAAAAATTTTCTTTGGTATTTTTGTTAATTTTCACTAATTTAAAAATTAATTCAATTATAAAAAACTTGTTTTTATATATTTTCTTTATCAAAAATTGTTGGTTGCCTCAAAAGAATTTAAATATAATATTTTAAAAGATTTTTTACCATTAAATTAAATAAAACATGTTCTAACCAAATAGCATCAGAGCTTTAAGGGAGCTAAAATTGGATAAGGAGTTAGAAAAGAATACTATGATGTAGTAGCAGTAGAATAATTCCTTAATAAAGAATAAAAAATCAAGGAGTGTTTCTAATTCGGAATTTAAAGATTCTAAAAGTAATTGTGATAGTAGCGACTTTAGCGAAGATGACGAGATCTAATAAAATCAAGTTAGACCTTAAACAACAGATGGATCCTAAAATAGAGGACTTATGTAGAATAACTCAGAATATTTCTAAATGATGAAATAGCTTTTAGAAAAAAATCCTTATCATCCTATGAATTTCATATTTGATCACAAAGATATGATTTAGGACTTAAATCAGTTTATTTAGGAAACGAGACAATGGAGAGAATAATAGTAAAAGGAGTTAGAAGAATAGCTTAAGATGAATAAATAAAGAGCTGCCACAAGTGTAGAGGAAAATGAAGAGCTTTAAAAAAAAATAAAAGAACAAAAGGAATTTGAAGAGTATCTTGAATAAGTGTAATAGATTTAAGAGCAATACAACTAAGATTTTAGCAACTATTAAAAATATATGAAAAAAACAGATGAAAAAGAAAATAAATCTAGCACTAATAGTTCTTAAGTCAATGATTAGGATAGTAAGCTATTCAAGCAAATAGAAGATTCTAAAAAGAAGATTTCTTAAATTGGAAATATTGAAGAGTACTTATAAAAAGCCTAAATTGAAGTAGAATATAATAAAATTAAGTCTGAAACAGATAAAAACAAATAGATAAATGATTATGAAAACGATTTGAATTCAGACGCTAAAAAATATGGTATTAACGAAGATATTATGGTAGGAATAAGTGAGTGGGAAAAGTAGGTCGATGAATTATTACTTAATTTAAACGAAAAACCAAATGACATCACTCTTACAAGCAAACAAAGAATTTAAAGTGCTAGATAAAACCTCAAGAAAGATTATGTTCCTACTAACAATGATCAACTAGATAAAGACTTAGAAGAGCTTGATAAGGAGTTTTAAGAACTCGAAGAAATGTTAGAGGATGTTTCAACTTCTAACATTAAATGAATAGCGCCTAAAATCAATTTATTTTTATTGTATTATTCATGTTAAATATTCAAAAAAAATAATGTAATATAATATATAACTATTATTAGACTAACCTATTTTTAATGTTAAACATTCAAAAAGAAAATAAAGTAACATAATAAAAAACTATTATCAGACATTTTAAAAATTCATGTAAGTACTTTTAAAAAATTTTAGATTAAAAATAATCAAATTTAATTATGTAATTGAGCATCTATAGCTAAAAGTATTATTTATTGAATAGTATTTTATATAATTTCATGTATAACTATTTATTTCATAAGAATTATACAAATGGACTACAATTAATATTTAATTATTCGAGGTATTATGCGAAAATTTATGATGAATACAAATTAATCAAATTATTTGATCAATATGATAATAATTTTGTAAGTCTATATGTTCTTTTGCACTAATTTTTAGTTATAAATTGTGGTAATAAAAATTTTATGTGATTTTTAGTTTTTAAATTTAACTCACTTAACTCGTTTAATTGCAATTATCTATTTGATTTATTTAGCTTACTTTAAATTTTCAATTCCTACTACTTTTTAAATTATAAATAATTAAAATTCTCCTTTTACCAACAGATATATAAAAAAAAAGAATCACAAAAACTCTATCTATTTAGAAACTTTAAAATTAATAGCCATATCACATTCACAAATAAGTCAAGAAACCAATAAGCGAACCACATATATTCAAGTAATTGCTGAAAAGTTTAAATTATTTAAATAGGAATTTAAGTATTCTACATTCAAATTAGAATACATATTAAAGAAACAAAGAATCAAAAAAGATCTTTGAAAGCAATCCAATAATTTTATTTTATTTTTATTTTATTACAGAATGCTCATTTCATCTCTTCCTTAATTCAGAAAGTAGTCATTTAAAGATATAACCTAAATGCTTATTGATCTAAGGTAATTTTCTACTACTTTTTTGCTATTTTATGTATCTTCTACTTTAATTTAATGAATTATTTTGCTTTTATATTCACATAGATTCAATTTGCTTGGTAATGAAGGAGCCAAATAGCTAGGAGAAGAACTAAAAAATTGCAGAAATCTTACAGAGGTGTCTATCCTTTTACAGTAAATATTTACTATTTAGCATCAAAATAAATTCAAAGCTTATTATAGATAATAAGAAATAAATGTGATAAAAACAACTTTTAATCAATATTTTTAAAAATATAATTCCGTTTTTTTATGATAAAATTTAAACATTTTTATATTTATAGAAACAATTAAATTAGCGAAGAAGGAGCAATATAACTTGCAAGTGGTTTAAAATATCTCAATTAAGTAGAAAATTTGTAATTATTTTTAAGGTAATTTTTAATACAAAAAAATGTAGATTTAGCATTTTAAAATTTTTAAATAATATTTAGATGGAACTAAATAGGTGAAAAAGGAACTAAGTAAATTGTAGAAAGTCTTAAGCTTTGTAAAAATCTAAAGTACTTGAAAATAGATTTTGGGTATTTTATTATTATTAATATCTTTACGTTAGATAATTAGAAAAACTTTATATTTTAGACTTAATTTCACCTGAGTTAATCTAATTTTTTTTAAAAAGTTGTTCAAGAATTGGTAAAGTAGGCGCAAAAGAACTAGCCCAAATTTTCAAATAAACCCACAATGTTACTGATTTATGCATTGATTTATGGTAAATAACTAATATATTAAATTAAACATTTTGATAAAGAAACTTAAAAAAATATTTATGCAAATATAAAACATATTTAAAGAACTAATAAAATATTAATTTTTTTCTAATTTAAATAGGGGTAATTAGTTAGGACCAGAAGGTTTGAAATTTATTACTGAAGGACTGGGACACTGCTAAAATATAACAAATCTCTCTGTATTTTTAAAGTAAAGAAATTATTATTTGATTTGCGCGATTGCTTAAATTAAATCTTATTAAAACACGGCTAAATTAATTAATATTTTCTTTTATAAAAGAGAAAATTCTATTGGTGCTACAGGAGTCTAGAACTTAGACAAGGTTCTACTAGAATGTAAAAATTTAAGCAAAGTACATCTTGACTTATAGTAAGAAAATATTTACATTCTTAATTTTACTTTTTCTATTCTAAAATAAATAATTAATAAAGCTAAAATGATATACAAAATGATGGGGCAATATAACTTGGAAAGATCTTAGAAAGATGTTAAAAATTTAATAATCTCGATATTAGTTTACAGTAATTAATTGATTTGATTTATTATCTTCTAATATTTTTCTATTTTTTAAAGGAAAAATTCAATCAATATTGATGGAACTTAAGCTCTTTCAAAAAGCTTAAAAAAATGTAGTAGGATAAATATAATATCGCTTGATCTGTCGTAATTTTATTTTTTATTATCAATAAAGCTCTTAATTTAAAAAATGTTTTATAACTAATGAAGCGAAAATGATGTTTTTGAGGATCAATTAACTACCACATACAATAATCTAAAGAAAATGAGTAGACTTGTTAGCTTTTAAATAAAATTGTGAGCTGATTTTATTAATAAGCATAATTGCTAAATATAAGAAAGTCTAACATTATTGTATAAATTAACATATAATAATAAATAAGTAAATAATTAATAACTAAAATTAGAAGAATAATAACTAAATTATTTGATTAGCTAAACATAAAAACAAACAAAAAAACCATCATTCTACAAAACACTTAACATTTATATATACTAATTAACTAATTGATAGTTCAAAACATTATGAAATTCAATATTTAATCTATTTCATTTAAAATAATTTAATTCTAACTGTAAATAAAATTAAACTTAATATTTATTTTAAAATTATATAAACTGTAAAATTTTAAAACCTTATAAAAATTTTTAAAAATTTTAATTTAATAAATAATTTTTGCGCCTTATTTTAGATATTAATTTTAATTTTTGTATCTTTTAATTTACTTTATTTTTTAGCACTATTTTCGTAAAGACACATATTTTTTAGGATAAAAGAGTTTATAAATACATTAAACTTCATGCAAAATAATTAACAGGAAAGATTGGAATTCTAGGAAAAATATGGTATTTAAAAGGACTATATTTCTTTATCCAAAGAAGATAAAAAGAAATAAGCTGCAGATGAAGTCATTGAGTTTAACAATAAAAACTTGATTTCTTATTTAGAAGATAAATATTAAGTAGAAGACACTGAAAAAGTAAAAGAAGACAAAGCTAAAGCAATTGTGAAATCATGTTTTATGATACAATCAGGATTTAATGTTTGCTTACATGGTTATGGCTCTAAGAGACAAATTATTTAAGAAATATCAGATTAATTTATTAATTACCCTAAATTAATCATTTAAGGATATTCAGCAGCTACTTAAATATAGCAAATTCTATAAAAACTAAAGTACATTGTGGTAAAGATTACTGGGTAAAACTCTGGTTAAAAGAGAATTGAAGGAATATTAGAGTATCTAAAATAATAAGAGGAAAATATGGGAAAAATTTCCTCTTAAGTACCTTTTATTTTAATTCTATTTCATAATATAGATTCTAAATAATTTATTGAGTAAGATTCTGTCAAAATTTTATCTGCTGTACTAAATTTACCATATATAAAAGCTGTTTGTAGTATTGATCATGTGAAGTATCCAATTATTCTGACTTCTAAAGTTTTAGAGTCATTTAATTTTAGTTTCATAGAAGTCCATACTCATTAATGCTATCTACATGAATTCAAAGTTTCCTAAAATACATTTAACTTAAAAAAAGAAAAAGAAGGAGAATCTCTTAAATATATTTTTAGAAGTCTGACAAAAGTTTAAAAAGAAATAATATAGTTTGTTGCAAAATATATTTAAGATAAATTAGATTAAAATCCAGGAACAGCTATTTAAATAAATGGATTAACTGAAGATGGATAGATTATTGGTTTAACTTTAAAAGAGTTATTAGAAATGCTAATTGATGAAATGATTTTGAACAGTGAGTAGCAGTTAAAAGAAAATTTACTTGAAATACTTGATCACAAAGTTATAATTTCAATAGAAAACTAGTAAAAAACTTACTATACAATGAATTTCAGCAGACAAATTTTAGAAAAAATTGTCAACAACAAGTTGGAGGATGGAGAAGAAGATTAGGAGCAGGAAGAAGAGGAAGAAAACAATTCAGTAAAAGATATGGAAGAAGAGAATTAAATAATATCTAACAGCTAAAACAGTTCTCAAAGTGAAGATGAAGATGTTAAAGGTAAAAAAAAATATAGATAAACAAGAAGAGAAGGTAAAAAGAAAAAAAATAGTAGTGAGAGCTTATCAGATTCAGAAAATGAAAAACATAAGTTTAATAAGAAAACTTCTGGAATTTTGAAAACTAAAAATAAGTAATAAAAGAATAAAAAAAGTAGCTTTACTTCATAAAGTAGTGAAGAAGATGGTGATGATGATAGCTATTAAAATTGATAAAAAAAGCTAGAATAAAATAATTATAAAAATAATTTTTAAAAGCAATAATATTTTGCAATATTAAAAGAGGTAGATAAATAAATAAATATATATATAGAAAGAAAATATTTTTTAAAATGAATGAACTTAAAATATAATGCTTATTAATAAATATAGAAATATAAATTAAACGAATGTTTGAGCCTAATTAAGTTGTTAGTTGATTATTAATGTGATCAAAAAAGAATTTAAGAATAAATAGAAATAGTATTACTGTTTTTATGTTTGTTTGTTTGCTTGATTTATTATTATTATGTTTATTTATTGATAAATGGATGATCCTATGGATCTTGAAATTATTAGTATGATTTGTTTTTTTAAACTTTTCAAACAGTATTTATTATATATAATAATTATTTTGTTTACTTTTTAATCTAATCATTCATAACTAAATAAATTAACTGAATGAATTATTTTAGTAATGGAAAAACTTATTGAAAAAAAATATTTTTTTATATATTTTGATAAAAAATTGAGTCTAAGTAATTTATTGTTATTGGAATTAGTCTGTTTTTTGTTTGTTTGTTTGTTTTTATTTGATTGATTGGTTGTTTTTTATTGAATATTCATAGCTTTTATTTGTTATAGTATTTATAAATTATAATATTTTTTACTTTTTTTACTCGTAACTATTTATTTAATATTTAATTTAGTTAATTAATTACTTTTGCTTTGCTACTTTTTTTTAATAAACTGTCTCATAATTCAATGCAGTTATTGCTTATTTAATGCTCTTGGTCATCTTCTTAAATCTTGTTGAACTGATTCTTTGATGTGCAATCATTATTGTTTAGCAATTTATTAGAATTAGGCTGCGAATTATGCTAGCTTTGGGTATTATCTGAAATGTTTCTCAAAGAATTGTAAGAGCTATCAACTTCTTCTTTATTAAATCTAGGAAAAGTCATAGTAATAGGATTGCTGCCTATTTATTCCAAATCCTAAAAAGTAACAACACTCTTGGGTATATTAAATGGTTGGGCTTCTTATGAATCTTCATCATCAGAACCATACTCGACTTCTAGTTTTTCTAATTCTTATTCATCTTTTTTAATTTCTTCTTCCATGAATTTCCTAATTAATTTTCATCAAAAATTATACAATAAAATTAAATTATTTGTGCAATAAAAAATTACATTTTTTTCTGAATTTCTTCTAGTTATTAACAATTTTCTTCATAGAGAATATCATATCTCTTCATTTAAAAGTTGTAAGCTTTTAAAATATCTTTTGCTTTGTCAACCTTTATATTATTCATAAAATTTAACTTTATCTAAGAATTTACTTATTTAAAAATTATTACATCTTCTTAACCTTTAGAGAGTCCGTAAAAAGGGTCTATCTTTTCTCTTTCTGTATACTCTATCTGTTTATCAAAGTTACTTGTATCTAAAACATTTTTTACTTTTGGAATAACAGGAGCATTCATTTTTCTTACGTTATCCCAATCAAAGTTATTAAAAAAAGGATGTGACTATACTTCTTCAACTCCATTAGCACCTAATCTAGTTTGTGGGTTTGGATCCATTAACTTTTTAATTAAATCCTCAGCTTCAGGAGAAACTTCGTCTTCTCCATATCCTAATTAATTTAAAGAAATAAGTTAGTTAATCAATATTTAAAATAAAATAATAGTTGATAATATAAATAAATACCTATATTAATTTAATCCCAAGGAACTCTCATATTGATGATATTGTCAAATATTTTTTCTACAGTTTCATCATTAAAGGGAGGTATTCCCACAAGCATTTCAAACAAAATAACTCCTACACTCCACCAATCTAATGTTGCACAATTTAAATTGTTGCTTCCCTTAATAACTTCTGGGGGTATATAATCAGGAGTACCTATGATACGAAATTTTTTCTTATTTTTCATTTTTTTTGTTTCTTTGTTGAGGATAACATCGAGGTTAGTTTTCATCTGCTTTAATTCCCTAGTTTTATCACTTTTACTCTATGGAGTTAGGGAAGAAAATATCTTATCAGCTCCTTTAATACTACTAATTCTATCCATCCCTCTCTTCAAATTATTATATTCCTATCTGAATTTTTTTTATTTTGAATTCTCCATATTTCTGCTTCTCATACCCATATCACTTAAGCCAAAATCAGTTAATTTCAAGTGACTAATTTAAAAAATGAATTTTGATGATTGACTGATTGAAATAATTTATTTAATAGTTTACCCTTTGCTGTCTAGTAGCAAGTTATCAGGCTTTAAATCTCTATGAACAATACCCGCTTTATGTAGTTAACTGCATGCTAGAATTATTTCAGCTAATAAATTAAAAATAAATTATTTAATTAATGATTGAGTTCTCTATTTTTAAACTATAATTACCAATATAAAACCTTGCTACTGATTCTTCTAAAACTCCAAACTGCTATTGAATACTACCTAAATCACCTCCTATCATATACTCCATAACAAAGCAGAGATAACTTTCATGAGCAAATGTATATACTGCTTTGACGAAAAAATCACCAGAAACAATCCCAAAAATGTCTCTTTCGTTCTAGAGACTCATCAAGTTGTTTTTATTCATCTTTTTTTATAATTATTAAAGTTTCAAAAATTTTTTTTTTTTTAAATTATTTATTAACCTTTTCTGCTAAATTAACTATTTTCATAGCATATACATTATCAGTGTTCTTCTTTTTGACAAGCCAAACTCTACCAAAAGCTCCTTTGCTGATTAGTTTAAGAAATTCGAAATCTCCAATATTAATTTGGTGGTTACTTTCCTTTTTACTTTAAATGATTAATAAATAAATAAAATATTTTTTTTAAATTAAAAAGTTGATTTTACACAATGTTTTCTAAAGATTAGTAACAGTTTTCAACACACCCATCAGAAAAATATCCATTATTATACTTTAAAGGTTTTTCAAAATTAAAGAGATCACTTTCAAATTTTTGCATTGCTTACTTCATAATCAAATCAAATTTTTCATAAGTACTCAGTTTTTTGCTAATATCCTCATCTTTAAAGCTAAATTTATCTTCATTTTGCTGGTTTTAGTTAGATAGTTCTAAATTTATCTTTTAGACTATTTTATTTTTAATGTCCAAAGTTAAATTATTTTAGGCGCTCATTCTTCTTTTCTATTTTCAAAAAAACAATTAAAAAAAATGATACTATACTTAAACCTAAAATTAATTTTTACATTTTTTAAAAGCATGCTTGTCTGTGAATTTACTACTGATAATGACTTTTACCTTCCTTCCTCTACACTTGATTGTTGCATAGTAGAATTAGAATTAGAATGACTTTGTATTTCATCGTTGTTTAAATTACTTGAGTCTTGATTAATATTATTGAACTCATGAAAAGTGGAGTTATTTGGAAAGGAACTAGCTCTTTCCTGTAAACGAGGGTTTTCTATATTTTATTCCTAAGAGTGAGAATTATGAGCTTGAGTTTCTTATTTTTCAGGAGATTAATTTGCTGAAGCTGAAGTAGCTTTATTTTTACCATTTTGTAAAGTGCTAATACCTTAAATTAAGTAGTTGTTTTTAAGAGGAGAGATTTGCTGAACGTTTGATGTAAGATTGTTATTAGAAGGGTTTGACTGCTAGTCTGACTATGTTGTTGGAGACTCTAAGTAGTAGGAATCTTTAGAAATCTAAGTCCTACTGCTTATATGAGTTCCACTTTTGAATTTTTATCTTACTAAATACTGTTAATTCTGCAATTATTATTTGCTGCTTGTGACTTTGTTAGAAGTTATATTAGATTATTTAGTAGCACCAGAGTCATTAGATAAATTGTCATCTGTTCTCTCTATTTCCTCGTTGATGTCTTCTACTTATTTTGTGAGTTGTCTTTCAATATTTTATAATTTTTCGAGCAATTCAACTCTATGCTATTTTCATAAATATTAATTTTTTAAAATTGTTATTGGGAACAAAATATTTGTTACTGCAAATGTTAAGAGAATATTTGATATCTTAGAGGCATAGTCCTTAGGGATCATTGATTTTTATAACAAATACTCGATTTTCTATTTATTATCTTCAAGTATCATTCTTTTTCCTATTTTATTTGTATTGAAAATTGAGATTAAGCCTAAACAAAATAAATAAATAAAAATAATTAATTAATTGATTGATTACTTTTCCAGTTATTTTAAAAGTCCTAAATAAAAAACATCTTGCTAAGTTGCTATATAAGCTCAAATATTCTGAGACAAATATGGTTAGATTTAAGTTGGTGCTACTTAATTTTCAATTCAAAGTTATTACTGAGCTTAACAATGTCTTAAACTAATTAATTGTCTTTATTTTTAGGAGTTATATTTAAGGGAGTGTGTTTTTTTAAAGGTGATCCATATTTCTTTGTTGGTTTGTTGAGAGATTTTCTTTTCGTGTCTATAATCCCGCCTTCTTTGAATTGAGTAAAGCTTATAGAATTTAATTATTTATTATCTCCATTGTTTGAACTAGAAGAAGATGGTGAAGTTGAATTGTTTTCTCTTTGATATGCCAATTATGATGGATTTGGATTGCTAACAATCCTTTATCTCAAGTTAACAGGATAAATATGCTTAATAGTTTGCTAGGACTCTTAACCCTTTTAATTTTCTTATTCAATATTATTTTCTGTATTTCCTATAAATTATTTGCTCTTTTCTAATGAATTAGAAATAAAAGAAATCTGTTATTGAGGGATGTTATTTTAAGTTTAATTCAAGTTAAATTAAGAAAAAGTGAAATTATCTTCAGTTTGCTTTTATTGCTTCTAAGATTTATTATTAGTCTCTTCTTTTAAGCTGCTTTTGCTAGCATGTGAGCTATTGGGCAGTTTATCATCTGAATTTGCAACTGATAATTATTGATATACTTTAAAAGGGGAATTTATATTAGTAATATCCTGGGATGCTAAGCGATTTAACTACAAGCGAATATTGTTGGATTTATTCTACATTTCTTTAGAAGAATTGATATTATTCTTTCCACTTGAACTAAATTCAGACTCTATCTCATTTAAGAATTCGTTATTTTTAATATTTTTTTAAAGAATATTAAACTTTTCTTTCAAGTCTTCTTTTAAAGCTTACTTTTTTTTATTTGACTTAATGTCTGGTGAATTCACGTTTGAAGATTTATTAGAGAGGGAGTTATTTTAAATTTGGTTCAAAGTTTTATCGTCACCACTAAATTAATTCATCACTAAACTATCTTACTATGTCTAAGAGCTACTATTATTTTATATTCTGTTAGTTGAAGATTAAAATAAATTAGATTCTTAATACTAATAATTATTCTTGCAATTGATTTCTTTGAATTCCTTTTCAAAAATTTCAGGTAAAGGGGAAACTTATTAAATTAAAAATTATTCTTAAGTAGGTTAGTTATTGTGCACGTTTTCAGATTCTTGAGATATTTTTTTGTCTTCCTAAGAAACAGATTTTGAGCTCTTTACAGATTAATTTAATGGGTTGATATCTTAAACATTATCTTTATCTTTTTAAACTTACTCATTATTTTCATATAAGCTGGAATTATTAGATTATTTTAGCTAGTCCATTTAATTATATGATTTTAAAGAAAGCTGAGAAACCTTTTATTCTATTTCTTCTTCATCTACTTTTTGTTACTAAAATTGGTCTATATTATAAAATCCAGGAGAAGGCTAACTATCGTCATCTTAATGAACCTCATTTTATTTATCCTGAATCAACTCATCTTCTTCTGTCACTAACTACTGAGCAACTAAAGATTTGATACTTTGAGTAATTAATTGCTATTTTTTTTTATTCAAAGAGCTTTAATCTTTACTTCTATTTACTTCTTCTTCACTAGATTTTTTTTCAAATTCAGCCAAGCTTTCTCCTACATTTTCAGAGCTATCTTTATCAATATCATTAGGACCTAGGATTTTATCATCTTTAGAGGGATTCTTGCTAGTTTCTGCTTCTTCAATAATTTAGCCTAATTTACAAACTTATATTTTCCTTGTATCAGCCTAATTTGATATATCTATATTAGGAGTACTGGGACAATATACTTATGATACGCTATTTTAAAGAAATTTAATATAAAAATTTCAGTTATCAAATTAATATTTACATCTTTTCTTCTTCATCAGAAGTGCAAAGGATTGAACTGGCTGAAATAGCTTCTTTAACAATTCCAATTTTGATAGAGTGCTTAGGAGTATTGCTTTTAAATCCAATTGGTCTAATACCCTTATCTGAATTAATAAAAGGCTTTGAGTGATCCTCTTCATATTCTGTTTACTCGTTTATAATAGGTAGCTCATTTTTGGAATTTTGCTTATCAATTGAAGCCAAAGAGCTAATTTATATCTGCTCCTATGAATTTTATTGTTATTACTGTAACTAATTACTTGAAGAATAAGGCTAATTTTCTTTATTTTAAATATCTTAAGAGGTCGATTTTTTTCTTTTGCTATTTAGCGATGAACTACTTCCTAATTTTTATCTACTGGCAGAAGAACTATTTTTTCTGCTACCCTTTTTGCTTCCTTTATCATGATCTTTATCAAATTAAGATAAGGAATCCTATTTATAACCATTTTTAGTATCATTTTCATCATTTGAATCTGAGGAAGAAGAAGATGAACTTTTACTTGCTGAATTATCATCATTTACGTCTTCTTGTATCTAGCAATAACTAATATCTTATATGTGGTTCAAGCTAGATTTAGAATATTTATTCTCTATTTGTAACTTTTCTGTTGAGGTTGATTGTAGAGAATTTCTTTATCTCTAATTATTCAAGTATTCTTTAAAAGAATTAGAACTTTTTTTATTTTTATTGCCTTATTCTATAATTGCCTTATTTGTTTTATCATCAGCAAACGTTTAAAAAGACTTCCTTCTCAATACTTAAATTTATTTTCCCATATTTTATTCTTGAAGTTTAAAGATTTTTTCAATTTTTTTTTACAAGAGCTAGCATTTAATTCCTAAACTTCTTGATTTTTATAAAAAATAAAACATTTCACTATTAATTTATTTCATATTAATTTTAAGATCTTTTTTAATTTCTTCTCTTTCCTTGCAAAGCTGAGAGTGATACTTGAAGTGTTTAAGAAATACTTTTTAATCACATATTCTACAAACCTACTTTTCCTTGTATTAATTAACAAAAAGAGACATTTTTTTACTCTCTGTCTTTTATCTTTTATATTAAGTGTACCATCTTTTCATTTTCCAAATAAAAAATTTGTGCAATAAAAACTATCTTTTTTATATAAAGTTTTCTTCCTAATCCAAAATTAAAATTTTTATGTTATAAAAGAGAGCCTTAGCTTTTTTAGAAAGCATGTGATTTTCATTTTCTAGATGACGTACTTTTCCTAAATAACAAAGTAAATTTCTTTAGTTATTATTAGAATTTAAATATCAAATTGATTGGTTACTTAAAATTTATATTAGGCCTTAGTACTTTTGATCATGAATGTCAGTATTTTCATTTACTTTTTAATAAAGAATTGTAACATTAAATTAATCTTCTTTTGAGCCTTTTTAATTTGCACCACTACTGTTACTGCTTAGAGGAGAGTTTAAAAAAGGACTCATACCTAGTAATGATTGTAATTAAATATAAAAAAGAATCTTTAACAATTAATAATTTACTGCCGATTTGAGAAAAAGTTGATTGGGGACTCTGAATAGCTTAAAATGAATCTGATGATAACGGAGTACAGTCTGATTAGTAAGGATCTAGTGAAGTAGTTCTCTTATGTTGTAATAGTCGAAGTTTTTAATGTTACTTAACCTTCATTATTTCCTCCTCACGAAAGAAATAATTTTGCATTTTTTAATAATGAAGCAAATATCCTACTTTGGTAAAAATATATCTCGAGATGTAATATATCCTATTTTTTTTTTTAAATTTAGATGGATTTTGTTTGTTTGAATGTTATTGCAATTGATTAATTAATTACTTCTGAATTTATGTTTGATAAGATTAAATGCTTATTGATTTTCTTTTGAATAAGCTTTGAAAAGGAGAGCTTGATGATTCCTAACTTTATCTCCTTTCTTCCTTATACCTAGAAACTTGAGATGGAGTGATCTTTTATGTGTAAGGAGAGCTTCCTATAGAAATTAAAGACGTTTATTGTTTCAAACCTAAATTTTCTTCCTGATTTGATATTTAATTCTATCCATTAACATTTAAGCCAAATCTGAATTATTTATCTTATATTTCCTATTCTTATACTATTTTAGTTAGAGATTTTGTTGTTACATTTTTAGAGCTTTAGCATTCATTCTCTTCATACTAATAAAACTTAGATTTTTAAGTTTTTGATATTTGTGGAGTATTTAGACTGTTACTGCTTAATTCTTTTGTAATTGAAACATTTGGGTTTGAAACTATCCTATTTTAATTTATCTTTGTTTTATTTTCAGGGCTATTATCAATTTCACTCATTTTTTAATTGCTATTATAAAACAAGCTATACTTTTTAAAAACTTTTTCACTTTCATTTAACCTATCTAATAATTGCTTAGCTCCCCCATTCTTGAGATATATAGTATTAAACTCAAGAAAATCTATCATAATATTGACCAGCTCTTTAAGAGTAATGTGCTTTTATAATTAAATTAAAAAGTTATTTTATTTAATGAATGCAATAACAATATTCTATTCTAATTTAATTTAATTCAATTATAATTTGTCTTAGCTACTTAGAATTTTTCATTAAACTATAGAATTTATTTAATTTATAAATATTTATTGAACAAATTACTATTTGGTGAGGCATCTAATCATAGTAAGTCACTAATATAAACCTGATAACTTCGATGCAATCAAATATTTCAAAATTGGTCTATGATTTTTATTTTAAAATATTATGTTATTTCAAAATAATTTAAGTTAATTAACATATAAATATTATATGCTATATGAGTTCGTTTGAAAATACGTCAATTTGTTCTTAATTTCAAATAAAATTATGCTAGAGTGCTAAATTGTAAATAAAACCATTAAACAAACCAATATACAGTAATTTACAAATCGGTTTGATATGAACAGTAAATAATAAATGAAAAAGAGTATTTATTTATTTACCTCTCTTTTAAACTACATAGCTCTATGAAAACTTGATTGTAAATTAGTAATATATGTAAAAAGACAGGTTTTTTCATCATAGCTTGAAGATCTAATTCTAAAATTAACAACATCATTTAGAGAAGTATTTAATTCATTTGTTTCCTCCATATAAGACAGAATAATATTTTTTAAACTATTTTTATGCTTTTTTTAATTGGTATTGCTTGACTTTGGGGTTATTTCTTATATTTGTTATATCTATTGTTCTTCTTGTGTTTAAGACTTCTTTATTGTTGGCTTCTTTTTCTTTTTCTAAAAAAAATTTTATTGAGTAGCTTTTTCATTTTCAGAATCTTTGCTGAAATCATCTTAATTGTTGTTTGTTTTTCTTGGAGTGTTGCTTCTTGGCTTAGGGTTCTATTACTTGCCTAAATAACTATTTCTGTGATTTTATCTGTTTGTATGTAACGGAGCTTATAAAAAATGATTTGTTCTTATTGACTGCTAATCCATTTATAAAATTTTTGCATATTTATAATTTATCTCTTCCTGATAATCGTCATAGTCATCATCTGAAAGTGAGTATTAAATATTATCTATTATGTTTTTAGGACCTTTTTATTTAAGTTCTTGTATGCTAATTGCTTAATGACTGTTTAGCAAGTTATTCTTAACTTGCAGAAATGATTCCTGCTTCATACTTATTTTTTTAAAAAGAAGCTAGCTTGCTATTCGATTTCAAAATGATAATTTAAAAAATATGCACAGTCCTTTCTTTTAATTTTCTTCACTTATTGTTGCTCTTTTAAATACAATAAGTCTCCTTATATCAAATATTATCAATAAATTAAAAAAACTAATTTTTTAATTATATTTATATGGATTACTACTTAAAACCATAAGGAAAATCATTTACTAATTTCTTTATATTTTTGATATAAAATTTTTTGCAATCATGCATGCAATAATTATTTAAATGCTCTACTTTTATGATAAGAGCAAGCATAACACATCTAATGCTTTTAACTAATTTATAATTCATTACTAAATAAATCAATCAAATCCATATACAAAACAAAGAAATATTTGATAAAAACTCTCAAGTACTAATGTACTATAAAAAAAAAATAAGACAAAATAATCATAGAATTAACGATAATACTATAATTAATATGGCCATAAAATTAGGTTTAGATGTTTGTTAATTTTCCTTCAAAATAGCATTTTTTTATTAAAAATATGGTTGATTTGTGACTTATAAATGTTCTTGTTAAATTAGCAAAGATAATAAATTATGAAATAATTTACAGTTTTGGAAAAAAATTTTTTGGTGATTTAAAACCAAGAAATATTAAAAAATATTGTGTTTGTTTGTAACTTTATCAAAATCATAAATTTATTAATTAATAATAATTATCTAAGTAATTTGATAATTTTCCTAAAATATTCAAATTTTAATCATTAAAAAAACACATATAAAAAGCTCTCTAAGAAATAAAAAACAAGCAAATAATATTTGCCAGAATTAATTATATTCAATCCAAGTTTAAAAAATAAACAGCTTAAAAATTCTCATAAAAAAATGAACTAAAGCTAAAATACTTATTGTTTTTTTGTTCCTCTTTTGTGTTAAAAAATGCAAATAAATACAAACATTTTCTTTCAACTAAATTTATTGATTTAAAGCCACACAAATTATAAATTTAGCATATCTTATTAAATATCATCATCATTCTTCTTTTTAATTAAGGGCCTTGTTTCTTAGTCTTTTTCTTCTATCTCTCTTAATTTACTCAATTACCTAAACAACTTCTTCAATTTTACTATCCACATTTATAGTTCCGTTTTTTTACAGAGCTTCTAGCCAAACCAAACCAGCTTACATGTTAACTTTTACTTTCCCATCCTCACCTCCTTCCAAATAAAGTCGTGCAGCGTTATACTTTAATTTATTTCAAAAATAGAAATAAAAATTAATTTTTTTGAATTCTGATATAAAATACATCAATTTTTTAAATATTTGAAAATATTGCCAGCGTATTAAACGAAATTTATTTTTATATTATCAAATATTTTTTCGTTTTAAATACTAAATTACGAAGAAAAAATTAAATTTTTTATAAATATATGCATTTTATTTACCATTGAATGGTGAAATCCTGCAGCAGCAGCCTATGTAAACCAAGCTAAAGCTTTTACAGAATCATAAGGGATTATTTATTTTTCCATATACATGCAACCTAAATTGTGCTGGGCCTCTACTAAGCCAAGTTCTGCTGCTTTTTTGGTGTAATAATAAACTAACTCATCATTTTTTTCACAAACAGTACCTTTTTTATGGCTAAAATAATAATGTTTAGTCAGATAGATTTTAAGAGTATCAAGAATTTTATTAAAAATACAATTTAACTTATAAAACCGAAAAAATAATTATATATATCTATCCTAATAATTCTATAAATAAATAAATAAATATTTCTATACTATTGTGCTAGTTTAAAGTAAGCCTTTGGACTATCAAAGCTAGCTGCAATCAAGAAGCATTCGTAAGCATATTTTAAATCAAATCCACCTTTAAGTTCACCCTATTCAGCTAATTCACCTAAATAGTAAAAAGAGTGATATGAACCGTTTTAAGATGCCACATCGAACCTTTTGAATTAGACAAAAATATTTTTATTTGTGTATAATTAATTTTATAGCAATTTAATTAAATTTTTAAAGGAGTTAGAGTATTTTCAAAAATAATAACTAAATAAGCACCTCACTCCTAATTTTTTAATTTAATATAAAAGCAATTTTGTCTTAAAAAATTTATTACAGCATGCTTGCTTCAGTAATTAAAACCTTTTTGTTCTTCTTCTACTTTCCATTAACAATATTTAAAGCTACTTTGTACATTTCTTTTGCAGTTAGATGCTAGAAATAAGATAATTTTTATAAAAATTATTTGATAACTAACATAATTATGTTACCATTGCAGTTGGGTGTTCCTTGTCACAAAGTTCGACCATTCTAGCATTACATTTCTCAAATTCTTATTAATTTCCAGATTATATTGCTTAAAGCTTTCTTAAATATACAGTGTAATATTCAACCTCTAGTTTGTCTAAATCAGTTTTACAGTTTTTCAAAGCTTGATCCAAAAATTTATTCATGACATTCTCATTTTTAGGATTTGCTTTTTTTTTTTAAATAAATAATTTTAGCTAAGTAGTTATTTCATATCAATTATTAATTCTTTTTTTAAAATAATATACTGACTTATGCTTCCAATGAATTGCTCAATAGCAAAATGGCATAGAGATTTAGGTGGTACTAAATCCAAGATAGCTTAAACAGATTTATTCTCATACGATTACTCAATAGTTTATTTTATATCTTGATATATAGCAGCTAAATTTGTTTTTAATTATTCATTATCTTACTGCATTGTTTGAATTTATTTAGCCATTTCAAAATATTGCTACTATAATTTCTTTTCCTAATCACTTCTTATTTGATCTTCTGACATGATTTAGTCCTAATTATTAGATCCGAATATACTTTTTAATGTCTACTAAAATCCTCCAGCAGATTTAGGCTCCTAGGGCTCAGCCCTACCTAATTTTAATATGGAATTTCTAAAGCTATGTCTCAAAATTCTTTTCATAATAAATAATTAAATATAGTATAGTTAATACTCCTTAAAAATCTTGCACAATCTCAATATTAATTAAATATAAAAGATACAAAAGTTTGGTTTTTAAAATTCTAGAAATCTTTTCTTGCTTCTCTTATACTTTTAGTTATTCTACTATGCATACACATAAAATATAAAAGAACTTTTTACAATGCAAAAATGGCCTTGTTTATCATTAAAATATTAATTCATTAGCTTTTCTACTTAAATTGGATTCATAATTAAGCATAAAAAATATAAAAATTAACTCATTATGTACATAAACACATACACTACATTAAAGAAGGTATTTAACTCAAACCAATTTTATATTTATTAAATCAGAATAATTATTTGAGATATCTAATTTTGAATGATTCTGTTATTTCCTTACTAATCATGATATTTACAGATTGATGGAAGTTCTAACAGACAAGATTATCATTGTAGGTAGGGCAGTGAAGGATAATAGATCCTTGGCCTAATTAAGCAATTTCTTCTTTTAATTTTTAATTAGGCATTTCAGTATACTTAGCGTTTTTATTTTAAACGAAGAACTTAAAGTCATCTTCAGAAACAACTATTTTTCTCTTGCTCATGTAAGGAGCAATTAAATTTACAGAATCTTAGCAAATTCTAAATCTGCATTAAATTCCCTAGAAAGTTTCTCTTGATCTCTCAAAAGCCTTTGTACCCATGTTAACTTTGTTAACAACACCTAAACAATAAATAATTGTTATAAATATAGAATCAATTCAAATATATAATCTTACCTTTAACATCACAGTCATTGAATTTTTTGGCACCTTCAGTAATTAATCTAACAACCTTTTACTTTCCAATAGTGTTAACTACGAATAAAGACTAATCAATACCTTCAATACCGTAGTTTTCTTTTATATTTTACCAATCTTCTTCGGGAATGGTTACAAAATTTTCTTTTTGAACTGGTTCTTTATTTTTGTTATTTTTCTTACCATCTTGGGCATCTCCTTCTACGTTTTAAAGGCTTTCAGCTTCTTTGGGTATTTCACTAGCATCAGGAATATAATCATCAACAACTTATTATTAAGCGGGTTGCTCTTGTTGCTATTAAGCAGATTATTCTTCATTATTAGAGCCAGCAGTCTTAGGTAATCCCTTCTTGCTCCAATTGATCAAAGAGTTCTTCTTGATTAAGGCTAAGTAAAAACCACCAGTGTCTTAATCATGAGGAAGAATACGCATGGTGTTTTAAATTTTAATTTCATTAGTCATTTTATCTTCAGGTTCAGGGAACATAGAGTCTCTAACGAATTATGCAAGCTTATCATTTTTTTCGATAGATTCAAAGTTGTCATAAATTTTTAACCAATCAGCTACAGTTTCCTTCTTTTCTTAATCCTATCAATATTTTTTAATAAAATGTTAACAATTTTTTTTAAATAAGTAAATTACATGTCCAGGGTGCTTTTTAGTTGAAGAGCAGACAGTCCACTTTGATAAACCTCTTCTTCCTTTAAGTTCTGGGAATTTAGTGTGAATATCAATTAATTCAATAGATCCTTAACTAGCTCTACGGAAAGCTTCAGTTATAACAGCTTCATCTTCAATAGGGTTGATAGAACAAGTAGAGTAAAGAACATATCCACCAACTTTACAGAGAGTTAAAGCTCTTTACAAAATAGCTAATTGAAGAGGATGGAGTACTTGACCATCTCTGGTATTCCAGTTTCTCCATTATGTGGGAATTTTTCTTGTGGCACCATCTCCAGAGCAAGGGACATCAGCTTGAACTTTGTCAAAATAGAATTTCTAATCATAAGCTTAATTTGATGTGGGGTCCTAAAGAGTAGGGAAGAATTGAGCAGGATGGTTAATAACAACTAAACCACTAGGATTGATTCTACAAACTTGATGAGTAAGTAAGTAGGCTCTTTTTTAGTCTACATCGTTAGCAACAACAGCACCCTTAGTGTTAATACCTCCCTAAGTGTACATTAATTCAAGAAGCTAAGCAGTTTTAGATCCTTTTTTTTATAAATTTTACTTATTATTGAAAAATATGCTAACTCATTAATTTTATTTAAATTGAGCGAATCTTCTTTTGAGAAAAAATAATTTCTTTATTCATTTATTCATATAAAATTTATTTTTAAATTAAATAAATGTTTTTATCTATTGCGATTATAAATAAATAAAAATTTTATTTGTGAATAATGTTATCTCCCGAAATATCTATCAATCTATTTTATTTAAATTAAGCTTTTAAAGTTATTATTACCTGGAGCAGCACACATATCAAAAATAATATCGTCAGGCTTCACATCAAGTAAAAGTGGAGGAAGCATTGAAACTAATTCTTATCTAGAAATTAAACCTGAATCGTTAGCTCTTTAAATATACTTATGGAACTCCTTGAGTAATTATGATTTTTTCAATTAGGTTCTGTTGCAATTAATCTACCAAACTAATTCATCAGGATAGAACTTAATATTGTTAATTTAAAGAGTATCGATTTCTTCTTGGCTAAATTCAAACTTTTCAAAGGTCTTAGTGTTGTTTTCTCCCTTCTTATCATCTCCTTCCTTTTAGTCTGCTTCGTCTTCATCATCTTCTTCTTCTTCACCTTCTCCATTACCTTCATCTTCATTTTATTATTCTTCAGCTTCCTTTTCAGCTTCTTGTTCTTCTTCTTCAATAGCTTCACCTTCCTATTCCTTTTATTATTAACCTTCAGTTGGAGCCTTTCCTTATTGCTCTAATTATTTTCTCTTTTCTTCAATAAATTTCTTGATAAAATCCTTATCTTTTAAGTTATCGAGGAAGACTTAGTAATTAGGAGTGAGCTTATTGATTCTGAAAACGACTGGGAGTTTTTCTTTCATCATATTCCAGAAAAGAGTGAATTCTTCTGGTTTTTCTTTAAAATAGGCTTCTTCAAGTTAAAGCTAATTAAAGAATAAATATTTTAACACATTAGATTGGCATTTATAAACTAATTAGCTTTATCTAAGTTTTCAATAGAAATGTTCTCTAAAAAATAAAATCATAATGTTACTTTGTAATATGCTTCAAAGATTGGATGATCGTAATACCATTCATTGTAACCATCATCCCCCTTAAACTTTTTGTAACCGTCTTAACCTTAGTTATTTTTATTTTTGAATCTTCTCTTATGACCACCTTTTCTTCCCATTATAGTTGTTATAAATTTGAGTATATAAGTTAATAATAATGCTAATGTTTAATAATAATTATATTGTGAGTTTTATTTTAATCTTATTTCAAAGAAAAGTAATTTTGTATCCAATATAACTCATTTAACAAGCTAACTAGACGATTTATTTCTAATTTGCTTTTTAAATTTATTCCTACATTGAGAAAACATCTAAAAGTAGGAATAACAATTTTCTTTTGTAAGAAAAATAGTTATTAAATGAAGTTAAAATATTTTATTCTTCATAACATAGTTTTTAAAAACTAAATAATTTATTTTAATTAACTTTTTTCTATTTTAATAAAAAAAATAATTTAATAAAATGGAATGTGAATTGAGATATTAATTAAATTATTCTAAAATGCATTACTGATACAATTCAACTTATAGAATAGATTGAGTTGTCAAAATCTAAGCAATTTAGATTTTCGTTTATTAAACAATATTTAAAATTAGGGTAATTGATATATATAGTTTCTACTTTATTAGAATGAGAAGAAACAATAAATAGATAGATTCAGTCTATAAGAAACATCAATATTCTTCATCTGTTTTCTAAGATTAATAGAATTAAGCCTCTACAATAATTAACTTTTGTAATTATTTTTAGAAAGAAATAAAGGTAAACTTTTAATAAAATAGTTAGAATAGCAAGCTCTTCTACAAAAATTACAAATTACAAAATATAAAAAACTAACTATTTTTTAGACATAAAAATCGTAAAAATGGCTGATTCATTGTTCAGATCTTAAGATTCTTTTTAAAACGTGCTGAATTACTTTAGCGATATGGGATTTGACAAAAAAAATATTTGGGAAGCTTGGAAGAATACAAACCATAGACACAACTTAATGCTTAATGAATTGATAAGAATATAGCAAGAGTAATTAACTATTTTTTTATATAACTAATATACTAATATAGCAATATTCATATGCTTGATTTATTATTTCTAAAAAATATTCATTTAAAAAGATAAGGTAAAGTCCCATAATAAAACATAATCAAAGATAGTAAAGAAGACTCGCAAATTTAATAAGCTATCAGACTTTCACTTAGATCTTTTACAAGTGAAGCAAACACAGAAGAATATATAAGAAAAGGAGACCATCCCGCAGGGCTTTTCAACTTAGGAAGAAGTAAGTTTAATATTCTAAAATTTTTAATTAATTTAGAAACAAGCAACTCTTTAAAATGATATTCTAAAATGAGAAGATAAACTATATTATTTAAAACTTTCTTAAGTTGATAGAATATATAATGCTTTGTATTCTTCTTTTAAAAATTCTTTTATCATCAGTAAAATTTTGAAATTAAAACTATTTCTATAAAAAAGCCTGCTATTTTAATGTAGTTATCCAGACTCTCTTTAGTATCAAAGAACTCAGAGAGATTATTCTTAGCATTGATTTAAATATGAAGTAACCTGAAAACTAATCAAGTATTTAAGATGAAGAAAGATAAAAATATGTCAATTTGACAAAATAATTCTAAATTCTCTTTTCATGCTTGCTGAAAGGCTAAAAGTCCTTCCAAAACCCTAAAGAGCTTTTTGAGAGTTTAAGGGAGTTTAATGGAGAAGTATTTAAAATTGGTGAAGAAAATGATTTTTGGGAGTTTTAAAATTCCATTTTTGAAATTTTAGAAAAAAGTTTCTCTAAGTTATACAATATAAGTGAGTCAGAACTGAAAAATTTACCCTAATAAAGCAGCTTATTCTTAAGTTAGCTCATGTCTATCAACTTAAAATAAGATTTTTTCACAAATAAGCTTGAAGAAGATAAGAAGAAATAGCTAGTCTCATAATAAAAGAACTATAATCCTATGACTGAGCTATTTTATGGTAAAGTTCAAGAGTGCATTACTTACAATGAAGGAAATAATGAATTAAAAAAATTTAATGAATACGTACAGGGTATAGTTAGTTTGGAAGTAAAGCACGGTGATTTGTACAAAGCACTTGAGGCTTCTTAAATTTTTGAAATTCCAGACTATGAACTTTAATCTGTAAATAAAATATTTTCAATTTAAAAGTGATTAAATTAATTATTTTTTGATTAAATTAACAGGGCTGCAAAACAAAGGCAAAGATTGAAAATAAGTTTAAGAAAGCTCCTTAAATTCTTAATTTCTGCATTAATCGCTTAGACTTTGATAGGAAAAATTTACGTACTGTCAAACTTAACAACTAATTTTACTTCGAAAAAGAGTTGAATTTGACAAATTTCTGTGTTTAAGATGACTAACTGGAAGGTACCTTAAGGACTGAAGACCTAGATTAAATAAACAAATTGAATAGGTAAATCAAGAAAATTGAAGAAAAACTTAAATAGTGCTAAAATCCTAACTGCGCTCCTATATAATTAGAGTCTTGCTTTGAAAACATCTTATAATTTTTATAGAAATAACAATAGTTGTAGTAGCAAGATGACTTCATTGACATAGACGAATACGATGTAGTATTTATATAAAAAAAAATCAATTTTCTTATTTTTCTTTGAAAAAATATTTTTTTTATTTTAGATGGAATTAGATTAAGCAACAGGATTCTTTGGATTGCTTTCATGTTCTTAACAGGAGTTAAAAACTACAATTTAGATTCTTAACAATTATAAGAACTAAATAACTAAACAAACTGAGAGCCTTTCTGAAAAGCTAGAAAAGCTAAGAAAAGAGCGTTGGCAATTATACAGAAAGTCTAAAAAGAATATATATGAGCTTTTCTCAATCTTAATGCATGAAGGAACAGCAGGTAATTAACAATTAAACTTTTCCAAACTATTACTAAATAAAATATAAAATCAATAAAATTTAAAAAATTGTTTTAAAATTTATAGAATTAAAAACAATAAAATTAAATTTTAAAAAAATTATTTACATTTTTAAAAATATTAAAATTATTTTAATTTGTAATTAGATTCAGGTCATTATTACTGCTACATATGGAACGAATAAAAATAGAAGTGGTTTAAATACAATGATAGCACTGTTACAGAGGCTAATGAAGAAGATTTGTTATTTGAAGCTTACGGAAAGCCAGACTCAACTAAGAATGCATGCTGTCTTTTCTATAGAAATAAAATTCATAAAACTGACTATAAAGCAAATACAATAGTTCCACCTTAGCTTTAAGAAATAGTCAACTAGAGAGACAAGGAATTTTTTGATAACATTGATAGATAAAAGGTTTTAAATGCTTTAGAGCCATTTAAGAGAAAATTACAACAAGAAATCACTAAAAGGTAGGCTGCAATATTAAAAAACAAAGATTCTCTTTAATGCATAATTGAACTTACTAACTTTTAGAATTTCTTGATCAACTTAGAAGATTTTAAGCATTATGGAATCAGGGATATTTTAATACAAATGATTAAGGATCCTGAGTTAGAAAGTATCAAGGCAGAGCTTAGAGATCCTAGCAATTTTGACAATGGTATAGAGATTTTCTTCCAACAATTAGAAAAAGTTTGTAGAATCCCTTCTTACTTAAACATGAATGAATCCCAAATAAGTGAGTATAATCTTTTGAAAGAAGCTCATTAGAAAATTTTACACTGCTAAAAAGAATTCGAAATGATACTCAAAAAATTTGAGAAAATTGAATCCTATCCTGAAGTTTTAAAGAGTTTGGGAGCTATTCAATTATGTTTAAAAGACATGAACCCTTATATTTCTAAAAACAGCTTGATTGCAGTACGCTTATCCTAGGGTACAAATTATATGCTATAAGTTCAATTGTTGAAAGGATGCTTTAATATTGATTGTCTTATGTAAAAATAAAATACTTCAGAGCTAATAAATTTAACAAATTTAATTGTTATTTGCTTAATGACCTTCTTTAGAGGAGATGAAACGCTCAAAAAGTAAATAGAACAAAATCTTAAATACACTCTTAACACTCATGGAACCAACTCAAGACTATTTAATGAATAACTTTTCTAAGCTTTCCGTACTTCTATTGATTAAATTTCAAAAATAAATTAATTATTTGAAAAGAATGTTTAAGATATGGTAATAAAATATTTTTAGCTTATTCAAATAAATATTTTTATTTTATTTTACATTTAAAAAAAGAGAAAAGTTTTTTGTTTGAAGTATTTAAATGAGAAGATTAATTGGGATTCTGAAGTTGAATTAGTTGAAATGTCAACTTCTTTACTCAATTCTTGGGACAAGCAGTTAACAACACTAACAGTATTTTTATATTCTAAGTAAACTTTTATTGAATAATATTTTATTAAAATAAATAGTTATGGAGAAATTTCTTAGATAAGCTAATGTCCTCAAACAAATTAATCTCAAACGATGAAAGATTAAATCAAGAAGAGCTCTAATATGAAAAATATATCTGAAAAAACCTTCTTTAATTAGAAAATCTTTTTAATACAACTATTATTTATAATGGAATAAGTTTGAATTTAATGTTCATTTTTGTATAAATTAATCAAACACACTTTTGAATAATGAATTAAATGATAATTATTTAAATTAACTTTTCAAGATTTTTTAATAATCTATTTGAATAAATCATTTTATATTAAATATATTGTTTGTTTAATGAATTCAATTAGGATTAATCCAATTTATTTGAAAGAAACCAACTTTTTTATTTTTTGTTTTTAGAAATAAATCATTAATTTTTAAGTTATTTTAATAGAATAATAAACATAAAGCTTTTTTGAAAATATTTTAAATTAAAAAAAATTTATAAGTAGTTTTTTCAGAATTTTAACTATTGTCTATTCAGTTTTAATGTTTACTTACTTAGTTCTATTAATAATTTTTATGTGATTTTTACAAGAAAAGATATTAATAGCCTAAATTAAAAGATTTAACAACTATAATTTTTTCATTCAATATGTATTAGGATGTATTTATTTTTGTTAAAGATTAATTTTTGTTTATTTTAAAATCTAAATAATTTAATAGAAAATGAATGACTACGATATCTCGTTTTATATTTAATAATATGAAAAATATTGGTTAAAAAGAATATTTGTTTGATTGTTTGTTACTTATCCAAGTTAATTTGTTAATTGATGCTAAACATAAGAAAAAGAGTGAAAAAAAAAAATTGAAAGTTAATTAATATTTTCTTTAAAAGGTAAATTATATTAGTTAAAAGACTTGAAATAATAGTGGGATAGTAAAATATAAATGAGTTCAAACTACTAGTAAAGGCGAAATAGTTTAAATAGGTCATTACAGTTTGAGCAATAAGGGTAGTAATCTTATCCTTCTGATTTTATGGTTAATGAAAATGAGGTAAACTAAAATTATAACAGCGGCCACCATAACAGATTTGCTAGGATTATACATAACAATTACAATTCAAATGCTCATAAGAACTCTATGTCTTATGACAACCACTATGCGACATTAGATGAGTCTGTTCTTAATTATACAAACAACTCCAAGATTAATTCAGGAAATAATGGCGGTACTTACATAACTCCTATAAAAAATATACTTCTTTAAAAAATGAATAACCTTGGCAATAACTTAACAACTTCTTCTAACAATAACAACTATTATATTTACAATAACAATATGGTTAGCTTGTCTTTAGAATAGCCTAAGAGGATAAAACCAAAAAAAAACAACTTCAAAAGTAGCTTAACGCAAGCAGAAAAAGTTTATAGTTCAGGAGGTAGTAACAATAATTGTAATAACATTAATAATATTCTTGTAAAACCAAATTAAATTCCGACCCACTGCACTTCTAAAGGTAATTAATTGATTGATTGATTTTTTAGTTTAGAATAAATAAATTAAACAAATGGAGTATTTTATTAAAATATTAATATAGGATCATATTTTGATGATCTCATTTAACTAAATCATATTTTTGTAAATTTATAGAGAAAAAAAGTAAACTTGATATAGAGAGTTTGTAAAACAGAATACTCAATGAGGGTGTAAGAGGTTATACAGTTAAAGATTCTTTTAATAATATTGTTGTTAATTATGCACCTAACATAAATTAAATAATTCCTACAACAAAATCATCAGCTAAATTATCTTAAAATAATATCAAAAGTGGGATTTAGTAAAACTAAATACCTTCAAGCACGAGGTAAATTAGCAACCAATAGCAATATTCTAATAATGCTAAGGATATAGTGTCAAATTTAAATAGATCAATACAAAAAACTGAGGCTGATAGGGCTACCAATTTGACTATGGCAAGTGCAAGTAAAAATAGTGATAATTTGAATACAACAATGACTAATAATCGCTGTTCAAGTGTGATGAGCTTCCATGAAGAAATAATTAATCCCCAAAGTGGAGGATATACAAACTAGATATTAAATACAATTGATACATCTTCAAATATTTTAGAAAATTTAATGGGAAATGAAAATGAATCACAAAAATTCAAAGAGAAAAAAAGTAATAATAATGGAGTATAAGCTAAACCTCTACAAGTTTAACAGGGAAACCAAATTTTTTTGAAATAGAGTGAAATTAATTACATAAATTCTATTAAATAAAAAATGAGTTAAGGAGATAGCAATTAATCTGTTAGTGCTAGATATTAAAGTTAATCTTAATCAACGAATTAACAATAATAATAAAATCAAGATCATAAATCTCTTTATAATGTACAAAGAAATAACCGATATGGAGATATTGTTGGGTCAAATGGAGAGTAAACCTCAAAAAGCAACAATAGCATAAAATCGATTCTAACAGAAAAGAGAAAATATAAGATTGATGAAAATAAATAAATATAAATAAATTCTATAAATATATCTTATAATTAGCTTAATAGAGGTAGCAACCCTTCAGCTCCAAACAGCTCTTCATAAGGTTAAAAATTTATATTAAAAGAAAATAATCCTAACATAACTTTAGATTCTTCTTTAGCTTTTGAGGGATAAAAGATCAATTTTGACAACTACAACATTCATAGTAATCATGGAAATGGATCTGGTAACTCTTTACAATAAGGCAAGCAAAGTAATAACAGCCTATATAATTAATAGCAATAAATGATAAATAACAGATATAATCACCACATATAATTGTAGCTTGGAAACGCAAATATACCTAGCACCAACAATCACACATCCAAATCTATCAATATTGTAAATAGAACAAGTAATATGACAACAACTACAAACTAAAATAATTAAAAAAAAAGAGATTTTACATACGATTCCATTTAATACGATCAATTACCTTCTCATTAATAACAATAATAATAGTATAGTTTTATCTTAAATCCTAACACCAGTGCTCAATTTAATACAATCAGTCATAATTCCGGTGGTCTCAGCTCAGGAAAAGGAAGTACAACAGGAGCTAAAAGGAAAAAAATATAGATCCACTCTAAACTTCTAAATAGCAGTATTAACAATATTACAAATAATAATTCTACTGCTATTGGAGTTGAATCTACATCTTCTTCGGTAGCTAAATAAAAAACACCAGAAAATAATGACCGTTCTGGACTTTCTTCTTAGTTACAAAAGGTTTACAAGGTGACATCTTCTTAGATATCTTAGAATTAAAACTTAGTATTCCTTCTGCAAAAAGTAAAAGAGTGCTTTTCTAGATTTAAATCAAGATAGGATTAAATAACTAATGGAGGAATAGATAAAATTCAAATGGAATAAATAGTTAATAAATATAATTTTCAATATAACAGTAAATCTCCTAATAGAATAAGCTAAAGTGATAGATGTACGCCACATTCAAATGATTTAAACAATTAAAATTAAAATAAGTAAAACTTAGATAAATAACAAAGCTCTTAAAACAGCAAGAATTGCGAAGATGTTAAAAAAGAAATTAACGAAATATCGAAAACATTAAATTCTAACAATAGCTAAAATATTAATTAATTCTACAAAGTACAGTAAAAATCCGCTTCAAGCATAATTAAGAACGAATTCAAAGATAACAAAAGTAATTAAACTTAGTATAAATATCATAAAATAGGAATAAATATTCTTCATAGGCTCTTTAAAAAGAAATATTCTTACTAATTTTTTATTCAACTAATTAAAGATTAAAATAAAAGCCACTTCTCTTGTTGAATTATCAACATAATAAATAAATAAATTAATAAATCTAATATCTGTTAATTTGAAAAAGTAAATTTTTGATAAAATAAGAAAATAAATAAAAAAATTAAAAAGGTTAACTCATTTATTTATTTACTAATTTAATACTGATTCAGAAAAAAAAAAAATTATTAAATAAAAATATTATAAGACAAACAATTGTATAAATAATTTTTATTACTGTATATAAAATGATTTGTATGTATATGTGATTAATAAGCACTCATTTATATTTGGAATTACTCTAAATTCGATTCTAAAAAGAAATAATTATAACAAAATAAAAGTAAACTTTAAATAAAAAATATTATTAAAATTTCATTACTTAAGTTATTTAAATAGGGTTATATATTTCAATATTTTCAAATTATAATTATTGTCTATTAATTAATTGCAAATCATTTATTATAAAAATATATTTACCTTTATTTCTTATTTTTATCACTCATTCAATAAAGCTTATTAATGCTTATACTTTAAATAAATTTTTAGATTTTTTAATAATTCGATTTGCATAAAAAATGTATATTTAAAATTTTCATGGTATTCTTAAAATTTATATAAAATTAGTCAAGAAACATTATCTATATTGCTCAATGAATTTATTTTAGAACAGCTGTTAGATGTTATTTAATTGACCTATTCTAAACATTTGTTAAGCTTAAGGGCTTTAACATCAAGATACGGGGCTAAAGCTATCGCTAATTCAAACTATGTTTCACCTTTCTCATCTAATTTGTAGTAGCTGCTGAAATGAACATTTTTTTTATAAGGAAACTCAGATAAAAGATTTTGAAGGAGGACTAAACTATAAGGTCTTGAATACTCAATATCTGTTTCTTCTTTAAGCTCTCTAAAGAAGTTATATTCTCTTTCTATTGCTTCATCTGTATCTACTTTGAAATCTATGTTTTCTAGTAAATATGGAACTTAATCTGTTTATTTCTTTTTCTCTACATACACTTTAAGATAATTTCTAAAGTATTTGTATATCATTAAATGAATAGAGGCAAAATCTTTTTCTAAATCATAAAAATGAAAAATACGAGTGAAACTTTCAAAAACACAATTAGAATTTTCAGGTGTGACTATTTTCTTATTTAATTACTAATGTTATTAATAGCTATGGATTGATGAGTGCATATTTTATCCTTCTGTGAATGATTTATCGTTTAGTTAGGGAATCTTTTCTATTGATGATAATTTACTCAAAGAAGAGGGCTTTTCTATCATTTAATCCAAAATAATATTTTCAAAGTAACGAAAAAACCCACTAATTATTGAGACTTCTAAATGAATAACTTTATGATGCTCATTTATTTGCTTTACTAACTGTGGATACTTCTGAAAAGCAAACAAGAAACCTTTCTTCTGCTTTAACTACCTTAGAGTTTGCTACTTTGATATGTATTCCGATATTCTATTGTTGTGAATAGTGACGAGCTCTATGTTATCAGGTTCTACTTTCACTTTATGCTTTAATATATCAAGTATTTTAAATAGTTGTGTTTCTTATCCCATTTAAATATTATACTGCATAGGAGTATCTTATGAATTACTGAAAATAAAATAAATAGTTGTTAAAATTTAATGATTAGTATCAATATGCCCCATTAGTGAGGAGGCTAACATTTTTTAAGAGCAATATTAGCAGCTTTAAACATTGAATTCACACTTTTCTATGTGTTTTAAAAAGTTACTGTAATTGCATATTTCTTGACACCTTTCGTTTTAATTTTCATTTCTACTGTTCGGACATTTAATTGCAATATTATCTAAAACAGCATAAAGAAGTGGATTTTTTATTTTTTCAAATTTTATTCCCTAACATCCTGATAAACATCTTTGTTTACCATATTTTTCCCATTTCAAAATACACTATCCGCATCCATAAATTGCACAGTTGTTGCATGCTAAAATTGGTTTTTGTATTAACCCTTTGCATATTGGACAAATCAAAAATGAAATAAGTTCCTTGGCTTTATATAAAATTAGACCTTCATCAATAAATCCTTTGTTATTTTAATCATTCATTTTTATTAATATAAAAACTATTTAAGAGCCTATTTAAATAAATTAATTCAATTTTAATGAAAAAGTAAGAATTCAAATGAAAAAATAATAATTAAGTTTTTTAATGTTATTATCACACCTACAATTTCAATACAAATAAATTTTCACTAATATTGTAATTAATTTTCTTAATCACTGATCAATCATGAAAAAATAGTGGAAGAACAATAAAAAATTGATTTGCACTCTATATAACTATTTGATTTGATTTTTAAATATTTTTATAGATTACAGCACAGTAAAACTTAAATTCTATATATTCTTCAAGGTTTATTTACTAAAGTAATAAATTTCTTTTATGTTAAATTTCAAATTTTTAAATATTCATCGCTTATTTTTGTTGCTGATATAAAAAATGTTCTTTTTTTTTTCAACAAAAATATATTTTTTATTAATTTAAAATTATTGTAATAGTCTATTATTTTTATATTTCTATTGAAAAGAAATTTAATTTATATAAATTGAAAATATTAATCAATTTATTGAAATAATTAGCTTCAATTTTATTTTTGTAAACGTTTATGTATGTAGAATTGTTACTATTAATCAATTCTTTAAATAAAAAGCTTTATTACTAAGACATTTGAATAATTAAATAAAAAGGATAAGTTAGAAATCTATGATATTTAGTTTTTTAATTATATAATTATATATTCATTTAAATTAATTACTAAAGATCTTACGCTTAATTAAAAAGTTAGCAATAAGTAGGTATATTTAAAAAAGGTAGTTAGGAAAGCTTCATAGATAAAAGTTTTTTTTAGCGAATGGTGTAGTTTAACTTTTTAAAGTCTTACTAAGACACCATTCTTTCTATAATTGAAGATAAGCCCAGATTTGAAATACCCAAAATAATTTTCAAATTTATTATCTTAATATCATTTATGTAAATACTACTTTATTTGTTTAGCGATTTCAAAATGGTAGCAATTGATGAAGATAAACTAAGATCGCTTTTTTATATTTGCGAAATGGTATCCATTGTAAATGTTCTAAACTTAAAGAGGAGTGATAGTCTCTCTCTTATAGTTTACTTAATTGCTCAGATGTTTATGTTTCTTTACTTTGCTTATGTTGCTATTTTAACTATATGTAAGGAGTATTTCAAGGATTTCTATGCAAAATATTAGTAAACCTTCATCAAAATAAATGAACTGTTGAACATATATTTTACTTTCTACCTGAATGTCTTTCTTTCATAATATATTGAGCTCAATTGTTCTTTGTTGTTTTGTGGCTAAAAAAGTATTCTTTCAAATTAATATTCTCAATTTATAACACCTGGAAATACATGTACAATTCCTACTTGGTAAGTTATAGTATCTATCTTTGGTATTAGTTTAGCGGTTATGACAGCATTTATAACGAGCTATTATTTTAGAAATTATGAATTTCTAGAAAAAAACATTTTAAAAAGAAAATCAACAATTCTTTTTTAAATTTTGATAACTATTAGAATAGTATTTCCGTTTATTGACTTTAATGGAGACATTTAAGGAACTAAGCAGGTGAAGCATGTGCTTTCTTAAATTTATGGTTGCGTCAGTATTATTGACTACTTTCTTTCGATCCCTTTTACTGACTAAGAGATTTCTAAATTTTATTTGGTTATAATAGCTTATTTCGAAGGAATAGTAACATGCAGCAACTTATTTTTGTTAAGTGGAACAATTAATGGTTAAGAGATGTTCTACATGTGTATCTTAAGTACTTTAGTCTTAAGTGCTACTCTACAATCAGCACTAAATTACAAGTATGAATCAATGCTTAAGGGGAATTGGGTAATCGATTAAATTATTCCAAATTTAGATTATTATCTAGAATAAATCATTCTCTTAGGAGAAAAAAGCAGTTACAATGAAGAAGCTAAAATCCTAATTCAAAAAATTTATAAATTGCATCGGAATGGTTGTAAAATAGAAAATTGTATTTGTCATCAATATCCTTGCCTCAACATGAAAATAATAAGTGAATTTTCTTCAAATTAAAAGCAGGAAACAATCAAAGAAACTACTGATAAAGAAATCAGTCATCTAATACAAAATGAAATAAATATGAGATTAATATACAAATTTGTCGATAGCATATTTTAGTGGATGTTTTAACAGAAATGTTTGAGCTAAAGCACCTAAGAATTTGAAAAGCTTTCATTGAAATATATATCTTTTATGATGAAATACTAGAATAATCAAGTAAGAGCATATTATGAATTAAAAATATTGCAGCTTAAAAAAAGTTCTTTTTCTATTTACTTCAAAATGATATCCAATATCATCAGTTAAAAGATTTAAGAAAATATCGAATCTTAAACTGACTCAGGTGAATCATAAAGCTCAAAAATTCTGGGAGCTTAGAAAAAAAACAATAAGAGCTCTAAATTTAACAGGACAACTAAAAATGAGCTAACAGTACAATCAATTGTAGATGTTGAATAAATCTGTTCTAAATACATACCTTTGTTTTTAGAAGTTATAGATTGTAAGCATGACCTTTGGGTTAAGTTATAAAATGGGTACAAATGTATGAATGATTTCTAAGTTGATGCTATTAAACTAATGAAGAAGTTGAATTCAATTAAGAACCTCTATTTGAGAGAAATGAGAAAAGTTTAATATATCAACCCTGATGTTGAAAACAGTTTATAATTTAAAAAGTTAACTTAAATATTTTACTTGTTTGTAGTTAATGATACAATAAAGTCTATCTCACTAGAAACTCAGATAGTCGAATTAAAAAAGAGAGACACTCTCGCTGAAATAGACTAGTTAAAAAATATAAGTATGATTAAAGGAGATATATGCGTTATAGAAATTAGTCTATCTGAAAATTTAGGCAGAATTGTAAGTAAAAAAGATGAAAAGACAGCATCATTTTTTGGATTCACTTAAAAGCAAGATTTTATGAAAATAAATCATATCAGTGACTTAATGCCTAATTTTATTGGAAGGGTTCATAATGACTTATTGAAAAATTTCATCTAAGGGCAGTCTATTAGATCAAAAACATAAAACACAACACTTTATTCTCATATTAAATTAAACGATGGTTACATATTCCCTGTAAAGATTCACTTTGATTACTCTTTTTACACTTCATCTCAAGATTTTCGAATGAATGGAATTCTTTTAAAGAATAGAACCGAGTAAGATTATATTATTTTCCATAGAAGTGGTAAAATTGTTGGTATGACAAAACATATAGCCAAGATACTTTTCCAAGAGTTCAACAGATTACCGAACGGAGATGCTGCTATTTAAAAACTCAATGCTTTATTGATGTTTCCTAAAATAGTGAAAAAGATCATTAAAAATCGAGATTTAATTATCTAAGATCTAACAGAAAAAAGTATATAAGATTAATAACTCTTGGGAGACACTAATACAGCAATTGGACTTAAGTCGAAAAGTGCTTGTACTATGTCTACATTGATTGAAGATTCTAGAGGTTCAATGAAATTTTCTTCAAATCCATTTAGTGCATAAAGAAAATTCATAAACTATTTAAATAAAAAAATATAGCTATCATAGGGTTCGCTCAAAAATAGCTATAGGTATGATGACATAGACATACTAGATAAATCTAGTATAAAGTTGCTAAAATAATACGAAGAAGCAAATATAGGCTAGAGCACGAACAGAAGTCATCATGATTCATCAGAAAGGCTTTTATCAGGAAAAGGGGCCTAAGCAAGAGATCTGGAAGATATAAATTTATTTAATAACACAAAAGTGATATAAACGATAACCACCTAAAATTCTAAATAGCTTAATTAAATGGAATATAAAATGAAATTTGAATATCAACTTTAATACTGTTTATTAAACCAAAAAACATAATAAGCTTACATTAAGTAAAAAAATAAATCAATAAGTAACTAATTTACGATGAATACGAAGTAAAATGAAAGCTAAGATCAACTGTAAGATATTTACTTTTAGATAAGGATTGAAAATGTCTCAACAAAATATCGCCCTAAAAAAATTAAATATAAAGCTTTAGAAACTTTTTAAAGAAATTTAATAAAATATCTTTAATCAACTACTTCTGTATTTTAATTAGCCAGCCAATTAGAAAAAATTCCACTTTTAAAAAATGTAAATAATTCAGGTATGGACACAACTGATGAAATAAAAATGAGCTCTTAAGAAAACAATAAGATAAGTAACGAATCAACTTACTTAATAGATCAATTAGCTCCTCCAAGATCTATTTCTGCCAGAGAAGATTTTATTAATATTCCAAAAAAAATGCTTCAGCTACTTCAATCACAGCAGTTGGCTTCTGGTAATCATTTTTTATTTTTAAAAATATTAACCTAAACCATTTATATCATTTAAACTTAAATATTCTTTGCATTTAATTATGAATTTGAATATTTAATTTAATATACTCCCTTATACTTTTATGATTTTGTAGCTATTTTTCAGATTATCATTTCAAGATTAACTTATTAAATTGTTTTTAACTTTCTTATGTTTAGAATACATTATTTATCATTTATTGTAAAAATAAAAATTTAATCTATATAGCACTAGATGATGAGTAAGTAGTTTAGAAAATAAATTATGAAAAAGAAGAAAATATGGAGAAAAAGAATGATTCTTCATTTAAAAGCAGTAACACGAGTTAACTAGATGAAAGTGATATAAGCGAAGATGTAGATTTTGATAAAATTTATAATTAAGTTGCTTAATAAATAAATAGCAATAAAATGAGTAAAGAGTTTGAAGATTCACATAATTCATAATTAGAGAATATAGTTAATACTTTTTGTGCATAAAAAAGTCAATTAATTTAAATAGATCCAAATTATCAGGTTAAAAAAATATTACAGAAAAGGACATTGTGCTATACTTTTAGTAAAGCTTTTGAAATAGCTTTTACTGAAATTGCATTTAATTTGGAATTAGAGAGAAGAGATCCGAAGTACTCTAATTAAGAAAAAGTTCTAAATTTTGAAAAAATCAAAAATGAAGATATATAAACTCCTGTTACTTTCAGACAACAAACTGATAATTCAATCATAGATATTAGCATAGATAAAATTCCTGTTAAAAACTTGGCAATGTTAGAGAGTAATACACAAAGAGATGCAAAAAAGATATTCATGCAGGACTTAAAATCTCAAAATTATTTAAGCTAATAAATTACAGATAACAATTTGGACTAAACATATAGAAGTGAATTAAAAAATATTTAAGAGAATATGGCATAAGTTTAATAAAATATATTTGATCTATCTAAATTTTAAGGATTCGATACTAGTGTAGATGTAAACTAAAAACATGTTGATTAAAGAGAAAAAGTATAAGATTAATCATACTTAGATATTTCAGCTCGTCCAATCCTAGACTAATCAAATTCTTAAATGTAAGAATCTAATATTAAATAGAGATAATCTATGTTAGATGACAGTTAGCTCATTCATTCAAGACAGATATCTTTACAATAAGCAGGTAAGTTAAGTAAATGAAAATTTTTTGTTAATAAATATTAAATAAATTAATTAATAGAAACAATGCTTGATTAGAAAGGAAGATAGGATTTAAAAGACTAAGTAGGATATTCAATAAAAATAAATGAATAAAATGAAAAGTTATATAATGTATAAAATGAACAAAAGAATTTAGATATGAATATTAATAGCATGAACAATAGTTCATAAAAAGATGAAAATGAAGAAATTGAAGACTCAAATAACATGGATTAGGCAGTCGCTAAAATTTTAAATCAAAAAGGAATGAATTTAGGAAAAAATAGTCTATAAAGAGCAAGTGTAAATTCATCTACACGAACCTCTAGTAGCTATGCAGGTGTATTCTTAAAAGGTAAATATATTTTACAATTTTCTTGAATAAGAATTCTTTTATGAAAATTAAGAAATTTTGATCAAGCAGAAGATTCCAAAGCCAGCTTTGCAATATAAATTCCTTTTAATTTTATTTTTAGTTACATTTTTATCTTTAGATATTACAAATCTTGTAATTATCTAGAACGATATGCAGGTAATTAATTAAAATTTTCAATTTCACTTAAATTATAATAATAATCATTTCAAATTAAATAATATTGCATACAGTTTTTTGTATGATAATTAATTTAATAGTAATTTATTGTAAATAGCTTGAATATATTTGTCTTAAAATTATATTATTTAATTCAATTATTTACTTTTTCCTAAATTTGTCCTCTATCTTTTTTAAAAACATAGTAAAAATGTTTGAATTAACAAATTTATAAATTACATTTTTTATAAATCGCTTTATTTAATTTAAAATTTGCTAAAATTTACATTAAAAAAAAGAGATTTTCGAGCAACGTAGTAATACTAAGATAACCAAGAAAGTTACTGAGAGCTTATGGAAAGGTGCTGTTTGGTTATTATCTCTCATTAGAATTAAAACTAGGATACTTGATAGATACAGATGGTTCTATTAAATCTGCTTACTCAGACTATATTAATAGCTCAATAAAAGAATATAAAAACATTTCTGAGACTTATAATATACAGCTTATGTAAGTGCAGCAATAGCTGATGGCATAAAATGGTACTGAAGAATTTACTTACTCTGTCTATGTTAAACGAAAGTAGTTTTTTTAGAATATTTCAGTAGCATTATAATTTAGCTCTTAAGAGTAATACATTTATTAAATGAACCAAACATTTGAAGATTAGATAAGAATTGATTCCTTTTTATATTTAAGATAAAATTATTTTGATTTTAGTAATGAAGTTTTAGATACTGTTAACTTTTTAGTTAATGATACTGTAAGTTCAGTAAATAGCTTAACAAGCAAATTTTATGCTGTGATTATTTGTGCAATTTTTGGTATTATTTTTGTTGCAATAGTGTCTATTCCAGTGATTAAATAAATAAACTTCTATGAGGAGAAAATAATGATGATTGTAACAAGAATAAATTATGATCAATCTGAAATGGAAAAAGCCAAACTTCAAGTCTGTAAACAACTAGTTAATGTCGATTACATAGATTGGCTGAATTATAACTATTTTGATATATTTAACATGCAAGCCAAATCAAAGAAAGATTTGAATTAATCTTAATCTTCAAAGCATAATTCACAGCAAAACTAGCTTTCTTTGCTAAGTTCAAAAAATAAAATGAGGAGTCCAGCAAATGTAAAATAAGCAAAAAAATAATTACAGATCTCAGGAGCTTAACTCTTTGAAACAAGCAACTTTTAGATGAATAGCACTGCATAAATGGGAAAAAGCTTTTTTTCTTCATAACCCAAAATAAAAAATTAACTTCACTTGACCAAATATAATTAGTAAAAGTAAATCTTATAAAATCAGAATGGCAATATCAATAAAAGTTAAGCCAAATAAATACTAGGTTCAAGTAATAAATTTGGATCATCAGGAAATAATTATACTCTTCAGTCCAAAATAGGTGTATAAAATTTGAGAATATTTGATAGATTCTAAACATTCTTTATTTTGACAATTTTGAACACAATCTTTTTTTTAATTATCATCATTTATTTAAGCTAAAGTAATGATTCACTTAAAGTTCCTGTATAAATGAATTAAAGAAGTATTAATTTACATATTATTATGGTAAACTTAAAAATTGCCACAGAGCTTTTGTCTTTTGATTTTTATGTGAGAGATAACCTTTGGCCAGATTATTAAGTAACTAATCTTGAAAAATACTTTAATTAAATAAATTAAAGCTTGTTAACTCTAAATAATATACAACAATAAAATACTGATATCATTTATGGTAAAAATCCTTTCCCATAAAGCGTTGTTGCTACACTGAAAGATTTGCAAGAAGGAAGAGGTTGCCAATATCTTTAAACTTATTTATGCAACAATTAGACATAAGAATTAGGAATTATAAATGTTATATCATAAAAAAATAAATTTGTTACAGAATATCCAGAAGTTTTAGATCCTAGTAAGCCTCCAGTAAATTAATTGTTTGTCTTTTTGAATGGATAACCGCATTTGGAAGGTTTTGTATTCAGCTTTTAAAGTGAAGATGAGTTATTTGATGTTTATAGTTCCTAAATAAATTCAAGTATATCCACTGTTTCCTTAAGTATATAAAATTTTTTGCAAAACTACTTAATATACGGAGGAGTATTGTTTGGAGTAATTATATTTATTACTATTTTTATTCATTGGAGTCTTTCATTTATTAGAATTTAAGAAATGAACTTACTCCTCACTATTATACCAGAAGATAAATTATAAGAAGAAGTAACACTTCATATGATTCGCTAGCTTCATCGTATGTGAATTATTCACATTTTTTTTCTATCATTGTAATTTCAAGATATATATTACATTCATGTTTTTTTTGAACTTTTATTCAGTTAGATCTATTATCTAGTTATAAAATAAATATCATAATTTCTTTTATAATTTACATTGATAAAAATTATTTAAATTAGTAATAAAAAGGATATTAAATTTATTTTTTATCTCAGAATTTAAATTAATTTTTATTTAATTTATTCAACATAATATAAGAATATTAACATAAAATAAAAAAATTTTTATTAATTTAATTATTTAATAATTTTAATATATCTTTAATCCTCATTAATTCCCATATAAATAAATTTTTGCTAATTGTTAAAAACAAATTTTTATATTTATTTTATTTAAAATATTTTTTTATTTGTAGTATTTTTATTGTTTTAGATTTTACCATTTATATTTTGATTCAAATTTAAAATTAAATTTAATTATGGTTTTCAAAATTTTTTTAAAAACTCATCATTGATATGTAATAGAGTCTTTTATTTCCAAATATTTTTTTTGAAGATTGATACCTTTGATAAAAATCGCTTACAAAAATAAATTTAAACTATTGTATCTTATTTGATTAATGAAAAATTCTAATTGGCATTAATTATTTTAGTTTTACAAGTTTCCATTTGTAATTATTTTTTAAAGATTGGTTTAAATCAAAGCATTAATTAATAAATAGATTTAATTAAAAAAAGAGTGAAATTCATATAAACTTAAAGAAAATGGTGTATTTTAACTTTTTAAAATCTTGCTAAGACACTATTCTTTCTATAATTGAAGATAAGCCCAGGTTTGAAATACCAAAAATAGTTTTCAAATTTATAATCCTCATATCTTATTTGCAAATATTGATTTACTTATTCAGCGATTTCCAAATGGTAACAATTGATGAAAGTAAGCTAAAGTCATTTTTTTATATTTGCGAAATGGTTTCCATAGTAAATATTTTAAATTTGAAGCGAAACGATAATCTTTCGATTACAGTTTACATAATTGCTCATATAATTTTATTTCTTTATTTTGCATATGTAGCTATTTTAACTCTTTGTATTGAATATCTCAAGGATTTTTATAATAATCATTATTAAACTTTCTTGAAAATAAACGAATTATTGAACCTATATTTTACCTTCTACTTGAATGTCTTTCTTTCTTAGTATATAGAGTTGAATTGCTCATTACTGTTTTGCAGCTAAAAAAGTATTTTTTCAAGCTAATATACTCACTTTACTTCTAGATCTTAATGTGAGGTACCTACATGGTAAACTATATTAAGTATAATTGGGATAAGTTTGGCAATAGCAACAGCTTTTATAACAAGCTATTATTTTAGAAATTATGAATTTCTAGAAAAAAATGTTTTGAAAAGAAAATCAACTTTTCTTTTTTAATTTTTGATTACAATAAGAATTATTATCCCATTTATTGATTTTAATGGAAGTATATAAGGAGCTAAATAGGCGAAGCATGTGTTATCTCAAATTTATGGTTGCGTAAGTATTATTGACTATTTTCTATCTATACCTTTTACAGACTAAGATATTTCTAAGTTTTATTTAGTTATCATTGCCTATTTCGAAGGCATTGTTACATGCAGTAACTTTTATTTATTAGGTCGAAATATAAATGGTTAAGAGATGTTTTACATGTCTATCTTAAGTACTTTAGTGTTAAGTGTTACCCTCTAGTAGGCCTTAAATTTCTAGTATGAAAGTATGTTGAAAAGAAACTGGGTTTTAGAAAAGATTATTCCTAATTTAGATTATTATCTAGAATAGATGGTTGTTTTAGGAGAGAAAAGTATTTACAATGAAGAAGCTAAAGTAAAAATTCAAAAAGCATATAAATTACATAGAAGCAATTGTAAAATAGTAAATTGCATTTGTCTCAAATATCCTTGCCTTAATATGAAAATAATCAATGACTCCTCTATAAATTAAAAGTAAGAAATATTCAGAGAAGCAACTGACTAAGAAATTGGTCATTTAATTTAAAGCGAAATCAATATTAAATTAATTTACAAATTTGTTGATGGAATATTTTAGTGGATGTTTTCACAGAAATGTTTGAGTTAGAATACTTAAGAATTTGAAAAGCTTTCTTTAAAATATATCTCTTTTATGATGAAATACTAGAATAATCAAGTAAGGGCTTACTATGAATTAAAAGTATTACAACTAAGGAAGACATCTTTTTCTATATACTTTAATACGATTGCTAATATAATTAGCCAAAAGATCTAAGATAACATAGAATCCTAAATTGATTAAGTAGGTTCTCAAAATTTGAAAATGTTTGGAGATTAAATAAAAAATAGTAGAAACTCGAAATTGAGTAGGACAGTAAAAAATGAGCTAACTGTGCAATCAATTATAGATGTTGAACAAATATGTGCGAAGTATATGCCCTAATTTTTACAGCTCATAGACCATAAACATGAGCTTTGGGTTAAATTATAAGATGGATACAAGTCTATGAATGACTTATAAATAGATGCTATTAAATTAATGAAAGAGCTTAATTAAGTAAAAAGTACATATCTAAGAGCAATAAAAAAAGCTATATAGATAAATCCTGATATTGAGAACAGTTTATAATTCTAAAAACTAACTTAGATATTTTACTTATTTGTAGTTAATGATACAATAAAATCTATCTAAATAGAGACTCAGATTTTAGAATTAAAAAAGAGAGACACACTTGCTGAACTAGATTAGCTAAAAAATGTAAGTATGATTAAAGGTGATATATGCGTTATAGAAATTAGTCTATCTGAAAACCTAGGGAAAATTGTTAGTAAAAAAGATGAAAAAACAGCATCATTTTTTGGATTCTCTTAAAAGCAAGATTTTATGAAAATAAATCATATCAACGACTTAATGCCTAATTTTATAGGAAGAGTTCATAATGACTTATTGAAAAATTTTATTTAAGGGTAGTCTATTCGATCAAAAATGTAAGATAAAACGATTCTCTCACATATAAAACAAAATGATGGATATATATTTCCAGTAAAAATCCACTTTGATTTCTCATTCAACACATCCTCTCAAGATTTTCGAATGAATGGAATTATCTTAAAAAATAGAGCAGAGTAAGATTATATTATTTTTCATAGAAGTGGTTAAATTGTTGCTATGACAAGACATATAGCTAAGATCCTTTTCTAAGAATTCAACAGGCTACCTAATGGAGATGCTGCTATATAAAAACTGAATGCTTTATTAATGTTTCCTAAGATAGTTAAAAAGATCATTAAAAATAGGGATTTGATCTATTAAGATTTAACTGAAAAAAGCATTTCAGATTAATAATTTCTTGGTGATTCAAAGGCTTCTGTTAATACAAAATCAAAAAGTCTCAGTACTATGACAACTATGATTGAAGATTCATTTGGCTCAATGAGATTTTCTTCGAATCCATTTAATGCATAAAAAAAATTCATGAGATTTCTAAATTAAAAAGTTTAATACTCGCAAGGATCTCTGAAGAATAACTACAGATATGAAGATATTGACTTACTTGATAAATCTAGTTTAAAATTGCTTAAATAATATGAAGACTAAAATATAGGTTAGAGCACGAACAGAAGTCATCATGATTCAACAGATAGGCTTTTATCAGGAAAAGCAGCTCAAGCAAGAGATTTACAAGATACAGATTTATTTAATAAAGCTAGAATGATCTAAACAACTAATTCTCAAGTTTCTAAATAATAAATGGAGTATAAGATGATGTTTGAATATTAACTCTAATATTGTTTATTAAACCAAAAAACTTAGCAAACGTAAACAAAATACAATAATAAATCAATAAGCAGCTAATTTACTATGAATACTAAACAAAAAGAGTACAAAGATGAATTCTAAGATATATATTTTTAAGTAAAGATTGAGAATATAACAGTAAAATAGTGTGAAAAAAAAATTAAATATAAACCAAAAGAAACATTCATAAGAAATCTAGTAAAGTATCTTAGATCAACTACTTCTATTTTCTAGCTGATAGACTAGCTATAGGGTGTTATATTTCTTAAAAATGTATCTAATTCTGCTGCTATAGATACAACTGATGAGATAAAATTGAGTTCTTAAGAAAACAATAAGTTAAGTAATGACTCTACCTTAATTGTAGAATAATTAGCTCCTCAAAAATCACGTTCAGCAAGAGAAGATTTTAAAGATATTCCTAAAAATATGCTTTAGTTATTATAATCACAGCAGTAAGTTACAGGTTTAAAATTGAAATTTTATTTTTTTTTTAAACTTTTAATAATTTTAGTTGAAATTTTAATTAATTTGTAAGTTTTAAAATTTAAAAAAATCTTTGATTTTTTATTATTTATTTTAAATAAATTTATTTAACTCTTTCTATAAAACACAACAAAATTTAACTAAAATGAATCTATTATTTAAAAAAAATAACTTCAAAAATAAAAAGCCTTTGAAGAAGAATGTGAAGATTGGGGTAAAGTATAGAAAAAAGAATAAAAGCGAGAAAATAAGAACAATTCTTCTTTTAAAAGTAGTGATACTAGTTAATTTGATGAAAGTGATGCTTAAAGTGAGGATATTGACTTTGATAAAATTTATAATTAAGCTATTACCTAAATTAGTAATAATAAGTCAAGTAAAGAATTTTAAGATTAGCACAACTCTTAGCTAGAAAATTTAGTTTAAAACTTTTGTTCATAGAAAAATTAATTAATTCAACTTGACCCTAATTATTAAATAAAAAAAATATTATAGAAAAGATCTCTTTGCTATACTTTTAGTAAAGCTTTTGAAATAGCTTTTACTGAAAGTGCTTTCATTTTAGAATAGGAAAGAAGGGATCTAAAAACAAAATTTTAAGTTAAAAATCTAAATTATGAATAAATCTATAAAGAAGATATATATTTGCCAATGACTTTTAGATAGTAAACAGACAATTCAATGATTGAATTAAGTATGGATAAAATTCCTATAAGAAATCTGGCTATATTGGATAGTAACACTCAAAGAGATGGACAAAAAAAAGTTTTTTTGCAAGAATTAAAATCCTAGAATTTCTTAAGCTATTAAATTAGTGATAATAATTTAGATTAAAGTTTTGTAAGTGAGTTAAAAAATGTATAAGAAAATTAGGATTAAATATTTTAAAATGCTCTTGAATAATCAAAATTGCATGCATTTAATACTAGTATAGACATATATTAAAAAAATGTTGACCAAAAGGAAAAAGATTAGTCTTATTTAGATATATCAGCAAGACCTATCTTAGACAAATCTAACTCATAATTTTAAGATTAGAACTAAAAGTAAACTTAATCTATAATAAATTAAAGTTAGCTTAATCATTAAAAGAAAATATCATTCTATTCAACAGGTAAATTTTATATCAATAATTTATAGGTAAAAAAATTTATTAAAATAGAGCAAATACTTGAAACTCAGTAAAATGCTAAAGAATAAACAAAGAGATATTAAATAAAGATAAATGAACAAACTGAAAAGACTATCTTTAAATCTAATTAATAAATAGACTAAATTAAAATTGTAAGCAGTAATTCCTCATAAAAAGAATAAAATGAAGATGCCGAAGACTCAAATAATGTAGCTTAGGAATAAGCAGTTGCTAAAATTTTAAACCAAAAAGGAATGATTACAGGAAAAAATAGCCTATAAAGAGCAAGTGTAAATTCATCTTCAAGAACCTCCAGTAGTTATGCAGGCATATTCTTAAAAGGTTAATTTAAATAAGCAATTTTATTTAGTTTTATTAATTAAATATAAAAAAAATTTAGAAATTTTGATCAAGTAGAAGATTCCAAAGTCAGCTTAGCAATATAAATTTCTGTTATTAATTTTTCTGGTAACTTTTTTATGCTTAGATATTACAAATCTTATAACTATCCAAAATGATATGCAGGTAACTAACTAACTAACTTAACTATTTTTTTTATTAGAAAATATAAATTTTATTTATTAAATCAAATAAATATAATTAATTAATTAATTAATTAATAGAGGTTTGCTAGTAATGTAATAGTATTAAGATAACCCCGTAGACTGTTAAGAGCTTATGGTAAAGTTTTATTCGGATATTATCTTTCATTAGAAGTGTAACTGGGTTATTTAATAGATACTGATAATTCAATAAAAACAACTTATAATCTATATATGAATAGTGCAATTAACGAATATAAAAATGTTTCTGAAACTTATAATACTTAATTGATGCAATTACAACTACAATAATTATAGGACTAGTAAGATAGTTAGGAATTAACTTATACAGTATATGTTAAAAGAAAATAGTAACTTTAGAACGTTTCAAAGGCTTTGTAGTTTTCCTTTTAAGAATAATTTATCTATTAAATGAACCAAACATTTAAAGACTATGTTAGAGTAGATTCTTTTTTATATTTGAGAACAAATTATTTTAATTTTAGTAATTAAATCTTACAATCTATTAACTATCTTGTTGATGACACTATTAATTCAGTTAACAGTTTAATAAACAAATTTTACATTGTCATCATTTGTGCTATATTTAGTATAATTTTAGTTGCCATAATATCCATTCCAGTACTTAAATCTATTAATTTTTATGAGGAAAAAATTATGATGATTGTTACTAGAATAAACTATGATTAATCTGAAATGGAAAAAGCAAAGATTCAAGTCTGTAAATAACTTGTTAATGTTGATTATATAGACTGGCTCAATTATAACTACTTTGATATATTTAATATGTAGGCCAAAGAAAACAGAGATTTGAATTAATCTCAATCTTCAAAACATTATTCACAATAAAATTAACTCTCACTTCTAAATTCTAAAAATAAAATGAGGAGTACTGCAAATGTAAAATAAGCAAAAAAATAATTGTAAGTTTCTGGAGGTCAGCTAATTGAAACCAGCAATTTCCAAATGAGCAGTACTTTATAAATGGGTAAAAGCTTCTTCTCATCTCAACCAAAAATCAAAAACTAACTTCATTTAACTCATTTTAACAAACAAAAATAAGCTTTGTAATAGTAAAATGTTAGCAGAAGCGTAAAAAGTAAACAATATGGTTCTTCTAATAAATTTGGCTCATCAGGTGGAAATAATTACACTCTTTAGTCTAGAATAGGAGTATAAAACTTGAGAATATTTGATAGATTCTTAACATTGTTTATATTAACAATTTTGAACACCATATTTTTTTTGATTCTTATCATCTACTTAAGTTAAAGTGTTGATTCACTTAAAGTCCCTGTATAGATGAATTAAAGAAGTATCAATCTGCATGTTATCATGGTAAATCTAAAAATTGCAACAGAACTTCTATCTTTTGACTTTTATGTAAGAGACAATCTTTGGTCAGACTATCAAGTAACTAATCTAGAAGAATTTTATAATTAAATTGATTAGAGCTTGAAGACACTTTATGACATTTAGCAATAAAACACAGATATAATATATGGTAAAAATCCATTCCCATCTTATATAGTTTCGCAATTAAAAGATATGTAAGAAGGGCGAGGTTGTTAATATCTTTCAACATATCCTTGTAAGGATAAACAGTAAGTTCTAGGAATTATAAATGCAATATCACAAAAAGATAAGTTTGTAAGAGAATATCCTGAAGTTTTAAATCCAACCAAGACTCCTGAAGATTAATTAAAAGTCTTTTTGAATTCATAACCACATTTAGAAGGGTTTGTGTTTAGCTTTTTAAGTGAAGACGAGCTATTTGATGCCTATAGTGCAGCAATTAACTCTAGTATATCGATTTATGTATAAAAATCACAAAAAAGTGCAAATCTCAAAAAAGTTGAAATCGCAAATCTCAAATCTCAAAATATTTCCAAATAATACTTTTTTATAATAAATGAACAAAAGTGTTAAAAAATAAGAAAAAATTGTATTAACAAATATTTAAAATACATGAAACAAATAAAAATATTGAGTATTTTCAACAAATTAATTCATTTGTTTTTATTTTTAAAAGTACTTTTCTTAATCCCTTATTTATTATATTAATTATCGTCTTTTTTCAATTTCTAATATTTTTTCTATGATTTTTCTTTTTAGTTCTAAAACACAGCATGAGATTTGCACTTTTTTGTGATTTGCACTTTTTTGTGATTTTTATCAAAACACCAGTATATCAACAGTTTCCCTAAGTATATAAACTTTCTTGCAAAATTATTTAATATATGGAATAGTTATTTTTGGACTTATCATTATGTTAACTATAATTACTCATTGGAATCTACTATTCATCAGAATTTAAGAAATGAACTTACTTCTCACTATTATTCCAGAAGATAAATTACAAGAAGAAGTAACACTTCATATGATTCGCTAACTTCATCGTATGTGATTAAAAAATAGTAAAAATTCTTTACTAAGTTTAAATTGAAAGTACATTTGATGTAACTAAAAATATTTCAATAAAAATTAGACTAAAAACTTAAAGATATTAATATTAGCTTTTTTATATTATATAACTAATTTTGTTTTATTTTTTGAAACAAGTATTAATACTTTAAATACAGTTTATCTAATAGTAACATTAGTAGTTTTGAGAGTTTTAAATTTTTTGCTTCTAATGATAATTAAAATTTAGAATGAAATTTTATAGTTCATGTTAAAATAGAAGATTTAAATTTGATTTCAAAAGAATAAATTTATAAATCAAATTTAAATTTAAAATAAGTAGAAAATATTTATTATATAAATTTTAATTTAATGAAAAATTTTTATTTTTTAGAACTTTTAATAAATTAATAAAATATTTATGTAACCTTTGTATTTTTAATCTTTCTTATGCAATCTAAAAGTAAAAACTATGAATATATGAATTTTTAAAAAGTATTACAGCCAGTAAGTATCAAGAAAGAGGATGAGAGTTTTCTGCTAAATTGGCAATCAATCAACTATTTTTAAATAACATTTAAGCTATTCTAAAAGTTAAAAAATCTTCACTATGCAAACATTTTAATCAAAAATATACCCTAGCCCCTCAATAAAGGGGCAGAGATTAAACTGAGATAGTGCTAAAATATTGAATTTTGTAAATATGAAGGTTTGCATACCAAATTTAAATTGTTATGTTAAGGTAAAACTTATTTTTTTTATGTTTTATATTAATCATTATAAATTAAATTAGAATAAGAATTTAATATCAATACAAATAATTTAAAATATATAATAAGAATAATTATCATATTTCAAATTAAATAAGATCTAGAATAAGAAAATTTATCTAAGTTGCAAATTATTTTAGATAATGAATAAAAATATTAAATTTAATTTATTTTTGATAGAATATGAAGGAGAATTATTATTCTTATTCTATTCATATTCTCAATAAATTTATAATAGAATATTATCTTTTACAACCCTGGATAATTAATGAAAAATTAATTTTGAAAGTGAAATTTATTTATTTAATTATTAAAATTTTGCATAACAAACATAATTCTACAAAAAGTAAAGTTTTTTTTATTAAGCTATCAAATAAATACTATTAAAATTTATTGAATAAATATATTTTATATTTTACAAATTAAAATTTATTTAAACAGCTAGCAATTGATTTAGTTATTAAACTATGATTTAGATAATTAAGTTTAATTTCACAGATTTTATATCGGAAATTTTGTTATTTAAATATGATATTTTAATTTAAAATTAAAATTGAAATAGTTAGTCTCAAGATTCAAAAAATATTTTATTTGTGTAAATAGAATTTTTTGTACTCATTACATTTTGTTAATTATTTACATTAGAAGAGACGTTTTTAATCATAATTTTATCTTAAGAAGATTTTATTTTTATTGGCTTAGAAAAATCAAATTAGCTTGAAGTAGTATTTTAATTATTTTCTTATTTTATTGATTAACTAGGTTTAACTATTTAAAATTTTTACTCAGGTTAGTTTTCTTCATCATCAGATGATTAGCAAAAAGGATTCTTTTTTATATTTTAGACTGGTTTTTCAAGTGTTTAGTAACTTTTTTGAGATTCCTCATCTTTGCTTACTAAAATATTTTATTTAAAAAGTTTCTAAGGCTTCTAAATTTAATTTTATAAGCTTTTAACAGAAGTAAAATCAAAAGCCCTTTTTTAAACTACTTAAATACCATGTTATGGTTTTTATGTATTACTAAATGATTATTATTCTGCTTATTCTAATTCTAAATTATCTTTTTTCTTTAAGTTAATTTATTTTCTTAGCTCCTCTTATTTTTATTTAGAGGCCATTTTTTTCTCACTAAAAAATTGCGATAACTATATAAGAGCTTAATCAAATGAATCAATTTATTGTGTTAAGCACCAAGAAGGCATGTGTTTTATTATATCTTATTGTCCAAATCTTTCATCTAAAAATATAACACTTCCCCAGTCGTTAATATGCCTAATTACTCTTCCAATGGATTAATTCATCGCTCTGATGGCTTCTTGCACATACCATTCATTTCCATTTATTCTTTAAGAATTTAATTTACTTTATTGATTTAAATAGTCTTTTTTTACTTATATATTGATATTTTTAAGTGGAGGATATGGTAAGCCTAGTAAAAAATAAATATGTTAAAAATTAAATAGATTTTTTTAAATATTTACCTATTAAAATAACTGCTCTTGCAGATTCATCAGCAAAGTCAATACCTTCTGTAATTTTACCTCTTGCTACACAAAAAAATGCAGAACCTTTTTACGTTTTTGACTTTTATCTAAAATCTTACATAGCACTCATTGTTTCAGTATTAGTTTTTCCTTCCCAGTAAATGAATTTCTTTGATAATAAGCGATTGTATATTTTTTATTATTAATTGTTGCTATTTTGATTAGAAAAGAAATTTGACCATTAAGATCTACACTAATTCATTAGTTAATTTGATGGAAAAACGATTAAAACACCATTCGGAATAATTTCAAAAAGTTCAGCTAGAGCATTACCAAGATCTAAAATCATATCTTAATCCTTTCTTTTTTCATAGCTAAAGTTAAAGGTTTGCTTATATGTTGTGATAACAGATGATTTTGAAGGTCTACCTTTTATCACAGCAGAAAAAAGCTGCTTTTTCGAATCTATGACATGCTTATTTTCAAGGATTACGTTAAATGGAATTTGCAACTCAGTCTTCCAAAAATTAAATGGTTTTAATGTTCCTGAGGTAAAAAGTAAGCAATGAGGATCTTACTGAAGAATTTTTTTGAAATTCAAGCTGGGATTAAGGCAAGTAAGATTTAATTATGGATTTTCTGGATCTTCTAAATCAAAATAAAGCTTATAGTCTTGCATGACATCATTAGTTTAACATAACTATGAAGGATTGTCTGACTTTTTCGTTTTTAAATTAAATTCATTGTGACTAGTCCATAAATCTTTTAATCCTTCTAAGAATTTGACCCAAGTTTCTAGACCATGATGTGAAGCTCCTATACTCAAGTCTTTAATTGCTTTATAAGCTTTGTCTATATATTATGCTAAATTACTTTAGCTCAATCCGTTTTCAAATGAAACAAATTATGTGCCTTTTTATTTATCAAGAGCCTTCATGTATTTATCAACAGAATTTTCATTAATTTATTCTTTTGATGTTCTTGTATGGATTTAGATCAATTCGAATATGTCTTTACCATTCTAAATCTAAATATTATCACAGTTGTATTCATTATACTAGTTTTATTAATTTTCTCTTATCTATTTTAAGGCCATTTGTTTAAAATAATTTCTTAATTCCTAAATCGGCCCAAGCATTGCCTTACAGTCAAATGAGGAGCTAGTAAAATTTTTTGTGTCGAATTCGCTTAACTCTTTGATAGGTGTTCCTCTTTTTGCAGCACCTAAAGGTGCAGGCGAAGTTGAATTATTTTAGTCATCTACATACCCATTTTCAATATACTTAAGAAGATTTAGCAAATCAGCTTCGGCAGCACACAAAGAAGAATAGTTTAAAAACAAAGAATAACCTTCTTCTGCTGATTTGTGTATATTGTGAGCTTCATCAAATATAATTACAGCGTTTTTTATATTTATATTAGCTTAATTCATCACATTTCTATCAAGTAAATAGTTATATGGAAGAAAAAGAACATCTACTGCATTGTTAACTTTCTAGGTATGATAAAAGGGACAGTAATTATTGTTATATCCATCACTTCTTAAGTCCTCTATATCTGGCATTCTAAGTTTAAAAAAATCTCTGCTTTCATCCATAGTTCCCTTAAAGTATCTACAGTAAGTTTGTGGATTAAGCTATAGAATATAAAAGTAAAAAATTTTAAATAAAATTATTTCAAAATTCATTCAATTAAGAAATAAAATTGCTTATGACTAACAATAAATAATCTTAGATTCATTAACAATTTTAAAATAAATAAAAGCATACTTGGCTAATTGCTTTTTAGCATGAAGTATTTAGTAGACCTCCTTTCAACTATTAAAATTCTTTCTTAATGCAATACTGCTCTCTTGAACCTTACACTATTATCTTTGGCTAATAAGCTGTTGTTTTTATTTCTTTAACTACCTGCTATATTTAACTATGAGTTCTAGAGCAATAAATAATTCTATTTGGAATAATATCTTTAATTCCTTATTATTACTCTCTCCTTTATTATAGCCATCCTAAACACGCACAAAGCATAGATAAAGTTTTTCCTGTACCAGTCGGAGATTCTAATAAACCGTGAGTTCTTTCTTATAAACATTTTATGACACTCTCCATGTATACTACTTAAACATCATAAGGTTTATGAGGAAAATAAACTTCAATATTGTTTATATTTAGTTTTGTATGCTTATCTTTATGCAAAATGTTGAGATGAATAGGTGTATTCTCCAAAACAGGATCTTTGGATCTAAAACTTTTACTACTTTATTGAGAGTTTTCATTTGTTTAGGAAGAGAAACTATCTTATCTTTGGATAAATTTCTTTTGGTAAGCTAACTACTTAACTTTAATTGAAGGATAGTTTGGATTCATTAATCTTAAAAAATTTAGTTTGAAAATTTTCTCTACTTAAAATTTAATAGAATTTTGAAGCTTGATTAATTAAAATACAAATTAATTAGCGCCAATTCTCTAAAGCATACTAATAGAAGTATTTCATAGTATGAAGAATTTATACAATTAACTCCAAATATCTCCTTTAATTTATCAAGTTAATATTAGCTTTCATCTTTGGTAAGTAAAATGATTAATTATGTCAAAAAAAAAATATGAATTTTTTAAATTTTATTTTTTATAGAAAAAATATTTTTTTTATTTAATCATTTTAAAGTAAATAATTATTTATTAAGAGTTTATAACATATAGGCAATATTAATTACTTCTCATTAATTTTATAATTTACTGTAAATCCTCATTACATCTTACCTAAATTAGTGTTCACGTAAAAACCATTTTTGGGAAAAAATTTTATTAATAATAACTTCTTTAAAAGTAGAGATGGGATTATCTGATGATAACTAACAATTTTATAATAAAATTGATTGACATTTTAGATAATTAAAGCATAATACTTTTAAATTCATTGTCAAATCTCTAAATTGATAATTATTTGATTTTTTAATGTTTGTCTATCAATTAAAATAGAGTATCATCTATTGTTAAATATAAGCCAAATCTTTTTTAAATTTATTCTACTAATTAAATCGTGAAAGTAAATCAAAATATTTAATAAAATTTAAATTTATGAATTTATAGTTTATTTTTTTAAAATAAAATAATCACATAAAAATATTAAGAATTTAGTTCTATTAGTTAGAACTATTTTTTTTTTTTTTACTTATTAAAATAATTCCTTTAATTTATTCTCATTTTTTTATTAATATTTTATATCTTTTTTTTCAAAAGAATAAATTATTTAGTGTTTTTAATTGAAATGGAAAATTTTATGATTTGAATTTTTGTCTCTTACATTAATAATAGTTAAAAGTAGAAAAATAGGATTTTGTATGTATATTTTAAAAGTTTAAGTGATTGAATCTAAATTATAAAAAAATATATTTTAACTAATCTAAATAAAAAATGATAATTCCAGATTTATTAAGAAATAAGATATTTTATTTAACTTGTTCATTTCCTTTAAATAAGCAAAATAAAAATTAAAAAAACTATCAAACCTTATTTGATCGTATAAATTTAAATATCAATCTAGTTTTTAAATGAGTGTTGGTTTTAATGGGATATTATTTATTTACTAAATTAGATATTTAATAAACTAATTAGACATTTTTTTTACAAACATGATTATTTCTCAATTGATAATTTGCTTTATTTCATTAAAGTTACACTAAATTTCCAAATTATGGATTTTATATTAACAATTATACAATTAGTTTTGATTTTTTAGTAATAAAATTTTGCCAGATATTATTTTAAAATCAGCAATTTATTTGCATTTTAATAAATTTCTTAATAATCAAGTGAATCAAAAAGTTAAATTTAGTGCTTAAAATATTGTTATTCTCTAATTTTATTTTAATGAAAAAAACTTAAGAGTAAAATATTTTTATAGAAATTTTAAAATTTATTATTCTATGACAAACTTTAATGGTAATTTAATCATTGTAATTTGATTTAAGGTTTAAAAATATTGTAAGACCCTCATCGCAAGATGATTAATGTAATCTAAACAATTACTTAGAAGATAAAATTAAATCCATACAATTTACAATATTATTAGATTGATAAAACACTAATAATTATTCATAAATTTAGAATACCTGATAAGAAAATTTAATTCAACTCTTTAATTCAAACAAAAATTAATTATTTTTTATATCCATTAATAAATAAATTAAGTCCTTTTTCAGAGTATTTAAATTGATTAAAAGATTGATAAATGATATCTCAAAAAGCTAAAAGCATAACAGTCGCTATTTTATTATTCACTGTTATGGTTGTTGTCATGAACTCCTTAAGCAGTTAGAGTTCATAAAGCTTAAGATTAACTTCTGATGCTTTATAAACTAACTAAACTTGCTATGGTGTCATTTTTGATGCAGGTTCATCTTCAACTAAACTTGGTGTCTACTCATGGCCTTGCAGAAATGATGTCTCAATTCCTTAGATTAATCCTGTTACAATTCTTAGTGATAAAATATCACCAGGTTTATCTACCTTTGCTAATAATTTGACAGCAATTGAAGGTTATTTGAGCGGACTTTTACTTAAAGTAAAGTCTGTTGTACCAACTGAATTATAATCTACTACTCCTATCATGTTAGGAGCAACTGCTGGTATGAGACTTATTCCTATTGAGCAATAAACAGCTATCCTTGCATAAACCTACTAATTCTTCAATAACAGTGGATTTTATTTCTAAGGCGATAAATGGAACAGAGTAATTACAGGCTAAGAAGAAGGAACATTCTTGTGGATTGCAACTAATTATTTAAAAGGAACTATAAAGAACAACACCGATTTATATGGCACCAACAATCAAACATTTGCAACTATCGATCTTGGTGGAGCTTCAACTCAAATTTCCTTCAAACCTGCTCCTCCTGAGCAAACTGACGAATACGACTTCAATGTCACTCTTCCTGAAAATAATGACTACACTCTATATTCTATTTCTTATTTAGGATATGGTAATGACCAAGCAAGAAACAATGTAATAAATACACTTATCATTACTTTGATTGAAAAAAAAATACTAATTTTATCATAAAAACTTACAATTTATTTTACTTATTAAATACATTATATTCAAAAACTTACAATTAACTAAAAGGTTGTTTAACTCTCCACAAACAAAACTAGTAACATCACTTTTACAGGCTGCTACAACAACGGATACGAAACATAGTTAAATGGCACTACCATTTAAGGTAGCTACATTAATTTTTCTATAAAATATTTTAATATTTTTTAATAATATGAAGGTAACTCAAATGCAGAAGAATGTGTGAGAAATATTCAAGAGTTTTTAAATTCTACAAACTGCAATTATTCATATTAATCATGTTCAATAAACAGTACTTACCAAGCAATTGTAAACTAAAAATAATTATTAATATTTATTTAATTAAGTATTATTTATAATTTTTTATAGATTCCTGAAAGCACTTAAATCATTGCTGTCAGTGGTGTTAATGCAGCCATGACATCTTTTAACATGTCTTCTCCTTTTAGCCCTTACTAATTACTTGAAAAAGCCTAAAATTTCTGCAGCCTCGACTTCTAGACAGTTTCCGAGTTAGAACCTACCAATCCTTATATTTCTACAAAATGCTTCTTAGGTTTGTACGCTTCTACCCTTTTAATTGATGGATATAAAGTAGGCAATAGATTTATTGAATCACCTAGCAAAATTAAAGGTGCTGAACCTACTTGGTCATTAGGATTTTTGTTTAATGAAGTCTCTAATATGAATTGTGATCTCTCTGATGAAGCTTGTAAAGGTTTACAAAGTATTTTCAAAGCTTTTAAGTTATGAAAAATCATAAATAGAATATATTTGAATAAAATATGAAATTGATAAAATTATATTTTTTTTATTTTAGTTTAGTAATCATTTAAATTACAACATATAAAATTAAAATATATAAATTTAGCTCATAGTTGCTTTTATACCTATTTATACACTTAAGCTTTTTAAAAGTAACTTTAGGTGTTTCGAGAAAATTATATTCAAGATAAATTTGTTTTAAATGTTCAAATAAAATTTAAAAGATAATATTTTATTAATAGAATGAAAAATAAAACTTTAAAATTTAGTTTTTATTTTGCTATTCCTGATTAGAAAATTAAAAAAGTTTATAATTATTGTTGAAATTTTAAACTTATTTAAAAGGCACTCTAAATTGACAATTAAAAACATAAAGTTATTTAAAACCTTACATTTAGCTTATGTGTTTAAGACTTTTGTGAATTAAAGATAAAAAAACTTGTTGACTTATTCTTATTTTATTTTATATTTTTTTTCAGTAAAAATAAAAAAATAATTAGTAAAAATGCAATTTATTTTTCACAAATTAAACACAAAAATAAAACAAAAAATAAATATTTTATGATAGATAATTAACTATTTTCAATTATATTTGGATGAAACTTCAAAAGTAGGAACAAATTCTTTTTCTTTTCTTTTTTTAGCTAATTCTTGAGATTTTGGCAATATTACTGGCTTAAACAATGGCTAGCTAGATTCTGATAACTTTTTTTGTTTTTCTAAAAACTTTTCTTTATCTTAAATAAGTTTTTCTTCAACTTTAATATCTCTGATTATGCTCTGGCTTTGTTTGTTAATTTTTGGATGAAAAGTGGCCCCTTCAAGCTCTTTCTTTATTTATTCAAGTTAACCTTGAACTATTGTTTATGTTTTATTTTGTTTCCATTTTTATTATTCATCATAAAACTAATTTACAGATTTGCCATCTATCTTATTTATATTACTTTTTTATAGAGTTTATGGGTAGAAAGTACAGTTTTTAATCTCAGACTCTATCTTTTCTTTCTTCTTTTCTTCAAGAAGCTATTATCTCTTTTCAATTTAATCTTTGTATAAAGTAGTTGATATATCAGATGGCTTCCTATAAAAAGTCTTTTGTAATATCTTTTAAGAGCCTTTAGCTATTTCAATTTTATATTTCTCTTATTCTTTTTTTAATTTATCTTCTTACATCTGTCTTATCTTCTCTTCAATTTCTTCTTGTTTTCTATAAAGTCTAGTAACATAATCTTCTTTATCAGTATTTTTTGTTGAAGAAGTGCTAGCATATTGATATTATGTTAAAGCACTTTAGTTATAATCTTTACGATTGTTCACGTTTGAAGTACTTAAATTTACAGAGCTGTAACCCATGGGTGTGATACTTTTGTATTAACCAACCTTAATTCCACTCAAACTAAAAATATCATTAATTATCTTATTAGCTTTACTAGATTTATTTTTTTCGTTACTGTTTTAAGCAGAATTGAATTTATTTGATGAATTTGAAAATTGTTCATTTCCTCCTGATGAGTTTTTAGCAGAAAGAGACTGTTAATTATAAGATTGAACAAATTGTTATTCTCTATATTAATCTCTTTTGCAAATAGGAGATATTGTTTCATAATCAATTTTTAGACTCTAGTAATTTTAATCGTTAAAAGCTTGTTTTTCATTTTAAAATTAACACGAATCATAATTTTCTTCTTGCTGGTATTAATCATGATTTATTTAGTTATTCTAAATATCTTTAGGATTATTCACTTTTTTTTCAGGTTAATTTATTTAATTCTCATTATTCCTTTGAGTATCCTCATTATTAATTTTAATATCTAAAAATTACTCTTATTAATTTTATTGGCTTTAGTCAACAGTCTCACTATAATGAGAATTCTAATCCTACTGCTAAATAAAGCCTTATGCTTAATTGGTTAACTCTTCTTTTAAATTTATATCTTTTTAAACTGCACTTTCCTAAGCTATTTATTCATCTCTTTATAATGTTTGTTTAAGAATTTCCTCTTGCTATTATTAAGCTTCTTCCAGTGTCTTTTATAGCTCTATTTCTTTTTAATTTTTACTTCTTTATAGGATGTCTTCCTTTTGATTTTCAGCATTATCTTAAGCATCAATAATTTAATTAGTTTTAGTGCCATCTAACTAACTATTTGGAGATTTTTGAATTTCAATTTATTATTCTAAACTATTTTCAGTTTGTTGCTTTATAATTTTTCCATTTTCTTATTAATTATGATTATCTTATTAGTCAATACTTGTGATTTATTAATTATATTCGTTTTCATTTTATTCTTATTCAGTGCTTTCTCTAACACGCTTTTATAGTATTTCTTTGAATACTTATATCCCTCCTTTCCTAATTTAAGAAATTTGCTCTTTTGTAAACCCTAATGAATCTAATTCAGGTGTTTCTTCTCCTGAATCTTCGTCTACATGCAATTCCTCTAAGATAGCTTCATACATCTCTAGATAAATTAAATCCTCATCTATTTCATTTTAAATCAAATCACCTTCAACACTCATACTTTTATTCACTTAATTATCCTTATTATTTTTAAAGCTTGTATGATATTTTGATCAAATAATATTAAATTGAGAATTTGGCAGAATTATTAATAATTTTTTGATATTGTTTACAAATTTAATTTTATTGATGCTTATTGAATAAAATGTTGCTTGGTCTATAAATAAAGTTAAAATAATAAATTTTGTGTTAAGGCGACTAAGATTACTATCAATAATTGTATTGTATTGCAAAATATAAATATATATAAGCTTATTTATGTCAAAAATAATTTGTAAAGGATCTACTAAAATCAATATAATATTTTTTGTATTCTAAATCCATACATCAATTTATAAAATTTTAATTAAATTGAAACAACTATATATTAATTTTTACATATTTTTATCCTTTTTACTCAATAAACATAATTTTAATTGAAAAGCTTAATCAATTTAATGAGCGAGTAACCTCTGTAGCAAGTTTAGCCATAATAAAATTTAGACTAAAATGTATTTGTTTATAAATTAATTTCTTTTAGTCACCTTTTGATTGTATTAAATATTTTAAAAGAATGATGATTTAATTGATTCAAAGATAGATTAAAACAATGCCGATTTATAGAATTAAAATGATTTCGATCCTATAGAAGATGAAAATGATATAAATGAAAGTGACAGTAATGAAAATAATAGTTAAAACAATTTATAAGAAGAGTAAAAATCAGAAAACTAAGTAGAAGACAACAATTAAAAGTTATCAAAAAATGAAATGAAAAGATAAAAGCGTGCAGAGATGTGGGAATCAATAAAGAAGAAGAAGAAAGAGCTAAAAAAGTAAGAAAAAGAAAAGAAGAAATTAGAAAGATAGCAATAACATATTGAAAACTCAAAAAATTAAGAAGAAGTAATTTAGTAGAAATAGCAGCATAAAGAACCTTATAAATCTAATTAATAACTAAGGGATGAGTACTCTAATAGAGCAAAGAATGGTTAGCCTATTATTTTGGATATGTAATTTTTAGATATGTTAGAAGATAAAGAATTTAAAAGTTTAGTGAAATAATTATGTTACATGTAATCATCTAACAAAAAGGCTGAAAAACCTTGTAGATTTATAATATCATCTGTAAGCCCTAAACTTAGATAAGCCCTCAATGCAAATAATGCAGATAAGTGGGGTATTGAAATACTAGATCAGCACTATTTAGATTTATTTCCAAAGGATAATTTAGTCTATTTGACTGGTGATACAGACCAAGATTTAGATGAGTTAGACTAATAGTAAGTACATTTTAAAAAAATGTATCTTTAAATTTTTTTAAAAAAAGATGTGCTTATATAATTGGTGGACTTGTAGATCATAATAGATTAAAAAATGTAACTTTGAATGCTGCCACGGAATAAGGTTTAATTGAAATTTATTTGTAAAACATTTTCACTAAAAAAAATACAAATATTAGGAATTCAAGTAAAGAGATTCCCAATTTAAAATCATTTAAAACTAGAAGCCTCAAGTATACTTGCATGCAACCACGGTAATAAAATTATTTAGTTTAAAAATAATGTTTTGTAGCAACTTGCAAAATACTTTTTGTTTCCTGACAAATTAGCCTATCTAATTTCTCATTAAAATTTGGTGTTCATTTTTTTAAACTTTTTAAATTTTTAAAACTCGTGCTAATTACAGTAAAAACAAAAGTGCTATAAATAATATCAAATAAAAATAAATTTATCATATTCGAATTGATTTGAGATTTTTATGGATTGAATGAGATTAGATTTTATCAAAAATTTAAATTGCTTATTTGTAATTTATCAAGAATGAGATAACTTTTATCAAATTTATAAACATTTTATTTAATTTTTAAAATAGTTTTTGATATTATGGTCCAAAGAGCTAATGGAAAAAGTTGGAAGGAAAGTTTATAAACTGGAATTCCTATACGTAAAGTAGTTGCCTTGATAGAAAATGGAGTAGAAATCCCTACAGAGCACTATTTAAAAAAGTTAGAATAAATGAAAAAATAGTAATAGATTGCTTTAGAAAAGAAAAAGCTCTAAGAATAATCTTAGGAATTTATTAAAGATAGCTAAAAAGCTTCAACATATAATGAAATTAAAGAAACTGATTTAAAAGAATCTGATATTTAAAATGAAAGTGATGAGTCTAGCACAAATAAGGATTGTATTTGAAAATACTCTCTTCAATATTAAAAATTTATTTTAATTTATAATTGTTTGTTTATCTCTGCAAATCTAAATAAAATTTAAAATATCAAAAATGATTGCAAATTAATGAAATGATTTTTTGAGAATAATTTAATAATTAAAACCTTATAATAGATTAAGTTTATATAAAGTGTATTTTGATTTATATTAATTGTCTAAAATAAATTATAAATTATATATTTATCTAGTTATTTAGAATAAATTAATAATGTCTATCAAAATATATTAATTTTATGTTTTGATATGAATGAAAATCAATAAAATTTGTATTTGATTATTTAATAATCAAAAGATACTTACAATTTATTTTCATTTATAAATTACTTTATTTTTAATTAATAACTTAATCAATATTGTTCTTTCATTTGATATTAAAAAGTTACTCAGAAATAAATATAAATTTTATAGAACATTTACAAAAATGGCTGGGATCGATCAATTAATCAACTAAGAGATATCAGACTTTACTTTAGATTCTGTTTATAATAGTAAAAAAATGTTTATGAGCAATTTGGGCTTGAAAGTGCCTGATTTCATTGAAAGTACTAGATTAAAATTATAAGTTAAGATTAATGATGAGTATAAATTTGCTTATGATAAGTAGATAAAAGAGGCTTAAAAATAAGAGGAGCAAGATATCCTCAAGCTTGCAGAATAATTTTATGATTAATCAACAGAAAGTAATGTCCTTCTTAACGAGCAAGTCCAAAAAATGCAAGAAGAAAAGAAAATCAAGGAATTAAATGCTTAGAAAAGAAGCAATATCGAAGTAGTAATTGAATAAATACCTGAAAAGCAAATTGAAATTAATAAAAAGTTATCAAAACTCCCAGCTTCTTTCCTAAAATATGGATAAAAGGCTGGATTAGATAGTCAAACTTTAGAAAAGAAAAAGGAAGAAGAAAGACTTATGCTTACTTATTCAGGATCAGCATCTACTGCTAATAATTAATTATTATCATAAAGTGAGAGAGATGCTTCTAAATATCAAATAGCTAATCTATCTACTGATAACTATGTTAAAGGAGGTGAAGTTATTGATACTGTTAGAATGGGATCTGCTATCGCAAGAAATATTACAAAGGTTATTAAGCCTGAGTGGCATAAACCTTGGAAATTAATGAGAGTTATTGCTGGCCACAGAGGTTGGGTTAGGTGCGTAACTATAGATCCTGCAAATTAATTCTTTGTTACAGGATCAAACGATAGAACAATTAAATTCTGGGATTTAGCCTCAGGATAATTGAAATTAACCCTAACTGGCCACACATCTCCCGTTAGAGCTTTAGTAGTATCTGACAGACATCCTTACTTGTTCTCTGCAGCCGAAGATAAAACTGTTCGTTGCTGGGATCTTGAAATGAATTAAGTCATCAGAAACTATCACGGACATGTAAATTAAATAATATTTATAAATTAATTTTAAAAGTTACTTGTTAATTTGAAAAAATGAATTAATTATAATGAATTTTATTTAAATTAGTTATCAAGTGTTCATTCTATTTGCATTCACCCTACTTTAAACTTAATTGCAACTGGTGGCAGAGATTGTACAATTAGATTATGGGATATAAGGTAGCATATTCAAAATTAAATTAGATATAAAATAATATTTTTTATCTTAAAATAGAGCAAGATCGTAGGTACATGTTTTAACTGGACATTAGCATGCTGTAGGAACTGTTATAAGTTAAGAATTTGAACCTTAAATAGTATCAGGCTCTTATGATAATTATATTAAAACTTGGGATATTGCAGCAGGAAAATGTATGAAAACATTGACAAACCATAAGAAACCTGTAAAGTCTTTAGTTTTTCACCATAAAGAATACACATTTGCTTCAGGTGCAGCTGATAATATCAAGGTTTGGAAGTGTCCCGAAGGAGAATTTTTAAGAAATATATCATCTGGAAATGATCATATAGTAAATTCAATTGCTTTAAATTAGGATAATGTACTCGTTAGCGGTTGTGATGATGGTAATTTAAGATTAAATTTTATCAATATTGATTAAAAAATAATTAAAATATAAAAGGTACTCTCAAATTTTGGGACTGGAAATCAGGATATAATTTCTAAACAATTAAATAAAAGCCATAACCTGGTTCTATAGCTGCAGAAAATGCTATTTTTGATATGAAATTTGATAGATCATAAATGAGGTAAGCTAAACAAACATAAAAAATTTTAATTTCTAATAATTATATTTTTAAAATAGACTAATCACTGCTGAGTGTGATAAAACTATAAAAGTTTATAAGGAAGATGATGAAGCTACAATGGAATCTCATCCAATAAATGATTTTAAAGTAGAATATGGAAAGCAAGTTTATTGAAAAAATATTTAAATTTATTTTGAAGAAATTAATTAATGTGTAAAAATTTTATAAAAATATTTAATGTATATATTTTAATTACTATTCTTATTTCTTAATTATTATTTCAAAAGCAATTTTTTTTATTGGTTCAAAAATACTCACTTTTTTATATTATTAACTATTTCATAAATAAAATAATGCTAGTCAATTCAGTTTATAAAAATAAAATTTTTCATTTGAATTTTCATTTAAACTAATTTTCATTAATTTGTAATTATTAATATATGATTTTCTATTATGAATTTTATAATTTAAAAATAGCCAATATTTTGAATATTATTCTTTTAAATAATCAACCAAATTATAAAATTTATTTTAATAAGTTTAATTTTAACATTCTAAGAATATAAGACCTGTTTTAAAATTTAAAAGTTTAGAAATAAAAAAGTTGACCATTTTTTATCTAGAAAAAAAAAAAAATTATTTACTTTTTTAATGGAATGCTTATATGCCATATTTGTAATTCAAATAATGTATTTTTACTTAATTTGTTATTTGATGTAAGAAATAAATAGATATTTATTCAAAAAATTAGAGTTAGTTTTATATTAAAAAATGATATTAAATCAAATAAAGGGTTTTTTATTTTTATAAATGTTTTCTAAACATATTCTTTCTTTAATTATTAATAATATATGGAGGAAATTATTTTATTTATATGTTTTGATTTTTCTTTAATACAATAAAGACTATTATAATTTGCAACAAGCTATATATAAAAATTCTTTTTAATTAAAAATTTTATCAATTTTTATAAATTAATATTTTTAAAAAAATAAATTTCAAAATAATTTAAATATGGAGTTTGAAGACGATCAATCTTTTGAAAAATCAGTAGAGTTAAATCCATTGGATTTTCAAGAAGAGGAAGTAGAGCAAGATATTATAACCCTAAAAGATGCAGTGCTATTTGTAGTTGAGATGAGCTAAAATCTCTTCATACCATATGGTGATGGTGAAAAAAAACAAGTAAATTAATAAAATTAATTTATCTATTTTTAAATTATTTTAATTTTCTTAGATACAGTATCAAATAGTTATGAAATCTTTAGAAATTTTCTTAAAAACTAAAATTATATGTTCACCAACAGATATGATAGGACTTTTATTTTACAACACAGACTAATCAAATATATAATCCTTTCCGAATTAATACCTTTTATTAAATTTACAAAATCCTTCTGCACAATCTATATAATTTGTAAAAATGCTGCAAACTAAAGAACAAATGAATGGATACTAAAAAATGAAAATAAAAAATGTTTGCTTAAAAGATCTTTTATGGAACATCAACAAATAATTTTTAAATTTGTAAAATTTAATTTAATCTGGAAATTTAAATTAAATTTTTTGTTTTTTTGAAGGAAAAATGGCTAGTACTCAAAAAGAGTATTTTTATTCACTTCAAATGATGAACCTGATAAAAACAATATAGAAGCCTAAAAAAATGCTATAAGCTATGCATAGAATTTACTTGAAAATGATGTCAATATAGAACTTTTCCCTCTCAAAAAATTAGTACCAGAAGCTGAGCATTTTAATGTCAGAAAATTTTATAGTTGCATTATTAATTTTGATTTAAGCGAAATAAACGAATACTCAATAGACGAAACTTCAAAAATTTACAATTTGTAATCAAGAATCAGAGCAAAATTATTTAAAAAAAGGTGTTTAAACTTAACAAGAATTAAAGAAATTTTATTTATTTTAAATTTTTAATTCAATAGAAACATTAGCAGGATTTACTGGCAATTAGGAAACGGAGTAAATGTTGGAGTAAAAGTATACTCACTGTTTAACAAAATAACTAGACCAAAATATAAATAATATACCAAAGATGACAGCAAACCAGTTTCAAAGTTTACTAGATATTTTTGTAAAGAATCTGGTAAAGAATTGAGACCATAGGAAATTGGAAAATGTCTTCACTTACTAAACAAAAAAGGAAAACCAAAAGATGATTACATAAAAGTTAGAATAGACAAAGACGAACTTCAATAAATAAAAAACTTAGAAGAAGTTGGTATGAAATTAATAGGTTTTAAAGATAAATCATTTTTAAAAGTATATTTTAATTTGAAACCTTCTTTGTTTATTTATCCAGATAATTCTCTCGTAAAAGGTAAATTTTTAATTTAATAATACATTTTTATTATATTAATTATCAATATTGTCATTAGGATCTTCTTAGTTGTTCGATGCTTTAATTAAAAAAATGATCTAAAAGGTAAATTAACTTATATTCTGAATTCAGTAAAATAATTTAAAATATTTTAGGAAAAAGTAGCTATTGTTAAAATCATAAATAGAAAAGGAGGCCAGCTAAGATTTGGGTGCTTGTTACCATAATTAGAAGAGTACAGCCCAGTAGATCATGTATAAATACCACCAGGATTTCATCTTATTACTTTACCTTATTGTGGAGAAATAAATCATTTACCAAAATTTGTAAAACCTGGACCAACAAAAATCTCCCAAGAAATGGTAAAATTTATATAAAATTGATTTTTAAAGCAATGGTTTAAATTATAAATAGATTTTAGTAACTAAATTGCTGATGAATCTCTTGGAAATATAAGAATTTGATTTTAGAAATTTTGAAAACCCTTCCAATTCCCATTTCTATTCGGTTTTAGAAGCAATAGCCCTAAAAGAGGAGAAACCATAACAAATAGAAGACTTAATGGAAGTTGATACCGAAAGAATAAATAAGTTCAAAGAAGTAATTGATTTATATGGAGATTGTTTAGATGCTGAAAGCACAACAAAAGACGATGATTATGTGATAAAAGACCTTTCAGGAAAAAGAAATTTAGATCAATACTTAGAATAGTATGCTGAAGAAGTTGAAGAAGTTGAAGAAGAGGAATATTAAGTTTAAACCTCTTCTGAAACTAGTAAATTCCTTAAATAAATTTTTGAAGAAGAGGAAAAGTTGCAATAAAAATAAAGCCTTTAAAAATAAGTAGTAAAAGACCTAAAAAACGAAATAAAAGTTTAGTCAAATAATTAAATTTCATATAAGAAAGAAATCCAACCTCAAGTTATTGAATAAAAGCAGACACATTTAGTTAGTTAAAAGCAACAACAGTCTTAGCAGTTAAAACTAATCAAACCTTCAATAATTGAAAAATAAATTTCAATTGAGGAAATATAAAAAGAATAAAAATAAATTGTACAAACTAAAAGTCTCACAAAAGAATAGAAACTTTTTGTTAAAACTATTTAGAAAAAAATTATTTAAAAAGAGGTAAATTAATTAAAATATTATTTTTATATAATTTATAAATTTTCATCAAAAAATAGTTTGTCAGTGATAAAGAGATAATTTAATATTGTTAGCTCACAAACCAACCACTATGAAATCAAATCTCTCATTTGAAGCATTTCACTAATTATAATAATTAAATATATTAAATTTTTAACTTATGGAAACTTTGTATTTTGAAATTTATTAACTTAAAATTAATTATAAAATGTTTTCTTTTAATTTTGAATAGATTTATTAACCTTACTCATATTACTCATAGATAATTTATTTTTTATTAGCTTCGAAGTAAATTTATCTTTTTCTTCTTTGATTATAAATTTTATAAATAACATTTTCATAAAAATTAACAAAAAAATAGTTATATTTATTTTTTAAGTAAGAAATTAATTTAAAACATTAATTTTAATAATTTATAAAAATGTTTTTTTCGATAATTTAAACAAACAATTCATTTTGTTTTTAAATATAGCATATTATTTAGTTTTTAAATAAATTCTATTGTATTTTGATTATCTTATTCTTATTTATAGGAGCTTCCTTCTTAACTATAAATTATAAATTTTAAGTATTTTATATTAAATTTATTTTTTTATTTGAGTGACTCATTTAAACTCATGAGATTAATTATATATAAATAAGGATTAAATATAATATTTATTTCACAAATGAAAATTTATTTTTTTATTAACTTCCAAATAAATTTCTCCTTTTGTTCATTGGTTTGGAATCTAATTATTAGCAGTTTGTTTCATAAAAATTACCAAAAAATAGTATAATTTATTTTTTTAAGTAACAAATTAGCAAAAAGCATTCATTCTAATAATTTATAAAAGTATTATATAAGTTTATTTAATTAACTCATTTCGTTTTTAAATATTAAACATTATTTATTTTTTATATATTTTGATTATCTTATTCTTATTTAAGGAAGTTTCTTAATTGTAAATTATAAATGTAAAGTATTTTATATTAAATTTATTTCTTTTTGAGTGACTCATTAAGCTCATGAGATTCATTATAAAAAAATAAGGATTAAATAGAATATTTACTTGACAAATGAAGATTCGATATAAAATGTTATTTTAAATTAATTTGTATTTGCTTGAATTATGGGAAAAGATATATTTACTAGTAAATTCTATTAAATTATATTCGTGGCCTTAATTTTAATTAATTATTAATATTAGATATTAATCAGATTTCTCAAAAAATTTAAAGAAAGATTTGATAAATAGCTTGACACTGTCAAATCAAATCAAATTGTATTCAATAAATTGTAATTAACTATAGTTTTAACAACTAAATAAACAAATCAAATTTAATACAAAAATGATAAGATAAGGGTAAAAAACTCTCAATAATATTACAAAATTTAGAAGTTTTTCGTAGCTTCCTTAATATAACTTCAATGTGCAATCTAAAAAAGAAGATTTAAGCCTACTTGAAAAAATGGATCCAAGAAAAAACAAAGATTTAGCAACAAAATTAAGGATATTGCAATATATTAAGCCATACATAATCCCATTTTATCATCAAGATAGTAAAGTTTTATTATAAAAAGAAAACCCTTTTATCAATACAATTTTGTTACATTCATAATAAAATCTAAAATTATTTTTTTAAAAGAGGAAATAAATAAAACAATTCTGAAGTCTTATGGTTATATGTTTTTATCAAAATCTTTCTTCTACGCTGTAAATTATTTATTTCTACTCAACTCAATTTCTTTGAAATAATTAAACAATATATTTTTCGTTACTTTCATGAAATAGCAACATCAAACAAAGTTAAATATAAACTTATTCATGTAAAATTATGTTAAATAGGGTCCTATAAGTTTAAAGTATGCAATCAACTACCTAGCTTCCGCTTCTCTTATTTCGTAAGCCCCTATGTTTATTTTAGGATATGGATTGTGTAAATATAAATATTTTTCGTAAAAAGAGTGTTTAAAAAATGCATAAATTATCAAAAGGTTATTCTGCTTATGTGTTTTTTGAAGGGTAGAGAAATAAAATTTTGGCTAATGTAAATTTTGAAGATAATTTATTTTATAATATCTATGTTTACAAATTTATTATAGATCAGTTAAAACGCTTTAAGAGAAATTTCTTAGTAAACTTACGAACATTTGCTGAAGCTTGATCCTTCTTTTCATTTTGGAGAATCATAAAGATAAACTATTTTTGATATTACTAAGGCTCAAAAGGCAATAGAGTCTAATCTTAAAAGTGTTTCTTCTTTCTTCATTCCTTTTATTTCTGATGTAGTGTTATCATCAGTATTTTTGCTTTACCATTGTGGACCTTTTGTTTTCTTATCCTTTTTAATGACATATGGAGGATATATCTGGTTTACTTTTGATTTAACTAACGTAATCATATTTAAAATGATTTAATCTAACTTAATTATTACAAAAATAAGTCTAGAAGAAAAGGTATGGGATTACAAAAAAAATATGAAAGATTGGCAGATTTCACATTAAGCGAAACATTATCCAATTATTATAATGTTAAGTATTACAGTGCTGAAAAGTTTGAAATAAACAGATATACATCAATTCTAGAAGTAAAAAATAATTCTTATTAAAGTGTAATTAATTATGTCTTATTTGTATTTTTTTATTTTCAAGAATTACAAAAATTAAACTATTGAAAATCAAAGAACACTAGCCTAGCTTAATAGTGGATAGAGATTTGTCTTCTCAATTGGTTTAACATCAAATATGATATATGGCGCTTATAAAGTATAGAAAGGTTTAATGACTGCTGGTGATATTGTCTTAATGCAATCTTTGATGATGCAGGTAATTTGTTTTAAAATATATTATTTTATAATTAACTTAGGTTTATTAAATTTAAGGTTCTTTAACCTTTGTTTTTCTTGGGAGTTTAGTGGAGAGAATGGACAAACTCTGCTCTTGATATTCAAAGACTGTTTAAAATAATGGATACAAAACCTAAGTAAAATATTTTAAAGGTTTAAATAATTAAAAAAAAATTAATTTATTTATTAAAATATTTTAGAATTTAAGATTCTCCTAATGCAGTAGATTTTGTTTACAAGGGTGGTGAAATTGAGTTCTCAAATATTAAGTTTGGCTATTCAAATGATAAGGTTATTATAGATAATATGAATGTTACATTTGGAAAGGGCAAATGGATATCTCTTGTTGGAGAATCAGGGTTAGGAAAAACAACAATGTTTAACTTAATAGTAATATTTTTGATTAATATGTTTTATTAATGCTATATATAAATAATAATTTAGTTTAGACTATACGATCCTCAACAAGGAAGTGTCCTAATTGATGGTTAAGATATTAAAAATCTAAAGATGGAAAGCTTTAGATCAAAAATTTGTGTGGTCTCTCAAAACCCTTATCTATTTAATGACACTGTTATGTCAAATTTACTTTATGGAAGTAAAAATAAGAAACAAGAAGATGTTATAGAAGTATGCAAAAAGCTCAATCTCCACGATTTGTTCATGGTAAATATTTTTTTAATGAAAAATCTGAATTTTATGTTTGGACAGCTGACTTATTATAAATATGAAATAATATATAGAGTTTACCTCAAGGCTATTAGACTTTAGTTGGTGAACAAGGTAATAAATTTTCAGGTGGTGAAAAGCAAAGAATATCTATTGCAAGATGCCTTCTAAACGATGCTTAAATTATTCTTTTAGATGAACCTACAAGCAGTTTAGATAGTATAAATGAAGATAGAGTTATGAAAGCTATTGAATAATTACGTAAAGATAAAACAATCATTATGATTACTCACAGATTGCATTTAAATTCATATACTAATGAAGTCATTTACTTGACCAAAGACGGTTATAAAGAATAAGGTAAGCACTCTCACCTAATTTAAGAAAAAAATACTAGATATTCTAAATTTTGGGATAATTTCGTAGTACTCGATCATTCCGATACCAATAGTGTCAAAGTTGACCAATCTGAAAACTCTTTGAATGAAAAACCTTAAAAAAAATAAAATGGTTAAAAAGAGGAAGAAGAAGAAAAAATGGAATGAATAAATACAACTATTTAAATTTGTAAAAAGAGAAATATTAACAAAAATAAATAAAATAAAAGAAATGAATTGCCTCTCTGACTTATTATCAGTAGTTAACATTAAAGTTAGAATCTAAGTAATAAAATTGATTTAAAATTTTAATCATAACAATATATTTTAAAAAATAAACAATTGTATTACAATTTATATAAATTAATTTTTTAAATAAATGTTAAAATATTTCAATATCTAACAAACTTAAGCTTTTATTGTCAAATAAATGTAAAAATATAATATTATCAAAGTGTAAATTGAATGATACTCATAGATAATTTATTGATTAATTTAACTCCAGAAGATATATAAATAAAATGAAAAAATTAAATTAAATTAATTTAAAAATATTAAAAAATTCTTATAAAATAATTAATTATTATGACAATTGTTACAAAAATATTAGTATTGTTAAATAAGTTTATAATTAATTACATAATGTTGTTTTTTTAATGTGTTTTCTTTATTTATAAAATACTTTTTATTAAGCAAAATTAACACAAATTTCATTTTTTATTAGTTTTAAAATGAAATTTTTTATTTATTGTATTCATTCGTTATAATGTTTTTATGAAATTATTGTATGGAGGATAAAAAAATTTTTTTTACAGCTTTTAATCATTTTCAAAAGATGAAAAGTTCTTAAAATTCACTCAGTTCCCAAGCAATTTCTTTTCTAAATATATTTAAAAGACCCAATTTTTTTGCATTCAGTAGCTATACCCATATTTTTTGAAAGTTAAAGGATTTTAAAGTTAATAATCTTAAGACTGTATTTTCAGGTAGCTCGACAAATAATTTTAAATGATTTAAATAAGGAGTTGAATTGTTGAAAACTTATTCGCTAATGGTTTTTATTATTTGCTTTTAATAGGTTTGAATTTCTACTGGAAAATTAACAATGAAATCTAAAGAAAGAGACTTTAGGAAGTACATATTAGGTGAATCTAAAATAGTTAAAACAACTTCGTAAAGGTCCTAATCTATTTCAATAGGTTAATTATCAGGGAAAAATAGGTGAATATGTATTTTCTTGTGAGCAATTAAACCTTTAAGCAAACTTGTTATGTTGGTTGTTGTAATATTTGTAGTATTTCTAAATGTTAAATCTATGAATATAAGATCTTTTAAATCTAAGATATTCTCTGTAAATAATTAAAAGTCCTTTTCTCTTAATTCAATTTCTTTTAAATCTAAAACTAGATAGTTTAATCTTGTGCTCTACTATCTAAGATTATTAGAAAACTCTATTAATTATTAACCTGTTATGTTAAGCTTCTATTCTGTGTTTGAATTTACAAATGAAAGTTCAAAGTAGGATAAATTTTGAAAATGAAGAATTGAGATACAAGTTTTAAAAAATAAAGGGTTGTATAGCTGGTCAGATACAACTTTTATTGAAAGTTCCTGCAAATCTTAAAAAATATTATTATTTAAAGTTATAAAAAGAAGGTCTTCAGGTCTAAATGACTGCAATATTTCGGTTTGAGAACCTTATTCGTGCATACCTTCATCAAAAATTAGTCGTAATTAGCTTTTATTAGGCTCATAGCAATTAAAACAAGAAATAAAAAATGCTAAATCTTGTTCACTTGGTTAAAATTTTAATTTGTTTGATTTATAAAATTTTTCTTGAATTATATTAAATTTCAATGACCTCTTTTCAACCTAGACTTTTTTATTATATTAGCTGATTGCACATTTCTTGTTTTCTCTCTCCTCTTTGCAAATATCATACCACTTTTTTAGTGTCGATTTTGAGCTTTACTTTTTAAGATTGTATGTATTCTTAAAGAAATCATATATTTCTTTAGGGATAGAGTCTATTTTTTCACTGCTTCCTCTGACTTTTTCTTATCCGCTTTTCATTTCTGTTTCATTTTAATTAATCATTTAGCAATTTCTTATGTTATTTTGGCAGGAAAGACTTAATTAATCTTCTTAATTCTAAAATGGCTAAATAAAATTACTATTTTAAGTAAAATTAGCTTCTAAATTTTGACCATGGTTATATCCATTTTACTCTAAGTTCATTTAATCCTATACTTACATCACATTTCTTAAATAGACCTATCTTATTTCTCTTTAAGAAGCCATCTAAATACTGCTCAACTCAAGTTTTGCTTTGAAATATAGTAAGCAATTATGCGTAATTTACTATAAAATAAAAGGCTATGCAAAATTGGTCTTGTATTTTTGTTTTATTTTCTTTGATATTTGACAACAAAAATGAATAGAGTAATAAATAGTCTTTCAAAAGTTTTAAACATACATACATACATACACATATAAATAGTAGAACATTTATAGAAGAAAAAAATTTTCTCTTGAAATTCCATAAATTTTACACAATAAAATGATTAAATTCCTAACAACTGCTATATCTTTCTGACATATTTTAAATTTTTTAAATATTCATAAAAGCTACCAAAATGAAGTATAAATTTGATTGTTTTAAAATTGATAAATTAAATGAATTTTGTAATCAATAAAATAATAATTAAATAAACTCTTTTTTTTAATTCTTTTATTTTTTATATCCATATTTTATTTTGCTAATATTTTTTTATTTAAGAAATCTAATCTATTATTTTATTTACTCTTTTAAAGACTTTATTTACCCTTTAACAAAAGTGGAATTATACAAATAATAAAAATCTGTATTATATTTTATCTAACTAAAAAATAATAATATTATTATTTTTCTTAAAATATATATTAAGGTCACTTTACATATCATTCGTTTCTTTAATTAAATGACTGACACAAATTTGAATAAGGATATACTTTATTCATAAAAAATTAAAATATTTATTTATGTTTGATAAAAATTGTTATCTTTTATTTAAACACATCTATTACATTGAAATTTATTTATCCGTCTATTTATTAATATCATAATAGGAATATTTTTATTAATAAATTTTGAAAAGGAAAATTAACTTAGATTAAACTTTCTAAAAATGAATATTAGAAGAAAAATCATTTACTTTTAGTGTTACAATTAATGTTTTACTTAATTTATTGATATTTAGTTTATGATATTTATAATTTCTAGTATTTTATTTGTAGAACATTAAATATCTAAATACAAAAATTAAAATGAGAGAATTTTAAATTGAAAATATTTAATTATCTCGAAAAGAAAATAAAAGAAATATATAAAATAGTTTAATGAAAAAATGATGTGTATCCACTTTTGGCTTTAGAAAAAATTAAAATAGGACATGCAAATAAGAAAAATAGTAAAAAAAATAAGTTAAAATTTGTGCGTTTACTAATAAAATAGGAGTTAGAATTTTTAAGCTTTCTGATGAATTTGTTTAACTTATAAAATTGAAATAATAAAAGTGTTTTATATTTAATCTTTCTATAAATTCTTTTATCTTTTGAAAGATTTTTAAATAAATTGTGAAATAAAACCTTATATTTTACTTTAAGGTATAAAACTGAGTATATTTATTTATCTGATTACTACTAGGTTGATAAAATTATTTAGCTTTAGTTTAAATACTAACATTATTGATTTTATAAAGGATGTGATTAATAATTTTAAAAAAAAGGGGGATTAAAAATAAAAGTATTTTTATTTCCTGATCAGTCAAATCCTTTTTTAAAAGTCTAATCTATTTCAAAATTTAAATCTTTTAAAATAGGATCCCCATAATTTAAATTATGGTTTTGCCTAAGCAATAAATTTATTTATAATAATTAAAAAATAAAATAAAATAAATACAACAAAAAAAAATGTGTGATAGATTTTTTGAACAATTTCATTTTTATAGCTTTGATTAGAATGATTATACATCCTTGACACCAGGCTTGACAGAAGAACAGCATTATAATAGCTAAAAAAAAGAGAATTTTTAGATTTAAAATAATTATTAGATACAAAATAATTCTGATATGATGATTTTCAATTAAGATGATTAACAAAATGCATTTAACGAAGAATAGAATTAGTATTAAAAAGAAATGAATAAAAAATAAAGTAAGAAAAAATAATATTCTCATAGAAATACTATTAATAAGATTTCTTATCAAGTATTAAAACTTTTAAGAGAGCTTAAGTATAAAATTGAACTAGAAGGAAACATTATTTAAAAAAAGGTTGAAAGCTTAAATGTATTAATATGCATTTTAAAATATAATTTTAAAGATCAAACAGATTTTGAAAATATATATATATAAATAAAGAAACGTTTGAAAAAATATTTTTTGAATATTAAAAAAGATAATAAAAATCATCAGCTATTGATAGATTATATAATTAATTTTGAATATCTTTTGAAAAATATACTGAATAATTTTAATGAAGAAATCAAATCAAATAATAAGTATTATGGAATTACAGAGTTTCAGAAACTGAAGGATTTATGAATGAAAACTCCCCTTAAACTTATTGTTTATTATTCTAATTTATTACTATTTTATTAATAAAACTTAACTATTATTTAATATATATGGATGTAAATCATTTTCTGGTCTTGGTCTGAAAATATTTTTCAAATTTGATTTATCTAATTATTTCATAAAACATAATAATTCATATAAATTAATTTTAGTTTTTTAATTAATAAAGATAAAATTTTTAACAAATAATTTCATTTAGTTTTTTTTATATTATTTCAATTAATATATTCATAGAACTTAAACTAATAAAGTCAAATTTACTTATATTTTGCAAAAAGACTAAATCATAAAAGTCAAATTTATTTTTCTCCAATAAATTATCCTTAACAATGAAACATAATAGACTCTTGAAAAGAATTGTTTAACTCAATATTTTATCGGGGGGTTGGGGTTGGGGTTGGGGTTGGGGTTGGGGTTGGGGTTGGGGTTGGGGTTGGGGTTGGGGTTGGGGTTGGGGTTGGGGTTGGGGTTGGGGTTGGGGTTGGGGTTGGGGTTGGGGTTGGGGTTGGGGTTGGGGTTGGGGTTGGGGGTTGGGGTTGGGGTTGGGGTTGGGG